TAAGTGATCCTGCTTGGTCCCATACCTTATCCTAGGCCACATAATTCGTGGCTCATACATGTGTGGGATCCCCAGGTATTGAAGGATGTTTAAGATCTTTGATTGGCTCTTTGTACCAAGGACACTACGGTGGTCCTTTAAGCTCAACTAAATACAAATGCGTGAACACGTAGCAGATCTGTTTGCGGAGTGTTCACCAACAAGCGAGAGACGCGAGAAAGATCAATGTTAATTATCTTGGCTGGAGAAGGTTTGGGATAATACAGGAAGTAAGAGATCCCCATCCGCATCCCCTCATCGATTAGGTGGTTCTGTTCAGCCGCACCCGCAGGACAAAGCAGATGCCGTCGCAAAGGCTGCATCGCCTAGGACTACAGGTACTAGTGGTTTTTCATCATGATCACATATTAATGTACGGGAATGTGTAGCTCGGAATGAAGATGGAGAACATGACCCCATCAGATTTCTTTACATCAATTGTGATAAAGTATTTCAAGGAAACAAGGAGAGTCTCTCACGGCATGGAAGTTTTGGATGTTGAGTCGCGATTGCGAAGAGCTAATTTATTACAGATCGTCTCCAAATTATCTTCACTTGCAGGTGCAGGAACAGGAGGTGAGCCAAAGCCGGACTTGGAAGGAGTAGCGGTGGAAGAAGGTGGGGGTGGGCCGAACGCTGCGCCGGCATCGGGATCGGCCGGAAGCAAGAATATTTACGGCGCTCAATAATACATTATTTTCTAAGTCGATACTAGGAAAACGAAAATAATGGAAGAGTGCCATCATGTCATTATACTTCCAGCCTTGTCACACTGGTAAAAAGAGACTAAGGCGGTCAATAATTGTGATTCATTTTTCACCTGAACAAGATATGTGTGGCTAAGTACCTGTTTCCTGATAGATACTCGCCGAATACTCTTCAAGAATGCAGCTGAAAGATGAACTTTGGAGGGGTCCCGGTCCGTCTAATAAGACAAGGTAAAAGGGCAGAAGAAGCAGGCAAATAAAAATATCGCGAAGGGGAAGAAACAGGCTCTGCCGCTACCGCGACCGCCGCCACGAACCCAGAAGACAGGAGCAGGAGCGGAGACAGAAGCAGGAGCGAGCTGGGTCGAAAAGAGGGCAGGACCTCTAAGTAGCGGCTCCACCAAAGAAAGGAAGAGCTCGTTTCCAAATCACCAGCTACAAGGGAAAGAAGAGCTCGATGCCAGCATCAAAGAATCCTAGAAGAACTAAAGTGCCTGTATCTTCCGCATGTAGACTGAAGACTACAACACTAACATTGAATACGAATTACAGAAACAGCACGCAGATCATATGCAACAACTGTATGCCTACATGACTGAAAAAAAGGCATTCTAATTTCTATCGTCCATCGGAATTATCAAAGGAACTGAATTATATATGGCGAGATTCAAAATCAAAAATTGGAAATATCACTATCAAACACAAGTGTACCGATGGTGATTGAGTGACCCATTCATCCAATGAAAATGTAGATGATTATTTGAATTGAAATATGAGAGAATGTTGGATTGAAAAAAACAATGAATGTCGAAAAAATTGTAGTCATCTGCTTGTCTTGCTATGTATACTATTGGAAAAGTACACGGGAAATGAGTCAAACATTCGAGTTTTATTTTGGAAATCAAACCAACGATTTGAACTTTGTACATCAAACATTGGAACATTGTTTTGGAGATCAAACGACTTAAACATTGTAGATGCATTTGCATGCCTTGGATCTTAATATTCTTCAAGGAACGCGTTGATGCTGGAGGCTGCTCTCGCCCCTAATTATGATTGTTCTCCTTTTGTGTTCTCTGTCGTGCCTCTGAAAGGCTAAAAGATGGAGATCGATGTTCTTGTTTGCAGGACTATGTATGATGCCACTCATTGAGAACGAAGAGGTAGGAATGTCGTTCCTAAGTAAGAAGCCAAAGAGGGAACAACATCCCCATATCGACACTCTCAATTTAAGATACTTATGCCCTGCCTGATACTTATGCATGAGTCACTACCTGAACCTGATACTTATGCCCTGCCATGGATTATTTCGTCTGACATTGACACCGGCTGAGGGCATCAAATCAAAAATTATAACGAGAGTTCGAAATCCAAAAGTATACTATAAAAATCCACCATTTAGTACATCCACGTTACAGGTCGCTGCTGAGAGACGAGGATTAATGATTAAAAACTACAACAACTTCATCTACTAGCAAACAAGATCTTCATGAAAGATTTTTGATAGTAGCTCGATACCCGGGCAGAACTAAACAATTTTCAACATTCGGTAGTCGTCGCAAAAAATGCAAGAACTTGCTACTGCTATTGCTATTGTTACATCATAGTTGTAGAAATCAGCTCTTGGACGAAAATAAGATGGGTGATCACGACGTGCGCCGAGATTATTGGGAGATACTCAGGTCAGGGAATAATAAGGCGAGCAAGCAGGCAGGGCAATCTTCAAGCGATGAAGGCGATGCGAACGAGGAGCGACGACATCGGAAAGCAGTGAGTCATGAACATTAAGGGTGAGCTTCATTTACTTGCCGATAACCCTAGGCCCTTGAATGAGTAGGTACTTACTTGATGAGCTTCTTGATTACAACCTTGCTTACTGAGGATGAGCTTCATTTACTTTGGTCTTAGACTTAGCGAATTTACTTTGCATTCTGGCATTTCTCAGAGTAGAGTCTCACTGTCTGCGTGTGTGCTCTATGAAGAAGTGTCATTCTTGTTTTCGCATCTTCCGCCGCACGATAGTATGAACTTGTCATCTTAAGCAATTCATTTAGACAAATCATTCTACTTACTTTTCTTTGTCTACAACAACGTTCTAGGCCGACGAATCAATTTCATCAGTGAACAAATATACAACCAGTTCTAATTATTAGTTTCCAGTGCTTCTAGTCCTTCTTCTAGTTTTAGCTTGTGACTGACTATAAAAAAGACTTCTCCCTGCTCTAATTCCCGCATCGAAAGCACATGGACAAAACCCGAGACTCAAAATTGGAGAAGCAAAAGCAGGAGATGTTAAAACAGACCAAGAAGATGATCTCCCCAGATTCGGATTCCGACGAAGAATTGCCATTCTGGATGATGGATTCGTCGATACGAGCAGCACAAGCAGAAAAACTTGCTCAGCAGGGAACCGACAAGAAGGATAAGAAAATTATGTTGTTGGACTGGGAATTACTTACACCCATTGGGTTAGGGTTATCCTACACACATTATCCTATCCTATCCTACACACATTACTTACACAACAAGTAGAGTGTTCCTGGTGGCGACTTTCATTACATTGATCATGTTGAGGACGAAATAAGTTCATTGGAATTTATTTCCTATTCTACTACTGAAGAAGTGTCAAACTACTGTTGCCTCAAGGTGAGCATCTCCCTCTCCTTCATATTTCAAGGGAGCAGCAAAGACGACAAGGAGAAGAAGAAAAGTAAGAGCAAGAAGGATAAAAAGAGGAAAGACGACTCCTCACGAAAGAAAAATCGGAAAGAGAAAAAGAAGAAAGACAAGAAAAGCGTGAAGAAGTCAGACGACAAACGGAAAAAGGTAATTCCACTTCTATTACGTCATTTTGATTTCATCTGCTTTCCGTAGCAGCCTGTCTTCAGATGGAATTTTTCTGTCAAGAACCTACTTCCAATAGTCATACTGTCTGTCACTATTTAATTGTTCATCTACTTCATCCCATTCCACATGATCAAATACATTTTCAATCAAAGAAGTTTGTTGTGGAACACTTGTTTCCAATCGAAGAAGTACTAGTACTCCTGCTTCTACATGTTCCTGAAATCGAAGTTCCTTAGATCCTCGAATTGCAAACTGACTCTTCCTCGCAAACTCATCCTTTCCGGTACTTATCGCTCCGGGATACGACTATGCGTTTTCGTCTACAGAAAAAAAGCAAGAAACGAGATTCCTCGTCGAGCGATTCTTCGTCCGGCAGCGACAGCAGCAGTTCCGAAAACTGAGCTCAATACCTTCACGAAGGCGTTCGCAGAGTCAAAGTTCAATGGGACTGCATGAAACAGAGTTGAGGTCGGTCCCTACACGAATGAAGACAGGTTGTGGAGGCTATTTATCTCATATAATGCTAGTGGAGTTATTTCAGTTTCCACCCGTGGTCTGCTGTACTGTGGAGCATGACCACTGGAAAATACCTCTCACCACGACTTGTTCCCCTCTTAAAACTACTAAATCATGGAAATACTTTTTCCTCATGTGTCCGCTTGGTCCCAATATTACGACGATGAATGAACTTACAAGTTTGTATTCGGAGAAGCAAGGACAAGGCGGCTCTTTGCCACTGTGCTTCGTCCTCCGTCTGGAGTACGTAGATGTTCGAAAATTTGAGAAGAAAAATATCTGCTGAAAGTCTAGTGGAAAAAGAAAGTGCTGGACGTGGACTGAAGATTGTACTGCAAGACATTAGAGTTGTCGAGGTGGATAGCAGGTGAGAGATGAAAAGAAAACAAGAATTTTGATGTAAAAATCAAAGTTGGCAAAGAGTCGTGCGGGAATATTTGAATTTGTTTTTTCACAAAACACAACCTTAGTATAGCCAAGCAAGAGTGAGGACGAGCACGATGGCACAACAAGGCGGTGTGGAGCTGCGCGGCGTCGTAGAGGAGGATGAGGAGGAGGCTCAGTTAGGACTACCACTAACGCTTAAAGCACTAAGTAAAACAGCCGGTTGGTTTTCACCTCTGAAATTCTAAGTTTTTCCCGTGCAACAATACATGTCTTGCCTGGCTGCATGAGCGTGACTCAGCACATCTCTATCAAGGATTGATATCACGACAATATCTTCTGAAAATGAATTCTCCTCCACCACAAGAATGACTTAATAAAGCGTATCTTCTTGGGCAAGGTAACTACAACTTCAGTAGAACTTCTATCTGTGACAAGGTAACTGCAACTTCAATTCAGAACTATCTGGATCGATGATCAATCACTATCACTTTTATAATTCCTAGAGCTCTTGTTCTAATGTAAGTAGAAGAGCAGGAGGAGCAGGAAGGCGGCGACGACGAAGAGGAATCTCAACCGGTTGACTGGGATCGAACATGTGCATACAAGACTTAGGGGTAGGTTTTTAAAGGTGTTCCTGTTGCCGCTCGTTGTGCCTTTCTGAAGAAGGAAAGGAATAACGAACGGGGTAAACGAGCACCAAAAGCCTACCGCTAAAAGACATTGAAGATCGTGCGAGTCCGAGATCGCTATCTGGGCATACTCTATTGGAGCATCGTGGTAGCGGTGATTCTATTTACGAGGGGAGTTCTGGTTTTGTTTCTCTAGATTCAATAGGTTTATGATTGTTTTGCTCGTATCGCATTATCACGCACAGGTTTTTTTTCACCTTCATCAAGTTATGTAGCTTCCTGGTGGGCGTACTCGTCTAAGAAGCACATCGTCATCGTTGCTGTGGCGCTCGATGGCAAACATCAGAGGCAAGAGCCAGGTCTTGGGTCCACTATAGTAAAATTTCAAGGCAAAGCGTTTAACGCGAAAAATGAGCCATTCGATGAGGCTGATTTACGGTTTTGATTTTTTTGTTTCCTCGTTCCTTCTATCTTTCGTGTAGTACCTAGGAGAGCCAGACCTTTGTACTTCGCATTTATTTTCTCTGCTCTCAATGAATAATTATCTGCGCTATTATAAGTACTTTGGTCAGACTGGAGCTGGACTTGCCATTCTTGGCAAGAAGAAGGTCCAGCTTTTTTTACCTGCTCCTCCAGGCATCCAGAGGTCGAACCAAGTGGAGCGTTTATCATGACGCGATCCGTAACCATCAAGGGACAAGCGGCTGGTGCCTGTGTGGACTATGACAAACCATGCTTACGACGGACGGGTTTCACGCAAGTAGCCTCTGACTACGTTCAACATAGAAATGTTCTAGAGCTGCATGCTTAAGATTTGAAGAATATCTCAAATCTCGAATAATCTGATTAAACGATCATTTTCAACTGTACTCGTTTTCTAATCTAGAGAAATGTGACAGCAGCAGAGCCAAAGGAGTGCAACTGCGATAAAGCCTCAAATCATTGTAAGCTACCAGTGGCTTGGTGTCCGAGTATCGGAGAGGGAAACATCGATACGCTCAAGGACGATGGCGCAACCACCATTGTGAATGAGGTGGATTTTTACTCTAAGCTGGACATACAACAATCGTCTCACTGCGTTTGATGACACTTTATGAAGATGAGCGTTATTATTGTTGTAAATTCGTCAAACTTGTTTGCCTAAGTAGTCGTGTCAAATAGCTTCTCATGATCGTGTCGATTTAGAGCTTTCTTACCGAGAACGCGTACCCGTTATCATCAGTCCTGATTCCTACCCTCAACTCGACACGACCCAACCCGACACGACCATCAGATGACAAAGGGTATGGAAGCAGCAACTTTGGAGTTTTTTGCGGGAATATCTTTCCCTGGTATGTCCAAGAATTTTTTTGTCGCAGGGCAAACCGAAGAGGAGCCCATTGGAACGCACATACTTCAGAGCATTTCTGTGGGTGATTTGCTGACAAAGGCAGGAGTCGAGAGCTACAGCGAGATCATGAAGACGGGAGCGATACTGTTACGGACTTATAATGGAAACAGTGCGTATCCGTTTTCGTGTCGCTAGAGCAGGAGAAATGGATTGCTGTAAAACTAGTACACGTGATGTTTCTTCCTTTTCTATGATTGAATTGTATTTCTGTGCGTTTTTCTTGCACATTCTTCTCCTCGTCGTTCATTCTTCTCGGTCGCGTTTTACTGGAACTGCGATGTGGAGTCGCCGGCGTGCCACGCAGACATCACTGTACAACGAGTAGACAAAGGGGCTGGATATTTCCAAAAGAAATCACATTATTACAAGAAAGCGGGGAAAGGGGCGAGGGACGCGACTTACATGAACGGAATCAAGATTCTTGTGGAAAGCAGCGGTACGCTATGATACCCACTAATTTGATGGCAACTTCTACGTACAGCAATAAAACCACCAAAAAATCAGTTTGCGCATCATGTTTGAAAGTAGACATGCAAACGATAGTCATTACGTCCTTTTCTCATCCATTCATCTTCTACAACCTGCGAAGGAAACCACCATCTACATCTCGAACCAGGTATCGGCAAAAAGACAACACTTGTATTACTGCTTGTGCAGTTAGGGAGTTGTCTGGCGTTGCTAAGGGTTGCGAGCATGGTTGCGGACTTTTTAATGCTCAACTGCTACAGTGACCAAAAGGTGAAGATGTACTACAATTATGGTTGGTCGTCCTCGTTCAGCATTACAGGGAGAAGGAACATCGACATCATCCTCCCACTGATTCTTGATATCCTCATCTTCTGGAACCCTGTATTAGCTGGTCCGCATCTGAAGCAAGAAGTCAAAAAATGTTCGAGATGTACTACTTGAAAGATGGCACCCACCCCTCAACATTCCTTCTGTCTCTAACCTCCGTGCAAAGTAATCGAAACCCAGGACTATAGCGATTTGCAGGACCGCATCAATATCATCCAGGAGTCGGAGAAAGAAACGGCGTTGTTGTTGAGGAAGACGAAGAACTTGGGTATGGGAGGAGGCGGTAGAGGCGGCCTCGCGGCAAGTATACTGAGATGAACATTGCTGTGATCCTGAATTTGCTGCTGTTATCTCTTTAAACAACATGTTTCACGTTATCTCAACTGTAATCTTCCTTTTTTCATGTGTGCTACTTGTACTAACTCGGATGCTCCTCCTCACATTCTTCTTGCATGCAAGAAGCAACAAGGGTTGCATCCCACTAGCACTCCTAACAAGCTGGTCCTATGTTTTTTCCGCACATGACTCATCAACTCTCTCGAAGAAGAACTTGATGACTGAGAAAGTATTTCAGACCTTGCGTTGAGTCATGTTATCGATCCCGCTTATTCCCAATGTCGTCGGCCTCGACGTGGTCAATACTGTAATTCATTTTCTTTTCCACGAGAAAAAGATAGGTCGTTGACTCTCCGCATCAGCGCAATGCATTGGAATGGTGTTTTCTTAGAGTGATAGATAAGAAGTGACGCCATTCCTGTTTCAGAATGCAGCTTCACTGGCTCAACCTACCGACAGAGAATGGTGGACGAAGATCAGTTTTTTCTCCTCGTCTGTGTGAATAGCCACAAGATTGTGATAGCTTACGTTGATGTGTCACGATACAAAAAACTAGTCCTAGAGTAGCATGAGCTGCACTGTTAGGAGTAGTTTCAATAGTGGGTTTACTACTGTTAGATAATGAGGTCGTTGCAAGGACACCACTAGAATTGCTTCCATCGCGGCAAGAAAAAATGGGTGAAGAAAAGAGCGGTGCTTGTTTGGAAGATTTGATCTTTCAACATTTTCCGGTTGAAGAGCTGGATTCTGTCTGGGTCTATGGTTCTGCAGCTTTTCCCCAACGCACAGAGCAGCAGGACTTGGCAGAAGCTCGCCAGACGACTACGGCGAAAGACGCTGCAACTAATACAAGAACATCTTCAACATCATCTTCTTCCACCTCTTCCAAGCCACCTCAACTGGACTTAATTTTTGTAACGCGCGACTCGTCTGAGGCTTTTCACAAGAAGAATGTGGAGAGAAATCCTCATCACTACAACATTCTCCGACATGCGCCGACTAGTGTCCTCGGACGCATTACCCGGAGTGGACCAGGCGTCTACTTCAATGCCTTTTGTCAATTAGACCCCGTTGTTGTGCCTTCTTCAGCTGCAGAAACAAGGACGGTGGATGTGGAACAAGGAAGAGGAGAAGGAGAAGAGACAGGAGGAATTGTAGTAGAGTCATCTTCTTCTGACGTAGCTTTAGAGGCTAATCCGTGCACATCAAAGGATGAAATACGTGTTGAAACAGAGAGTACCACGACCACAGCGTCTTCAGCTGCAGGTGCAGGTGCAGCAAGCCCCCTAATGGACAAGGAGGTGAGGTCCTCTATCGAGGAGACTGCACTGCAAGGCCACGTAAAAGAGAGCGAGGCACCAGCTGCTCGTTCTACGGATAGTACAACCTCCACAGCATGCAGTGAAGCGCCTGCTTCTCCTCCAGATGACACCTCCACTGTAAGCCAAACCTCAACAGAAACTTCTCTAGTCCCTGTAGAGAACGAAATCGCGACCGTCGACCGCGATTTAGAGACCATCGATGAGTTAGCGCGTATGCGCTTAGAGATTTTAGAACGGGAGAAGCTCTTGGAGCGTCTCTCTTGGGAAGAAGACACGGATCCAAAAGAGTTGCTAGCGGAATTCCGTCAATATGCTAGAAAAGTAGTGCCTCCAAGCTGTGCCGGAACGAAATGGAACATGAGTGACATGCAGGTCCCGGTAGCGAGACGACTGGGAGGAAATGCAGATGCAGATGCCCCTGAAACTACACCAGATCTTTCAGCTGACAAAAGCGGAGATGACACACCGACGAAAGAGCAGGAGTCAACTTCTCAAGAGAAGACATCTTCTAGTGATGTTGAAGAAGCTTCCTCCTCTTCTGAAGATGAGGCGGACCACGAGGAGTATGTTCGAGCTTTTCGAGTTCTCAATGAAAGCACGGTTGGAATTATAGTTGGAGACGCTGATACCGCACTTTCCTCCGAAGATACAAGTCTCTTCACTGCGCGCACAGAAAAAGGAGGCACTACTACGCCAGCCACTTCATCTGTTGACCATGTCGCAGTGGATGATCCTGTCGAGAAGAAGATGAAACGACAGAAGGAGAGCTCGCAAGAACTACAAACTACCCAGTCAACAACTCTGCCTTCCCCTCCTACGCCATCTTCTTCATCGTCGTCTTCTTCCTTTTCTTCATCGTCTTCTTCCTCACCTCAACGTCCAATTACCGTCAAATATGGCGTCGTCGAAAAAGGATCCCTCTTCGAGGACCTGCGCTCGTGGCAACACTTGTATCTCGCTGGTCGAGCCCAAAAGCCTTTATTCCGCATCTATTTCAGGAATCCGGCGCATAAGAGAAAAAACTATGAGCTTTTCAAGACTATACTGGAGTTAAGGGTTATTTTCGAAAATTACATTCCGCAGCACCACCATGTTGATCCATGGCTCCTTTCCCAGTATTCGAAAACTGAAAATAACCGAGTTACTGACTGAAATAAGGGAGGCAGCGTTGACAGGGCTACTTGTCCTCGTTCAGTATCTCGCTTATTTTATGTAGTTACTCGCTTATTTCAGTTTATCGAGTAGAAAAGAGGCCAGGGGTGTCCCTGTCCTGAGAAATGTAATTGCGTAACTTCTAATGGAATATGAAACTGCGATATGTGAATCACGGGTAGGGGCGATGCAATTGGCAAGGTTAAAATTGGTCTACGAGTTTAATCTCCTATCGCCCGACGATTCTGTGAAGACGGATTTCAATTCAAAGGTCCGAAGTACCACTCTTTCTCGTATCACCGCAACTGGAATGAGTGGAATGGAGTTCCTGGCAAAGAAAGCGAAAGGCTTAGGGTTGACCGCAAGTGGCAACTCTGGAAAAGGGAACAAAGACAATGGAGAATCAACTTCAAGCGACAAGGATGGGAATGGTACAGAGGATGGTAAACGACCCCGACTCTTCCCAGAAGACATGCTTTGGTATCACATTTGCGACTTGTCTTATCGTGGTGATCTACGAAGAGCTTTTTTCGAGAACCCTCGAAAAGTCGAAGAGATCATCCGTGGCCAAAGACCGCTCCTAGAGCGCATTTATCGACCTTTCTTCCCGCTTGCGCGTTTAGAACGTGCTTTGGAGAGCGAGATACGGGAAATCTTTGAACGTGCGGTGAAGAGTGGAGCGAGGAAAACTACAGAAGATCATGGTGATTCGGGTACATCAAATAGTGCCACGACTAAAACGGAGGACAGCGCTTCTCAACTCCCTACCAACCTGCCTGGATTCGTACGAGCTTTACCGGAAGATATCGGTGATAACGCAGTTTTCGCAGTCGAGCGAGTAATCGAGGAAGGGGGAGTTATGGTCAAGATTGTTCAACCATGATGTTGTGTGATTTCTGGAAATAGGAAATTGAAGTACAACTTCCATTTTTGCTGCTTCTAAGCATCCTCGAAACGTGATGCCTCACTACGTTCTGCAATTACGAGTGCAGAAAAGTTCCGCGTGGATGGCAGGGAAGGGTCTGCTGACGAATAAATGGTCAAATTCTTTTCGCTATGGTTTCGAAAAATTATTGAAACGGTTCAAGAAGTAATTGTTGTGGGGCCGGGGGTCGTATGCGAATGCGAGGGGCGGATGGATCTGCTGGAAGCATGGTCATTTCTTTGATGCGTGTTTCCTGCTACCGCTTCTATTTTCCTTTGACTTACTTATCTTCCTATTCATTGTTCTTTCATGATGTTTGTAATTGTATTCTGGCGTCAGGATCATTACGATGCAGAAAAAAGGGGCGCTTGTCGCGACAAAAATGTACAGACAAGACTGGAGCGACCTGAGTACTTATGCTTTTCTTGCTTCCAATCGCTATTGCATAGTTCTACTTTCCCGATCCATCTCCTTGGCTCCGCTGCATGCGGTCTCTCGTAAAAATCTCACGTCCAGTAAAGCATGAGTATCGCTTTTAGGCAAAGACAGGCACTGAGACTGAGTGAGATGGATGGTATCCCCGCGAGCTTAGATGCATCTGATAAAAAACAGAATATAAGAACTTCGGTCGAGCGATATCGTGGCTATCTGTTGATTAAGAATTTACCTCATGGTGGTGGACTGAACAAATAGAGAAGACTATCTACACTTGGATCTATGTATTGTGGAAGTAGTTGCTTGTTTATTGCTCTTCTAAACTACCCGAGAAAAAACCTGTGTAACCCCTGGCCTCATATATTCCCGTCTTTAGAGAACAGAGACTGAGAGCCTCCTGACTGGGCTGTTTGAGTTCGTACCGAAAGAAAAAATCTAAGTGAATATGAAACTACAACCACAGTAGGTACGCCTAATTTGTTCCTCAAACCAAAAGGATGAATTTCGGTAATACTCGTGTGACTCGCGGGCAAAGGTGTGCTTTCCTGGAGGAACAGGAAGTTGCCAAACTTGTCTGCGTTTGTTGCAACTACTTCTCATTGGGCCAAACGGAATTGGCCAGAGCCCTGTTGCGGATTGTGGCTGAGAAATGGGACTTTGGGCAAGCGGTCGAGATCCTCAAGATTCTCCTCTGGCATGGACCGCCAAGGCATTGGCTGCCGTCCACTTCAGCACCATCGGCAGCGCATCTCAGCTGGTTCTGCTTCATTGAGCTGCAGCAGATATTGAAATAGGAGGAAATGTCTTATATTATAAGTAGTAATCTGATCGACTTCGAGATCGTCCACCCTTCCCTAGAAGAAGGTCATGATAAGTACTTCTTTCATCTCACTTCTCATCAATAACAAACTTCTGAAGGAGAAAGAAGCATAGCTTCCTTGTCAATAGTTTGGTGTTTTCACTGATCTTTTTACGTATTGAGGCACTACGCTTTTGAGACGTATGATCAACAACACTTCTGACAAACTGATAGAGAAAATTATGATCCAAAACCCTTTTTCATTCCTCGGAGCGCAACTCCCGAAAGCAGTTGCAGATTCCCGAATGGTTGCGGCAGCGTCTAGCTTTCGATCTCCTCATCGCTTGTGCCATTCTCGATGGTGCGGCGCTTGCGGAGAGGCGATCCCTGATCAACGCAGAAGTTGCGAATGAGTTGAGAGCCTATCATGCCGAGTTGTTGGATTTGTCAAGGAATGGGACCGCTGGGGCGGGTACTAGTGGAGTTTCTTCTACTTCTACTGGTGAAAACAAGTCTGCGACGTCTAGTGGAGAGAAAGGAGGAGATGCTAGTGCAGCGGCCAAAAAGGGACCAACTGCTGGCGTTGCTAAAACTAGTACTACAGCAGGAGCTCAAGCTCAACAAGCTCAACAGCAGTGTACGTCTAGCACAACTGGTGGAGGAGGTGGCGTTGTCATGCTTCCCTCTCTCACTTTGCTACCCATTACACCTCAGTTGTCGCCATTCGCAGCTTATCTTCCAGCACAACGCATTGAGCAGCGACCTCGACAGCCACGTATGTCCCGCTTGGCAGTGGTGCAATTGTATGAATTAGCAAAATCGCAACCGATCTTGGGACATACCCTTTGCGCTTTCCTTCAAATGGCCTCTTTGTCGGATCAAATGTGCATTGGTTTAGCTGCTGATGCACTGCTTTACCATCACCAGAGCAACAACCTTGAATTCGCTTGCCGCCATCTGAGGTTCTTGGAGATTTTACCTTCTTCTTCAGGAGTAGACGGTGCTTCTTCAGGGGATGGTGGAAACGGAAAGGCAAATACAACTACAACTACAAATACTACAACTACAACTGCCAATACCTCAAACACTGCTGGCGGAGGCATGATGCACGTCCTCAGTCAATCACGAGGTCCGAGTTCGGCTTTGTACGAGCTGTTTGTTTTCATCATTTTACACGTCTTCAGCAATCCAAGCTATTTCGCGATGAACACTAGCGGGCATCTACAGAAATCACTGTTGTTGCAGGGGTTGTTTGACGGAAATGGCATGCTTGGTTCTGGAGTAGGAGTTGGAAAGAATGTGGCGGCGCAACAACATTCTCAAGCCAAAACAGGCCCAGTGGCAGGGACAACCACACAGGACAACCAAGCTTCCGTTTCAGGCATGAAGCAACAGCAATACCTAGCTCACTATGAGGGAAAATTGCGTTCGCTTATCAACTCTGCAACAGCGCCGGCGGGGAATCCGTTGTCCCTCACTGAATGGAAAAAAGCCGCAGTTAGATGTCTCTCGACCGAATTTGACGCCGTGGGTCCAGTACTCTATCCCGCGTCTAAGGTCACTAGTAACGGAGGTGAAACTGGGGGATCAACTTCGACTTTCTCAGCTCATCATACCAATTATCGAGCAGACTACAATCTTCTTGATGGTAATGGCCCAAATCAGCGACACCAGCAGACGAGTACTAGAGGACCACAGGGACAGGCATATTATTCTCTCGCCCAGAGTGATCAGTATAGTAACAATCCTCAATACGTTGTCGGTGGTGCTAGATCTGCACGTCATCTAGGGGAACAACTGGGACGCGGACAAGGACATCAACAACAAAATGCGACCAGGTCAGGGAAGGGTTTAGACCATCCTCATGCTTTCGGAACCTCATCTGCAGGCGGACATGGCATTGGAGACGATGATGGCAACTTGTTGTACAACAACCAGCAACAATCAGCAGTCCTCCCGAAAACAAGGACCACGAATATCTGCAAGAAGATGATGAACTTCGCCCATTTGGATCACGTGAAAGCGCGAATCTACGAAAGCTTGTTGTGTAATCAGTCCACGGAAGGTCTGAAACTGTTTCAAACTCTGGAAGACGAGCACTTGCAACTACGTGTCAACACTTCGCTGTTGCCACCAGCGTTCGAGCATGTTACGACTTCATATCGCATTCCGACAGCCTTTTGGGACGCTTATTTCGAGTTTGTCCGCGTCGCTGAGGTGCACTGTTTGCAGTACATCGTGGAGACGGGATGCGAATTCCTCCATCGAGGACTCGACGTGGACATGGCGGCGCTCACGCTGCAGCCTTTTCCGCAGTTGAATTATGAAGAAACATCTTGTTTGAGGCTGCATTGGTTGGTGGTCTACTCTATGCATTTCTTCGTCACTTGAAATCAGTATGACGATGTTCAAATTCAAATGCCTCTTCTAAAGCACACCGCTAGTCGTCCTCTTAACCTGGTACGACAACTCACTGCAGAGCCGGAAGAAGATCCTAGACGCTTTGTGGGGTTCTTACGTGGATGAAACCGCACAAGACCCGCGTAAAGTTGGAGACTTGTGGGTGGATTTTTGGTTAAGGCTCACCCTTGCCCAGCTTATGAGGCATCCGGAAGAGGTTTTTCAAGGGGAAAAAGCATCCAGGATGCGCCCCAAGATGGATAGGGGTGAGCTCTAATTTGGGTAGAAGTGCTCGACTACTCTGTGACGCTTGCGCTGTGGATCGCGACGCTGATTCATCAAATACGAACCAGCCACTCCAACATGATTCAAACAACACCTGAATTTTCCGTGGATCATCCGGAAGTCTTGCGCACAGCAACGCAGGTGTTGGATCAAATTTTGGAGACGAAGGGACAAATTTCTTCTTCTACTAGTGCTGGAGGTGCTACTTCGATCGCTCCTTCTAAAAACACCAGCTCCGCACTCGAGAACAATTATTCGTCTGGAGCACCAGCATCCGGTTTAACTTCTTTCCTTGCATCCTCCTCGTCCTCTTCCGCCTTCTCAATAGGGACAGACGCATCTTCACCCACTTCATCGTCTAAGTCGGTCTTGTTCGTGATGCGTCCGTACTTGCCCAAAGTCGCTAGTGCAGTGATGCTTCCCATACTGGAAGAATGCTTGCCACCGCTGCGACTTCGCTCCGCTGCCTCTCAGCACAGCTACGACGTGGACATCATGCGGTGCTACTATGCTCTGCGGTGTGTCCTGTCCTTGGTCGAAAATTTGCAGGTTGGCACAGCCCCCTCAGGCGGAGACTTGCGAGGGATTAGACGACACGCCAAGTTGATCGAAGATGCAGTTTTCGAGCTGGATCGTCTTGTTTCGTCAATCGCCAGACCGCACTTGAAAATGAATGTCTTCGTGCAAATTTGCAGCATCTGTTTTGCGCGTGCAAGCTTTCTCACTTCGTCTGAGCTTCACTCTACAAATGTTCTCTCGGGTCCTGTGGGGAAAAGTAGTGGAAACAAGCAAACCGTACTAGTATCGGAGCACCAAAGCCAAGGTCAAACAGGAACTAGTGCAGGAGATCATGCTTCTATGTTAAGCGGTCAACTACATCAACATGGAGGTGGCAACTCATCTTCCCCAACAAGTTTGAATCTTTCTTCGGACGCCTTTCTAGTTCCTCCCGCGGCCGTTCTTTCACTGTTGTCGTTGTTGCGACACCATTTGGGTCAGCTATGCGACCATCCTGGAAGTCGACGCCACCACGACCATCTCGGATACTCCTACTCTCCTTCAACATCTGGGCCTACTAGTAGTGCGTCTCGCACTGGATCTTCGCCTGAAAGTGGTAGCAGTGACTCACGTAGTCAGCACACATATTCCAATCACAGGCATGCTGGAGGAAGAGGACGTGTTTACCCAGCGAACTCACCTGGTGAAACAGAATATATGACCTATCATGGGCAGCAAACTCCAACCGACTCGTCATTTTCAGGGTCCCCTGAAGATTATCGATTTGGAAGTTATTCGTCTTCGTATGGCCGCAGTTACTCCTACTCGCATGCGGGAGAAGGTAGCTGTAGTGTTGACGACAGCTACAAATACAATGGAAAGTCGTATGATTCTCGTCATAACAGGCGAGGACGAGGACACTTTTACCATGGTGCGGCTGGTGCGACATATTATAGTGCTTTCAGTACGAAAAGAAGCGACATGCTTCTCGTGCAGGATGCTGCTAGACGACTGTACATTTTCACGAAAGAAGTGCTCTGGCGCTTGTTCATGACCTTGAAGGATTATTTCCTGTGTGCGCGATTCCGAGAGAAAATCATTTTGCCAGGGGAAAACGCGAAGGGCTGGGCAGCTGCAATTGGTGCTACGCTTTTAGGCAGTGAGTCATTCTTGCCTGACCACCAGCCGCCAAGCAAGAGTCCACTGCGTCATTTCACGACGCCAGCTGAAGCAAGCCTCTCACTCGATCCTGACTGTTTTCTACCGCGTGCACTGTGCGGTGGCCGCGTGATGCTGCATCGGGCACTACGAATGAACGACTACAAACTGGCTGAACGAGTATTGGAGTATTTTGACGCTCATAAAGAACAAGAACAGGAGCAAGAGACGAGGAGTGGTAATGCGTTTTCCTCGTCCTCATTGAGTTTATCGACGTCACAAAAAGCTACAGCTCAGGCAAACGACAACAAGGCTGATGAGAATGGGCGACTAAGTAGCAAGTCTCGCTCACTAAAGAAGGCAGGCTCAGCAGGCGCAGTTTCATCAGAACATCAGAACATCAAAGCGATGAGTCGGGAAGACTATGGTGCGGTTGTTGTGGCAAAGAAATTCGCCGAGTTTCGGGAAACGGTACAAGAAGCTGACTTGAAAAATCTAAAACAGAAAATGCCCACTCTTGAGGCTGAGCTGATGCGATTGTGTGCACAGTATTTTGAAGGCGAACACGCGTTGCGAGCGACGTTTTACATCTTAGTTGATCTGGCAGTGAGTGCAGCACCGCACTCGCAAGTTTCTACCCGTTTACTGAAAAAGGCACTTGCGATCTTGGAATCTTTGCCCAGGAGTGAGCATCTGCAGACCTGGGTGGCAAGGCTGAACGTACTTGTCGAGGCGCGAACGCAGTACAAAGCGGATAGCAAAACCAGTCTAGCGAGTATCATACTCGGAATTGAGACGTTGCCATCCGAACCAGCATTGCTCAAATCCCATTTGAATAAGCTGCACAGTCAGCGGCACGCGATCATGTCTTTGGTGGAAAGCGTGGATATGGTGAAAAAAGGCCAAGTGGTTCAGCAACACGCTTTGGTCGATTTTCTTGGCGGCCTCGCTTCGCAGCAGAACACTATCAAGAAAGCCGGAGCGACAGCCTCCTCGGTCGTTTCCAGCATGATCAGCAAGTTTTCCGGTCGAAGCAACCCTTCGTCAAACACCATAGCGCAGGGAGAAGAAGTCCTGCATTCGCTGTCTGCGAGCAAATATCTATTGCGGTTTTTGGAGTATCTAGCGAAAGTGACCGATTTGATGCGATCGGCCGAAACGTCGCCCGAAGGCTTGAAAGTCTTCGACGTGCTGGCAGAGTCGCCAAAGGGAATTGTCGCACGGCTATTGTTCGACTTGGGTGGCGCCAGACAAGCTCGAAAATTGAGCCAAGTAATGGGAGTTGACCTGGTGGAAGTGATCTTAAACTACGGGTGGCTCTTGCACGATGACGCCTTCTCGAATCCAGGAAGCAGCGATGAGCATGTGGATGACAGTGCTGCGGGAGGAGAAGATGGAATGATTATGGCCTAAAAGTCGTGTGCGAGAAGAAGGCAGAGGACTCAAGTTGTCGTAGCGTTGGGTAAGTAATTAGCCTAAGATGTTGTTTTTCCAGCTACAACTAGGACGGAAGATAGTGCACTTTGTGCTTTTTGTGATGATTCATTCTGTACATGACACTGAGGACTCTAAGGTCAAGCGACCAGGCGCCGGCCCCCATCTTGCAGGAGGTAAAAAGTCGCCTTCGACGGAAAACAAACTTGGTGTCAGCTCCTTGGCTTCGCAGATGACACTCACTGGCGCAGCTTCATCAAAGAAGCCTCCAGCTGGACATGTTGTTACTTCTAGTGCAGGAGGAACATCAAGGAGTGTCCTTGCATCCAGTGCTTCCAGCGGCTCTACCCCATCTCCAGCCGACAGCGACAAGCCTCTACTTTTAAGGCTTCCCCAAATCCACCATCTTTAAAGGCACCATTGATTGAGAGGCTGTGGTTTTTAAGGGGAACAGAGACCCTCCACCCTTGTTTAGGATGTACTAAGTTGATTGTACACTATCTTGTTCTTGAGATGGAAAATTAGAAACACTTACATCTCGCTCTACTAATGGTTGCATCAGCAATCTATCCGATGGGCATGAATGTTATTCACGTGGTGGAGAGTGCCGCACACCCGCTGCTTGCGAGCATCGCTTGTCTAGAACGTCGACCACAAAACTGGCCGAACACTGCGTTTCTGAAGTATGCGAAAGACAAGACGGAAAATTGTTATCCAGCGCTTCATCGGTGGATATGCGAGCGCTGCGACGTGTGGGACGCTCTCTATTGGGCTTGCAGCGGTGAGAGAAGGGACTTTTCAGAGTGGACAAATACCGGATTACCTGGTGGTAGTGCCGATATGACCGGAGATGTTGATGCGTCTAGGACTCATCATGGGTCCTTGTCGGAAAATACCAATAGCGGTGAAGAAGAGCCTGAAGATAGAATGAGGCGCGCGAAAACGTTCTCATCTTCTTCAAGCAGTAGAGATCACTCCATGAATAGAAGTTCCGAGAACACGAGGACAGCAGATGGAGGAAACCTCTCGCGGACTCGCAGTGAGTCAGCGTCACGGACAGGAGGACATTCTCATTCGTCTAGAGGTCGAGGAAATCATTATGAGATTGATGACATTTTCTTGCCGCGGAAAGACAAATTATTTTCGAAAGACTCTGTGACTTCGACTACTACAGCTTCAGTTGTGGCCAAACCTAAAACTGCTATGATCGACTTCACTCGACTTGTCGAAGAGGATTACGAACAAGTAGATCATGGTGCGCCTACAACAGGGAGAATTGCAGCACGACCTAGGAGCCGCACGGTAGATGACTTGAATTATCCAGTTGAAATGCCGCATTTAGCGAACTTTTCGCGATCGACGCCGTGGATGGACCTGTCCTCGTCACGCGCAATCCCCCGTCGACCCCAGGAGGAGCGTCAAAAAACGCCCCCGAGACCAGTGAAGAACAAGACGCTTCTGCACAAAAACCAAAGCAGGCAGAAGGCGTTGCGGGATCCGAATAGCTTATCGATAGACGGGGTGCTTGAGGGTTACTCTCGACAGGCATTGGAGCGGTTGCCGGTGGCAGATCGAGCAGCACTTCTAGCCATCGGCGACGACAAGGAAGAACTGCTGCAAGCAGCGCATACGAAACTGGCGCATTCGCTTTTGGAGTTAGGCAAGAACATGATGCTTCTTGTTCTGGGACTTCAACTCAAGAAATAAATTAATGAGGACTTAACTAATGAAAGCACCTACAATCTAAACAATTCATCATCCTTCTTTTACCTACTGTCTACTAAACTTTTTTATTTGAGCGTTCAGGTTCACCCTTTTTTCTTCGTCCTGTGCACCTTCTAACATAAAGCAAGCGATATGAGGAGGCACTCGAATTGTGCGACAGGTTTTACTGCGTGAATGTCGTGGACGAGATTTTTCAGGCTGTTGCAGAAGACTTGATGATGGGAGGCCGTGATGAGCAACAGTGGTCTCTGGCAAGCAGACTTTCACAGACTTTACCTACTTTATGACTACCTCCGCTGAAGCATCCTCAACAAGAACATCAGGGAGGTGGCGTCTTTTTCTACTGGTGGAAAAAGAAGTCAAGGATGCGCTCAGGGATGCGGATGCGGTAGGAGCTCTAACTTCTCTACGTGAGTGCCGCAACGCGGAGCATGAACATTTGTACTGCCTTCGGGATCCTCAGCTGGCTGCAACGTTGGTGTTGAAACTGTATAGGTTGTGGGATGACACGGAGATCATCATTCAGGCAGTGACGACCTGCTTGCGGAATCTGGAAAGCAGTTATCCTAGTGTTGTTGTACTAGCAAGTGCTCGAGGAGGTGGATGCGGGCATGACGGAGTCGGGGATCATCACTACGCTCAGCATCAAGGTGGACACCAACATCGTTGTAGAAACAACTCTCGTACTCGTGGTAGTCCTGAAGGAGGCGGTGATCACGACCATGCAGGAGGCGGCCGCCATCACCATGCTGAGGGTGCAGCTGAGGCGAATGAGGGGACATCAAATGCTGAAAAGCAAGAACAACGAGCGGCGGATCTGGCTTCCGAGCTGCAGTTGGTGTTAGGGAATATGGTCATCTTGCAACGGGTACTATCGAGATGCGGAGGGGAGTGGCATAGCTGGCACGAAATCGACGACCAATACGCGGCTTCAGCCTCTAGTAGTCCCAACTCAGCTCTACCTCGTCTAGCTTTACCTGGTGATGAAAAGAACAATGCACATGCCGATGGTACAACAACTTCAGCAACTTCATCGCAGTCGCATTATTTGCATTTCATTACGCAACACAACTTCAAACAAATGACAATGGAGGTGTTAACGCCTCAGCTGGCGGCAGAGGGTGTTTGTGACGACGATGACGGGGAGGAGGAATCGCAGGAAGAGACATCAGAAGAGGAAGAAGAAGAGGAGTCCTCAGAGGAAGTGTCAGGAAGTCAAGAAGACGAAGACGAGCCGGTGGAAGAAGAGGGAACTGGAGGGATGAAGAACAAGAACAACATGGAGATAGTTCCTGCGAAGAGGCAAGGGAATAAGATTTCATCTCGCGACGAGCGTGGCGAAGACAGGAACAAGGTGCCGCAACCTCCAGCAATCTCTTCCGTAGAATCTGAGGACACCTCAGATTTTTTCGATGAGCAGTATCCTCAAGATGCAGTTTTATCACATTTGCTTTCCCTCAATGAGCACGATCTCGCTCGCCAGGTGCAGTTTATGTATGCGATTGAGCGACCCAAAGTGTCTGAGATTGAGCTTCAAAGACTGGAATACCTCTTCACTGCAAACGGAGCTGATCGCAAGACAGAAGCAGTGAATCGATTGTTGCACTTCGTACCTGCACAGGCCGTTAGGTTTGCTTTTGCTCTTCTAGACCGATTCGTCTTAATTCCCCACCGGTTGCTGCTTTGCCGCATGCTGTTGGAGAACCTGAAGAATTGGCTCTCTGCTGCTCAGATCGAGCGACTGGAGGTTTTGAGTGCTAGTTTGGAACTGTTAGCTGCAGTGGTGTCCTCTACTTCTTCTAGTAAGAGTTCTAGTACCAAGACTTCTTCCAGAAGCGGTGAGTCAATGGACTCATCAAAGCAGTCAAACTCAAAAGTAGAGGACGACCTGCCGCATGATGCATCAGCCGATGAAAAAAAAAGTTCGTCTAAGAGTAGCAAGAGTTGCTCGAAGACAAGCAAAGCTTCCACAACATCTTCTTCGAGCACCTCTCGTCCTCACGAAATAGACAATTTCTCATTCATCTCCAAGACCGGGGACTGCTGTGAGAAGAACGTAATGAAAGCGCACTACTTACGCTTGCTAGATCGCCCGACGCTTATTGTGGAGAGCCTCTTGATGAACGCAAGGGCGGATATATTGGGACCATTTCTGGACAATTTTCCTCAATACCGAATCGATGGTTTGATCTTGCGATATGCCAGAAAGGCGCTCAGCCTCGCTCCAGACCCAAATGGCTGTAGAAGTGACGCAGGAGTATTTCCAGCAGATGCACATCATGATCATTCGCAGAAGCCCAGCGATCTTACTACAGGAAGCACAAAAAAAGTTGCTCCACATCAATCTACTTCTACTGCAGCAACCAAAACAGAAGGTCTCGGTGGTCCGTGGTGTCTCACTGGTAATGCCGATGAAGATGCAAAATTACGTAGGAGTCACATGTATGAGACTGCGCCTTCGATTCAGCTAGCAGAAAGCTTGCTAGACCTGTTGTCGGATAAGCTAGAAAACGCGCGACTGTGCTTTGACGTGTGCGACGAACTGTCCTTGCGGTGGCAATCGCTGTTGCCGCGTTTTCGAGAGCGCAATTCTGTCGAGCATCTAGTAAAAGAGGCAGAAGCACAAGCGGAAGCGATGGCAGCGGCGTTTGCGGATATTTCGTGCACAGCATGGGATGAAGCAAAAGGTCTGTCCGACGTGTGCTCGACTAGTGAAGGGGAGAGTAGAGCGCGGTCTGATGATGAGGACGCTGCGTCAGATTACTCAGCGTACACCTCGGACGGTGATCACGGTAGAGCAGCTGCAGACTTCGGAGGCGACGGGGTGAATAGCATGGAGGATTTGATCCTGGAAGGCAGCGCAACTGAAGGACATGCCAACGATGGTTGGAGCGACGACGAAGACGGTATTGACAAAGATTCTTATCCGTCCGATTTTCTCTCTTTGGACGACCTCAAGTACATTCTGGGTGATGATGACGAGGAGGACGATGATGAAGGCAGTGACCTTGTTGAAGTCCCACATGGCGAAAATGAGAAAAGGCCGCAAGAACAAGGTAGCTCATCTCGACGAGCTAAAGATCATGAAAATAGAGGAAACTCGAAACATGAAGATGCTAGTACAACCACACGAAATAAGGAGCAGGAAGCACTTGTTTCAGCCTCTATCGTTGATCTTTTACTTCGACAACTGCTTGAATACCTGTCGCAGAAGTTCCGCAGGCACACGCATTTTGTCACTATGGTCGACCGTAGCTCTAAGAGTTTGATGGACTTCCTAGCGGTGGTGTGGCAGACGACGGGGCACAAGGTAGGGCTAAAAGCACTTTGTGACAAGCCCGAAACGTTAAGGGATGCCTTGATCGCCGAAGACTTTCTAGACTTAGCGCTGGAATTGTGCGACCGCTGCTCGTACATCGATACGAGGTTCCTAAATGGAGGTGAACACCAAGGAAGAGAAGCGGATCATTCTGACAACCTGTATGAAACACCAAGAAATGCAACCTTGATGCGACAACGTGGTGCTGGCTTGCCTGGTGAGCGTGCTGAGCTTCACCTACTGACGGAAGATGCGTCGACGATGACACCAAGCACCGACAGAGGCTCATCAGTTTTTCAACTGAGCAAAGCAGCGAGCACGCCTAGCCATTACAGAGATCATTTTCCCCATCACGGTCAGCACGTGAGAGGTCTGGTTGGCCTTGGGGTTGGAGCTACACCAGTCTCAGGTGCTCTCGCCGGTCAGCAGCAACAGCATCCCGTTGCGCTGAGTACAGCCTCGTCTTTGCCTGCAGTGTTGAGCGATGCGGAAACTTCGATGTCAGAAAGTGAGCTACCTCCTTGGAGACGGCGAGTTGCACCAGCACCAGCGTCGAGTGTTGGTGATCCGTCTGAAAGCGGACAAGAAGGCATTAGGTTACAATGTGAAGACGAGGACTACAAATGGCATCACTTCAGGCCTCTCTCTGGCATCCCTGTTCGAGAGGCGAGAGCTATAGCTCTGTTGCAACTGTTTCAATTTGAAGAGGCGCGAGCGTGTTTGGATGCGAATCATGCTGAAATTCAAGCAAAGGCCAGTCCAGGGGCTGCGAACAGCAGTGCATCGTCTGTGCTAGGAGGTGATTCATCATCCTCGAATAGAGCTGACCATACGTCGACGGGAGAAGTGGGATCTTCGTCTAGTAGTGCCAAAGAAGGCTCGCCTCGTACAACAAGATATTACGAACCTGCCGAGAGCTTCTTACTCGCAGTTGAGCATGCTATTCGCTACCCCCCACTCTTCCATCTGGAGGGCTTAGAGCAAGCACTGAGTCATTTCACAGTCATTCACCTGCAACGCGCTCTCTACAAAAACACTAGTCCCTTGTCGCCGTTTCCGATGTTCCTATTCCCCGACCAAGATGCTTCTGCCGATTCGTGGGGTCGTGAAAGCTTAAAGAAGCATCAAGTTGCGCAGTTGTTTGGCGCGTACCTGCCACAAAACTCGTTCTTAGCTAAAGCTTGTGCTGACCACTGGCGAACAGGATCATCTGAGGATGATCAAGGCTTATCTCCGACATCAGGTGGCACGCACGCAGCACAAGCCTGCTATCCTCAGGACGCGTCGTCCTATCACACGTCCCATCTCCCAGGTGTTGCCCCCACTTCTGTCTACACTTCTGGGAACAACTCGACCACTATTATGACTTCGACAGGTGGAGGAGGAGGTGGTCTGCACCGTCTGAACTACAAAACCTCAGCGAGCGCAGGTCGTGGCCCGTTGGTAGTGTGTAGTTTTCTGAACTGCGGGGGCGGTCCGCCTGACACGCGCTTGCGACCGACTTTGATGAATCCAGCGATACCAAGGAAACCGAATTTGACAAATCAAGGAGTGCTTGCAATAAACTCGAGAAGCCTGCCGCCATGGGCATCCAGTGACCCGTGGCACTACGAATCTGAACTGACTTCTCGAGTCGGCGCAGTGTTTGCTGCAGCAGATGCAAAACAACAAGAGAAAAATATGCGACTGGGAGGTGAAGAAGTCGACGGCTCTTGTGAAAAGGCTTCTGCTAGTACGCTAGAGCTAGTTGACGCTTCCCCTACAACGGGAGATAATCTTCTACTTCAGAAAGGAGCGTCGCCAAGTAGTAAGACGAAATTGTCCTGGATGTCTTCAAGTGAACGTGTAGCTGCTTCGATCGCTGAGGCAGCAACGTTGAAGTCTAGCCTGTTAAAGAAGTCCAGCAGTATAATTGCTTCTTCTTCAGGTGGTTCGTCCTGCAACAGCACTCCGCGATCCTCTCAGAACAATTCGCCAGTAAAACCGCAGGCACTTGTTGTTGCTACGACACCAAGCAAGGTGCCGGGTGTGCGCCTCCCACCTACGGGTTCGCCGATCTTTCAGCACGAGGGTCTGCAGGAAGCGCTGCAACAGCGAAGTCAAGAATTGCACCAGGATTCGAGGATGTACAACGCGATCTGCTGCCTGTATCCGCCAATTCATAGCAGCATACAACCTGCGTGGTGCAGCGCGAGCGTCCTTCTCAGTGCAACACTGGCGGAAGAGCGAACGCAACGGCGACACAGGAGAGAGCTGCGGAAACAGCGGAGGCAAGCTAGACGGCTGCGCGCAGCTCAACTTCGAACGGAAGCGGCGAACCGTGCTGCGATGGCAGCCGCTTCTGTCGGGGCCGCTTCCGGTCACCTACCTCATATTTCAGTGCCTGAGAATGATATGCCATACGCGGGGGCGGGGGCGGCGCGGGCTGTTCCTGGCAGTAATGTTGCTACAACTGCAGGAGGCACTACAACTGGTGGAGATCATTGGTCACAGGGACAAGCGCCTCCCACACCAAGAACACTTGGCAGTAGTGGTAATCCAACACAAGCTGCGGCTGGTCATGAAACACTCATTCGGCCTTTTCCAAGACCTGCATTCGGCGTCCCTGTTAAAGGGGAAGCTGTTACCCCAAGCCCAAGCCCTGACAAGAACACTCAGTCCTCCACAAAGTGTGATAGCAAAGAAGCCGACTCTGCTTCAGTAGAGGGGACAGATGCGAAAACTGGCGCTTCGTCTATGGCTGAAGAAAGCGCCGCTGATTCGATTACTACGGGTACCCCTCGAGCAGCATCAACGAAAACTACTGCAGCTGGCGGTGTCGATCTGAAGTCGCCTGCCGTTGACCAAGTAGAAGAAACAGCTCATCCAGCATCCACGCTGCAATCAGCTTCATCAGTGACATCGACAGCCAGCGCCACTAGCGCCATATCATCTGCCACGTCAGCGACGCAGCTACCTCCTTCCGGTACCGCTTTACCACACCAGAAAATGAGCGCAGAAGCCCTGGCTCTGCATCGCAGTCTGAGCATGAACGTATCGATGCTGTTGGAGGCAGCAGAGAGTTTAGAACAGTACAGCGACCAACATTCGTCTGAAGAGGAATTGTATTACTTGGATGACTCCGAATGCTCAGATTCCGACAATGACTTGGAACCTCAAAAATGCGCACATCAGCATCAGCAAGGAGGTACGAGTACGAGGACAAGCACCATGTCTGCTAGTTGTACAGTACATCATCAACCTGGTGTGGACTTTCCCTTTGGAGCTGGCGAGAATCACTTCTCTGCCTCTGGAGGTGGTCCATCTTCCAGTAGTGGTGGACATCAATCCTTGCACCATGATCCTGCTGTTCTTCAACAACTGATGAATCAATATGGAGCTGTCCCACACCTTTTGCAGGGGACGTCGCCTCTCGGAATGCTGACACCTTCAACAAATGATCTTGCAGGAGGAGCTCTTGGTTCGCAACACCAACACCTACTTCATAACTCTCAGGGGTTGATGAATATGGGAAACAATCCGAGTGGCGCTATGGGTGGAAATAATCTGCTTGCTAGACCGTCGATGTTCATTGATCAACAGCATCAGCATGCACTGCAGCAAGCTTTAGGCGGAGCGCAGGGGGGTGGCAGATTCAGTCGTGCGGTGTTTGCGACAGGATCTGCACTAGTTGATGCGCTAGACCAAACGGCTGACCGAGGGTCAGAACTCATAACTGCTGCGCGTGAGATATTCTATGAGCATCGAGATCGCCAACAGCAGCAGCGGAATGATATGATGGTTAAGGCTACCGCTGAAGCATCATGATCAGCGTCATCCTTGGCCTTTTTTTCAAGGGGAAAAAGGACCCAGGGATGGGCTCTGGGATGCGTCGGCGCGGTAGCTCTAAGATTGCAGGTGGAGGTGATAGTGGTCTTGTTCTTGGAGATGGCGCGTTTGCTGCAGCAGGTCTTCAAAGTGGATCTCAACAACATCTCGCTGCATTTCCTGAGGGCGCAGCTGGATGGGTCGATAGCAACATGGGTCTAGGAGCAGGTGCAGGTCTATCACGTAGCAGAAGGATAATGATGTCCTCACACGGCACAGCTTGTCATGGTAAAGACGCGGTTAATCTGATAGGCGACCTACCCGCCGCGTCCCCATCCGATGGGTTTCTTCGAACACCAGATCTGACACCTTGTGGCAGCAGAGTTGAGCCATCTTTTCCCCGCACTGGCCTACACGGCGTCCTAGACCGTGCCGTTGGCGTGATAGCAAGACCCTCCGGTCTACAAAAAGCGCCAGCGGGGGGTCTCGATTTTTCGCAACCTACAGACGCAACGCCACGAGGATCAGATGGACCGGCATCGCAACAATCCCGCCGAGGAGCAAAGTTTGCGCCAACTTCTAGGCAGCAGGGCGATGAACCACCTGGATCGAACGACGACCCGCCAAACACTGCAACAGGCGGTTCGTACGGATCGTCAGTCTTGCTACAGGCATCTCAGATAATGAGCATGGGAAGGAGTACTAGCAAAAGAGCAACAAGTAAAGAATCAATCCTTGGTAGTACTAGTAGCCAACATTTATCCGCGTCCTCTAGAACGTCCTCTCACGGAGCAGGAGGCCTTGCAGGAGCTACAACACAGCTTGCGCATCAGCTACAGAGCCATCTCTTACCAGGCGGTTTGGGTGGAACGTCTTCAGGTCTTCCTTTGGGACAAACGATGTCGGTTGGCAGTAATGCTACAGCCACTAGCGCAAGTTCTTCGGGAGCAATCACGCATGGGCCGTCTACTCAAGCAGGAGCTAACCCTTCGTTATTGGCTCAACAGTTGTCGCACCTTAGTGGCACAAGTGGAAGTGGCAAAATATACTCAAAAGGTAGCAGCACTACTGTAGGAGGCGCCTCTGGCGGCAGTCATTCACAACTAGTCACATCTACATTTGCCAGGACAGGGATGACGCTGGATATGTCGCGACTGTTTGTTGGGTGTGACCTCCACGGGAAGAGCGCCCTGTTGTCTCAAAGCTCCCTGTGGCCTGAAGAGGAGTACCATTTGCTTCGCGCCAGTCCCGCTGCTCTGTCCTTTGCGTTGCCGCGTATCGTTCGTTTACCCCTAGCATTATCCACTGATACACGCGCAGTCAGAACCTTGTCACCACTAGGATTTGCGGAACTTCACAATCTGCATCGATCTTACGGCACGCGTGGAAGCTTGTTGCGGTTGCTAGTGCGTGAACATCGGCTAGCTGCAGCGTGCTTTTGTGTGGTGCGCGAACGCTGTTCTCGGCAGCTCTTTGTTGAAGTGGTGGCTCGACACTGTTTGCAGACGCACCAATTACAACACTTACTGAACTTCCTGATTGGCCATCTGTCAGCAATGGGAGTAGAGGGAGTCACAGCAGCTGGGGACTATCGCGGGAACGGGTCTTCACCTGGTGGTCATGCTTTGACTACAGGGGATTACAGGAGTACTATGAATACCTCAAAATCTTCCACTGCACTTCTAGACCCTGCAGCAGCGCAGAATTCATCTAGACAGTCTGATCAAGCATCAACTCCCAGCAGACCACACGGGGCTATCTCCTCGGCTATTTTCGATGAAGATCAATTTCTCGCGAGCAGCGGCAAGGCTGAGCCAGTCGCGTTATCTGCCAAGAAAAACTTAGCTGTGGCTGAGCAGCAGTATCATGGTGGAGTTTTATTGGGTTCGTCACCTGCGAAACTGTTGACATCTTCTGCTAGTTCGCAATCGACATCCTCACAAGGTCAACAACAATCTTCGTCTAGTACAAGTAAAATCCTCAAAGTCGATCAAGGGCTGAGCAAAACCGTTCTTTTCCACCAGGACGCTGATGCTTACTCAAGACAACTGTCCAACCGCTTACCGCCAGAGTCTATAGCCGTGTACCTGGACGAACTGAGGGAGTTTTTGCGGCAGCGTCGCGCACTCGACTTGCTGTACAAGTACTGCGTCTTCATCAGCGACCACGTGAACGCAGGCTTACTGGCGATCCAGCTGTTCATCATTTCAGCCTCTTGGGACAGCCGTGTTGGTCATTTGCACGACGCTCTAGCACAGTTGCAAACGTCTCTGGAGCCTAATAGAGGTTCATATAGGAACAGTTCCTATAGAAGTGCGAGTGCTTTAGGAGATCTTCATGACCACAATCCTGGGCACCTTCAATCCTCCTCGCCTTTGATTTCTGCACGAGGGGGTGGATCTCTGGGTCTGCCTGGGAGCAGTTCAGAAGAACACAGTCCTGTGGACCACCCTTTGGGGATTCTGGGAGCTGACACTGCGGTGATTGACGAGACAGGACTCAACTTTCGACCCAGTGACTACCACTTAGCACCGGTCGGCGCACCTTCGTCGAGTGGTCTGGGACTAAACGTATTTTCGTCGAGCGGTAGCAGCAGCAGTCAGGCACAGAAGTTTTTGAACTACAGTGGCAAAAATGGCGAATCGCAGAGTGATAACTTTGGTCTTGCAGGAGCGGGTGCATCATCTTCTAGATCTGTCCAGAAAAACAACAACAGAACGAAAAACTCGTCTTCTTCTTCAGGCTTCTCCAGCTCATCTAGTTCCACCTCTTCCGCGTCCGCCCACCAGCAGCATAATAACGGCACCATCTTCAACCCTCACAAACTACAACAACACGTCTACGTCGATCTTCTTTCTGGCAAAGAGATTTCTCATGCGGAGATCAAACGGAATCTTCAGCTAGTGCGGTTCCAGTGTCGTGTCTGTGAAGCCTTACCCCGTGACCGTGCTCACCTCTTCGATGCTTCTCTGTGGGAGAATTCTATGGCGAAAAAAAGCAAGTTGTCACAGATGGCCCTTCTACATTTGAGCAATGCCACGATTTCTCGCAGATGTGAGGTAGCGGAGAAGCTCCTAGTAACTGCGCATTTCGAACTAGGACAGCAAATCATGGACTTCTTGGAATTACCAGTGGTGGAAATCTGTGTCAGAGCGTCGAACGAACTAGCAACAGCGGAAGCAAGAAAAGCGAACAACTGCGCCAGCATCAAACCGTTGTTGAGGTTCTTGGAGTCGGCGAGGAAGTTTATGAATCTGACTATTATACTAGGTTGAAAGAGACATCAGAGCTGTGGGCAACCCTTGATCATCTAGTATCTTCATGACTTTAACAAGTAGTTGTGATTTTCTCGATGAAAATCGCATGTTTCTGTTTGATTGTGATGGATCGGTACTCACTCTAATAACCGTTTCCGTCGCGCCCCTGAAGAATGGGACTCGCTTGTGTCCAACATGGTGAATATCTGGATCCACGAAAGGGAAGATGCGAGTTTGGCTGGCGAATTGATCCAGTTTATGGTGGATGACCGCTGTAAACTAGACGCTTTGGTCTTGCTGGGCAATTTGGAACAGGCTTTCTCATTGGCGAAGAAAATCGGGTCGATGGATGAAATCATGTATCTGAAAAAGCAAGCACAGTTAAGGCTTCCCCTAATCCATCCCTGTAGACATCCCTCAAACATATGCGTCCCAATACAAGGGAGATACTGACGCATATGCTTGAGGGATTCCCACAGGGATGAATAGGGGAGAGCTCTAACACAGGGTGCTCAGAATCATGAGCTGTTGAAGCAGATAAATGCGTATATCACGTATTACGCGAAATGATAATGAACAGTGGATGACGATATTATCTTTACCGAGAGTGTCTTCTGTATTATGGAGTTTGATTTTTTGCTCCGTAGATAGAAGTGTATTCAATGTGAAGGTTCAGGTGTCCGTAGAGAAGATATATCTTCACCTCAAGTAGAGCATGCTGCTAATGTGAAGTACAAGATGTGCGCTAAATCCCCAATGCAAATATTTATAGCGTTGTCATTCATACTTCTAGAAGAAACTATCATCACAAGATTTACATCACTAGCTTTTTTTGGCACTTCCCTAATCCGTATTTATTTATTGTACCATTATTATAGATGCATACGTAGTTTTGTATCTTCATCATACCTCGAAGAGAAATTTTGCAGCTTAAACATCTTGTCAGACGAACCGTCAAGGAAACTGCTCGTAATCTGCAGTGATTAAACTGACTTCCATGAAGAAAAAGTGAAAGAATAATACTATGGACAAGATGCTGATGCGCGTTCTCACGCGCCTGGCTGTAAGAGAGAACGCGACAAAGATCTTGTAGTCAAACTACATTGTGTCCGGGTCTGCTGTGACTGAGGTCGTTGACAATGGATGGACTCCCATGCAAGGAGTCATTATAAATATATCGGTTCAAGTAGATTTCGGTGAAGGAAAATTAGACGAGAATTGCATGCTGCAGGCCGCGCTCTCATATCGGTAATGAAGACACTCGGTGAGAGGTACATCATGGTTTGTGGCTGTGCATGAGAAAGAGAATCTGTAGTGTTCTACTGCGAGAATCGGTATAAGTAAAATGATCCCGATCTGTGTGAGTAAGCATCGTGACGAAACACTATGACGCCGCGCGGCAGTCTTCACTGAAATCTGTGCGAGATTAATTGTATGAATATTGCCATGGTCTCGGGTCCCGCCTTGCTCTCACACTCACTGCCTAACTTAGAGCTGTCGGTGTAATTCAATGCTGTCTAAGACACAAGACTCCAGCAGCTAGCATCGAAAATATTCAATCACGTCGACTCCATTTTCAGTAGTGACGTCAGTCATAAGACTTATAGACGAGGAGAGTGACGGTGACGTCAGTCATAAGACTTATAGACGAGAATTCCGATGACAAATTGCACTCCACCAGCAGAGACGCTCTACAACTGAGAAGATTATCATAGACAAGAACTACAAAAATGGTGGATGGGAATGGTCGGCAGTCGCAGTATGGCTCATCGAGCTTCAACTACAAGCAGAGCGCCGCATCATACGGAATTATGAAACAGAGACTGCGCACGACTTTCGTCATCCATTTAGACCATTATCAAACCATTTTTTATATTTGCTGCCTGCCTAGCAAATGTATTATAAATTTGTTTCACGACATCGATCATTGATTCATCACTGCTTTACGCGCTGGATGCTCGACTCCGCAATATCATGGTGCTAGGTTACATGAAACAATATTGAGAGCACTATTGTTCGCCTTCATTGGTATTTTTATCTCTATAATCTGCAACTGTTTCCATGATACAACAGGGGATACCTCCATTCCATCACATCACGACGTTGCTCTCCCTCTCTAACAGCCGTACGGGCTACAACTATGGTAGCAATCTTCCAGCAAGGGGCTCGAAAACCTCCTCAGGGCAATGGCCACAACACGAATGTATCGATGAAGACAGAAGTGTTGCGGCAAGGGATTGGGTACATCGACTAGAAGTTGGGATTCATGATCTTCTTTTGTCAACCCTAGTAAATGACTCTTGTCCGACGCATTTTCGTACCTTGTTCTTCTCTTGCTTTAGCTTCTGATTTAAATCATCCGAATAATGGAAAGAAAGTAAATACAGTAAAAATGATTTTCTCCCCCATCAGAGCTACCAGCAAGAAGAAGCTCGCGTTTGGAAGATTTTGAAGAGGAAGATGGTTAATCCGTTCCGAGAACGCAAATGGACGAAGATATCTGCGACAGCGTTTATTTAAGGCTCTACTTTTTAACGCTAATTATTGATCTTGTTCATTCTCGTCCACAAAGAAATCATTTACGTGTTCTACAAGTTGATAGCACTAACATCTCTTCTAACATACGATCCTCCTAGTATCCATGCTCTTTCTCTTCTAACAACATGATAATCCGAAGGCTACCATCATATACTTAATTCGAGAGAACTCGTACATGCTTGAGAACTAGCCCGATAGATTTGTATAGAAACCCGATAGATCTAGTATAATAATCCGAGCTAGATTGTATAAATAGCCGGATAGCTAGTTCTGATTCCCATGTTGATAGCTTCTGATTCCTTGAAAGAGCTCTTTCTCTTCTAACGTACGATCCTCCTAGTATGGTTGTGGACATGCGGCCATCTCATGGCATGGAACTACAAGCCGCATCCGGATCAGTCGAGGAACTGGGGATGTCATTACATTCATCAACTGCCAAACGCGGTTTTGAGGATGTTTGGTATTTTTATGCTTTTGAGTTTTTGATTTACTTGGTTACCGTAGTTCCTCTATTTCGTACAAAAAACTTCTACAACTCCTTCTACCTGTCGGTTGAATTCAACATACTTCATCAAGTAGCTCCAAAAGATAAACAAAAGCAACCAACAAAACTACAACCAAAAAGACAGATTGATAGCCTCGAGCAAAACTACTCCAAACTCCAAGCCCACATCAACCAAAAACAGTGATCCCGTTTCCTCTGGGTGCGTTGTTGATGATTGTCGGTACGGGTCGATATCCGTTGACTACGTGGCCCAACGTTTTTTGCTGTTTTGCGCACATTTTTTGCGGTTTCTGTCTCTGGTTCATGGCTGTGGCTGATGAGTTGCCAGGAATAGAAACGGAAAACGACGAATATGTTAAGGATGCTTGTTGTTACCTCCCACTGAATCAGTATAATTTGAATTTGTTTCAAACTAAAAGCATCCTTTTTATCCTGATGAAACAAAGAAGTTGTCTAAAAAAACTTAAGATGACAAGTAGTACATTAATCCATCTCAAGATGATGTTCCGAACCTATTCGGCTGCTTCTCATCTTAAGACGGACATGATTATAGGCTTGAGACAGCTGAATTATACATAGGGTCACCAGGAGCACTAGCTCTTCTAATTTTGGGCTAAAGCAATATTCACTGTACCACAGTATACCAGGGACGGCAGCATATTGCGTTCTCGAGTTCGCCCGAGACGTTGCAGCAGTGATGTGCATAGCTGACGCGATAGTGATAACACGTTTTTACAGACAGTGGATGAGGCAGAACGTACTATGTCTTGTCAGTCTACCGTCCGCGCCGTTGATACTTACAACATAGGGCTGGAAGAAGATGATCGTGTTCGTGAGCATCATTGTTTCTTTTAGCTCTTAGAAAGTTAGAGGAATAGAAGCAGGAGTTTATTCACCGTGGTGCCTTGCCCATTGCCACGAAAAGGAGACACACAATCAAGATCAACTACAAGTACAGCATTGATAGAAGACATTTTTCACTCCACATGTTTTCATCTCGCTTGTTGTTGCGAAGAATCATCTGAGATGCACTGATGATGACTTTTCTACACCGTCTTCAATATGATCACAGGCTGCGCGTGAGATTGATGATGCGCAGAGAATGGCGAAGATCGTGATCGAATCAGTCGAGAACCGCAAGAACGGCATCAACTTGAACGATTCCACGCAGAGAGAACTAGCTCTTTTCCAACGCCGACAGTGGACACAGAAGGCCTTTTACAATTATGGCTTCCCCTTATCCATCCCCGAAAGCATCTCGGAGACGTTTTCAACGGGAAATAAGCACTCTCAGGATGAACTACGAGATGGATTAGGGTGAGCGCTAAGGCCGACTTGTTTTCCTCTTGCAGATTATCGCAGTTCTCTCGCTGTTGCACATAGTTTCGATTTTATGGAAAAATTGCCTTCCTACATCGCAACTACATCTTCGTCACTTCGTCAAGTCGCATACCCTGCTTACCTTTCACTTCGTCCCTTCCTTTACCTTAACCTTTCATCCCTTCGTCAAGTAAGCAGTACTAGTCGACGCATACTCTTACTCCCTTCCGCTCCCTCATCATGAAGAATCTTACCCTTCTAATTTTCTTGTTCACCCTTCACGAGTACGGGTTCCACAACCTGATGTTGACGTATTTTGGACTCGCCAGTACGAGGAACCATCCCTACGCACTTCAGGCGCCCTTTGTGAGAGACATGATCTACACATTCATGTATTTCTATGTAGGGACTTTTCTTCCTCTGGCGGCGGCGCAATGGCAGTAGTGCGGAACATGTGCTAGAAGTCTACTAGAATTACTCAAATGACTACCAGAACAAATTTGTCTTGAAACTACGTAACGAACCTGATTATTTACACGCCAAAACGCTTCGTTTGAAGATATTTAAATCAAAATTTGGGAAGAAAATTTCGGACTGTATAATTGTAAGTCAACGTAGGTTTAGTTGCCTGATGAATTGATTGAAGATTGTAGATCATACATACATTCATAGTTTCTCCACAATAATATCCACATTGACATATTACAATGAAAAATAAGATCTTGCACGAAGAACATGAAAAATATGATCTTGCGTCGTCTTGCCTAGGTTGTTTTCATGAGAAAATGAAAAATTCTTGAGTAGTACTAAAGAATTTATTTTTATGCCGAGGATGTCTAGTGGCAAGTCGTGTCATGGTCATCAAGAATCGGTACAACAAGCGCCCGGATGTAAATCGGTATCTTCTCATGATTAGGCGAGCAGCAGGAACATCTTCAATCCTCCTGTTGTCCATGTTAAAGATCGGTCGCTACGAGACGCATTTCATGCTGGTCTGTCTCCAGCAATCCTGAAATAACAATCGGTTGATGAGGCGACAAGCTGCTCGGCCAGACTATCCACCGATGATCACCTCCATCTTCACGACTTCCTCTTTCATCTTCTCCCTATAATTTCGAAAAAGATAAACCGACATTTTCTTGTTCTCTTTCATTTCAGGGACCAATCACGAAATTACAACTACAACAAGAATCAATCAGAGAGGTAGACAGAGGCATATGGAAGAGAAGATCACATTGTCCTAGTAGAACCTGCTCACAATAAGCTAATCCTTTTAATACCGAAGAAGTTGTTATAATAGAACAGAAGGAACACGACCAACACAGCAGCTCATTCAACAACATCATGGTCGAGATACGTGCTCGTTCTCCGCCTGCTCGAGGAAGTGGTCGGCAGTATGGATCACACAAGAATGGCATGAAAAGCGGAGGCGGATATGGAGTTATGACAAAGTGAAGAAGAAAAGATGAGAGAGACTTCTTAGTAGTTCTTAATTGATACTGATGTAGTGTCTCAGTCATGTATCCTAGGTGGTTAGTTTTAATTTCTATCATGTATCTTAGGTTAGTTTTAATTTCTCTCAGGTTACTAGTCACTCAATCTTCTTCCAATTAATTACTGACCGAGTTTTCAAGCATCCCTTTGTTTTGTTCGTCCGCTTTTCCCCTTGATATTGATCAAGACAGGGAGAATGACAGCTCCCCTGTTCATCTTGATACAACCGATTAAGGACGACACGAAATGACCATGATGTCCGCGGCAAGGTGGAACATGATCATGAAAATAACCGTTTTTACCTGAGCCCCCTTTCTCTCATTCTAACAAATGTCTCGGTGGTTACAACAGTGCTCATGCGTCTTATGGTGCCAGTTTTTCGAGTAAGGGAACGACAATCCAAGCAACCGGACAATGGCCTCGCGACGAGCTTAATGACGATGGAGGGATTGTCTCCAAAGATTGGGTACTTGTTAATATAAGGAAGTTGGTTCATCTTAATAATTTCTTGTTCTTTTGCACTTCCACGACCTGCTTCTTTTCTGCCACTTGCTTCTTTTCCACGACCTGCTTCTTTTCTGCCACTTGCTTCTATCTTTACACCGCCTGCTTCTTTTTCACCACCTGCCACAGACATACAAGCAAGAAGAAGAGCGTGTGTGGAAGATACTGAAGAGGAAGATGACCAGCCCTTTTCGCGATGGCAAGTGGACTAAAATATCCGCCACCATTGTTACAGGACTGCTCATCTGGCTCTGCACTGCTGCCTACATGATGGCGTGGACGTATCCCTTAAGGCCAATACTTAATAGATGAGTTGTATTAGAAATCTACTAACAACTTCTCCTTCTCCAGTTGTTTTTGTTTGATTATCGATCTCACTGTGGTGCTCATCTGGAACGCCGCGTGTTATTTCTTTTTTTTGTAGTACTAGTAGTGGAAAATAGAGGAATTTCGAGCGAAATAGGAAAAGGAGTGACCCTCTTCAATCGAGGAAAGGGGACTCTGAAAGATCACGAGGATGATGAAAACTAAAATTGAAACTACTCTACTGCAACCTCTAAAGAAGCCGCATCCAGTAAAAACCCGAAACTGGCCGTGTCATTACATCCACTCCCTTCCGAACGTTGTCATGCGAGCAGGCGGTACAACTTCAAGCACTTGACTACAGAAGAAAAACTCGATGATGCAGGTCACACTGTGGACAGCGAACCACCTCCTATCCTATCCTAAACAAAGATTACAACTTGAATACGGCAATAAGGGTCCCTAGTTTTTTATCTATCCCAGCACAGGCAATCATGGAATCCCACACGACAACTTTTCATCTATCCTACAATTCATTGCATTCCACCTATCAACATCCATCATCTAGTTAGTAATGACTACCAACGCCCCTCTTCATCTAGTAAATAGAAATATCGTACTAAAATCACAACGCCCACAGTCATTCCGATCCCGCTTAGTTTGACCTACATGGTTGCCGGTGTAGGCCGATTTCCGTGTACGACGTTTTTTAACATGTTCTGCTGCTTTTGCCATCTCTTCTGCGGTTTCTGCCTCTGGTTCATCGCGGTAGCCGACGAATTGTTAAGGCCAGAAAATTTTGATTTTGTTTTCATCGTAGTACAGATCGCGCATTAATAGCTCTAGTAGACACATCATCATCGCTAGAATTACGTGCTTGGATTGATGAGGTAGATGAAATTTGTAACTCCAGCTTCTAACCTTTCCAGGCATGGACCAAGTAACAGATGCGTACGGGATCCGAAGCTACACGCCATTTCACGCAGTCTCAGCGACAACTGGATACACGCTAATTGAGATTGCGCGTGATTTCTCATCACTCATGTGCATCGCAGATGCCGTCATCATCACGCACTTTTACAAGCAGTGGAAAAAACAGAACGTACAACTCCTGCTTTTTTTTCTCGTTGTAAAATAAAAGAATTGAGCATGGAATTGTGGTTTTTGTTTACAACACTGAAATTCTCATCGTGGTTAATCAATGCTCCTGTAAGAACTCGCATGATGTTTCTCCGAGGATAATTATGAATTAAAAAATGTCCAAGAATATTCAGCAGATTCACTGACTTTACTTTCATGAATCACCCAATCACATCTTCAGTCTGAGCGAGAGGTTGAGGATTCACAGAGGATGGCCCAGATAGTGATTGAATCAGTCGAAAACCGCAAAAATGGTGTGCCATTAAACGAGGCTACGCAAAGAGAATTAGCTCTCTTCCAACGCCGACAGTGGACTCAGAAAGCATTCCAGAAACTCGTTTTTCTCCTGCAGATAATTGCAGTCCTGTCGATCATGCAGATATTTAGTATTTTATGGCTCAAAATCAAAAACAACATCTTCAACATCGGATTCTAATTCTAAACCTGTAGGAGACGTCGCAGCTGTTCTCTTTCCCAGAACGTACGAGCTTTGACTTACTTATCTGAATCTCTACTTCTCATTGTCTGACCCCCTCCCTAGGCACATCTCTACTCCGCTTTCTTTCTCTTTCTCTGTCTCTCTCTCCTACCCCTACGACCTCTCTTCTATTTTTAAATGTACGACCCAGCACATCATCGATCACGACCTGTATCTGAATCTCTCCTCTTCCACGTTCTAATGCTCTTCCACGTTCTGCACGATCACGGAGCGCATAACTGGGTATTTGTTAAGCTTCGACTAGTCGAAAAAGAAGGTCATCCTTACGAGTTTCAAGCACCACTCCTAATCGACCTGATGTGGACACTGGGTTACTTCTACCTCGGTACATTTATACCATTCGCGGTTGCGCAGTGCTATGATTAAACCTCCATAAGAAGTACAGCGTTGTTTAACTTTGTTTAACGTTCAGTATGATGATATGAATATGATGTTGTGAGAACTGAACAGTGGGGTTTTTTAACTCTACTGTAGTGAAGACGTTACGTGGAAAAACCTCGAGGGAATAAGGCTGAGACCATGCTGATCGTGCCTATTCTTGAGTAAATTCAAAAGTAGTTAACGACTGGCATTTGTGCATTTTAGATGAGATTCAAATTCCTAGAAGTAAAGTACTTAACCATTATAGACGTAGTCCTGGCATTACATGATGACCGACGATAAAACATAATCTTCGACCTCATACAAGTAATCATGATCATATTTGCATGTTGAAATTACTACGTGATTTCTAGTACACGACTTATCTCTACGAGAACAACTCTATGATCCATGCTGCAGAGCATCTAGTAGTACCCAGAAGAGATTTTTAGAAGAGAAAGACTGCTAATGTAGTCAGTCGCCGTGCACAGAAACATTAGAATCCAATAGTACCCTACGTACATTGGCATTGCATATTACCCAGCACTCATCATGTAAAGTTGAATAGATACTTCTTATTCTTGTACACTTACACTCTCTGAGCTTGCCTAATCTTAACGAGACAGCATTTTCTGCTCCCTCCCTCCGAATCCAATAAATATGATAGATTTTCACCTCGAACAAGGACGGTTGCGTTAATTCGCTCGAGTATGCAGGTAAAACTGTGGACGGCGGACTGAATCCTAATGCTAATCCTAAGGACGGTCTCTATATCCATGCATATTCGATGCCCACATCGAAAAAGCACTCACATTCATCACCACATTGATTCCACATCGCCATAGCCAGTCACATTTGCTCACCACAAATCGAGACAGACAAGAAATGTCAAGATGCAACTATGCCACGAAGAGCGATCAAAGTCGTATCATGAAGGAGAAGTTGTAAAGAACATCTCAATTATCAAGGAGAATTCAATTCTCACGACTACACACTCACAGTCACACCACCAAGGATACTTTGGTTTCATATTATTTTCTTCTGTTCGTCTCCGACTTAGCAGCGATGATCGAAAGGAGGTTACCGAACTTTACTCCGCATTGGAGAGTCTTTCTACTAACAGAGCGAGCTCGTGGTGAGTTGCGCAGAAGCACCTGAAATTTCAGTGAAATAAAACAAAAAAATGTACCAGCTCCACGTTCCGACGATGCAGTCGTCTCTTGCTTCTACAGGAGTATCCAGCATACCTTTAGGTCCGCCCATCATACTGCACAGCAGAGGCAGCCTTGCTCCTCCGACATATAGACGCTCGAGTCGACTGAATCCAGCACTTTTGCTTGTTGTGGGTCGGCGTGTACAGATTGAGGATGACTGCGATTTTTCTAAAGAACAGAAATGGAGGACTGGCGTTATCGTCACTTTTAAAGATGCATAGAGGAAACAAGGACCATTGGTTCAACCTGATGGTTGGTCAGTTGCAGTGGAGTTTAAACACGTGTTACCGTTGCCGGGATTTGTTTCGGCCAATGCAGCTTCCTCCTGTTGTACGACGCCGTGGAGTAGTACAACAGGAGGAATAGGTCTTGCAGCAGGAGGCGGAGGAGCAGTTTCGAGTACTACGAAGAGCAAGGACCACCTTGGCGGAACTTTACAAAGCGAGCCAGTTGTAAGACGACCACCACATATTGATGCTGAACCAGTAGGACAACAGAGTCAAGGACCTCCAGCTTCGTCACTACTATTTTCAACCTCCTATTTTTACCTCCAAACTGAGCAAGAGTGCACTATACTAGTGGACGTGCAGCGCCTGTAGTTACGATGCCACCACAAGGATTGAATGCAGCACCAGAGGGACTGACTGCAGCGCCTCCTGAAACTGTCTTTGCACCGGCGCCGAGGTCGGTGGTATATCCCAGTATTAGAACTGCTAGGAGATCCGTCCCTGCGTGTGCGCCGTCTTCTCGTTTCTTGTCCAGTTTTGCCTAATCACTTCTGCTAGCATCTGAGATACAAGTAGAAACGCATGATCTTTGTCCCACCTTCCTTCCAGGTCACCATTCCTCCGCTTTCGGGATTCCGTAGTGTACCGAGAATCCATTATCAAGAAGAGATGGTGATCAATCATGAGCAGGTGGTGGCTGTTGGAGGTGGTAGTGGTCGTAGTGACATTGGAATCAACAAGCAGTCAGCATCTACTTCGGGTTCTACATCAGCATCATCATCTACTTCTGCAGCTGTTCCATCACAACTTGCGGTCATGAGAAACATGAGCACAGAGTCAGCGACGACAGAGGACTGTCAGCCACATGACTGGGGTAGAGTCAGTCTGGGTAGACAGCGTAGGGATCGTGTAATTGGTGCCGCCAAACATGGACATGCAGAGGCGCGAGAATTGTTACAAGAAAGCACATTGCTTACACCCCGAATGCCACTAGCGGACTTCATTTTAGGTGGCACTGCAACAGGAGGTGGGGCGAGGGTTCCACCAATGTTGAGGTCAGGAGGTGCAACATCGGAACCACTAGGGCCGCCGCCATCTATTTTCGATTCCGGTCCTAATAAAATGCTGCAAACTTTTATTTCCTCTGCAATTGCAACAGGAGATCAATTGGAGGTGAAAGAGAGCAGCAGTTTCAGAACAGGGATGAAATGATTCAAACTGGACCAAGCCAGACTTTACTGGAGCATACGAAAGCGATGAAAAGGGTGAATCGTGAAGAACGCGACTACGCTGCTCAACTTGCAAGATCGCTAGGAGTAAGAAGCGTGCATTAATACAATTATGGCAATCTTCCCTGGTAATTCATCTTCAAAAGCATCCTGGAGATCTTTGCCAGGGGAAAAGGTGTCCCGGATGCATCTTAGGATGGATTAGGGTGAGCTGCTCTAACACAATCATACTACTCGCAAGTCGTCCAGTTCTTCATCGTCCTCAAGGGCAGACAGGACAACAATCACCAAGAAGAGCTGGTCGATAGCAACGGAGCGTTTTGTCACATGTATAGCTGGGAAATATCCAACATACCCACAAGGATGCATGAAAGTAAGCGGCGTTCAAGCTACTACGTGCTGATCACGAAATATTCATATTGCTCGCGCAATTCGGTCTTTGTTTTTTCTAGTTAGGTATCCTCCACCAACATATTGCTCGCGCAATTGTTTCAACATAGTTTTTGGTGATGTTTTTGTACAGTAATTGCATATTCCTCGTGGAGATGAGCAGGAGGTACTAATATTCTGATACTGACGAGCAGCAATTTTGCTCCTGCCTCGTCACTGATTTGTTGACGCTATTTCAAATAAATTTGGGTGTTCACGAAAGTTCCGGGTACGACACCAATCATCTGTTTTTTCAGCAACGAAACTGACTAAGAAGATGTTATTTGTCAACATGCTTGAACCTTTCTCGAAGAAGGATAAGCGAGGAGTGTAGCCATCCAAATAAAAGGTAAAGAGAATAACTTCGATCCATATTAATTGCAAGAAAAAAGAGGCTGAGATAAATGAAAAAAGTGTGAAACTCCTGCGCATCTCCGTTGTAGTCTAGAACATGGCAGAAAAGAATACAAATTGAAATTCGTCTAGTACTCGCATATCACGGCTTTTTCATTCTCTTTCTCTTGCTTCTAATCGTTTTTCAGAGGAATTTGTAATACATCAGACGAGGACAGCTTTAGATCATTAAGGAGCTACAGAAAAGCATGTTGGTGATTAGAAAGCGAATAGAAGTAAGGTTCTCCTCTTTCCGGCATGGCCTACCACACCACGCGGTGGAATGACCCACGGCGGTTGCAGCAAGTTCCGAGGTTGCTTTAAGGCTACCGCTAGAGCATCCTCAACGTCATCCTTGCCCCTTTTTCTAGTTTAAAAAGAATAACCCAAGGCTATGACTCTCAGGGAAGATGCAAACGCGGTAGCTCTAATTGCTTGGGTTACCGCTGCTGCCTCTACGATCAGTCTCCAGTGGGTCGCTTGCTAAAACAGTCGTCTTAGCCGACCCTTCCCTAGCTGAGGATATTATCGACGAAGCCATTCGTTTAAGGGTTGCAATTTGACCTATCTACTAAGAGCACATCTATACATAGTATACGTAGACTTCTATGTTGACCTGCTTTTCAAGGGCGAAAAGGAAAAGGATGGATATGCGAGCTAGAAGAAGATAGGTCACCTTGCGACAGCTAATTCGTTGTTTCCGCTTGAATGTCCAATTTCGACATTTCGAGCTACGCGGAGAGGGGGACAAGGTGTTGGTGTATTTGATTCTGTGGATTCAGGATTGCTTGGCGACAGCAGTGGCGGCAATGAATGCTTTTCAGCAGATGGGTGCCGCGGGTCCGATGTTTGGAGGAGGTAGCTTTATCGGGCTTGGAGGAGGATGCTCTTTTATAGGAGGAGGGAGCTTTTTGGGAGGAGGGTTTGTTGGTGGAGGAGGTGGTGGTGCGGGTGGATCATCTTCGAGTAACAACAAAGACAATAACTCGTCCAACTCATCTTCTTCAGTAGTAGACAAAAACGGTACTAATATGCTAGACGCAGCTGAGATAGAAGCAGACAGAGACAACGTAGGTGGAACAGGGATAGAAGACCTCGTAGGAGGTGGAGGTGGCGCCTGTGGACCCGGTGCTGCACCCTGGGACGAACCTTCTATGAAGGACCATCTAAAACGTGTTTTAAAGCAAAGAGCGAGTAGCAAACTCCCTGGTCCTGGAACGCCGGACCAAGCTGACTTTCTGCTAGCTGGGATCTTCAATAGTACTGCAACGGCTTTTTCGTCAGGAGGACCTCCAGCTGTATCGACGGATCCCAACAACAACGACACGTCGAATAATTCGAGTACTACTGCTCCCGCTGGCACTGGGGGATCAGCAGAACATAACAACACAAACACTCCTTCATCTACATCTTCCAGTACTAGCGACCATCAAGCGCAAGTGCAGATACTGAATGCATATCTGAGGCAATTGCGGGAGGAAACAGTGCAGCGATTGATGCCATTGTTGTTTGTATCAGCTGATGAGAGGAATAAATGGTGGTTTCAATTTGCAAGGAAGAAATTTTGCGCAACATCATTATTTTCGCCAAATGCTAATGCATCGTTACAGAAATAGTTGTAACTAACATTATCGCTGCACGAGGACCTGTCGTTTCTTCACCGCAAGATGGAGATTTTTGAGCGGCTTCATTAGCTGCATTTCTCATTCGTGCGCTATCGTCTTTCGCTTTATTCGCGGTTGTCACGCATGTCGTCTTGTGTTCGTTAATTTCAAAATTTGAAGTTGTAGATACTTATAGATACCAAGAAAAAATCGACATCGCCAACGTAGATTGAATAGATCAAGATGACTGAGTTTGTTCATGCAAACGAAAAACGAGTTTTTTAGGACGAAGCGCACAGAGCGTCTTCATACGAACCACTTCTGAAATGAAAATGTAGAACTGAAAAGTCAATTGAACTACGCGCTGCCACAACTGTGAGAGCAGATACTAAGTTCGACAGGTGACTAAAACGTAGTCTCCGAGCTTTCGAGAATAAGTTCTCCGCAATAAACACCAAGAACTACACCAACACCATCACCAAAAAATGCCGTCCGCCGACTCCCTAGCAGAATGGGCCGCCGAAACGGAACGGACGGCCGCTTCGTCCACCGCTGTCTGGAGTAAGGGACAGAATGCTCGGTTACAGCGAATGCAGGATGCGAGAGCGAGACTCGAAGTTTCTGAGGAATTACACGCTGAACTAGACGCGCTGACCACAGAATGCATGCGTCTGGAGGACGAACGAGATTCATCAGAAGCTAGACTACGCGAATTAGAAATAACCTTGCAGATCGAGAAAGAGAAGATACAACACCTGAAGAGGACGGGGGGAGAGGTAATTTAAGAAGAATTGTGTATGGAATCGACTACGATCTACTTCCAATAATACGGAGGTCCAGTTCGGTATTATGGCGATAGATTTTTCATCACTTACCATAAAAAAAAATGTTGTCACACAGGTTTTTTTTGGCAGTTTGAAATTCTCTCATTCTCACTCTCAGTAAGTGTCCATCTTCACAACTGCACCAGGTCCCGTCTTCCAGCAGTCGTGCCCACCAAGAGCACTTTGAGGAGCACGTTGGGGTTTATTTTGACACGATTTCCAAGCGTCTCGGTCTCTCTATCGATGTCGAGCATGACGCATCTTCCACGCTCTTCGGAAACGAACATTCAGCCTTAAATGCCAGTCATTCCGCATCATCAGGCGCTACGACGTCTTTCGGCCTCAGTGCTGCAGCATCGCAGTTACTGACAGAAGATACCTGTCGTTATCGTCTGACATTCACAAACCTCGGGTTTGATAAGACAAGGTGTTTCTGCGCAGTGATTCGATTGGCGCCATCGTTGCAGGTGTTGGAGGTGGATCCACCTCTGGATGGAGGGTTTCTGAGTGCTCTGACACGGTCGACCGACAGTAATGAAATGTCACTAGCGAAGTTCGTGGTGGCATTGAGAAGAGCCTTCTTGGCGAGATATCACTGAAGATGCGATTTTTTGCGGATTCTGCTGATGCAAGCTGCTGATGCAAGCACAGCCACATCTAATGATCTTCGTTCTGCTACCTAGTATGGGACACTTGGTCACATTTTTGTGAGCACAAGGAGGAGTATCTCTACCTTGAAGTAGTGTCTTGATGTTTTGGGAACAATAGTTGTGTTTCGACCACCAGAGAGAGCGTTTGTATCTGATTGAGAGGGGCGGGATAGGGAAAAAGTGAAGCGCCTGCACGAGACAGACGAAAAAGATGGGAGGTCGTGAAGAAAAAGACGTAAAAATGGCATCTTATACAGTTTCGCAACAGAAGAAAGTGAACATAGAAAACAGCAGTCACAAAAATTAATGGCTTCAATCACGGATGCTTTTCTACCAATAATTTCTGCAGCAAAGAAACCTTCGACGACCATATTTTTAGAACGGATCTTAGACCATAGTCATAGTGACAGTAGAAGTATAAGAGTGAGTCTCGTCAGCGAAATGATCATGTCCGACTTCCGCTCTCGTAGGGGACGCAGATTTGTGCACCGGCTGGTGAAGCCACGTACACGACGTCTCGCACAACTACTGGCAACATCAAGGACGTGTCATCTTTTATGTGGGCATCTGTCTCAGGCAGGATCGGGGGTTGCAGCAGCAGCTGTGCACGCCGACAGTCAAGGAGCTTCTCTTGATCTGGACGCTTCAGGATCACACCTTCTGCGATCAACTAGAGGTAATGATCGAAGGAGTCAAGGACGAATAGGAGGAGATGAAGAACAGGATGGATTTGTGGTTGTCGACCATGATGAATTAGTAGATGATGAACAAGATGAAGATCATTCATCAGCTGGGCGTCACGGAGGACGCGGTAGACATCGCTTATCGCACGAAATAGATCCCGTTGGCGACGCAAACGATCATGTTGGTCGTGCATCTTCTGAAGATGTTCGAGTAGTGTCTGCTTCTTCACGACGCGGCCGTAGAAATGCCGGATCAAGGAGAAGCCAACTGCAGAAAGAGAACAGGCTTCGGCGGCAGAGTGGAGAAGAGTATGAGGTAGAGATTCTAGACCACCATGACCATGAAAGGACTACACCTTCACCTTCTCGACAACAAAAAAAGGCAGATAATATCATAGAGAACAATGACCCCTGGACCACGAGAGGTCCACTCGACGATGAAGAGGAGCACGCGCCAGAGCATGTAGAAGAAGAACATGATTTTCATCATCATAGACTACATGAACATGATCATGGCCAGCATTTGGAAGATGAAGCAATTACTAGAGCAATAATTACTTCTTCAGCTAGTAGAAGGGGCGATGACGACAGTGCTGGTGATCCTGATGAAGAGGGAGAAGCTCTATTGAGGATACAACATGAAGAAGGACAAGTGGTACGACGTGAACATACTAGACCAAAAAGGTTGATGCAACGCAGTAGAAAAAGTGGGGATGACGATGAGGATGTTGTAGTGGTGAAGGCATCTAGATCTTCTGGATCTAGATATAGTACAGCCTCTAGTCCATCTTCTGGTCGTGGTCGAGAAGCTACTTCATCGCGGAGACATCGTAGGAGTAGAGGCGAACAAAGTAAGAAATTCATCGACGTAGACCCGCAGGGTGATGTCTCCGACGAATTTCTAGATGAACATCAAGAACCCTCGGCAAGAGCAAGACTAGGAAGAAGAAGACGTAGTCCTAGTACTAAACCAGCACATGATCTTCAAGGAAGAATACAAGCACAAGCGCTTTTTTCTACCTCCAAAGTAGCAGTTCTTGAGGATGACTCAGGAGATGAGGATGGATCTCCTACGGAAGTAGAGACCACGGACCAGGACATCTTGAGTGATCATGCATTACAGCAATTGAAAGAGGGAGAGGTACTAATTTCAATTTGATAATTTTTCTTACACCAAAAGTAGAACCAAATTTCTGTATACCTGTTTGTTGAAGTACGCTTTGGTAGTCCTTCTGTGGCTGCAAATGCTCGCTCGATGATGCAGGTCACACTGTGGACGGCGAACCACCTCCTATCCTATCCTACGCTTTGTTGAATTAAGTAGTGCATACTGTTCTTACATCTCGATCTACTTCGTTTAAAATCCACTGCTCAGCATGATGTCGGTTATAATATAAAAATATAGATAGTGTTAGAAGTAGTCGCTTTCCATTTTCAAGCAGCAGTTGTAGAATGAATTTCTTTTGACCAACATCAACATCTTCATGAAGGCAGCTGGTAGAAAAGACAAGAAACAACACCTTTACCTCCTCCAACTACTACTCCTAGTCTACCACGCGGATGACATCAACAAAACTCCTAGATCTAACATGACAAACAGACTGCTGCTTCATTGTGTGTGGAATCCACTGGTCAAGTTATACCAGATGAATATGTGACGACTAAAGAAGTGAACCAGTTTGACAAGAAAGTTGCAGAGCACGACTGCCACCACTTCTGTTTTTACGAGGCTGAATGTGAAGGTACTAGATGAGTTATTTTCTCACATCCCCTCTTATTGATGTGTTTGACTGTAGATCAAGGTCAACATAATATTCATCTTGTTCGCATCTACTTAGTCTTAGTCGCATCTATTGATAAACTCTTGGAGCTTGCTCGTCTTTATTTTAGTTACTTACAAACAAAAACATCAAAAATGGAAATCTTCTTGACTTGTTCCTACAAGGAAGGACCCTATCGAACAATCTCTGCGCCTTCAACAGCTTTCTGGCTCCTCTATCCTCACGGATTGACCGGCAAAGAGGACGAAAGAACGGGCATCAGCTGCACTCTGTACAATACCGCTTCATGGAAAGAAAAACAAGGCAGTGTGGGACCATCTGTGATTAAGGCTACCGATGAAGCATGTCCTTAAAAATATCATAGTCCTTGGATCTTCTTTTTCTACTTGAAAAAGAAGCCAAGAAGGATGCTCTCAGAGAGGCCAAGAATGTAGTAGCTCTAATGTGAAGCGAAGTACCACTGGCCTGTACCTCAATCCAGATGGGACCCAAGCGAACCAAGCCACGGTCCAAGTACCATTGGAGCTAGATAGTCTATTAAGGCTCGCGCTGTCACTCTCATTCTCATTCAGTTCCACAGATAGGTTATTTTCGAAATGAAGTATCCGAGCAGTAGGATCCAAATCCATCTTAAGCAAATAAACGAGGACCACGACCAGAAGAATGAACTACAATATGAACAAATGAAATCATATTTTGCATTATGATCTTCTAAAGCTCGTTGACGACAACAAATGGGCCATGTGTATCCAGAGTGAAGAAGCTCTGTACGAATTCTCCTGTCCGAATGGGACGCCGGATGCTAGCGCAAAGGCTAAGATGCGGGAACGAGTACGTTGCGAAAGTTGTCATACAGGATTTCAGAAGACGGTACCTCCTGTAGATGTACAAATGAATCCTTCCATTCATTATGCTCCTGTACTAGGCACACGCAGGAGACGAAGATGTTCATCTTGCCCATGAATTAATCGATCATGGGTCTTCTTCTAAAAACTATATCTCAACAAACAAGTCAAATCTAATATAACCCACAGGCCCTCGAGAAAGACCATTATGATGGCGCTGCTGACCGTTATGAATGCGTTGAATTGAGCAGTGGGGAAGTAGCTACAGCAGGCACCAAGGCGACGAAGATAGCCTTTCTTGTCGTGTGCTTGATCGTTTTCACCGTCGCAGGAGGAATCTTCACGATGCACATCATGCGACAGAAGAGTGCGAAAGCTCTCGAAGCTTCACTTGTATCCTCTATGCTGGATTCACAAGAGCAACAGCCTGCTGCAGATGGTGGAGCTGCAGACGTAACAGGTACAGTAACAGGAGGAGAGGGAGTACCACTCGTAGTTGGTGAAGATGGAGGAGCTCCTGTAGCCATTGGAGGTGGCGATGTTGCTAATGGAGGTGTAGTTGTTGTAGCAGGTACTGCCGATGGCGCCGTCCAAAACGTTGATCCTGTGCCAGTAGATAGCGGAGCAGCAGTGCTGGATCAGGGAGCTGGAGAGGAGAATGCAGCAGAACAAGGTTAAAAATGACATAGTTGTGCATGTGACGCTACTTGCTGCAGTAAGATTATATATTCGAAAACTGAAAATAAGTTATCGAATTTTAAATTGAATGGTTCTGGTATTTGGTAACCTGATTTTGATCCTAAGGGTTCTCTTCTTGTTTTCCCTTATGATCAAACTCAGGTTACCAAATACCAGAACCATTCATAAATAACCGAGCTACTGACTGAAATGAGGGAGGTAGCTTAACGTCAAGGCTACTCTTCCTTGTTCAGTATCATGGTTATTCTGATCAGTTACTTGCTTATTTCAGTTTTTCGAATAAAATCGAGCTGTTCTTGTTCGAGTATTGAAAAATGACTTTCAGATGATCTACCACTACCAGTATGTTGCATCATAAAAAAGTAAAAAAACAGAGACAAACATTAACATTCAGATTTGAATCATGCACACCTACCAAGAAGAATCTTCTTCTTCTCTTTTTCCAAGAACTGCCATTCATTTACATCTACGTCTTGCATTGAGTCAAGTACTTACATCCCTCTATACTTACCTGTTTCCAAACGATCTGATATTAGATAATGTCACTGTTCACATGTCAATGATGATGAAAATGAACAGTTGTACAGCTAGAGTACACCCTTCTTGCAAGTGGAATTACAGAAAATCTTGATGTTAGAACTTTTTCGACGTTTTGATTGTTTGAGTTTTGATTTTGATGAAAGAATGAACACTAAGCGAGTACGAGCTACTCTGACTTTGCTCATCAAGCGACTAAGGCGAAGTGCTGCAGCAAGCTTGGTAAGTACATTTTCGCAAAGTTGGTTTCTGAGAAATAGAAATTTGGGACAACTCAGGGAAATGGAAAAAATGGTCGGGAAGGGAGTGCTTTAAGATCATAGATTCAGCTACTTGAAGATGACCAGAAATGGAGATACATGGTTGCCCTTGCATTACCTCCCCTCCTACTCTCCTGTCCTATCAACTGACTCCGCCCAGGAGCTTCATAAACTGACTATTATTCGTTCTGGACGGAGCAGTCCGCGTAGAGGTACAACTAGACAGTGAGGTCAACGAAATCCATTTCACATGTTGTCGAAGATGACTTACTCTTACGTGAGTAAAAAAGGCCCCTGTTGGGTTGCATCGCGCAAGACGAAGATAATGCTGCAGGAGCACGGCGACGACAATCCACCGCCAGGCAGCAGGGAAGCAAGCCAGGCTTCCTCACTGCTACCCGCTCGTAGTTTAAGTTCTAGTAGAAGTACAAGTAGAAATACTACAAGGTCGGCGCGGAGATCGAGATCTAAGAGTACCGACGAGACACGTCGACGCCGTGATCATCTCCTTTATCGCACGAGACCACGTCCACCCGCACTTGCCTTACTACGTCGCGCTCTTCTCCCGGCTTCCGCTTGTCACAGCATAGTTCTTGTAACGGCCAGTAACCTTCACGGCACAGCAGCATCAAACTCCAACGTCGCCCGTCTGCAGCAAGTGAGGGACTTATGCGATGTCTACACCGCAGAGGGGAAGTGGTCGTGTAACGTGAACAAATTTTGCGTGTTTGGTCGAAAAGTCACGGATTCTCCAACAGCTCCAATGACGTGTCACGCAGACGGTTGCTCAGCACTTACCAGTGGTGAAAAGTGTGTGAGTCCATGCATATGGAGAAACGAAACGAATACCTGTTTGCACACGAATAAACTGCGTACTTTTTTGCTACAATCCTGAAAATTTAACAAGTGGTTCTTCTTTCGAAGATCATAAATACATCATACGGTTACGGTTTATAATATCTACTTCCTTCGTATCAGTAGATCCTCGTCTTCGACCTCGATTTTCGCTAAATTCTAGTGTCATACATTCCTAAACTACTTCGATAATCAGTGTCATACATTCCTAAACTACTCCGATAATCAGTGTCATACATTCCTAAACTACTCCGATAATCACAGCTCCTCACACTCCTTCTAAACCACAGCTCCTCACATCGCCATGGACGCAGTCTGTCAAAAAGCTGGACGCCTGAACTGTGGAACGCTGTTTCCAAAATGTTCGATTTTTCCCGATACTGGTTGTCGCGCTGAGCCGACGCATGATTATTGTCAGGAAGTGAAAAGTGGCGCTGTCTGCGATGCCATTCCGGACTGTGAATATCTTTATGTTGTCCACTGAAAAGCATATAAGTAGTCCTATTCACCTAACGTGAAAAAGAAGACTGAGAGCCCAGATAAGGGGGTTAGCCCCGTCCGTCGCCGGCAGCTTCCGGAATAAACACGCAAGCTCTTCCCTTTCGGATAATATCCCTCACCGTTAGTTACCCCAGCTAGCCACTACATTTCTAACTCTCTCTCCAGAGTGCAGTAACGCAGAAAAGAATATGCCGATCGAAGACCATAGGGCGTGAATTACCGCCACTGCCGCTAGCCACCTCTGTCCAAGGCGTAGCGCAAACGACAAACGGCACAGTCAAAAACTTCTTGTCCTATGACGACATCGCGAATTCGCCAGGTGGCGAAATATCCAAGTTCTTTGGCGATCAGGATGATGGGACTTGAACAATAACAGAACAATTTATAACACGAATGACGGTTGGGACGAATGGCACGGTTGGGACAACCCAACGAAGCCATTCGATCAGGGTCGTGATGTATCTGCTGGCGCAACCTAACTTGATTTGTGCGCTCCATACATGCATAGACTGGCTGTTGTTGATCCACATGATTCCATTTATCGATCCCTCGTTGTTGAGACGTCGACGTTGTAAGTAAGAGAACGGGTGAAACCACCTAAGATTTGCTCGTCCCTGTTAAGATATCCAATAGACCTCCCATTCCAAGAAAACAGATTGGCAGTGGATTGAAAATTGATAAAGGTATTCCCATCCGCGCTCCGGATGGGAATCTCTCTGACTCCGGATGGGACATCTATCCAAAGCAAGAATTCCTATCATGATCACATAAAGATAAAAGCAGGAACCTTGAGCAGTCGGTGTCATGTAAGTACGTCGTGTGCGAAGGTGAGTACACAGTCTCAGTCACAGATAAGTCTGTTTTCCTATTTGGTCATAGGATTATCTGACATCGGCGTCCAATCGGTCATGAGGAGGAGGAGTTTTAACTAGTAGACATCTGACTTTATGCCCCCATCAAAGCAGTTTTAAGGCATCGGTCATAGCTGCTAGAGTATCGCAGTACATGCTACCCTGTCGTGTGAAACAGCCTTGTTGCTTATATTTTGATCAGACCGAGTTAACAAATGCTGGAATGATTGTGTAAAAGTGTAAGTATGCTGATGATCACGGTGATCCCCCACTCCTGTTGTCCTAGAACGCCGCTACGAATATTTGTGTCTTTTCCGCATGCTTACTTGCACAATCAAACTTCTCCAATTTGACCTAAATTCATCCTCGAACAATCTCTAAACCCTAAACATCTTGCTTCTCGACGAAATTCTGAAATAAGATGGAGGCTCGTCACCAGTTCCTTGCGTCTCAGGGCAATGCTCTGAGACGGATAGGTCATGACAAGATTGAAGGGGAGCTGACGGAAGAAGCCATCGCGGATTTCAAAGAAGCGTTTGCATTTTTTGACCGAGACAGAGATGGGCTTATCTACCAACGAGACATTGATGCGATCAAGGATGAGATGGGCGATCGTCTCAGCGAGAACGAAATCAAAGAGCTCAGAAGCGATCCAATATTCGAGAATTCTAAATGTACTCACTCAACATATGAAAACACAACATTAAATACTTGCGGCATCTTGCAGCTCTTGTTCCACCTAAAGTACTTAAAAACTACATTGACTCTCGTCATCATCTCAATCTCATTTATCTTCTATTCTCGTCATCACGTCATCGGTTCCAACTAAAATATAACAGGTTCCAAAATAAACAAATCTTCCCTCTCCTCCATCTTCTCAACATTCAACCTCGTTTATAATCATTAGCTTTGATGCAGGGGTTAGTATCCTAAACGACCTACAATCTAGACCTCTCATCTTCATTATTTATCTATCGTCCCCCAGAACAACCTCTGTGCTCTCTCATTTATGATCTATCTTCAGTACTCTCATCATTCCCATCTCCCTTCCCAGGCGGTGTCGGTTTTCCGGAGTTTTTGTCGATGATGGTACGTCGGCAATTGGGCACTGCGGATAGGCAAGACGAAATGGTGGAGTGTTTCGAAGCCCTCTGTCCCGACGACCAAAATGGCGGACTAACCAAAAACTACATCCCCACAGAAGAATTACGAACGATGATAGAAGGGATGCGAGAACGAGCTTCCGAGAAAGAAATCGATGATTTAGTTTATGAAATAGTGCTGGACGAAGACGATCCTCATATTTTCTAGTCACACGAAGAATAGAACGAGACAATGACAAGGACTTCTACTACGTACTTCCTCGTCCACCGAACAATACACCTGCACCTTCATCTTGCCTCTTTTTCATCCAGCGCGAAGAAGTAGGATCATTACCTTTCTGTTTTTCCATGTCGAAGATCTTTCTCCTCTTATACATACAAGTTCTATCTTGTTCTTCTAATCCCTCGCTATGGCTGACCCACGTGGGATAGGGAGAGTCTATTTGGAGAATTTTGCCCAACTTTTTGAGGAAGGACACGCGTGTACGAATTTGGACGATATGGTGCAAAACCAGTTGCGATCGCGTGGAAGCGAGGTTTTCCGTCATTTCACTCCAACACAGAGCAATAGTTCCCTAGTACGGATGGACTCATCGATAATGTAGAGGTCGTCGAGGTGAGGTCGTCGAAGTGATGGACGAATTCTGAGGAGCAAGTTGGGGTGAGGTCGTCGAAGTGATGGACGATGAGGAGCAGGTTGGCGGAAAGCTTCATCTTCTATGACGCAGAATAGCAGCACGACAACATAGGAAATGAATGCCCAAGATGCATAGCAAATGGTTGGAATTGCCATTGGATTTGGAGAAGCAGTCTCCTGCGACGTAAGCTCCTTTTTCACCATGATGCATTGCACAAAGTAGGCTTTTACATCAGTTGCAGATGTAGTTGTTGTAGTAGTCGTAGAAATAGGCTTAGAAGTACACTTCATTTGCATAATATGAGATTGGACGGATACGACTAACCGGATGTATACTAGAAATGACATTGGTGGATCACAAGTTCATTATGAAATTGAAATTGTCGTTGTTTTTCTAAGAAATGAGAAAGTAGAGACCTTGTTCTACAAAGTATAACTCTATGCGTATGCATGTAAGAAAATGACGTGATCATTCTCTCGTGCACCACTTACAAGTGATGCCGGTCTTCAACTACGATCATATTGTTGTTAAAGAGAGTTGTACGACGTCGGTGACCACGATGAGTGAACAATTCCGTGAAGCCTATCTGTCGAGAAAGTGTCAATCACTGTCTGCCTTTCCGAGCGAAGATAGAATTATAGAAGACGGACGAATTCATGAGAAATATCTGAATCTGTACTCAGAGAGAGGTCCCCACCAGAGGCGACAAGCAACAAACAAAAACAGCCCGCAATCAAAAATGACAGTCATCAACTTGAAACAGCTTAACATGATTTCTTAAAAAAATAAACATAACTTCTTCCGAACGGAATTTCGAAAAAATGACGATGGTACTATTATAGATACAAATTTTCTTGCACCATCAACTCAGTAGCTCTTTGATGTAGTTTCATGTAGTTATTGCTATTGAGTGATGCAAGATCATGATCTTACTTAATCTTGATATTGCTTAGAGGAATCACGCTTGTTCCTGATCCTGCAATAGTGAAGGCCTAGTACGATGTGGGAAGAAGTTTTACCATAAGAGTAAAAAATGCCAGGAGGTGCAGCAGCATGAACATCGTGTTTACAACTGGTAGGTGGAAGAGTACTAGTAAAAGCAAGGTCGGAATCGGAGTCGCATGTATTCGCTCGAGTGTACAACAGGTTCCCCCTGATGTAGACGGCGAATCAATTCCTGTTCTATTCTAAAGTCCAAGGAGGTAGTACGTAGAAGTAGAAGAAGTAGTACGTTTAGCATGTGTAAAAAACTGGGCCTAGAAGGTAGCTAGGTAGTAGTCGCTCTGCGGCTAGTACACATATTAGCCGGGGGATACAAGTCAAACTGTGGACGGCGAGTCGACTCCAGGCTTTGACGAGAACGCAATGTGAGCGATGTATTCCTGTGGAAGCTCCAAGTGATCGATGTCTCTACGGTATGCTAAAGACAGGACCACGATTGATCCATATCCTAACAGGCCTATTAAAGCGAGGACCACGATTGATTCAGATGCCTCATCTTCCATCCTCTACAAGGTGAAGCGGTATGTAAAAATCGATGCTGCTTGCACCATGAATAATGGTGAAAATTGATAAGATACGAGTAACAGTGAGTGTAACTGTAAGGAGGACTCCTCCAAGGTAGAAGGAGTCTCCAACTGCAGTAATCTCCATTAGAAGGTACTCCATGATGATAGTCTATGAAGAATGAAATCAAAGGTACTTCTAAGGCAATAAGACAAGCATTATAGACGAGAATGAAACAAAAATGGTACTACGTTCAAAACGTTCTGAAGGCATTACACGTCGTAAGAAGTGTCAATGCCAATCGTAATAGAAGATGTCAATATCATAACAGATGTCAGTGTCATTATTCATCCGCAACCTTTATTTGTCGTTGCGCAGCAAGAACCAAGAAAGGTGGAATGATGCTCATCAACTTCTTGTTCCTCATCTCATCTTCGACGCAACCGAATACTATCAGCAACAAGGTGAATGTAGAAGTGTCTGTGGTCTGAATGACGCGACTATGATTCACGTCCATGGCAGGGGCGTCAAAAATGAACAATCACGAAGAATTGCAATCGGAAGTAGAGAGTCTTGCTCAATCACGACTGATCTTGTTGATCATGGTTTCTCTTCACGACTGACGCCTCCTGGTGCTGCATAACTTCTATTTTCAGGGACAACAGTATTTTTGACTTCTGCATGCTCTGCTGGTTTTTTTTCATCTGGACGCGGGCGACTAGATGCTCTTAACGACTATCAGCTACATCAAAGATGGAAGCTTCTTCGTAATGAAGATGATAGATTGATGTTTTGTATCGTACCCTATCATTTACCCTATACCTATGATGTGCTCCTCCTCCTACTGCTACACTGAGAAATATGCGTCTACTTCTAGTACGACATGATTATGATAGTACATTTGCAGTAGCAGTACCGCAACTAGTATAGGATAAGAGAAGATGTCGGACAGTGACGACGTGGTGAACCCGTTTTTCTCGGGTACGAACCCGTTTGCTTCTGGCGGTCTAGGCTCATCTTTTTCCAAGGCTAAAGGACGTGATTACAATGACAATTCATCTGGAGACGATGGGTCGGAGGATGAGCGTCCAGCTAAAAGGACAAAGGTCTTCAACGCTGGTTCTGGGAGTAAGATGCGGTTTGTCAAAACCGAGACCATCCCAGCAAAAGAAATTCCGAAAGCGACAGTGACACAAGCACCGGGTGCTATGCCTAAGGCTGGGACGGGTGACGAAGAGGATTGCGATGACGAGGAAGGTGATGATGACGAAGACGATGACATGGGGATGGGCGGCTTAGGAGGCGTTGGTTTAGGAGGTGTAGGCTTAGGTGCTGGTCCTGGTTTACTAGGTACTAAGAAAGGCAAGAAGAAGAAAAACAAGATGAGCACGACCTCTGGACAGCAGCAAGGTGAACACGCTGAAGATGGTCAGGATGAGGATAATGACGACATCGATCCGCGGTTCCAATTCTCTGCGCCAGAACCACCTCCTGGGAGTGCAGACCCAGATAAGATTGCTAGCAACGTTGGTCCACAGATGCCCACCAAGGTGCATAGGAGTAATAGACAACTCGCCGACGACTTCTCGAATCCTGTGTTGAACTATTTCAAGAAGATGGGTTGGCAAGGTGGTGGCCTGGGTAAGAACGAACAAGGCCGTGCCAATCCTCTCCTTGGCGCTTACAACCGGAAGAAGAACCAGGCCATTCAAGAATTGGGTACTGGTGCAGAAGCCAAGCAAGAAGTAGATGATCGAGCGAAACCAGATGCAAGGAGTGCTAAAGACATCCTCTTAGGACGTGGTGCTGATAAAGGTGGTGCGAAGTCTGGCCGCGATGTCATTCCAGGTTTAGGAGAGCACATGTCGCGCAAAGAAAAAATGCGATCTGCGAAAATTGACGACGAAGATCTCTATGGGTCCAAGAAAAACAGACGCGAACGTACGGAATACTACGAAGACCAAGAATCAGGGGACCTTGTGTCGAAGAGTTCGATGCGCATCGTGGACATGACGAAGGCAGGTGGTCCACAACTCGTAGGCGGAAACTTGGCAGATGCCATGCTCGAAAAACGTGATCGACCTCTAGATGAATTGCTCAGAAGTCTCACAAAACTCACCTTGAAAACAAACGAAGACGTCATTCTTCTGCGCAATCAAGTCCGTGATTACCAATCTAGTCTAGACGTCTTGCGTGGTGAAGATGGTGGTCCTCTTTCATCTGGTGTCGAGAGTGGAGGTAGTTCCTCTAGCGGTAGTCCTGTTAGGAATAATCGAGGAACAACATCTGGTCGAGCCGCTAACAGGAAGAAACACCAGTCCTCTGAACTCGCAGATGTGGAGACGATGGAAACCCTTCTAGATGACATGGACGAACACTTTTCTAGTACAAAGAACACGTCCTCTAAGAACAACAAAAACCTCAGATCGCAGTCAGCTTTTCTGGGTTCTCTCACCGCCAGTGGCGGCAATGAGCAGGCAGAAGCGGAAATTTTGAAGGTTTTGGAGTATTTTGAACACGTCAAGAAAAAACATGGAAAGCGGTTTTTTGCGAAATTCGAATTAGACTTGATTTGTGCAGAACATCTGCTGCCGCCATTGCGCAATCTGGTAAATTTGTGGGACCCAATCGACGATCCAGAAGAACTCGATCCGATATTGACGAGGATTCGAGACTTGCTTATTGGTACTAGCGGTACCACCGGAACTAGCAGTTGTTCGTCACTTGATTCTTCGAAGCCCTACATTCTTCTCATGCAGCAAACCGTTTACCAACGCATCAGAGCAGGCATTGGTTCCGAAGACTTCCGTCCAGCAGAAAGCGCTGCTGGATGCGGCGAATGTCTGTTACTCCTTACTACTGCAGGAAAGTTTCTTCCCACTTTCTGTGTGACGAACTTGAACCGTTTGAACGTGTTGCCAAAATTACGCGATGCAGCGCACAATTGGTCTCCAGCTACCAATTTCGGACCCCATTCCTGGCTCTTTGCCTTTAGAGAGTATCTGACGTCAGAGGATCTGCGAGAAGTGGGTAGTATCTGCAAACAGCGTTTGGCTAGCTTTATCAGTTCGTCTTGGCGACCTCTGGCTGGTGGTGAGGGAGAAGATACGGAAGGGGAAGATAGTTGTGAGGAAGATGATAGAATGGCTGGAAGGATGAATGGAGGAAGACCTTCGCGAGCGAAGAAGAACACCAAGAACCGTCTGAATTCCGCTCCCAATGGTGCTAACGCTGCGTTGTTGGCTATGGTTGCCCCTTTAATTGCTGGCGGAACTGGAGTGTTGTCTGTGGAAGAGAGCGCAGACCTGGAACAAAGGATTTGCGACAGGTTGAGACAAGTCTTGCAGCCAGACGATTCCGATGAAGTGCTGCACACATTGGCTCCATGGCTAAGGCACGTGTTTGCGAAAAGCAATTCTCCGGCATTTCAGGTCTTGTTCGACGACTTGTTCTTCTTACCTTTGAGACGCAATCTGAAACGATTACTTCTAGCGAGATCGAAGGACAGCTTGCGGGAACGACGCGCAGTGCGCGCTGCAGTAGAAAGGTTTTATCATCGCGTACGACTGGCTGTGTTGGGCAAACCATTTGCAGGTGTTGCAGGGATGAAAAGTACTCTTCATCAACAGTTGTTGAAATCCGAAGGCAAGACTGTACTACCTCCAGCGGACGACACCTTCCAGCAATTGGGATACCTTTTGGAGGTATTAGAGTGTCATGTTGTGGACTTACGGAATACAGGTGGCGCTAGTTTCTACGTCCTGGAAGCTGACGGTTTAGAAACCGGTCCAAGGCTAGACGCAACGACTTGGCGTCAAAGACAGGAGGAACTTGAGGGTGCAGCTAATACTGTCAGAGGAAAAGGAGCTGCTGGTGCCGCGAATGGAAGAGGAGTAAATGACAACAAGAATGGTCCTTCCGGAGCCCCTCCACGCAGCGAAAGAGAGAAAGCGCTCCATCGTTATGCTGAAATGCTGAGAGACGAACAAAAACGCGCAAGGGAGCAACGGGAGTTCAGCATGCACATGGAAGAACCCGATTTGACCATAAAACAAGTCCTAGAAAACGCTGCTGCTGACCTAGGCGCTGAAATGAGCATCAAAAGTGGTTTCTTGTCGGCAACAGGAAAACAGTGGTATTCGGTTTCTCTTGGTGGAAGTGTAACAGCAGGAGGTGCAGGAAACAACAACAGGGCGTCCAAGAAAACCACGCTTTTCATCTATTGGGAGAATGACATCCTTTTCTGTACCACGGATCTTCAAGATCGCAAGTCTATACGGCCCATAACAATAGAAAATCTGCTGACGAAGTTGCAGGAGCCACCTTCTAGTAGGAAATAGATCTAAGAACCCCAGTATTTGAGTTCATGTTTACCTTCACTGTTGTCGATGTATCGTTTTCCTTTACGACAACGACAACACCCCATTATGAAGATTCTCCCATGATAAAGTCGAAGACCCTGGCTCTTCAGCGACTACTTACAGCAAACGCTCTCCTCGCGCTTCACCTATGCGACTGCAAACGCGAACACGTTGACATCAAAACTAATGCTGACATCCTGTCTAGTAATGATTACTAGTGCCTTTGTCACCACGATGAACATGAAAAATACATGGAAATCTACTTCATCACTGAATTCAAATGCATCTCGAAGAAAGCAATGGAGAATCTGTATCTGATCTTCAAACTTTGAGATGAAGTTCAGAGGATTATGCAGCGAATGATCCAGAACGAAGGGTTCCGCTCCTGCTGTTCTTGTCTTTTCCTCATTCCACCAGTAAGGAAGAGTGCATCTGTGCATCAACATCACATCTAATATGATAGCTCCACTTCTTTTACAGCGACCTTGAAAAAGAGCGACAGCACGGCGACATATGAGTGATTTGTCTTATTCTTGATAGCCTTTGTTCTCACGCGATTCATCCTTACAGCCGTGTAGTAATAAGTTGTATTTGAGAATCTTCTGAAGTGCCGGGGGGCTTTGATGTGCAGGATTCACAACCTAACCTAACCAAGTAGCTGAACACTATTTAAGTCGTACACGTACTACACCTACAACATATCTTCTGAAAGAATTAGCAGAAGCAAGGATGACGGTGCCTTGTGGAGAAGCTCCTCCTTTGTTTGGGCAGGATGAGGACGAAATCGTTGGCATCGAGGACTCACAGCGCGATGAGTATCAAAATCTTGCTCAAGAACGCAGGGCTCACCGCCAAGAGCGAGAACAATTCGAAGATGAGCGAATAGGGGGAAAAATAGGCGGCGCTTCTAGCGCCAACAACAAGAACAATTGTAAATTGAAGTTCCTCCAACCCCGCAAGGAGAAGCGTTTCAAGATTTACTTCAAGTACGAAGGTCGTCGTGGGCCTCAGTGCTACCTGAAGGTACGGCTTCCAAAGCATGGAGGATACGAAGATGGGCCAAGTCTGGGGATCAAGAGGTTTTTCGTCTCCCAATACAACAAACTACGAGAAATGCTTAGTGAGCATGGCTGCCACTTGAGATCGGAGCTGGGAATAGCGATTCCGGACACGGATGCAATATCAGGATACATCGGATACGGGGGATTGGTACTAATATTCTAGCTAGAAGAAGAACCTGAAGATTGTTGCGCTTGCGCTTAGTGTTTTCAGTAGGTCTAGTTGTATTCCATCGTAATATTATCAAGAAATCCTAAATCGAGTTAGAGTTTGTTGAGTACCTTTAAAAATACTTCGTATCTTCAAAGATCTGATCTCGAGTTCGAGTACCTTTACAACTTCGTATCATCAAAGATCAAAGATCATTTTTGATTTTCAATTTCGACGGACAACGCTCTTACTTAAGTACATTTCAAGCACCTACTTCTTATACCTGTACTTACTGCTTTCCTCCGCTTACTGCCACAGATCTACGTCGTCGACGGTTCGGGTCCACTGAAAGGGGCAGAGGATGATGTGTACTTTTGGGGTCATTCGACGTTCTCTAAATCCTCCGGAGATGCACCACAGAAAATGCTTACGCTATCGCACAAGAGAATCGCGCAGATTTCTGTCGGCACTGAGCATGCGGCAGCAGTACTCTTTTGTTTTTTTCGATTTGGTTTTGGGTCTTGTACTTGAACTTGTTGTCGGGAACTTGTTGTCCTCGTGGTAGAAATCGGGGATGATGCATTCATATTCTGACCAGCAAGAAAACAAGGAATGTCGTGTTTGTCCCCCGAACTGCTCCCAACGAACTAGGTAACCGAAGGTGGTCGCGTCTTTACTTGGGGACGCAATGATTTCGGTCAGCTGGGCACTGGGGACGAGCAGGATCGACCTTTGCCCATTTTAGCCGAGCTCCCCTATGAGGTTTACGTGAGTCAACTCGCTTGTGGAGGTCGCTACACGCTAGCTCTGGAGAAAAAGGGAAACATCTGGTCCTGGGGTAGATTTCAAGCCAGCAATTTCCCTAGGAATTTCGTCGATACCTGGTGTAACGGGTTCGTGAAGAAGCCTGCAGATGGTGCAGAAGGAGCAACACCTTCTACTTCCTCCACTGGCATTGGTCTGTCTGGACGCAAGATAGTGAAAGTCGCTGCCGGCGATATGCACATGGCGGCATTGACGAAGGAAGGTGAGGCTTTTACTTGGGGCTACAACGACTACGGCCAGCTTGGGTGGGGCCTCAGTGGCGTGGACCGCACAGGCCAACAAAAACCTACTCAAGTGAAGGGTTTGCTAGAAGGCGAAAAGATCCTGGACATTGCATGTGGAGGTGCACACACAGTGGCAATTAGTAGTGAGCACAAAGTGTTCGGCTGGGGCAGCAACGTTGGAGGGCAGATCGGACACGGGATGCGACAAGTATTCCCGGAACCCCAAGAAGTGCCTCTAGGCGATCCGATCACGAAAGCCTCTGCAGGATGGATGTGCACAGTCTACGTCACAAAAGAAGCGAAAAGTATCATCTGCGGTGGCGTCAACAGTGAAGGACCAAGCGACGTCAGTGCACTGAAGAAAGACGCGGAAGAAGAAGGTACACCTTTCTACAACATCGCGTATTTAGAACTTCTTCACCCAGGGGATGACACGACAGTGGTTTTCCTTGACAAATAAACCACTCAGAGTGAGTTCCTATCAATATTTCTTCCGTTACCCATACCAAATATCGCTATCCCAAACGAAAGAAATCTTTACACATTTTTTGCGACGATGACTCAACGACAAGCTCATCCTCAACACTCTCGCGCCCAGGTGCCAAAAATGATGCTGAGAAGGAGGCAGTAAGCAATGAACAGCAGCAGGCGCAATTGTTAGCAAAGCTATCAGGTGGAGCAGATTTAAGTGCTGACTGTGTTGTCGCTTGTGCAGTTGGCGAAGCACACGGTTTACTAGTGAAAGAGAGTGGTGAGCTCCTTGGTTGGGGCTATAACCGGCTTCAGCAGTGTCTAGGAGAGCAAAGTGCAGACACATTTGTGAAGAAACCAACGACATTGAAAACCATCGACTTTTCACAGTATAAGGGACGGACAGTAGGATGCGGAGGAGCGCAAAGCTACGCATTGCTCGGTTTGAAAACCAGCTAGGAGAGCAGTGTTATTTGGCAGTGTCATTTCGACGGGTCGTGCTCTTTTTCTCGTTGAAGAAAGCCGCGAGGCTGAATACTATCAACAAGCTGGAAGTCACACATGGCAATCCAATGTTCTTAAGTCATACAGCTACGGGAACTCCAAAACTTTCACATCAACCCACCACAAACTACAACCCGCTTCACCCGTTGTGGCATCGAGAAGTAATCAACCCACCACAAACTACAACCCGCTTCACCCGTTGTGGCATCGAGAAGTAAAAAACCCTTCGTCTTCCCTCGATGGCCGCGGGGTAAATACAATACGCCCATTACCCAATAAGGATAAGGAAATGTCAATCAACCACCAGGCAGCCCTGGCGACCAGCAGAAACCATGCTTTTCAAAGTCCTTCTTGCTCACGCCCAAGTCCCACCCCAGGATGACTTCTTACGACCTTATATTTTCTTGCAGGAGTCGTGTTCTTATTCTTCATCTGCTCGATGCTGTAAACATATGTCGATAACAATCCCTCTTTTCCGCGCGATCAAAGCGATGTGACAGGAACTGAACATTTCACCATAAGATTCAATGAGAATGACTGGAGCGATGATCTTCGGCGTGCTGAGAATATAATTTGCACCATGAAGGCAAATAAAAGTAGATGCGAGTCTGCTCCGATTTTGGTTCTTGTCTACATATTAATATCTCTTTTCTCTCATACTACACACACTAACCTCCTTGTAATGACGATTCATACAATCAGGCCGCGGACAAACGTAATGTTGTGACTTTACAATGTGATTTTTGAAGAACACTTTTACGGATTTTATGGAACAACAACGCACGCTCTAATTCCTCTGAGGACTGTGCAGGTCGATTCATTTAGTTTCTAGTGGGACAAAGTTCCTATCAGATAGAACAAAATGGACATGTTCGACGACTCCGCGCCGAACTCAACGCCAGCACCAGCGGCGGCAGGTATTTTGAACAGCACTTTCGTGTTTCACTCAATGAAGCAAAAAATACGCAAATAATCATGGTTCACGTGCTGGTGTGCCTCTACTCAACTTCCAGCTCGCCCCAAAATAATCTCGATCTTAAATACTTCCTACCATCACTCCTCTCACAACCACAGATCCATTGTCATTCATGGCACCTGCGTCTCCTGGTCCAGCGACAGACTCTCCAGTACCAGTAATGGATGCTTTTGCGGGTATGGCACCGGCCGCTGGCGCAGTAGGGGGAGCGGAAACTATGGTACTCTATATGTTCACTTGTTGTCGCCGTAGTTTGTTTTTCAAGAATGTCTACTTAATCTTCCCCCATCAAACATCATCTTCATCAACTGCAGAGCCCAGGCGGTCCAGGGAATGAGAAATTGAAAGAGTGGGAAGCAGCGCAAGATGCTAAGAACCAAAAGAAGGCGCAAGCGGAGTTGGCGAGCAAGAAAAAGAAAAGGGAAGACGCAGCAAAGGATCTTGAAAAGTGGTATGCCGATAGAAAAGCGAGATTGCAGGTACTAAAATACATTATGATAGATTGACGCTTGTTGCGGTTGTGGGGAAATATATGAGAAGATTCCTTTGTGTGTCGGCTTTCGTCCTACTTTGAAAAAGTATAAGTTGACGATTTTATTTGATTGCACAAACCAATCGATGCCAAAAATGATCAGAAAAAATTCGCCGATAACCGACGAGAAGAGAAGGACTTGCTGTCTATCCAAGCAGGGAAAAACGAAGGCCAAAACCCATGGGAACGCGTGCTCAGTCTCATCAGCGAACAGGCTGCGAAGCCAGGTATACTGAAGATATCACTTGTGAAGTAGAAGTTGTGCTTGTGCCTTTCATTTTCCTTGACGTTTAATAGAAGTGAAGAAACTTCTGATCATGCATGAGCATGGTGAATGTAAACAATACATAGAAATCACGTTTCATCTTCTTCACTCCTTATCCCGTCCATTGCAGAGTCAGCGCCGCTCCAGGACACCTCGCGTTTTAAGCAATTGCTTATCCAGCTCAAAGCTTCTCCGATCCCGAACTAAAATGCCCGTAGTTTTCGTACCTGAAGATGCAGTTGGTGGCAAAGCACATCCTAATACTTCCCTTTCGTGCTGCTCAACTTAGTTGTACAGCATTGCTTCGACGTCGCGAGGCGGTGGTTATTGAGACCTCTTCTCTCCGAAAACTTCGATCGCTACGTCCAAAAAAGTGATGGCTTTGATGAAGCCTGAACATGTGAAAATCAGGTTTTACTTTTGATGAACAATGACATCAATGGGTCCTATCAAAATCAGTTCTACGTAGAAGCAAAAAGAGGACATTGATCACATCTAAGATGAATCCTCCCAAAATGGCTGCCCGTTTCCCCCTAAGCAGACGTTGCCCACATGGAGCGACTCCCTTGCTGCTCCGTAATGCGGAGCTCTACCCGAATAAAGCAAGTGTGATATAATCGCCTTGGTAACTTTATTTTGTTTTCTGTACGAAAAAGAATCATAGAAGGCTTGCCCGTTTCTGACCGGCCCGGGAGCGAATTGGGTATGAATGAGGTTTCGCGTTGTTCAGCAGAAGCATCTCTTCATCCTCAACAAAGTACTCAGTCATAGGAGAGGTGTATGAAAGAGAAAGTGAGATTACGAGAATGCTAGAAGTGTCCCTGAACAAGTAGAGTGAAGATTGAAAGCTGCCAGGACCACGTAACAATCACCGTCAAAATCAACAAGAAATGAAATGGAGGTGCCCAACATTCACAGCCTTCGAGACACAGCTTCTGACGTATTGAAAGTAAACAACTATAATTACGCGTACTACGTGCCCATTATTATAAGTACTCTTCATTATACGACTAGCAGAAGAAGATTCTTTAGAAGTATCATCAATGAACACTCCAAACTCTTAGCTACCAGTAGTTTCAACAAGAAAAATGAGTCGCAATCGTGTGGAAAACGTAAAGGTCTTTTGTCGGATCCGACCCCGACTCGGCAACGAACGGGACGAGGAACTCTATACGCTAACGGGCACAACCATCGAAATTCCACATGCGAGGATCAAGGGATTGGCCAATGTGAGTGCAGCTGTGGGAAGTGGAGGTTCCTCTGCGTCGAACGAGGCTACCGCTGAACATTCAGCTGAACAGCTACAGGACAAACCATCTTGTTCAGGTGGAGAGTCTTCATCTTCGACCTCCAGTGCAGCTAGTCAACACAACCAGCTCTCCCGTGCCTCACTCGTTGGTGATTTCCATACTGGCAAACTTTCCGCTGACGGCAAGTATGCGTTTCACTATGACGGCGTGCTTGGCGCAGACAAGACACAGGAAGATGTGTGGAAAGCATTGGGGATGGAAAGCGTCATTTCGCAACTACTGGACGGCTATCACGCAACAATATTTGCATACGGACAGACTGGGTTCTTCTAATTCTCTTTTTATCCTGTGCGCTAGCGCTTAGTGAGCTGGAACAGCGCTCAGTGTGGAACTAAATACCAATCTCTCTCTACTCTCGTTTGTTCAGAAAGCAGTCAGCGCTCAGTGTGGAACTACAAATCTCTTTCTCGTTTGTTCAGAAAGCAGTACTAGTCCTCCGCACTCCTCTATATTATAAGTAACTTAGCGTGTGGCCGTTTCCCAATAGATTCCGTTACAGCCTCCAGGTCCGGCAAAACCTACTCCATGGAAGGAGTCACATATGGGAATGGAGTGGAGCCGCAATTTGATGAGACACCGGAAGAAAACTTTGGTTTGATTCCGCGAATCGCACGTGCTCTATTTTCGAAGACAACTAGGAACAAGAGTAAGAATTGTGCTGGCCAAGGAGCAGGTACAGCAGGCGGGGAAGGTGGTTCTGAAGAACTCGTTTCGACATCTGAAGGCGGCGGCGTTGCAGGAGCAGCGGACGCAACGAAGAACGAAAAAAACGACTCAACATCGGAAGCCTCTCCAAGTGAAGAAGCTCTGGCTGATAACAGCGAACATCTTGAGGCTCCGGAAGAATCAGAATTCACAGTACGTTGTAGCTTCCTCCAGATCTACAACGAAAAAATCTACGACCTCCTCAATACAGAAGTTTTTCTTCCTCCAGAGGAGCAGCTGCCTCAGCAATCTCAACAAGGGAAAACATTCACGACCGGGAAAGGCGCGGTTACAAGAACAGCTTTAGATGACCTGTGTAGTGAAGATGTAGTCGAAGAAGAGATTGAAACAGAAGTTGTGCAGGATGGCGCGATAGAAGATCAGATTCAGAACAAGGAAGAAGAAAAACGAGGTGAAGAAGACACTTCATCTCACTCTTCACCACAAGACCAACATCTACAGCAATCCAAAAAAGTCCTTCTGTCTAAAAGTCCAAGCAAAACTAGAACTACATCAAAAACTACATCTAGGACAACGTCGGCTTTTGATTCAGACCATCTTCTCCCTGATACGTCGCTCAAACTCCGGCAATATGGAGATGAATTCTACGCAGAAGACCTTTTGGAGTTTGAATGCCGTTCGCCAGACGACCTGTTGCACTATTTTCGGTGTGGAGTCCAGAACAGGGTGATTGCGCAAACTTCTATGAATCACTGTTCGAGTCGGTCACACGCGATTTTCGAAATTCAGGTCGAATCACGCACATTAGGAAGTAGAGCGAAATTGCAGTTGGTACTACAACTTGCTTAATAGATAGTCCGACCACCCTTTGAGTTTGACTTTGGAAGTTTGATCGAAGGAGAAAGATGCGGAACGAGGAACTATGACAACAACAACCACTACATCAGAAGATGTAAGAACTTGCTTATACTAGTTGATGTGATCATAAGTTGCAAGAATCGCGGTTTTGTTGATGAACTCCACTCTCCTCATCTTCGTCACTCTACTCTTCGTCAAGAAGGTCGATCTTGCTGGTTCCGAGCGACCCTTCGCGAAGGAAGCTATCCACGATCAGGAGAACAAGAGCCGGAAACGACTCCAGGAGACAGTCCAAATTAACACTTCGCTCTTCATACTGCGCAAAGTAATCACGGCACTTGCTTCTGGAGCTGCACTGGATCGAAGACACATTCCGTTTCGAGAAAGTACAGACTTATCGTCCGAAGCTTCAGGGGCTTGCTGCACATTAGACCATGAAGCTTAATTGATTTCAAACATCAGTAGTCCTCTCCAATATGATCAAGATCAAGTTTTATGGTACCACATAGTCTAACTCTAACAAGTCCTCTATTCCCTCTACCTCTACGTCTACTTTCAGGTAAGCTCACCTGTTTGCTCCAGCATGCGATTATCCAGGGCAACAGCAATACCATGATGCTCGCTTGCCTCAGTCCCGCTGCTGAGTTTCTTTCCGAGTCTTTGTCTACACTGCACTATGCCTCACTCTGTTCGCGACTCAAAACGTATCCCTGTCGCAATGTGGATCCGAACCTGGTGATGATCGACAGTCTGCGAAAACTGCTTTACAAAGCTCACGACTACATCCGTGCCAAAGAAGGGACAGTGCCGGAAGAACTTTTGTCGCTGACGGCTCAAGATGCCTCTTCTATCGATGCTGAAAGCATTGATGCTATGCAAAGAACGTTGAAAGGACTAGACTTTGAAGCGACCACGTCGGCGCGAAGTCATGATGTAATTGGAGTAGGAGGTAGCACGTTAAAGAGGATGCGCCGTGGGATGAAATACGGAGCAGGAGGAGGCCCTTCTACCTCATTATTATCTCAACAGCAACTAATGCGCGGCTATGCTTCATCATACCACGGTCAACATCTCCTGAATGGAGGCGAAGGAGCACCGATGGGCTACAATAGTAGTTTCCATCGCATGTTTAAGAATCACCACAGCATGTTTTTCTACGGGGAGAACGGAGACCCAAGTAGAGGCGGGGGTGTGCCTGGAGAACCAGGCTATTTTCGTCAGAAACTGATGAATCGAGTAGCGCAAGCCTATCACGGAAGTGGAGCTGGAGAGGCAGGGAATGGACAGAATGGTATGATGTTGATATTACACACATTTTCGAACAAGAAAGGAATAGAAGTTACCTTTTGCTCATCCTCATCTACGCTATCTCACTTCCTTCAAAGTCCTCATTTACTGTGACGATCAACAAATCTTCATGTGTCATCTCTTCTCTACTCACTCATCTACCACCAGCAACAGGTTCCTCAACATCGTCCAACAACGGCGTCAGCGTCCGACGTTTAGCTCGATGGTTTCATCAGCAAGACGACGTGTTTTATGGGATCAAGAAACCCTCGCCGGATCTCTTAGAGCATGCGGTTGCAAAGCATATGGAGAAGTTACCTGGTGGTCGAGGTGGTGGAGGAGATAGTGTTGATAGACAACTTCATTACGACTTCGAAAATGGAAAGGGTGACTTTGACGATGTTGAAGGAGATGCAGTGGAGTCTGAGGATGAGTTTGAGGATGTTGACGATGTTGAACTAGATGACGAACTCGAAGATGGCGTAGTCGAAGATCTAGCCGCTTCTACAACGGGAAAAAGCAACAAGTCCTCGTCTCGAAGAAAGAACAGACGACGGAGCGGCGGTTCTCCGGCTTTTACGCCCGGCAGTTTGCTTCCAACAGTGATGTCGCCAGTCATTGAGGGAGATGAAGAGGAAGACGACGATGATGCCGCGGGGACGAGTGTGGAACAAGAGTCTTCGTCTAGGTCTAATTACATTTTCGGCGCAACTAGTCGAGGCGGCGCATCTACTTCAGGATCCTCCTCTAACACTTCAAGTAGTACAACTACAAAGGCAGCACATCCAACTCCAAGTAGGGAGAGGAGTCAAACAAAGAGCAAAACCTCTTCAACGAGAGCAAATATGGCTTCAGAATTTGAGCTTTATGGACGACCTATGTCGCGAACGCCCCCTGTGACTCCTCCCGTGACGCCTCCAGTTCACTCAACGAGACGAGGCACTACTCCGCGGCGAAGAAAATTGAATGGAGGTGGTGGTGGTACAGGTGTTAGTAGCGGACAACCAGCCGCGGGTACTAGCAGTGCCATTTCATCTTCCACAACCACCTCTTCCATGACAGGGCGTCTGAAAGTTGCTACTGCTACCTACAGTGCAGGTGCAGCTAAAATGGAGACCACCAACAAGACCACAACTTCTGCTAGTGCTAGAGGGCTGCCTCCACACAACTACCTGGCGAAGAGAACATCGACTGAATCTTCTAGTACGATCGCAAATACTAGTAGAACTAACAAGGCGTCCTCCAACAAGCATGTAACAATCGACGGCGAAGCCTGTCTGATTGACCAAGAACAAGATGGAGATTAAGGGTCGGAGGTTGACATCCCTTCTATGCGTATCTCTATGGCTTCTTCAAGTAGGAAAGCCATATTGAATATGCGAGCTAGAGAAGATGCCAACTGCTCTCAACCTCTAAGGAGATGACTACAACCACAATTCTTCCATGAGTAAGAATGACAAAGAGATGTCGGATTTCCTAGATGGTTTCCTTGCCGCGGAAGACGATGAAGAGTTTCTGAACACGCGACTCGACGAGTACTTAGCAGACGTGCGATTGGGCAGCGACGCGCAAGCAATAAAAAAGAAGTCCTTTTTGGATGAGGATATTGATGTTAAGGAGAGGTTCTCGAGTAGGCTTTAGGGTTGGGTTTAGGGTTTAGGGTTGGGCCTAGGGTTTAGGGTTGCTCAGTCATAGGAGAGGTGTATGCTCAGTCATAGGAGAGGTGTATGATGAAGCAGTTGTTCTTTCCCTGGTTTTTTTTCGTGATCTATCAGCCTTCTAGAGTGAATGGCTAGGGCTGCTCGATCGAGCCATAAATTTAGTTACCCCGGCCGCATCCCTGGAGCACTCTAAGAGACAAGCCCATGCACTTAGTCTGCGAAGGGAAATTGAAGGTATCGGCGGTGATGCCGGAGCCGATATTCATGGTTTCGATGATGGGATCAACAAGGGCACGGACAGCCTGAACAATTCCAGGAATAAACGGACAGCAACAAATCAACTACAACAACCCCACGCTTTTCCCAGACGAACAAGAGGCTCGTCTGGTGGTCCAGTGCGCTCTCTCAAGGAGGAAAACGAGCGATTGTCGGAGACTGTAAAGAGATTGCAGGAATCTGAGCAGACACTGGCAGAACGCGTAGAAGTGGCTGAAACGATCGCGGCGAATACGATGATGGGAGAAGAATCGAAGGGAGCGGTATACCATTACGATATTGCATGCTTACAATCAGCGTTTCTAGAAATATTGTCTTGTTTGTTTTCATCTTTTGTAATTCTACAGCATGGGAACGAATGTTGCAGCTTATTTCTACAGCAGCCATTTTCCATTAGCACGATCTCTATCTCTCGACCCAAGGTAAAAAGCGTTTTGGACCAATGGGCGCACAACAAGAAAGACGAAGCAATGGCCTTGAAAAAGGAAGTGAGCGATTTGAAGAAGAAAAAGCATCTTATGCTTGCCATGATGGGCAAGGGAATCGGGTTAGGGCATGCTGGAGGGGAAAACGCTCAGGACGCTGTTATGGCAGCATGATGAACTAAATACGATTCTGATTGCACGAACCTATGAAAGTGTTGACATGATCGCGCTATTTGATGTTGACACATTCAAAAAAAGATGCAAGAAATTATTGAAACTTTTTTTGTACAGAGGCTGGCCCGAAGCAACATAATGATCTTGTCATAGTGATGAACAGCAACAGCACGACACAAAGGCAGGAAAATCCAGATATAGAAGATACTGCACGTGAGAACTTGCTACGTAGAATACAAGGCAATTTAAGCATAGTCTTCAATGAAAATGAAACAACCTTTTTTGATGGATTTTCTTGCCAAAACAACTTTTTTTTTAAATGTGTGTCTGAGATAAAACAAAATGGTATAACAAGCAGTAGACGTCAGAGTTTCTACTACACAACAATAACAACTATGAATCTTAATTCCATCTTCTAATATGTTGTGAAAGATTGCAAGTATGAAGATTTCTTAGGCAGCTTAATCTTCTCATTCAGTAAACTTCTCATTCAGTATAATTGCAAACACTGGAGGTAGTATCTCCCATTGTGCAACTTACCACAAGCCTAGATAAATACGAAGAAACGTTTCTTTCAAATGAATTTACGATTTGTATTGTAATGTAGTTAGAACGCATGCAAGTACGATTAGTATCCCTATTTTCCAGAACTATTTCTATCAATCAACATCGTCACAAACACAAGAATTATTCGTAGTTTCATAAAAAGAGCAACTGCAACAGCATGGTTTGCACTATCGCAGCGCGTGTCTGCATTCCACAGCCGGTGTGAAGTGTGAGGAGCGAAACGAAGCTAGCAGTTCACGCCCTTACGAATCATTCGTCTGTCTGCTCTGCTATGTTTCGTTGTACAACCGTCCCACAACTGAGATATTGTTGAGTAAGGATATTCTCCTGTAGTTTCGGTTTTTTTTCGGTACTGAGAACGTACGACGACCATGAAGCAGGTTGTGCTTACGCAGAGAGAGAGAGAAAGTAGAGAGAGTGATATGCAGCTTTGTTTACTCAGTTGTAAGGAGCGGGAGAGTTGTTTCTATTATCTGTAGTTGCGCAGAAGTAAGCCCGACGCTGAGCCATTGTGCGGTGTTATGTTGAAAACGAGATAGTAAAAACGAGAACCCATTACCAGTACCCATGTAGAACAAAAAATTTGTCAAAAAGATGTTAGTGGAAAAATGTGGCAGCATCATCTGAATCTGATCCTATCAGTAGCGTTTTACTTCTGGCAGAAGATAAAAAAAATATAGAGACTGACTTACATCGACCTAAATGCAGGAGCAACTGACCGACAATGAATACTTGAAGGTTATTGAACCACACGATAGTGAAGTTGGGAGATCCTTGTGAAAGATATACCCATGGCCGCGATGGCCTCCACGGCCATGCGTGCGGCTGAGGGTAGGGATAACCCTTTGCCGCAGGAGCGTGGGTCGTTCCCGAGAACTTTAGACCGCTGACGGGACGCAACACGAGGCTTGTTGTAAACGTTTTGATATCTCAATAAGTGGATCAAATTGTCCGCGGACCTGAAGAATAGGTAGTCACACACAGAATAGACGAGCGGAATCGCAGTGTCCCGTTGGTCGATCCAGACTTCGTTGTACACTTTTTGTAGATTCATCACAGTACATCGACAAATAGAACGAGCTACAGGGACTACAGAGAACTCACTTTTAGAGTCTCAGACACACACGAAGAATTCAACGAGCAACCACACCAATACCAATACGTGTCAAGATAAGAACATCGGCCTTCGTTCCCAGTGATACTAGCGTAGTTGAACGATTACTAAGAGGATATCAGGGCCTTCGAAGAGCGGTAATAAAACGAAAAAAAGCCAGGCTACTTCCATTACTGAGCCAGCGGCGCATCATCGTGCGTGTATATCATCGAAGCCAGGCAATACGTTCTACTAGTTCTAGTAAGACCATCGTAAGCGATACTGACCTCAGCGAAGAACACGTGTATCTACCAGCAACATCTTCTAGCATAACGAGGATTCGTAAAAGGTCGAAAAGCAGAAGAAAATAGTTGTTGTAGAAGCAGGAGCACGCGCATTGTTAGCACATCACACCGATCGTGCGAGAGAAGTGATACCTGGGGCTATCTCCTACCTCCAGAAGTAGGGCTGGAGAGCAATCTCAACAAACTCACCAGCGAACTCCCAGAACAAGATGTTGTCCGGCACAGACAATAACGACGACTTGATGTCGTCGGTCGCGCCGTCGACAGTGGCATCGAAGAAGCACAAGGACAGGTTTAGGCCTCCGAGGCCGTGGGGAGAGTCAGAGGATGCAGCTCATGAAGCAGTAGCACACATATGGGACAAGACGAAGCGGATAACACATGAGCGGGATCTAGCACACAAAAGATTTGGATACTCGGTAATTATACTAGACTCTCACTTGGCGCACCTGGTAGCACTCCTCCCACTAGGATCATCAACCCCCGGCACGCACCTCCTCAATCCCGGGGCGATTCCGCTCCCCTGGCTCCTCCCCCGCCCGCAATCCGTCTTGCGGCGTTGATCGTTGGGGCAAGAGCGTGGCGGGGGATGGCGTGCGGCCATTGATTAAAAAGGCACAGATCGAGGCCGTTGTCCTGTAGGTCTACTCTTCTTATGGTAGGTCTGGCCTTCTGTGCGTGCAAGTTGCAGCGCTCCAATTTACAACTTGCAAAGATTGCTCTTTCTGTGATAGAGACAAAAGCTTTGGATTGGAATTTTTTAGATTTCATTTTTATTAGATATAATCAAAAATTTTGGATTCGGGTTTTCAAATTTGAAAATTTGAGACATCGAGGCGCCGCTTTTGATGTTCCGCGGTCAGCTCTGAGGCAGAAGCTTTTGCTTTTCAGTCTTGGGGCAGGGTGTAAAGCTTTACAGCCGATAAGATCAAAAATTTAGGCTTTCTGTGCAAAGTTTTTAATTTTTACGCCCACGAATTAAATTAAGTCGCGGCGTGCTTCATTTTGACCGATGTATTTGGTTCAGGTTCAGGAGGTGCTTTCGGTTCAGGTGTTTTTGGTTCGGTGTGTGTTGGGTTCGGGTGTTGGGGGTTCGTTGTTGATTTTTTTAAATTTCGCTCGCTAGTATTCGAAAGCATACTTAAGCGTTTAGATAAAATTCGTATTCTGGGCATGGATTATTTATAAACTAAAACTCTTGGAGTTGAGATCGTAAAAATTTTGATTTTATTTGGTAAAGTTTAAACTTAATACGCACCCGCGTGAAGTCTAACCAATCCCAGGCCCCGGAAGTGGGTCCTTAATTTAATATTTGCTCTATCTTTAATATTTGCATCTCCTCAATGTATGTCCAAGTCCATGTGTATGTGGCCTTGGAGGTAGTACTCACAAACGTTCTTTTGCATGATCATGGTCGTGCTAGATGATAAGGTAATGGTAAGCAATAAATATGTCGTTGTTGAATAGATTGTCCTACTCTTTTCATCTCATTTATTTCTTACTCCACCAACCAGGCTAGAACAGTGACTAAAGTCATGCTCGCGGAGATCGATATGGCGTTTACGTACATAGAACCAGAGGCTGAGATGGAGGCTAGTGGTTGGTTTCTGGAAAATGAGATAGCACCCGTTATGATAGATACTTGGGCAACGCAAGCTCTACGGTCTGTTCCCAAAAGAATACCTCTGTCGGGAACGACTGCTGTTGGGCATGTAGGAGGTCTGATGGCGGGGCCGGCGAGGGTACTTGGACTTGTTGATGACTCTTCTTGCAACTACGCCATCGTGATTTTTTTTTCTGATGTAGTTCTCCCTGTCATTTTCATGAAATTAACATTTTCCGCAATCCTCCCAGATCACCGCCCAACGGGAGGCGAGCGCGGCGAAGGCGGCAGCTAAAAAAGAGAGGGAAGCGGCAAAAGCAGCAGCAGAGGCAGAGGCGAACAGGCCTAGGCACATACGCTTGGAGGAAATAGTACTATGTTTCGCATCCTGGATAGTATAGAAATAGGAGCGTTAAGGTTAGTAGTCGTGATCGTGAATTCATAGAAGAAGGAGGACAAAATCAAAAATACATGCAAACCAACAGGAGCTGTTTTTTTGTCATGGTACTCATGAACCTCGCTCTTGCTTCTCCACAGGATCACACAGACCCAGAGGAGCACCATTATCGAGCGGCGAAGGAGGTTGAGGATAGGCGAAGAGAGGAGGCGGAGAAAGCTTTAGAGAAGAAGAAAAAACAGCGCGAGGAGGCACAGGCAGCGGTAGAGGCGCAGGGAGCTGTGATGGGTATACAACTTCAACTTATGGTAGGTACAACTTATGATGTTTTCATTTTGGTTGTACAAATTGATTCACGTGTAGTATCTCTCTACACTATTATTCTTCTGAAAATGAAAAACATCACCCGGAAATGGAAAGACAGTACACGTTCGATACCTCTCTACTATTCTATACTAGGAAAGACAGGGTACAACACGTTCAAATTTACGTGGGTGTACAAAGTATCTCTTCTTCAGAAGAACAACTCCCATTTCCAAACCAGGAAAGACAGAGTACACGTTTGATACCGAAGGCAATATACTGTGGGTCGAGCTTCCGAAGATAGAAAAGCTTCCCGCTGTCAGCTTGCAAATACCGTATCTTCTCTAAGACCTTGTTCTTGAAATTGAACTTCTCGTAGAAGTACCTTTCTGTTGTTGACGACCGGTTGAATTTCTGGACAAGAACTCCTGCTTTTCCTTTCCTTGTACGTAGGCTTTTACAATCTGGTCTGCACTTTCACGACAATCAGGTCTCGCCACTTCGACGTCGGCGGTCGCGCTTCTCTGACAGCAAAGGCGGATGCTCCTGCACCGACCAAGCGAACTACATCAGGGTCTAATTCGCCAGTGAAGAAGGCCTTTGAAGACGGTTTCATGCGGTTGCAGGAGGATAGACCAAATATAGCGGATATCATAACGCTGAGGCCTGGCGTCGTCCTCTCCGCTGCTGGTCGGAAGATTGCCGGACCCACTAGAACCGAACAAAATCGAATGACAATGACGGGCTATCAACGCATGGTCCAGGGTGGAAAATAGTGACCTCTAGTATTAAGGTCCTTGAAGACCGCTTCCTAAATAAGTTTTCACCTTATTTGCTTTTCTACTCTCTCTCTCTCTCGTGTGTGTCTTCAGTTTCTAGTTTTTTCTAGTTTTTAATACCGACAGAATAATTGTAACTGATTCCTTAACAAGGTCGTGAAGATCATGATTTGACGCCTCAAATATCCCATAAAATTGAACTTGTCTAGACTTGGAATATGTTTCGAATCACTGACAGCGTTGATGACGCAGAAGGTTGGACACTGCTTCAGAAAATGTGGAGGAGCAGTAACAAGTCTTTTTGTGAACATTCACGACAATGATGTGACATGTTCCATCGACGGCGTGGCACGGTGCAGTATACAGCCGCCACGGATGTGGCTGAATGGAATGATGGGCTTTTCTCTCGCCAGAAAAAGTTTTTTTTCAGGAACCCACGCACAGCAGCGAAAAAGAATCCCTCTGCTCACGTCCCGAGAAAAGAAAAAAATGAATCCAACTTAACTAAAAATGGGTATGAAAAAGGAAATATAGCGCCATGAAAATTCTCATCTAGACAAAGCAACGAAAAGTAGCAGAGAATCCTCTAAAATATGAAAACAAAAGAACTTCTAACCGCGCGCATTGAATAGAGGGAAGCTCTTCATCACGAAGTCCAAGTGAATAGAGCAGTTGTAGGTACATTATTCAATTCAACATAATAACTTTCTTGCGCACAAATTCAAATCTTTATCTTTTGAAATAAAAACTACAGCAACAACTTCTACATCTTCAGCCACCAGGATGTATTCAGGAGGTAGCCTCGGAGGAGGTTTCGGTGGCTCGCCGAATGACGACCCGTACGCAGGGATCGTTTTTGATACAAGTGGTGCGTCATTTTCTTTTCCATTCGACGAACCGAAGAACCAAGGGACGAGCAGTCTAAACATTGTTTCGCCATCACCGGAGAAAGGGGTGGGCGGAGGGAGAGGTACTGGATTCGTCGTGTGATTAAATTTTTGGATTTTTTGTGGATTTAGACAATAGATACCAAGTGACAGTACTAGAAGGACGATGTACTACTATTTTCAATGTTACTAATACTAGTCTAGAGAAATGTTGACGCTGGCTAATTATTTACGTTAGTACCCTTGCTCGACGTTTATGACGACAACCACATCACCCACAGGAGGAGCCTCAGCGTCATCTCGGATTGTCGTAGCTGACTCCTCATCTGAATCGGATGAGGATTTTCAAACTCTAGAGGCTTTTTTAAACAGCGGATCCAAGAAAAAGGAAAACCAAGTGACTGCGAAAGCTCCAGGTATTACATTACATTGCATTACATTGCAACAATTCTTGGATAGAAGGATGAAGCTACAAGCAACTTCATTTTTTTACTACATTACAAAGAACGAGATCCATCTGCGGCTACAGGAAGTAGAGGTTCTTGTTGTAGTCTACCTTATTGTCCTCAGTGCAACTACTTTCTTCACCCGCACCTCCACCAACTACAACAAGTAGTATTCGCTCATCACAGGCGCCAGTATCCTCCGGACAAACAGCGATATCGAAAGAGGATCCAACAAAACGCTTCGGTGGTCTATTGACGGGATTTCACCTACATCTCCACCACCTCCAGTTGCTACCAATACAACTGCAAAAGCCTCTTCAAAAACTAGTAGTGCTGATTCTGGATCCGGAGTTAGTTCTGGACCAGGAGTTAGTCGAAAAAATGGCGGGACGACGACGAAAGGAGGAGACCCCAACGATCTTATCGCAGATGAAGATCATGCAAGTGGCGGTAGTGATAGTCGTTCGAATTCGAGGAAATCGTCAAAAGACTCCGCATCATCGTCTAAAGCCTCCGCTGAAGATGATGTAGTTGGTGGCTCAATTTTTGGCCGAGTCCAGAATTGGGCGGACTTTCAACGTGGCGGGTCGTCTTCATCAACGATGAATGTTAAAAGTTCTTCCACCACTACTGGAGCCCTAACGGCTACTTCTGCATCTGGGGCAGTAACAAATTCAAATATCACATCTACTGGTTCACGGAACCCGCCAACACACCAGAAAAAGGAAGAGAGTTTTTCCATGATCAACGAAGATGTGGTTGAAGAAATCTTCTCCGAAATATCCGAAGAGTTAGCGTCTTTTCTTAAGGCTTGTTTCTAGATTATCGATGGAGAATTAATTCATTTTCCGTATCAGTTACAATTCTCTCTCAGTTACAGTATCCATCTTCAACATGTTTCATTCTCGGAGTCATTTGAGACCGAAAGTACTATAATCACTATAAGGTGGGTAAAAGACGAGGAAGATAAAGTAACTACATGATGAACAATGATCGATGGATCACTAACACCCCACAATCTGCATCTTCTAATTTTCCCGCCAGAGATCACAGTACGCACAGTGTGGCTAGCCAGAGCTATGTCGACGACTTTGAGGAAGGGGAAGAGTCATCAGTGGCGGCGATGTCCTCACGGAGTAGCACGAAGGAAAGGATGCTTTTGCCACCTAGTAGTCCCCAAAAAGCAGGCACGACGATGACTTCTTTACTCTCGAGTGCAAATATCACGCCCATCATCGGAGAGAACGAAGAGGACGAGGGATCCGGTGGGAAAAAGAAGTTTCAGCCTGCGAGTAGAACAGCAGCCCACGAGGAAGGCGGCGGAGGCAGTTCTTCATCCTCCAGTTCGAAGGCTCAGCGATCCTCATCGAGTAAAACCAAAAGCAGGAACAGAGATAGGCACACCGTGGGTTACGACTTTTGAAGCTTAAAGGGGAATAACTGGAGCTTAGTACTCCTACTCCTTTCAATAAGTCCCTTAAAGTTTCAATAATATACTGGAGCTTGGTACTCCTACTCCTTTCTTTTTCTGATTCATCTGAGTACCTACTCGTACCTCCTCCTCGTTCCTTAGATCTTACAGTAGAATTGAAAAACTACAATCTACGCACCGAGCTGCTCCAGCTCTAATCTCCGACAAGAACCCGCGGAGACTCGCATAGTAGTAGGACAGCTGCAGATACTAGGAAAAACTTTCTGGGTTCTCCAGACGAGGGATATCTCTCAGCACAGAGTTCCCCAGTTCTATCAGAGCAATACGGATTAGGAGGTGGTGCTACGCCGTCCTCCGGAAGTCAAGAACAAGACAGCAGAACGAGTGAACACGACCAGATGTCACACGGTGGATCAGGACATCAACGGACGCGCCGTGACGGTGGTCGAGGAGGTGAACAACGATCACCTGGAACTTCAAATCTTCAAAGACCGAAAAACGCGAAGCATGCATCAGCATCAGCCTCTAGTACTAGCAAGCGGAAAATGAATTCTGCTTCATCTTCTAGCTCATCTAGTAAGAACTCTACTCTAGTAGGTGGAGGTCATCAACATCAAGGTCCCGGTCTGTCTAGTCCTAAGAGCGAGATGGCAATACAAACTGAACCAGCGGGGCCTCTAGGACGTTCCAGTGGGAGTATGCATCATAGTATGATGATGTATCCACCACCGTATCCACCACATCCACTACAAGCTCCTCATATGTATCATCAACATCACAGTAGCTCTATGCAGCATCATCTAGATGCATCTACTGGAGGAGGAGACCACCTTCATCAATCAGGAGGAGACTTGCAGGGTTGTGGGCCATCGCGAGTAGATGGCCATTACTCGTCTTACATGCAGCATCCTTATCCACCTCCGCATCCTTATCCTCCACCTATGATCATGCCACCGTATCCGGGGTATCCACCTTACTTAAGGCTTGACGAGAAAATCCATCTTACCCAACATCTTCGCTGCGTTTTGAAGGGAAAACGGGGACCAAGATGCTGAATGCGATGGATTTACTCAAGGAAGGTCTAACTTACACAGGCGCAGCCGCGTATCACCCTGCATATGGCCCACCGCCACCATGTCATGGTGCTGGGTATCCGCCACCCTATCATCATGGAGCCCCGTATGGGCATCCCCCGCCTTACGCCGGATACTACAGTTCACCACCATCACATTTGGGTCTTTCTGCTATGTTAGAATCTGATATCCGAAGAAGCGAGGCTAGACGAGGAGCATTCAGAGGAGCTGTTGGTAATTCGTGCTCTTTCATATTTTCGTACGCTAAAAATAAAGCGGGATCGGGAATGAAATTCTTGATTAGTACGACTGAACGACAACAGCCTGTAGTTCAACACCTACTTTATAGAAGTACAACATCATGATTCATCACAATCACAACCAGCACAAGTGTTCTTGTCTCCTTCTAACTCCTTCTAAATCCTCACGAGCTATTAAATCAATTGCTCTATTTGATGTACATGTAGGTGCTTCAGCCCGACAGGCCTGGACGGAGAGTTTTCAATTGCGAAAAAAAGGAGAGCAACACGAAAGCACCTGCACTTTGAAAATTGCTCCTCCTGGTTCTTCTAGTCATCAACCTGGTACAACTGCGGAGATGTGCATTGATGACCCGCCTCCATCGAAGGGTTCCGCGACAGTTGGAGGTACTAGCCCTCATGTGGTGGAAGCGGAAGGTCAGGAGAATCTTCAAGCTGGTCATCAAAATCATGAAACAAAGGGAAAGGAGAAGAACAAAGGGGAAGGAGAAGAACAAGATGAAGGCCTTCCAACTAGTACTCGCAACAAGGAACAGGACTTCCCCTACCCACCTCCTCGATCGGACCAACCGGCTTTAGGGCCGTTACAGGAACCTCTTGTGCGCGCCCTAGAAATGGTCGATGAGACATTTGTAGATCAATTCCGACTCTTGAGGATTCAATCGGCTATGCACCGCGAAAGAATGGCGGCGCTGCAAGACCGCCGTCCCGGATACAGATATACTACTAGTTATGGCCGGGCAAAGGCTACTATTGTCTGCAGAAGCCGAAGAACACTAGTATCTCTAGCTTCATACAACCACCTTGACCTTTTCTGCGGTTTTCAGTTAGCGCAACAGACGAGAAGAATTTTATTTGTTCTAAGTTGTAGTTCATTCTAAACGCTTGCCGATGTACGTCGCATGATTGAGGAGCAGACGGAGCGGCTAAACCGGGCATTGGGTAGGTGATGCATTTTTTTTGATTGCCGCGAACTTCTCAAATAACTCGTCTTCAATGTATTATGATCAATATGGGTTTTATTTGATCTTTTTTTTGATTTGCTTTCTTTGATTCATTTCTGTTCGCAATTGGCTATAATTTCGCAGCGAAAGCAAACATCATCATGAACAACGTGATTCAACTAAAGTCTTATTTCGTGTACTACTACGTCTACATCTACTACGCTAATGCATTTGCATATCGATTTGAACACGAGGCTTGAGCCGCTTCTTGATTTTGAACATGATTGAAGTAGAATACTACAATTAGGGAAGATGAAATCAATGCCTTATTTGTGAATTTGCCTCTTCGCGAATCTTGAATTTGCCTTATATTTGCCTCTTCGAATATTGAATTTCTTTGAACTTTGCTGAACAAGCTGTAGGGGTCTTTCGTTCTTGAGATTCTTCTTAGTGAAGAGAGCAGGTTCATACATTCTGTTTTTGAAAGAGATTCTGTTCTTATTGTTGAGACCTTCTACTGTTGAGGATGTTGAGAGAGCAGTAAAACCTGTCCCGGACTTCGAGAAAAGCTCCTTGCGAAAAAAACTTCTCTGTCCTCCGAAAATCTGATTGCTGAGGGAAACAAGAGGAGACGATGACTATGACTGACGGCGCGAGCAAAAGGTCATATGTGGGAAGCAAGCCTCTGTAGTGCGCGAGTGAGTGCCACAGCTCAACATCTGTAACTGGTGTGGAGAGCAGCTTTTTGAATAAAGTGTGTGATTACTAAGTTACAGGTACAATGTTTATTTGGTTTTGGATTTGGTATTTAATGATTGTTTTTGTTAGGGTTTAGGGTTCTCTCCGCTTCCATGTTTGGGTTTGTTCTTCTAGTAATGTGCATCGATAGCATAGTGAGTGTCCCCAGGATTCTCGGGACGATCATTTTGTTCTCCGTGCATGGTTTTCGGGAGTGCGTCCAACAATCGTGCGAAAAGGAAGAAGGCACAGACCAACGTAAGTGCAGGTTGATCGGTGCGGGGTGTTCTAAGGCGGTTTTCGAAAAAATCCTGAAGGTGAAAAGTCTACTCTCTCCTAAAACCACGCAAGTTGATGCAGAAGCCATCGTCAAGGGCGAACTGAACGCCGAAGAAAAAATGGAGCCGAAAAGCCTTGACGAGGACGGCGGCAAGGTGATACAGTACGAAAAGAGGAAAGAGGAACCCGATGTATGCGCCGAGGGGGAATGTACCTGCGACGATGGCACTCCGAACAACGGCGCTGTCTGTCGGAAAAAGCCTCTGGGATCCGCATGTCGTGGCAAGGATAGCGGGGCGGCGGGCGGCACCTGCGAAATGAAAGACGTTTACGACGGGCTTCTGTCTTTTGAGATTGCGGGACACGGAGAGGGTGACTGAGGCTATGAGATATGTGGGGGAGGGTGATAGCCAATCCTTGTACAGGGGGTGGTCAGTGGTCCATAACTTCTGTGCGAATGTACGGTCTTATGCGCCCCCCGTATGTAATTTGGATGACACTAGTTGAACATGTTAGTTGATTGTTTGAAAGCAGGGTGGTGGTATATAGTCCTAACGCAAAAAAAAAATCCTTGTTGTAGGAAAAGGAACTACGACAGGGACACACGCATGACATGACTGATAAGGCAAGAGTGGCGGAAGGTGGTGAATCATCTTCGAGGAAGGGCAAAGTTCCAGTTCTGAAGAATCACAGAAGATCATGTACCCGATTGATGTAGTGTTCTTGGAGCCTTCTTCAACTGCAAGGGATTCTCCTACAAAGGCTTTTCATTCTCCTGTAGCGATCCCGGAGTAATATCATGAAAAAAGCCCTTTATAATTTCTCTTGACTCAGTCCGAGTTTATGGGAAAGGGGTCCCAAAAAAATAGAGCAACGAACTTCTGAGCAGAAGTCGTGTGTAGAATATTGAAGTGAAATATATAAAAGGCGGGAAACGTCGGGGGAGGGTGGTTCATTCAATTTCAAAAGTTGTGTAGAGGAGTGGGAGAAAATCTTCTGCTCCACCATGCTCGGTGGCTTGGATCAAAGTAGTCCGCAGTCGAGGATGTTCACCACTTATCCTTCCATCTTCTCTCCAAGAACAGTACTTATTGAATATATGAATTGAATCTTACGTCGCCGACTCAATCCGAGTACCGCCGCAACAACAAAATGTGACAACTTCGAACTTCATCTACTTAAACAAAAGCCCTCTTCTTCTTCTACAAAGAGCAGCCCTTTGCCTTTTTTACTTATTTTTGAGTTCCTTGATATATAAGTAAAAGGCTGCCTCTTTCTTGTGCCTTGTCTTTGTCCGTGTTCCACACAAAATCAATCAGGCTGTCGCCTATAATTTCTCTCTGTCCGTGTCGAGTCTCTGTTATTCTTGTGCTTGCGCGTTTTCCTTGTTGAGGTGCCTAGCTTTGGCTTGAGTGATAATACAGCATCTGCTTCTGTCCTGCAAACTCTGACGAGGTAATGGTCAACTTTCCAAGTAGAGGAGGGGCAGTCCATGATGAGTTTTGTAAGTGGCTTAAATTAAGCAACTAAAACGAAAAAACTCCGTCTGGCAATAAATACGTAACCTCCTCCCATAACAGGGTCTTGCTAAGTCTTCCCCCTTTTTCCCAGAGGTGTGTTGCAAATCTAGCTTGGCGCTTTCCTTTTTGTAAGGTTAGGGTGTAGGTCCAGCGACGCTTCAAACAGAGCAAGAAAAATACGCAGATCGGAATTCGAAGGAGGAGCGCGGCACTTGATTTTCGTGGTAACATTCGCGACACAAAGTAGCAGAAGACGTAACTAGCACGTGCACACAGCGCGCTAGAGATGAGGGCACAAATGGAAGACGAGCCACATGAACCGGGAGAAGGCTCTCGCAATCAGAGCCACGCTCCTGCCGACAGAGAACCGCTACTGAGAGAGGAGCGTGAGGCAGAAGGTACGCGCAGCGCGACCAGCAGGAGTGAAGCTAAAAGTGGGAGGGACAACGACAAGAAGCACAACTCTAACTCTTGCCACGTATGGTCTCGCGATACGGTATTTCGGAGGCAGGAAGTGATCTGTGCCACCCTCCTGTTGGTCGTTGCTCTGATGGCATTTTTGACGTGGTTTTGGATCTATATGCATGCGGCGGTGTACACGCGATACGACGACGGGCGGGTGAATTTATATATTCTCTCGGATGGATGGTTTTTTGAGAAGGCGTGGATCACTGGCGCCGCTGAGAAACTGCGCGCCGCAAATGTGCACATGGTGAAGCCTGTAAGTGCTGGCTATGCGGATATCGACGCCGTGAATTCGCAAATTCGTTCGGATCCCCGGATCTTCAAGGTTACCATGGGCACATACGAAAGTCACGGGGAGAGGCTGGCCTCACTAGGCGAGAAGCAACTCCTGGTGCCGCGTATGAACGAGAATTTGAATACCGCGAGGCGCTGGAGCGGAATCGTGAACAAAAAAGAAATGATGGAAAACATTTTCGCGGACTTCGCCGCCGACCCCGAAATCCAGGATATGGTCAGCATTCGTGGTGGCAAGTGCACGGCTCAAATGTTGCTAAGATTTCGTGACTCCAAGGACCCGAAATTCCTGCCTGGTGGTGCTCTGGCCGAGGACGAAGACGAACACAAAACGGAAGCGAGGCAAGGCGATGCGCTGCGGAGGAGCGCCCAGAGGGCGCTACGGCCGCCCTCTCCTGAGGCCCCCTGGATGCTGAAGCCGTCGGTCGGCCAGGGTGGGCCGCTGGTGTCTGCCTTGTATAGAAAAGTCAATTCACTGGCAGAGGCGATCCAGCACCTTGAAGCACATCCGGAGGTCCCGTTTTTGGCCATGGAGTTCATCTCATCACCTGGCGAGGACTCCTTCCATTTCGTGTTCGACGCAGGCAACGAAGCCGCGCCGTATTTGAAGATGCGGCAGGTCCGGGAAGTGGCAGATTCCGAGGCTCAAAATGATGTGATCGCGCATCACGGAGGCTACGCGTCGTCTTCGAGGATTGATACAGACCCCGCGTTGGCCCGCAAACTGCAGAAAATCCTGGCAAAACTGGACTACCGCGGCCTCGGTTGCTTCGACCTTAAGTATCGCAACGGCAACTTGGACCAACCGGTGATCCTGGAACTGAATCCCCGGATATGCGGGACGATGACGCGGTTCGACGATTATGGGGAGTGGATTCGAGATTGGGCGCTTATCAATGCAGACCAAAACCACCCTTGTGAGCAACTGAAGAGTACCCTGCTGGCGAAACAGCAGGCGGACCAGGCGAGTCTGGGCCAACAAGGGCTAGCAAGAGCAAGTAATAAAAAACGCAAAGACAAACGGGCGCCCGTAAAAGACGCAGTGAAACGGACGAAAGGCGACCGCGAGGATTTGGAGAAGCTCGCAGCACAATGCGGATGGACGCTTTCGTCTCCTAGGGATGATTTGAGTGATCGGCTTTTCTCGTTGACGGCTTGGAACAACGCGGCAGACGCGTTCTACCCGGCGAGCTCGATCGCAGCCCGCAATTACTCTCTGGAATATCGTATGGGACCTACGAAGTTGTCGCTTATTCTATTCATGCTAGCTGCCGCTTTTCTGGTGGTGGTCTTGTTCAGTATGGACCTCGCGTCGATGGCGTGTGGTTATTCATGTGCCGATGCCGTTTGGGTGCATTGCCTACTCTGCCGGTGCCAATGCTGTTGTTGTTCCCGTTGTTGTGCAGCGTGCTACAAAGGGTCACCCGATGCCGCGTGTCATTGTCGTTGTTTGGACCGTACTTGGTGGGATGAAAACACGCCTGGGAATAATGCGTGGCGCCATTCTGGTGGGGATGGGGGCAGTATATTGGGAGAGCCTGTGCGCGGCACTCTGTAGTGTTAGCCGACGACATCGGAGACGGCGTAGGACTGAGATGTATTTCAGAGATCCACTCCATTATCAAAATGCTCGTAGATTCAATTGATAAAGTTCTTGCACGAGACGAGGAGGTGATATTTTCTTCATAATTTGAGGTCGTGTAGTGGTAGCGTCTAGGTCTAGTAGTAGTACATCTAAACTAGCTCCTAAATTTGATCATCTTAAAATCGACGGAAAAGAAGAAGCTTAGCGTATACTACAGGGGGTTAGTCCCGTCCGTCGCCGGCAGCTTCTCGGATTTACGTGCAAGCCCTTCCCTTTCGGATCAGCATGGCACTTCAAAAAGAAAGGCCGCAGCACTGCACAGAGCTGAACTTTGGACGCGTCGGTATGCCTATTTATTTGCTGCTAATTTTATTTGCGTTAGAGTTAGGCTTAGGACGTCGATCATGCGGAGGCAGCCTATCAACTACAACCTCGTCCACGGGACCGACGATGAGAAAGGAACCAATAGGGTATGCGCATATCAATGGAGCATCTTCACTCTTGGACCGTTCCTCGAACTTGAAAATGATTGAAGGTCGAATAATGCGGTTTTTAACTGGTAGGGATTGCTCTTCTTTTTAGAAGGTACAATGCGACTGGGAGGCGGAGGCCTCAAAACTACTTGACCACGTAGTTAACGAGGGCACATGACATGACATCAGTAAATTCTTCTGGTTCTGTTGAGTAAAAGTTCTCTTTTTCTTGTTGAGATTCTGCTTCTGGAGAGGATTATTCTGCTTGTTGAGGTTCTGGAGAAGTTTTTTTTGCTGAGGGATGAAGAAAGAGGAAAGATTGATTGACTACATTCACAGATTTAGTTGTGCGAAGCCTCTGTCTCTGTACTGCTACTACGTGAGTGAGTACTACAAGAAGAAGTGAACATCTGTCAATGGTGTGGAGGAGCAGCTTTTTGGTGGAGTATATTTTGGATAGGTGATGTGCTTAGGCTTACCATGCCAGTAGGTCTTTAATAGAGTTGCGGTATAGGTACTAATAATTGCTCATGCGTCGATCATAAGATGTTGGTCTTGAACCAAAACAACAGAGAAGATTCTGCTTGTAACAAGGAGCATCTTTTTTCCTCTCCCACAGACAAGAACTCTTCAACATCCCACGTTTTTTTAGAGAAAGACTGACTTCACTGTGTGTACCACGACACACATAGTCATCCTAATATCCTATAAATATCATCCTATTCTATCCCATCCTCCTGTGATCTTATCCCATAACGGATGTCATTGTATTTGTAGCTCAGATATACTATGTTGTATTAGAGAAGTAGGTAAGCATATTTATTAGAGAACTACACTACCCCCAGTTCGACTTGATTATAGAGTTCTTGAGAATCAGACTGAGACTCGATTACGCGGTTAAGGAAGAAAGCATTAGAAGCAATTCTGTCTCTTTTTCGTCTTACATCATTCATCTTCAGATTGTTTAGACAAATGTTTTCGAAAAGTTTTTGACACACTCGACTGTCGAATTTGATAGAGAACCAGAGTAGAAACTTCTGCTACGCTTACAAATACCCACGCTCCCCTCGTTCTAGAGGTATCATTGAAGCGGAGGCTATAAGAATTTGTTCCTCGTCTTGTTACTTCCTTCGATCAATGATCTATGATAGAAATCGCTCAACAGAGAGGACACGGAGCATCGCGATGATGACGCTGAGACAGAACAAGAAAACGATGATTGGGTTTGCGGCATTGGTAGTGGGTCTCCTGGGACATGTTGACTTTCATGTGTACGCTCTTCATGCATTTCTGCAACAAGAGCGTCGTGTTCACGAAGGTGTAACTCACCACAGCCGCAGCGATGAGGCCGCGAACGCGTGGTGTTGGAAAAACTTTGCATTATGAAGTGACGCCAATTGACCTATCATCTTTCTAAGTACGCATTACAGAGCTTCATGAGTACCAAATCAATGTCATAGAAGGACTGTCATGCTAAAGATGACGATATAGGTCAAACTAGTACGGAAGTCGCTAATTCAAAACGTCGGGGGACCGCAAGCAAATTATATCGATGGCTATTGCACATACAGTGAGGGGAAATGTCCGTGGCAAGCGCTTCCTTCATTCGGCAAGGACAAAGAGGAGGCGAAGATGGAGCTGTGCGGTGGACCAACATCTTCCAACACCTGTGGAAGCTGCATGGAGATACGAGGGTGGACTGGTGAAAATTGTTGCACATTCGTTCGGAAAGACGAGCCAACACGTATTATTACTTCTGATCATTTATTTCTCGTTTTTTCTCCGCTTTTGGAGCAACCACTAGTACTGGAGGAATTATATTCGAGAAGGGCCTGATTTGATTCGGATGATAGACAGATACACATTTTTAGTAGGACAAATACAAAGTAAATGTAAAGAAGTAGATCACATCATGATGAACTGCATACGCTGTTAGTATGGTCTCAGTCTCACAGATGCAACGTTAGCGTTACTAGTAAGACCACTAGGACCTATGTAGATGTACCTAAAATGAAGTAAGTGCCACTAGGACTTAAAACGGACCTCGGTTACTAGTAAGACCACTAGGACCTAAAATGAAGTAAGTGCCAATTTACAACAGATCGTGGCTCTGGCAAGAAATTGACGTCATGGGAGCAGGCGTTTATCCGAGATCACTACGCCAGAACAATTTGCGATGGCAATCCGCATCGTTTTCTCTACCCTGTCGGCCGCAAGAAGAATTAAGGCGAGTTATAACATATTTTCTATTTCTGTTGCGCTCTATATATTCTATATACGTGGCACCAGGGAGGTGGGAGACCGTAAGGTGGACCGAACGCCGTAGAGCTGTCCAAATGAGTCCCACCGCATGCTTCCCCCTATTATAAGGGTGATTCTTGTCGCTCTCCCTGATGCGTGACGCGTGACGCGTGACGCGTCACGCCTCCCACGTCACGCCTCCTACGTGAGGCGTGACATGGGAGGCGTCACGCGTCGCCCCGAAGCCGCCCACGGATCTATCAAGGATCCACGGATCTATCAAGGATCCGCAGAGCGATCGAAGGTCCACGGTTCTTTCAGCGGATCACCCAAGGATTCACGGATCTTCCAAGGATCCACGGATCTTTCAAGGAAGGATCCGCGGATCTTTCAAGGATCCACGGATCTTTCAAGGATCCCCGGATCTTTCAAGGATCCACGGATCTTTCGATCGAAGTTCCGAAGAGCTCTCAAGGATCCGCGGATCTATCAAAGATCCACGGATCTATCAAGGATCCGCGGAGCTATCAAGGATCCGCGGAGTGTATCAAAGATCCGCGGAGCTATCAAGGATCCACCGATCTATCCAAGATCCGCGGATCTATCAAGGATCCACGGATCTATCAAAGAAAGACCCGCCGAGCGATCGAAGATCCGCGGATCTATCAAGGATCCACAGATCTAGCAAGGATCCACAGATCTAGCAAGGATCCACGGGCCTCATGTAGGTTAGCGATCACCTAGATTCCTCAAAATCAAGCCCCTCCTGCCCGTTGTTGCGTGCTGCGTGACGCTTGAAATTGAGGGCATACATTTCATCCCCCCCGAAGCTCTGGGCGTGACGCGGTGGGCGTCACGCGTCACGAAACAGCTCTACGGCGTTCAGTAAGTCCCACGGTGGGAGACCCCACTGTGGATGGAGCGGCGGGCGTCCGCGCGCCCTTTTTTCTGCGGTGGTGACATGTAAGGACTCCCGAAGGCGAGGGCCTCAATAGGCGGAGCCGGAGGCCCTTGGCGGCTCTCCGCGTGTATCCCACCGGCGTCCCGACTCTTGGGCCCTATCACGGGGACGGCCTCCGGGGGAAGAAGGCTGCCGAAGGCGGCCACGGTCGCGAGGCCTGGCCCCTTTACCGCTCATCCTCCCAATTGGTGGCAGCGTCAGCCGCCACCAAACGCCAGGGGGGCTGAGGACCAAAGCCGAGGAGGAGTGGGGGCAAGGCGTGCCCGCTTGGGTTCTGTCGGATACATGCAGCGCGGCGAAAGGGGTCAAGCCTTGCCACCTGCTGCCCTAGGAGGCCTTCCACCTCCCAAGAAACTCACCCAGTGAGGAACCCGCACGCGGGAGGTCTGTAGGGTACACGCGACACGGCATGGGAGTTCTGTAGGGTAAATGCAACACGGCAAGGGGGTCAAGCCGTGCCACCTTTGCCGCCTTCGGAAGCCTTCCATCCACCCCCGGCCGTCGGTGCTTGAACGGCCTGGGGGGCTTGGGTTCTGTAGGGTGCAGGCAAGAAGCCGTGAGGCCGCGAAGGAGGGCGCTTGGAGGCCTTCCTGCCCGGCAGTCCCTCGAGGAAAAGGGCCCGGGGCTGGAGGCCCCCCCCAAGAATTCAGATCGGGGGGGCGTTCAGCCCTGAGCCATGGAACATATACAACGAAAAAAGCAAAAGGTGGCTCGAACTTCAATTACAAGAGAGACAGAGGCCTTGTGTGAGGCTTGTGGTCGGAGGTAGTCATTACCGCTTGTTTGTTTCTGCAGAGGTTTTTGTCTGATGGTGATAAATGTGCCGACAAGTAAAAACTCCCTTTATTTTTACCTTGTCATACATAAAACTGAAACTAAAACAAGTTTGCTTGTTTGTTCTAAGATCAATATTCATCTTGATAAGTAGAATATGTGGGTACGACTAGCACTAGCAGCTGCAAGTATCGACTGCGACTTCAGTATTGTTCGAGATTATCGCGATCTAGTTGTAGACTTGTTGTTGATTCTAATGCGTGAACGAAATGGCAACCGCCATGCATGTGCTTGATCTTTATAGCAAAGGAACTCCCGTTGAGAAGGACTGGATGTCAAAGTTCAACGCCATACTCCCCAAGAATGATGAGCATCGCGAGGAAATCCCTGGCCCCACTGCTGCAGCAAAACCACACCAGACGGATTTTATCGGCTTGAAGGAATCAGACAAGCTTCTGATAACGGACGTTTATCTCAAAAGTCTCAGCCGTGATGAGGAAGAGCGGATCCGTGAATACCCTCGGACCATGGCATGCAGCTGGAAACTCCCTGCGCGAGATACGGATGGTTCGGCACCGGGTGGAAAGCGAGTGGCAAGTGTTGACGGGGATATGGATGATTCGCCAGCGGCTGGAAAGGGAATGGCACTCGTCGCGGAAGGGGCAGAAGTCCCACTCTCACGAGCTCCAGATGCTACTACTGCGTTGCAGCGCGTGGATGGCATTTTTCAAGGTACTGTTACGATGCTGACACAGGATGAAAAGACAATGCTTGACGACATCAAAGGTGATGAAAATAATTTTTCGGCGTTGCTGAACGAAGGTGGCCCGGCCGACGTTGCTGCTATCACGGAGACCCTTTCTGCTTATTCAGCGAGCATGTACTCAGACCAGCACCAGCAGGCAAAGGAAGGTGGCGACGCCGAGACTGGGAAGATTCGGGATATGCTCTCGGATTTGAAGAAAAGGAATAATTGCGAGTCGGGGGATGGTGGAGGGAGCGATCATCAACAAAGTGATCTTGCGAAGCAATCTGTATGCCTCTGGGTGAAAGATGAGAAGTCCTCATCCTCGTGTCCGATAATCTCGCGTCTGGAGAACTTCCATGAGATTGTTTCCAGTTCCGCCGATGGTCCGAAGGAACTTCCGATAATCTCTGTGAAGGAGCTCGCAACGGTGGAGGAGCTGCTTCGCGGAGTTTGGGCCGAGTTGCCAGCGGACGAACAAGTTGTCAAGAACTTCTTTCGCACCCGTGCTGGTCCCGGTGCTGTAGGTCAAGGGAAAGTGTGGAGACAGCTCTCAAGTACATATGACGAGATGTCGTGTCGGGCTTTATCTGAAGATCCTGAAGGCCGTCCAGAGGACCCTGAAGATGAAGTCGTTGCGAAGGCTCCCTCATCTAAGCCTAATAAAGTCCAGCTCGCGGAGGAGGACAGGAAATTGTGCAAAAACTACCTGTTTGTCTTGGCCAATTCCGGGTTGGGTCAGAATGCTGGTGTTCTAAGAGATTCTGTTGCCAAATGGCAACAAGCCTTTATGGGAAAGAAGCGTTTTTCACTATTTCACTATATTTCACTCTTTTACTATTTCACTATTTCACTATTTCACTATAATTTTATTCTATTCCCTGTTGACGTACTACGATCGATCCTAATTATTTTTGTCTAAGATGTATGAGGACGCGACTGCAAATGATGGATCTATGAGACCAAGCAATGGACAGGTACAAGATTTTCTGGACATAGTGGTCCCGGAGATTCTGGAATATGCGAACAGCAAGAAAATGGCGAACATGCGTCGTCTCGAGCGCCAAGTCCCTGAGTTATGAGTCCTGACAATCCAACTTTTCCACTTGCCGTCGCAATACTTCCACCTATCCAGCTTTTCCACCTATCATCGTCTTGTCTGAACGAAGCATCACATGAATACCCATTCAGCGGATTTACCTAAGTAACAAGTAAGTACTTACATACATGTTACAACTAGAACTAATTCGAGATGCAACATAGATCTACATCTATGGAGTTAAGCGACAGAATATTGTAGATGACGACGTCTAATATCAGAGTCAGACACACGCGGCGGAGGTCCAAAGGGGACAACAAAAGCGGGTAATGCGAACAGAGTAATTGCACTGCAGCAAGAGAGGGATCAAAAAGCGCAGCGTGACGGCGTCCTCAGACTTCTGGGGCTCGGTCCGCCAGAGCCAGGCAGCGACTTATACCGATCCTGAACGTTTACGTTTGGCTCTGGGGATACGACATCACCAAGCGTGAGACTTATGTAGGAGATGAACATTCACGTCTGAGGATATGGATATCACCATAGGTGATGTGCAAAGAAGGTGAACACAGGAGAAGCTCTTCTAAGTCGGGTGTAGGCTTAGCAGCATAGTTGTTAGGAAGATTTCAGGTGTCGTGCTAATGACTAATCCTCGAAAATTTTCTTAATTTTTTTAGGACTTGGTGGAAGGACGAAAACTAGGCGATATGTTATTTGCCCACCTTATTAGGTATCATTTGATTTCGGATTCTTCAAGCCCAAGCGTTTTTTTTTCTATTTAATTTTTTGAAGCATACCCTTACAACCAAGTTGAGACAGAGAAAACAGTGATTGAAAATAGTTGACGCAATACGAATACTACGCACGCAGGAATAGATTTCGCTTATTCTGATTATCATGATAGAGTTGCAGTTGTAGGCACGATTCTTGAGGTGCAAGAAGCATCATACGCACCAGCACTCCACTTTGTAATTTGTGTATTATATTAATGCCGAAGGCGACTGAGTAATTTTTGTTTAGTGAATTTTCCAACAGTGAGGCTCACGGCAAGAGGAATGAATAAACCGAGCCAAGCACGACAAGAACAGGCAATATTACACTTCTACGAGATAAAAAACAAGCAAGCATCACGACCATATCTGTGACAAATATTTACACAGATGATTTGAATAATGTTTTTGTTTTTGGGAATCGAGAACAACTGCAAGCTTGGGAGGGTTTTTTTTACTTTTGGATCGATCACGATGAGCTACAAGAAATTGGGAAACTCTGGATCAACTAGTGAGTGTTTTTTTCGAGCATGCATGCATCATTCAATAAATAAAACTGTCACCGACAACATCATAATTAAGATGAAATGAGTAGTGATCATCACAACAAAAATGTTCTTCCACCAATGTCGAGCAATTTTTGCTCAAGAAGATGATGTTGAGGATTTAGCGCAGCGACATGGTGACCTGAGACTGAAGATGGAACTGGTGCACGTTTTTTACTTCAACATAACCGATCTAGATTTTTTTTTTTCATGAAAAAACAAAAAAAGTGTAAAAATCCAGAAAGGAAGTCAGGCAGCTCCTGACATTATATGGCACCATTACGTGCGCAGGCTCTTGAGGACTTTAATGGTGCGGATTGTTCCTTAGTTATACGAGTAAGATCCTCTCGATCCTAAGATCATGCTCCTGAAGATCAGGCCAAACGCACCTTCGTCACATACTTGTCGTGAACAGCCTGAGACTGTATTTTCTATTACTACAAAATAGAAATATTACTAAGTACGTACTAGTACTAGTAGTAATATACAAAAAAAATGGCGAGACAGCCGACGTCGGCAGCGCCTTCAGGAGATGAATTTCCGTGGGGTGGTTTCCAGGCGCTTGATTGCATTCTGCCTTCTGTTGATGGTGGCGTTTTGCTGGAAAGCGTGTTTGACGATTTAGATACTGGAGAATATGAAGAACATGTAGTAGTTGGAGGTCAAGATGAATGTGGTAGGTGGGGCGGGACGAGTCCTGCCCCAGGAGTTCTCAGAGATGAACACGGCAAGAAAGATGAAAAGTCATGTCCTGATCCTGAGCAAGAACAAGAAAGCACACGTCGTGCAGTGATGGTGCTGAGCCGCTCACAGAAATATGAGGCAGAATTTCAACTGCTCGTCCAGGAGTTTATAGCGGCGCAGCGAGCATTGTTAAGAAGCATAACCTTGTGGATTGCGAGATATACAAATATAGAAGTAGATATCCTCAAACTCAATGACTTGTGTCGCGGTAGTACCATCAGGGGTGTAAATATCCTCAATATTGAATCCATCAAGTATGAATATTCTCAATTTACACTTTTCTCAATGAAGATATTGGTTTTGTAGGGGAACTTGTAGTGGCTGTGTAGGTTTTAGGACCTGTATTCTGTTTGGTTGCTTTGGCCACATACACATCCTCGCCAGAACTACAAGCTCCTGATGATGAAAGTTGCTCATCCGCAATAAAAGTAAGATTTTTGTGATCGATGTACCATCTGGACCTGGTGGATGGTATCAACCTTGTCTGCAGTGTTTTACTCCTTCTCTGACAAGGTATACTTCTTCATCTAATTTCCTTACAACGATGCATAGAGGCCGATAAGAAAGGGAGAGTGGATGGGGCTACTTTGCTAAGAGCGAGGATGCGCAACCCGTACGCAGCTTGGCTCGATCCGTTTGTGATAGACCAACAAGATGAAGATAGGCCACCGATAGACATCGATCCAGAATTGGTTTCTTTGTTGGATCGAGGTAAACGATTTACACCTTCAGTTCCGTCGACAGAAGCCACCGCTTCGTCGCCAGAGGAACCGAGGAATTCATGGAAGAACAGGGCCCGCAACAACACAGTCCGAGACTGGTTATTTTCTGGTCGTATGTGGTTGGGGGATATGTATGATGCCACACATTGAGAACAAAGATTTGGGAATGTCGTTCCTATAAGTATAAGAAGGAAAAAGGGGAACGACATTCGTTCCCATTTCTACGCTCTCAAAAATGAGTGGAAGCATTCAGGATGTCAGAATGCCAGGAGTTTACGGTGAATCCAATGGTGGAGCGCACAAATATTTTTTCACGGTTCAAGATGGTTTGGATCCCTGTGGCCCATTCGTAGTTCCTTTGAGCTTGCAAAACAAAAACGAGGACGAAAAGCAACGACGTATTCTAGAAACGTTGCGGCAGCTTGAGTCAAAGGCTATCCGTGAAATGTTGGGAAACAAACATCCCTCTTCTAGTAGTGCTGAAGCGGAGGACATTGTGATGGGGCGGGAAAATCATGCAGATCACCAGCATAATGACGACGAGGACATGGACAATGTGGATTTCTCTAATACGGAAGTAGGTGCACGAGGGGTAATAAGTAATATGTTAAACAACGAGCAAATGACAACTTCGACTTGTTCGCCGTCTAAGAGAACATCAGAAGAAGTTGGAGTTTCAATAGAGCACCAGCACCCTGAAGTAGATGATGAGTCGAGCAGAGGGCATGGGCGGCGAAATCAACATGTTCTTGATGATGCGCAAAAGTCAGATGCCGATCAACACCTGCAGGGTCATACTGAAAGTGCTCGTGTGTACGCTATCCACGCTGATGAAGGAGACGCTCAGTTTGTGCGCGTCTATGTTGGAGACGAGATACCTAAAAACCTGCGCAAGTATTTCGATGACGACACAACGAAAAAGAATATCTTCCAGAGCCAGAATAGTTGTTGTAACTCAGGAGTTGTAGAGTCAGAGTCTCATCATCACGTCCAGCTCGCTTGGCATGATAAGGAGACCTACTGCTTCGGAGACATAGACCTAAGGACGGGAGAGATTCGTGGGGAAGTGAGGCAGCTGCAGTCGGGGGAAAATGAAGGCTACTGGGAACCTTCGAGTACAGTGTCCAACACCTTTTATTTGCAGCCTTACCCTACACCTGGTCGTGCGGAGCGTGTGCTCCGGAATCGCGTCTTGACTAAAATGCTCAATCTATGGCGCCGAGGCCCTAAAGTCTACGACTGTCTGATCAATACCTTCGAACCAGACCCTTACCCCCGGTGGGAGAAAAAGGTTGGTCTGAATTCGTTCGAAAACTACGCAGAGGTGTTACGCGTACGAGAACAGATACGGGAGTCTGAACGAGAACTGAAAAGCGCCTATTTTGAAACGTATGTTGAGCGGATTTTTACGAAGATCCAAAATTATCGCCGTCCACTTGAAGCACAACAGATGCGAGTAGTGGAGATGAACCAACAAGAAGCAAAAGAGGAGAATATTAAGGGGGCAACGTCATCGACGACCACTTATCCTGTCGTTAGAAGAACAGTGAACTTCGCACACAGAATCGCTTGTAATGACTTCGAGTACCTAACCGGCATTCCAGTGGAGCAGCTCAGCGTAGCAAGCAACCCAGGATACTTGCATCTACCCATTTATGTAGACAAAGAGATAGAAGTTTTACTAGTGAAGATATTCATCCGTTTTTCCACTGCCCCCGCCCCTCCTGCTTCAAACAAGAAATAGAACCACACCTAAACAATCTATGATAGGTCTCGTCTCTCCTACAACTAGTTGAAGTTGAGTATCGTCCTAAGTAATAGGACCAACATGCCTTACCATTTTGCGATCAAAACCAGAGTCGTGTCAATAAGCAGGAGGGTCCTGTCCTCGATTTTCCCCTTTCATGTCCTGCACTTGACGAAGCTTTTTCCGTGGCACTTGCTTGTACGTCTGGCCGCACAGCACTGTAGAGCAGCACAAGCTGACCTTTCCGAACGTGCTAGGTTCTACCAAACGGTCTCTTTCCCGAGTCAAGAGGCGAAGAAGGAGCATTTTTCTAGAGAAAAGGAACGGGCAGAAGCGATGTTGAAGTATATTTTCGCTACTACGACCTACCATGGCGCCTACAGCGACTTTGTGCGAGGGATAAAGGACCACTATCCCTTGGATCATTTGTTGTTATGGATCTTGCGGATCATGTTCATTTGGTAGTATGACAATGACTATGCGAGACTTGTGCCATGCTATGCAATTATATATAAATATCTTTATTTTACTCGTGCTGCCATGCAAGAATTATTTATGCCACCAACGTGATACAACACGGGTACAGTCAAAGTAGTCAAGCTCCTCCTGCTTTATTTCCCCTCTGTCTCTCTAAGAAAAGGCAGCGACAATCGAGTATCACTCAGTGCGCGAAAGTTAGCACATGCACGATGGGACTCAAGTATAGCAGTGCTTCAGCAGTTACTCGCTCAAAGGAAAAATTGGTTCCATTTTCGTTGGCGTTCTGACATAAATGTTACAGAAGTAGACATGTTGTACAGGAAACCCTTGCAGCTGCTAGAAGGAGGAGCAAGAGCAACATCTTCGAATGTGAATACCAGTAGCAGTGCTAGGGGAGCCACGCTGGAGGGACAAGCCACTACGTCAAGCACTAGCGCTACGACATCGATCGCAAGAGAAGAATTCGGAGGTAGAAGTTCAAGTATTAAGGGTAGGTTAAAGAGGTGCTTTTCTTACCGCTTTTCATGCCTCTCTCCCTTAGGGTTAGGATGAGAAGGGCATAACAAGCGGGGTAAGCGAGCACCAAAAACCTACCTCTAAAAGTAGTTCTTCGTCGTCCTCCAAGAAGAGGAAAACAAGTCAACAGCAGGAGAGAACCGAAACAGGTACGACAACAAGAAGAAATAAAGAAGTTCTTCCAGGAGGTGGAACAACCGAATCAACATATAGTATATCAACCCGCACGAGAGCTAAAAGAAAACTAGTTTATGCGACGGGGAAGATTTTTTATGCGACCGTGGCGGATCCCCTAGACGTTGCCTTCGATTGGATACCAGAATTGGTTGATACAGATCCTTATGTAAGGAGCGCAGACTTCATGAAAAGGGCGAAAGTTGTTAAGGTGGGAGAGTATCAAAGGCTTATGTTAACTGCGTAAGAGAAGTAGAAGTACTTGTACTAAGACTAAGATGAAAGAGTAGTGACTAGCTGTATTATGACTCTTTGATAGTGATGTCAATATGAGTTCTTTGCTAGTTATGCTGTTGTTATTGGATACCAGAATTGGTTGATACCAGAATTGGTTGATACCGATCTTTGCTAGTTATGCTGTTGTTAAGGTGGGTGGAGAGTATTGCTCTTTATTACGTACTATCCTGAACTTCTAAAAAGTCCAGTCCTCCATCAAGTACATCTGCGGCTCAAGGCGTGCAGCTACAAAAGAAGTGGCTCGAGGTGGACGAAGTTCAGGTGGCAAACGTTAGAGAGCGAAATGCAAATGTTATGGATGGAGGACGGTTTCGCGAAACCAGATCACGCATTGCTCTTCAACAATTTGGGCTCATCCCTGGTAGTAATGCCAATTCCGGGTTGTCATTGCTCAAACGTGAAGAGGACACTGAGATTATTCCAATTTCTCATCTAGAAGGAGGAGAAGAAGCACATCATGACGCTGGAGAGGTCGACAGGAGTTCTAGAGGTAGCATGTCGACAGAAGAAGATCTTCATGCAGCTGATGGAATTAGTAGAGGAGCAAGTCCTAGCAGTTCTCTTGGTCGTGGTCATGTAGATGACAAGCACGACGAGGACGAAGAAGACGTGTGGTGGCGACGTTTCTTAAAGCCAGGAATGTCACGACAACAAGTTGCACAAGAGATAACAGAATCGCTGGAAGGAGCAAAGGCTGAAGAAGATCGCGGTGACGGTTCTACTTTTTTTTCTACTAGAAGTTCTTGCTCTTGGCCTCCTGCTAAAGGAAACGAAAAGGACGTAGAGAAAGACCTTGCAGATGAAGAAGAAGGAAGAAAAACAAGTTTTGAGGGAGATTTCATGTCTTGTGACGAAGAGGCGGAAGACGAGGAGGAGAAGCGGCTTAGTACGGGGAGTGCTGGTAGTCTTCGCAGAAGTAGAAGAACTACAACGACAGCCCCCTCAGCCTCTTCGTCCAGTTCCAGTTGTGCGAGTCGTGGCCCTTTCCTGATTCCGCTACCTCATTTCCGATTCGTAGAACGGGAAAAGAGAGAGCGTGCGGCCGTTCTAAATGACCAGCTGTTGATGCAGAGCGAACATATGAGAACAGCGTCGGTGTACGAGGCATTTAGTACATCGGTCCGCCTTGCGGAAAACCGACTCTCTACTGCTGAAATCAACAAGCTTGTCCTGGAAGACCCGAAAGACATTATGGCTAGTTGTCTACTAAATAGCAGCTCAGAGCTGGTGAGTTATTTCGTGTTGGTGGATCTTCTACATTCATCATATCATGATCTATACACTTCAATCTATATCTAAGTAATATGTGTTAAGTAACTACTATTATAACTTCTTCCATCTACAACTGAATAAATAAACATGGTATTCTGTTACAAGAACTCTTCGTAGTTTTCTTCAGGAATGCAAGAAGTGCCAGTATTTGCACAGTGAGTCTCTTCAATGTTCATCTTCTAATACCCTCTCTCCTGGAGATGACTGCATGATTTGCTTGGGACCATTGACAGAGCCTCCTTTTAACAGCGCAGTGGCAGACGAAAGAGGAACGCCGGCCACGGAAAAAGCGAACTCACCAGCTACTAAGCTGAGACACCAACATCATATTAAGGATAAGGTCGCGATCGTGAAACTGCCACAGTGTGGTCACATGCTACACTTAACATGCGCACTAGAGTGGTTGCACTCCCGGCAGACATGTCCCTATTGTCGAGCGACGGTTGTTGTTTCTTAAAGACAGAGTTAAAACTCGAAATGTTATACTGATGTTTTCCTTGAACTCAACCTAAATACCAAGTTAGTACTAGTAGTGGACAAAGACATGCCAGATTCAGATACTCATACGTTCCACTCTCACACACCAAAAAATCATCAAATGCCACCAGCGACTAAATAAGACGCCGTGTTTTATTTGTTTATATCCATCTTTTGGTGGCGTAGTTTCAAAAACGAGAAACTGAGGTATTTCCAGCTCTCTTGTTCTTTTCTTTGCTTACTTAGTCAGTGGAAACAGAAGACAAAGAACGAAGAAGAAACTTTTAGTACAGTAAGCAAGACATTGACATACTTAAACGATTCTACAAAAGTAGAGCCTCATGTCCTTGTGTCGAAGGGCTACTTATGATGTTGGGCGCACCACTGTTCTAGATGTAAAATTGTCTACGGAGGACAATATGCTGATTTTGAACCTATCAAAAGCAAAAAGTGAGGCTTTGCGAAATCTTCTGTGCGAATGTACTTTGTCTGTGACGAGTGACACACGCTGTGCAGCATGACTAGTATGAGAGACTGAAGATTCTGCATACATGGACGAGACTGATTGAGAGGGAAGATTCTGTGCAGAGGGGCCGCGATTCTGTGCTGCAGAGAGTTCGAAAGATCAACTTCATTTCTGTCAGAGTCCAAACTTCTGTTTCCTGAGAGAGAAGTTGTGAGTTTTCACTTCAGCACGTACCCAGATGAAGCTAGATAGCGATAGGGCTAACTGAGGATCATCGATTCAGGGAGTTGTCCAGATTATGTGTAAAAGGATGTGGGTCTCGATTGCCACCACGATGATCATGATCTCTTTCAACATCTCCATTGTATTTCCAGGCAGCTAATAAAGACTTTTTTGGTTGAAGGTCTTGGAAACTTTCAACTCTCACCACTAGCATTTTCATTTCCTCTAAGGATCATATAGTTTGAGCAAAGTATATATGTTCCAGGGCGCGCGCGCGGGGCGACGGTGCCCCCCCTAGCAGGGGGGGGCCGTGTGCCCTGGACTCCTTTTTAAGGCGTCTACAGGGGGGGAAGGCCTCAAAAGGGGGCCAAGTGACTTCCCCCCCCGCTCCCTTCCAGCTGCCTGGCTGTTCGCTAGGGGCCTCCGATGATGGTGGGAGGCTTCAAAAGGGGCCCTCCAAGGGACTGCCTGCGCCCCCGTCCAGGTGCTTGCCTGTGCCCTAAGTGCATCCGTTAGGCTCCGCCGCCGCAGCAGTGCTCCGGCAGCGGAAGGCCTCCGAACGCGGCAAAAGGCGAGGGGCTGGACTCCCTGGGCCGTGCAGCTTGTACCCTCTGGGCCCTTGGTCATCGGCTTCCTTGCTCTTGCCACCGTGGCCGCCTTAGGTGGCCTTTTACCCCGGAGGCCTCCTGTCTGCGAGGGTCAGCAGAGGCCAGGAGGCCCGTCAGGAACACGCTGAGAGGCCCAAGGGGAGGGCCGCGCCAAGTTTTGACGCCTTCCACCACTAGAATCCGCGAAAAAGCGCGCGCGCGCCACCACAGACCAGACCACAGGCGGGGGCACCGTTCGGCCTTGAATCGTATTGGTTCCAGGGGTGGAGGCTCCCCCCCTCTGGATGGAGCGGTGGGCGCCACCGCGCGCCCTTTTTTCCGCGGTGGTGACATGTAAAGACATCTGGGGGCCAAAGGCGGAACCGGAGGCTCCTGGCGGCTCTCCGCGTGCGCTTGACGGGCGTGCTGGCTCTTGGACCTTATCTGGGGGAAGAACGAAGGCCGCTGAAGGCGGCCACGGTCGCGAGGCCTGGCCCCTTTGGCCCTCGTCCGCCACCACCAAACGCCTGGGGGGTTGAGGACCAAAGGCGGGGAGGAGGTCGCGCAAGGCGTGCCCGCCTGGGTTCATCTGTCGGATACATAGATACAGCATGGCGAATAAAGGGTTCAAGCTTTGCCACTTGCTTCCCTCGGAGGCCTTTCACCGCCCAAGAAACTCCCAGTGAGGAACCCGCACCCTGGAGATCTCTAGGGCACATGCAACAAGCGGCAACAAGCCAAAGGGGGCCAAGCCTATCCTCCTTTGCCATCTTCGGAAGCCTTGCACCCCCGGTCTTCGGTCCTTCAACGGCCGCAGGGATGGGGGCGCTGTCGGGTCCAGGCAAGAAGCGGGAAGGGGTCGGAGGGGGGCTTTTGGAGGCTTTCCCGCGCGGCTGTCTCTCAGGAAAAAGGGCCAGGGGCGGGAGGGCCCCCCCCTGGGGTTCTCATCTCTCATTTTTTGAATCTTCTAGAGCATAGAGTGAGATACAGATACATCAAGCAGAAGGTACATTTATAGAAACTTACTAAGAAATAAGACCAAGAGTAAGACGCCAACGCATTCCTTGGTTTAGTGTCTTCTACCTAAGCTCGTCTTCTCCACTCCACTGAGAAGTAGGATCAATTATCTCCTTTCTATATACGGAAGGTCAAAGAAATGTCATACATGTTAAACACATCATTTTTTTAACAATCAATACATCGATCACGACATACACGTACCTAAAGAACGTCTTCATAAAGATTATCGATCTACCACAGCCCCAACCTCTACAACAACGAGCCCCAACCTCAACATACCAAAACAATAAACAAGATGAGCGCTCCAGCGAAGCGAAGTAGCACCGCATCCCAAAAAGCTGCCGCAGGTGGCGGTAAAGCTAAGGCGGGATGCTTCGGCAACTACATGATTTGGATGTCCGGCAAGTACATGCTTGGTGACGTGAATTACTATACCAAAAAATACAACGAGAAATGTCCTGGTTTTTTGATGCCGGATGAACAGATTGAATTCGTCTTCAAGTTCTTCGAGAAGAAGGTGATTTTCACCGACAAACGCATCATCCGCAAAAGCGGAAGCGGAAACATCAACTTGGAAACGATTGCCTATTCCGCAGTTGGGGCTTACGAGATCGTCACGCCCTCCAACAAGTTGGATCAGGATGGCGAGCTGCTCATCTACACCACGATGGATGAGTTCCCCTGCGTCAGCTTCAGCATCGCGAAGGACGGTGATTTGGACCTGAAGAAGTTGATGCAGTTTGTCAACCAAGGCATGCTGGCTGCTCGTGCTCCGGCAGCAGCGCAGAAGTTCAACGCTGTCGAGAACAATGCCGAAATCGGGGATTCTTTCACGACCTTCCTCTCCTCCGATGCCGCGCAAATGCCTGCGGAGGAAGCACAGTCCACTTTCGCCGCCATTTTGCACCCAATGTTAAGGCTCAACGCAATTCATTTCCTAGGGTGATTTTCTTCGGTTTCGTTCGTAGGATTCTGAAGAAATGACGGGAAGAAGTGAGTTGCTTTATAAGCTCTAACAATGGAGACCGTCGCCTTCTGTTTCAAGCGTGGCTACGACTTCACGATGCTGACCAACATGCGCATGTTCTTTATCGATCAGCAGGGCACCTTTTCGTCGACTTACGTCTACACTTCCGTCATGTGGCAAAGCGTTCGTGCGTTTTCGGTGGAATCCGGATCGACCTTCGACAACGACGCGGAGTTTGTTTTGTACACCAACATGATGGGCAAGCGCCAATTCAAGCAGGAGCTGAAGAAAACTGTCGACATCTTGTCGATCCAGGCCTTCATTTCCGACATGTGCTGCGGTACAGTTAAGGCTCGACGTAATGATTCATCTTCAAAGTACTAGTTTTTAATTCGCCTCCATCGACGTGACACACATTTTTTCCCTTCTTGTTTGGATTTTTCTGAGGCTATATGTATAACAACTGTGAGTACGAAAGAACAATAAGGATGAATTATTTTTGCGAGCTGCTCTAACACTGAGGTCCTTCCTCGCGTCACTGGTGAGATGGATGCTCCGGACGTAGACGAGAAGAAGGAAGAGGGCTTCTGGAACAGCTTGACTGGTAACGTTGGAATGCTCATGAACAGTGCGGAAGCAGAAAAGATGTTCAAAGAAGATAAAAAGCTTCTCGCGGAACAAGAATCCATCGAGCTTGCCTACAAAGCGAAAAAGTTAAGTTTCGATAGAACTACAAGGCATTCATTTCCAAGAGCCGTGGTCATTTTCTTCTGTTTTCCACCTCTCGGAAAAATTCTGAAGAAATGAAGGAAACAAGAAATGATCAAATAATAACTAAAAACGTACTTGAAGACCCACGCACATTATACAGTTTCCTTCAAATGCATCATTCTCCTTACTTTGAGCTCGTCCTCTAATGAAGGATTTCTTCCTGTTCACTACCAAGCGGTTCATCGTTGTCGATCACAAGGCCGGTTTTTTTGGGATGAACGCTAAGGACGAGTACATCTCCATTCCCTACAAGAGTATCAAGGGGTTCTCTGTTCAATCCGCAGGCTCGTGGTTCGACAATTAAGGCTCACGACCCTAATGGTCCATCTTCCGAAGTATCCTGAACAAGAGCTCCATCTTCAGAGAAGTCATCCCGAAGGGGTAACTAATGGTCGATCTTCAGAGAAGTCATCCTGAAGACGAGGTAACTAATGTCCATCTTCAGAGAAGTCATCCTAAGTAGAAGAGAGGCTTTATTTCAAGGGGAAAAGGTGGGTCCTAGCACTAGCAGGAAGATGCTTTTGTTTTCAAGTACTTAGATGGAAGATGACATGATTAGGGTGAGCAGCTCTAAGACAAGGATTCCGAAATGATGTTGTGGACTGACATCGCACCAAATGACGACATCCTCAAAGAACAGGGTGAGGGAGAAGACAGATCCGTCTATTGGGTGCTGAACCCGGGATTGTCCTTCCGCTCGTTTGATTTCAAGAAGGATCAAATCGATCTGCTCTTGTTGCACAAGTTGTTGACCGCATACGTGTGCCCAAGAGTTCCGGATGGTATTTTGAGTTTTTACTCGAGTGAAAACAGAAATCACACAAGAACATAACTCAATTTTCCTGAGTCAGTTAAAGTTTACTAAGTTGCCTCCAATTATAGAGCAAACTGCTATTTCGTCTCATCCCACTCGTCCTTCATCACTCCCACTCGTCCTTCATCAAGGATGAAACAGAGGTTCATCTGAAAAATCGCGATATAGTGAACAAGATCGCCAGGAATACCTTATAGTTATATTATCATAAGCAATTAGAATTACGTAGTTGTATAAACTTAAACATAAGATTCTCGTCCTCTCTTTCATCTGCACTGCATAGTGTAGATGAATGAGAATTTTTATCAATTCATTGACTCACTTACTATTATCTCGTATGGTGCAGACGCTCCTGTGTAGCCTTGATCACGACATGCACTGTATAATCCGTTACCTAACCAACTCATCCTCGTCCAAGAACAAGAAGAACAACAAACGTCAAACACGAACCCCAACCACTTCTATGTTTCTAACACAACTACAGCCGAAGACGCCGCCCCAATGGACTTCCGTGAATGCGGGAAGGCTGAGGGCGCCATCGAGGCATTAATGAGTTGGGCCACTGGAGACGCTCGTGAGGTGGACCCTGCGCAAGTTCAAGCTGGGATCCAGGATTGGTTGAGTCCGGGAGAAACCGTCCAACTCGCTTTCAAGGCTGGTCGCGATTTGCACTTGTTTACCAACTTGCGCCTGTTCTACATCGATCCGCAGGGCTTCTTTGGGAAGAAGGTACTCCTACTTACTCTTTTTGACTTGTTGATACGAGGATCATTGTTCTGTGCTGTATCTTTATGACCAAGACCGTCTTCTTCCACATACCCCTAACTTTTGAACCCTTCTTGAACCTTCTCTACCATGACACAACTTCTCAGGTCGAGTACCGTTGTTCCTTGCCGAGCAATGCTTGTTACTCATGCTTTCTTTGTTAACCTCTCTTCACCGTCACCCACCAGGTCGAATGCCGTTCCTTCCCGAGCATTGCTCGTTACTCATGCTTTCTTTGTTAACCTCTCTTCCACCAGGTCGAATACCGTTCCTTCCCTTACTCTTCATTCGCGGGATACTCGGTTCAGCATGAGATCGGAACGTGGGATGCGGATGTTGAGATCCGTATGTTCCCGAAATGCCAGTGGGAGCCTTATTTGTCTCTGGAATTGATGCAAGGCAAGGTTGACGTGATGAAGATCCAGGCCTTCCTTTCGCGCAAGATTCTCACCAAAATGGACGTCGATGTCTCCGAATTGGCAGATCAGAGTGGTATACTTATACACTTACTAGATGGGGGACGTTTTTCTTTTTGCTCAGGACACGAGCTTTTCAAGTAAGTGATCTGCGTTAGCATGCATGTGCAGAAGTATGTTTTGACGCACGACCGTAGTTGACGAAAGAACATGCCAGAACATTCTTTTTTGGAACTTCCTAGCCATTTTGTTTACTCCTTACACACAAAAAAGGTGCTTCTGAAACCATGGGAGAGACCTTTTGGGATTGGATCAAGGGCGATGATGCTCGTGCTCTGGACCCGCAGATGGCGCAGGATATGCTGGCTGCCTTCCTCATTCCTGCGGAGAAAGTTAAGGCTACAAGCAATGATCCATCTTCGCAGGCATCGATCTATCTTTCTTGGTTCCGTTTTTAATGGCCCAAGATGCTGCTGAAGATGGGTTTGCCTTAGTTCTAAGGAAGTTCAGATGGCCTTTCGAGCTGGTCCGGATCTGTTTGTTTTGACGAACAAGCGCGTCATGGTCATCGACAAGGAAGGAAAGCCCTGGCGCCGTGGAGGACAGTCCATTGAGTACAAGTCTTTGCCGTGGCAACACGTGAAGGGGATGAGGTGCTCATCTACTTGCTTTCCTTACTGATCATGTGATGTCGTGTATGATGCAGAATTCATTGCTGATGATGTCATACCGTGGATATGGAGTAACACTATGCCAAAAGCGAACATAGAAAAGGGGCTTTTTTTGCGTTTTTTGTACATTCTTCGTCTCAGAATGAAAATTTTTCATTTTGATTGAGACGAATAGGAATACTGCCCAACTGATCCCTGGGCTTTATGTGCGTTTTTTGGCCAAAAGACCACTTTTCTATGGTCGCTTTTGGCATAGTTAGTGGCACTCCATAACCGTGGACATTGTAAAAATATTAACGGTTACCGAATTACATCCCGCATTACCATCCTTGGCGCTTTTTCTACTTGAAAAAGGCACCGGGGGTATTTGAGGAGTGTAATTCTGTAACGTCTAATAGAAATAATTCTAGTTCTAGGTGATAGAAGACGAAATACGAATAGAAATAGATGTTTATAATCATTATCATGTTGTTGTTGAATCGTTTTCATGATTATGTTTGATTCGCAGCGTTCAGTTAATATCTTCTCCCGTCAAAAACGTTTTCAGATGCGAATCCCCACAACGTTCAGGAGTTATCTTCTCGCATCTTGAATACCATTTTCAGATGCGAATCCGCTTCCGGTTTCTTTGATGGTGATGCCGAGATCTTTGCGTTCACCGATGCCCCGAAGGGTCAGTACCCGCAGCCCAATGTGATCGCTGGTGAGGGCGACGATGAGGGTGATGCGAAGCAGAACTACAACGAGAACGCTTGCTGCCTCGAACAGGATTTGCGCAAAGGCTGCGAGGTAAAAATCTTCGACATCGCGCAAGTCATGGGCAACTTGCTCATGACCATCGAAGAACCATAAAACCCTTAGATATTCTTTCTTCGATGAATATAATGTAGATACTCTAGAAGTCAATCTTTTGTTGGAGGATAACTTCTAGGGGTACTACTTTTACAACCTGCTGCACCGAATTTTCCTGAGAACGACCGAGACCACTCATTGTTCTTGCGTTGCTCATAACAATGCTCTGGACAATTAATCTTCCTAGAAACACGGGTAATGAGGAGCGCTGAGAGTGTCGAAAAGTGATTGTAGTAGAGGCTTCTTACTAACTTCTATATAAGTAATTCTTTTCCTCTTTGTTATTATTTCGTGTGAAGGGATAGCTTTTTCGGTCCTAGTTAGTACTATCATGTATATTTTCACAATTTTTGAAATATTTAGATTGGAGGTCAGAGTTCGCCACCACCGCAGAGTCCATGCACGACAGCAAATAATGTTGACGCAGATACCACGCGGAAAGACCGACTCTTTATGCGTCTGGGAGGATGCGCTTTCAAAATCGAAACTCCTATGACTTATCCACAGAACTTCTACATCACCGTGGACGTGAAGTGGTGAGTTTAGACCATTTCTTATAGACCATTTCGATTTCGTATAATTAGAGAAATAAGTACATAGAATCCTTGAAACGTAGATGTATGTAGATCGCAAAAGAGAATTTGTTGAAAATGTAGTGCCTTAATACGTTGCTCAAATCAATAGAGCAGAAGACCATTTATTTAACGCGTGTCGATAGACATCTTATGACTTGAATGCAGTACAAGATTCCTCGTCAGTCTGTTTATCTGGAAGATCTAGAAGAAGATGAGGATGGATACAAATACACGCCATTTGCGCGTCTCCGAGCGAGTATGGTTTCCACATCGACAGTAAAGATCGAGTCACAGGGAATGTCAAAGAATAAGCATTTCGTATGATTTTTAAGATTTTTTTCTAATGTGGCCGTGACGCCGCGGCAACCTATCCACCTATCCTATTGTAAACTTTTCTTTTTCTGTAAGACCTGGTCGGACGGCGCGGCCTGGCCGCAGAGCCGCGGACCTTAAACCTTGAAGCTTAAGACCATTTCTTTATACCAAAGACAACAAGTGAAGACAGAATGCTGATCCTTTTTTGTTGTTAAGAGATGATACTTATAAGGATAAGGAAACGAGGAAGATATGGAGGCATTATTCTCGACATCGGATAGTAGATTGAGCATCACAGATACTTCTTCAATTAGCTTCATCCTATTCTCGAGCAGTTGCACAGAGACGGGCACAATGGACCGAGTAGTACAAAAGCTTGAGATTGTTTGAAGTAAATCGCCGAACGTGCTTCCTCAGGAGGTAGTACGATTACAAGATCGACAAAGTAGAAATGTCGAGAAGTGATGCGGTGTTCTCATGATTGGGCAGCTCGAGGTCTCCTTTGCGCCTTAACATTACGTGTACGGATTCGGCTGATAGATTACACGTAATGTTAAGGCGCAAAGGAGATGAGGTGCTCATCTACTTGCTTTCCTTACTGATCATGTGATGTCGTGTATGATGCAGAATTCATTGCTGATGATCATGATGTCATACCGTGGATATGGAGTAACACTATGCCAAAAGCGAACATAGAAAAGGGGCTTTTTTTGCGTCTTTTGTACATTCTTCGTCTCAGAATGAAAATTTTTCATTTGAATTGAGCTCGAGGTCTCCTTTGCGCCTTAACATTACGTGTAAGCTATCAGCCGAATCCGTTCTTGATATTTTTTGTGAAGAGGTGTCCGTCGCGTTCGCGGCAACAGGATAGAAAATGCAAATGCGAAAAATGTTGTTCTCCTGCTTCTCGTGGTTCCTTGTTCTGTATTCGTCGAGGGTGAGCTTCGGCTTAGCAAAGGAAGAGACCGCGGTAGGTGGAGTTCACCAGGAGGAAGAGAAGATAGCCAGAGATGTCATCGCGAAGAATCCGATTCTTTTTATTGGCGGGATGGGTGCTTCGACGATAGACGCTACATTAGATAAGAAAGACGTTGTGCATCCGTTTTGTTGGCACCAAGCGGAAAACTACACAGTTTGGCTTTCCGTGTCGAGTCTTTTGCCTGGGGTCTCGGATTGCTTTCTCGATAACTTCAAATTGCGGTGGAAAAAGAATGCTGGATCTTCAACAGCAGTTTCACCAGTTTCATCAGATTCCTCAGAGGATGTTGACGAAGCCCAACAAGAAGCCCCTCTGATTCTCGATGAGACGGAAGTGCAGCCCTACATGCAGCACGATAGGATTCCTGTGGGGACAGCTTCGCTATCTGACGGACTGGTAAAGTCCTTGTGGGATAAGTTTGCTGATGTGGCGACCTCAAAGTTTGGCTACGACTCTCCTCGACAAATGAACAATATATTAAGGCTGCTCCTGGTGTTGAAAATGTTCACTGACGTCCTTGAAGAAGCTTGATTATCGCAGCTCCCTTGTATATGAGTCGTGTGCGTCGTCGTCGTTGATCCATGCAGAATCTCTAGTGAAATCTCGAAGATGAAGTAACTTTCTACTCCGCATCTCGGTCTTAGTACTTACTTACCTCCTAAACAATCTTCGTCTTTTCAAGAAGTTGTGCAGGTCTCGCTCTCCTTAAGCAGGACGTCTAAATCAAGTCTACGACTTCCGAAAGTCTCCGCGAGAATGGCTCCCAGATGGAACGTTTGCGCGTGTGAAGGCCAATATTGAGCGATACGTTGACGAATTCAACAATGGAAAGCCAGCATTGCTAGTGTCCTTGAGTGAAGGCAGCAACTTCGTGCATCAGTTCTTGAGCTTGTATATAGGAAGTGGTCAACAACGAGACGGAGATGAACAAGGAGGTGGGCGAGAAAACGGAGATAATGATAAAAGAACGATTTGGGGTGACGCATGGCGGAGAAAATACGTAGTGCATTGGCTTTCGCTGTCAGGGCCCTTTGGTGGAACACCGGAATTGACACGGGTTGCCTTTTTTCCACAACCGATTGATGTTTTTGCGGCTAGATCAACAAATAAGTTTTTGTCGCATGCTGCAGCTACTCGTATGTTGTCACAACTGCTCGTTCATGTACAATTGCAGCGATTTGAAAAACATCGTGCTGGAACGCCTGCCGCTAGGCACATTCATTCACTCACTCAAGTAAGTACTCAGCTGCGTGGTTTAAGGATGAGGCTTTATTGCACCATGCGGCTCCTCTAATCTCCACCATTTACCGCAACTCTTGGCTTACATCAAGCTTCGCGATCTGCGCGACCTCTCAGTCTCATTTCCGTCGACGCTGTTGGGTATGCCCAGTTATTTTGGAGAAGACGAGGTCATGCTAGTAGGGCCCGCACCTAGTACTACTGGTGAAGACGAAGGAACTGCAGAAACCGGCCAAAGTAAAGACGATGCTTTAACATCAAGTATCAAAGGGGTCCTCACACGACGACCTAGTCCCAACAAATCGCGATGGGAAACGAATACTAGAACAAAAACTATAACAGCAAAAAGACAGAGCACCAAGAAGAGGGGAAAGGAGTATACACAACTAAACATCGTTGACGCATTTCGAGATGCTGGGCAACCACAAACAGCAGAATTGTATGAAATGCAGCATGCGTATCGGTTTGACTCCCTTGCGGCACCGCAGGTACCCGTCACGTGTGTATATGTTATGAATGAACAAGTAGTCCTCTTTGGAATGACAATGACAATGATTCACCTTCGTTAATTTGAAGGCTCCTGGAGCACGAAGTTACTTTGATTTTGAAGATCTGGGAACAACAAAGATAAGTTCTCCACTAGACAAGGAGGAACAAATAAAGGGTTTTTTTAGAAACTCACATGAAGATCGACCTAAAAAAGAAGTACTTCTAGACGAGTATGGTACTAGTCTGATGTTCTCCTCGGCTCTGCATCCGCTAAGTCTCGTATCGGAACTCCGACGTTGAAGAATATGACGTATGGAAGCGGGTGGGATCGAGAGGCTACGGATTTCGGTTACGAAGATGGTGACGGCGTCGTACCAGCTCGAAGTCTTCGACTTATGGCTTCTGATTCCTTTATAGACTTTTTTTCGAGTTTTTTTGAACCAAATTGATGAAGACGAGCAACTACTTATTTTTTTACACTAGTTCACTCGTCAGTCGTGAAACACCCATGATGTTGTTGTAGTAAGTCGTAAGTCCCTGTCTCGTCCTAAACAAGAACATACCGCATGTTGACACTGATGTTGCTTCAGCAGGGTCTAACAGAAGATGCCAAGAATGGAGCCACCAGGAGAACCAGCCGCACATTACCATGTTTGCCGTGGAGTTATGAACAATCAAGACGTATTTTTATTTTTTCAATCTCAGTAACCAAATGAAAATAGAAATAACACAAGGATATAGCTCAACTTTCCTGAGTCAACTAAAGTCTACTATGTTGCCGCAAGTAGAACAAAATTGTTATTTTTTCAATCTAGCTACATCCTGCTTGTTCGTTCCTTCCAGGTATTTTTTAATGTCTTGCTTCATCATCGTTTCCAAGGTCTATTCTTATTTCTCTAAGATGAGGAGCAGCTCATGGTGACCCTCTACATCGACATGAGGTGCTGAAAGTCTTCGAAGACTTACTTGCGGATATTTCCAAGAAGAACGTTGACGAAGAGGAGGTGTTTATTTAAGTAGTTCATCAAAAGAAGTTTTAATGAATATGAACCGTTGCGTGATATTTTTGAGTTGTGAGTTTCTCGGTGTGGTCGCTGCGGATCATTCTTGAGAGTCGTTCTGAACATGGACTTGTCGTTCCTGATATCTTCACACATGTTTTAGCTTTTTTTTGACTGTGGGTGAATGACATTGACATGAGGATAATGGATGACTCTGACTACTGCAAATGTTAACAAGCATCAACCGTCGGGTGATGTTTCTGTTTTCACCGACTCGCTTTTAATATAGACCACCTCATCGTACGACAATGTCCGAAGATCTTAGTCGTTGTACAGCTACAGGACTAGTAGTTGTAGATCTTCTACATCCAGAAATTGTAGATCTTCATCTTCTAGATCCAAACTGCGGACAATTTTTTTTCTTACACGGAATATTGTGATGAGAATGAGAGTGAGAAAGAGAGGGGGAGGAGAGTTTGTCTGGTAGTACATGATAGGGCACGTGGAGGAGCAGGGCTCCGCGTACTTTGTGAGATTATTATCCAGCTAGGACAGGAATAGCATGGTACCATTCCTGTCGGTGGAACTGCGAATTACCTTTTGAAAATTGAATGAAGTACTCGCTTTTAGGTAGGCTTTCAAGAAGTAGTTCTTTCTTTTGGTCAAACTTTGAGTCTGACACCAATTAGTTCTCGTCTGTAGAGTCACGCGTGTACGTCCTGAGCGGCAAGGTCATGAAATAAATGGATTGCACGACATTCACGTACGGAGCGCTCTCTGCGCTGTTGGAGCCTTTCAAAAATTTCAGGAATGCGAAATCACTTATCGACTTTTTTTAGTGGTATTTGTCACCTTGCTCCACAGTCAATACTATCTGACGCCGAATAAAAGTGAACACCAAGAGGAGGACCACTTCTAAGATGTTCTTGATCATGTTGAACAAGACCTCAGAGCTAAAAAGATGTTGTTCGTGATGTTGAGGTCCTCTGCACCCTCTGAGATGCTGGCGATGAAGCGGCGTTCTTCCGTTGGAATCTTCCGGAGAAGATACATGATCCTTCTTTTCGGACTGACGATCCTAGACGAGCAGACGCAGCTTGCAACATGTTTCGCAGTCGACCATCAACATGTTGATGATGTTGAAACGACTTTAGTTGATCCACCTGATGAGCTTTCTTCATCTTCCTTCAAGAATAAAGAAGTAGAAGAGGCGGGACACCAGGAGAGAACTACTAGGACGACTGTTGAAGAACAAGATGTTGAGCAGCAGAATGAAGGGCAAGTAGAGAAGAGTTCTTCGCCACCGCACTCAGCTGCACAACTGCAGTCCTCTTTTGTTGGGATCAAAGTGGCGGCTGATGCTGCGGAACAGTTAAGACTTTTTGTTCGACAAATGATCCAAACGAGAAACTACCATCTACTTCTGTTGTTTGGACCTCAAAAGCATCTGCTTGTTCGTTTTCCTAGACGCTGAGTATGTTGAGTAAGCACTTGGTACTATCTTTGCTTCATAATTTCTACTCGCTCGTATGGATGACGCTGAAAAAAACATGCAGGCGCGGAGCCGGAGCCGCCGGTTGATAATTACAACTGCGTTAGTTTAAGTTGTTGTTTAATTAAATCAGATCGTTATTCTTAAGATGGATATGTCTTCTAAGTCGACAAGATGGTGGACAACTAGGCACAACAGGAGCACAACTAAGCACAACTGCGAAAAAAGGCACAAGTGGAACATTAAGCAAAACTGCCAGCGCTTCCAGCTCCGCGGAAGGCTTCTCCACCTCCAGAACAGCTTCTTCTATTTCCTCCAGCTCCTCGGACGACGGCTCCACCCACATTAAGGGTACTCAGGTTAAAGGTGTTCCTATTGTCGTTTCTTTTGCCTCTCCTAATGGAGAAAACAAAGAATGACACCACATTGGTCATCATCCTCGTTGTTCTCTCCATGGAGAGAACGGGCTAAGCAACCACCAAATTGGTCATCATCCTCGTTGTTCTCTCCATGGAGAGAACGGGCTAAGCGACCACCAAATTGGTCATCATCCTCGTCACCCCCTCCGGGGATGTCAGACAGGACGTTACACCAAAACCCTGGTAGCGCTAACTCCAGCGAGGGTAGGAGGAACAAGCAAGGAAAAATAGCAGCTAGCCCTCGCAAGAACAGCTTGAAGGAGCTGGTTCAAAAGAAGGTGCTGACGCCTCGCCAACAACTAATTAAGGCTAGTACGGTACCAGGAGTTTCCCCTCATCTATCTCAGGTCGGTAGTCCGTCGTAGTCTCTGCATCCAAAATAATAATAATAATAATAATACTAATATTATTGATAAGGCCTTCCTCGTCCTGTTTCAGTTTCTAATAGAAGTAACGCAGGACGAGGTGACTCTCTTGGAGAAAGAGAAGTTGTAGCCGCAGCAGCTAGTGTGTCCAAAGATACAACGAGTCCATCAACGGCTTCACCAGGACAAGAACCGTCCACGGCTTCACCACGAGGAGATAGCGCCAGTAATCTTAAGGCTACTTCTCTAGTACAACTTCCAACTTACTATTCGAATACCCACCAGAATGAAGGAGTACAACTATCGACCACACGAGTCGCCGTAGAATGGATCATCAAGAATGCGCTCTAGCTCTAATGCTTCTGGTGCAGCAGCACCGTCATCTTCTGGATCTCCTGATAGTATGAAAGGAAAAATAAGTGTCCTCATCGTTATTGATTCTCAAGATCCTAGGTGGCACTTTCAAAGTTGAGTGAGGCTGCCTCTTTTCTTGAGGATGAGTACCCTTTTTCCTGTCATAGATGGCACACCCTCGTCAAGTTCGGAAGGACAAAAACCTCCACCCGGAGGAACTGAAGGAGCTGGCGCGGAGGATAAGAAAAAGAAAAAAAAAGAGAAAAAGAAGAAGAAGAAGAAGAAAAACAGAGGTGAAAAAGACGATGTTAAGGCTCCTACCGCTGAAGCATGTCGATGTCTCATTAGTTGTAAATCATGTTGTACATCATGGTAGGTGATGATCCTTGATGGCCCTTGGTAGTTACTTCTTTTTCGACTTAGAAAAGACGCGGCCAACAAGGATCACATGACTTGTTCCACAAATGACTCCCACAGTCAGAAGAAGATGCCAATGCGGCTCTAACGACGGCGGTGGTACAAGTAGTTGCTGCTGTTGTCCTCTAGCGGACGATAAAAGCGATAGACGGGATTGCTTGGACGACCTGTGTATGGAAACAGAGGAAGACTCATCTTCCGACGAGGATCTTCCTAAGGCAAATAAGATGAAGGAATCTTCTTCTTCAGAGAAGTCTGTGCCTGTGGAACCACCAGCAGGAGCAGCTCCTCCAGCCGCGGGGGCCACGAAAGATAAGGAAGCCTCCAAAAATTAAGGCTTATCCTTATCCATCTTCTGGAGCATCCATCCTGATCCCGAAGTAGCGACTCTGTCTTCAATAGAGACTCTGTCTTCAACGCGGAGGTCTGAGCCAGGCAAGGGGTGGCCGAAAGCGGCACTTTTTGGCCAAAAATGTGCCGGGTCACTTTGGGTGCCTTTTGCACCCCTTTTTTGAGAAAAAGCTGCCGGGTCATTTTGCGAGGACCGAAGCGGCCCCATCTAGTGGGGGCTAGGGGGTGCCTTAAGGCGACCCTTTTTGGTCCAAAATGGTCGCCAAATGACCCGGGTCGTTCTGGAGCATTCATCCTGATCCCGAAGTAGAGACTCTGTCTTCAAGGGGAGACGAAAGCACCCAGGATGGATGCGTACCCAGGATGCGTATCAAGATGGATAGGGCGGGTGAGCTCTAAACCAAGGAAGCAGAGACGCCGCGAGTACTATCTACGAACGAGAGGACTTCGGCATCTAGCCGTAGAAGTAGTGGCGGGACCACCGCACACGGGAGGTTGTCGGGCTCGACTCCTTCTAGTGAGTCGAACCTGACGGACGGCTCAACGAAAAAACCGACATTAAGGCTACTTCATCCCTTCTAATTAGGGAGTTTCAGGAAGGGAAAGGGAATTTCAGGAGTGCTATTTGGTGGTTTGGCCCAGTTGGGTTAGTCTAGAGGACGTGTCTCTTCTAGTTACACTTTGTTCTTTCTAGTTGTTCCTCTTCTAGTTCTTGTTCCTCTTCTAGTTCTTGTTCCTCTTCTAGTTGTTCCTCTCGTTTCTTTTCTCCTTTGTTTTCTCGTTTGTTTTCGCCGCTGTGGCCTGTCTGTTTGCTCCGACATTAAGGCTGCTTCATCCCTTATTATGCGGATGCAGTACTAGTACTACGCTGACTAGAGTAATCTCCTCCTAACACATGCTAATGCTATTAATCTACGTCCATGATGTTAGTCGTGATCATGTGGGATATACGTAGATTTGTGGCCGAATGTGCGGTCTTATGCGCCCCGAGTATGTAGTTTGGATGACAATAGTTGAACATGTTAATTGATTGCTTGAAAGGGCGGTGGCATATAGTCATAACGCAAAAAAAAATCCTACGGTCATTAGGCAAGGTGATACCAGGGAAACACACGCGGAATTTCCACCTTCTAGTTAGGTAGTTGGCTCCACCACTGCTATTAATCGTCCATTATAGTTATTGAAGTTAAAGTTAGAGACTCCTGCTGACATCCCTCAAGCTGAATGGTTCCGGTATTTGGTAACCTGCATTTGATCATAAGGGAACACAAGAACAAGAAGAGAACCCTTGTGACCGAATTCAGGTTACCAAATACCGGAACCATTCACAAGCTCAGCACTCAGCGTGCATCTCAATATTACAGGGAAGATAGCATAGTAGGGCATACCCTTGCTGTGGGATCCCTTTCCCAACGACTGTTGCTGCTGAGTCCCAATCTGAGTTGGTAAACTAGCAGTCGGTGCCTCTGGTCGTCTAAATAGAGCACCGCTTATGAGATGTCTACTCCTAGGTGGCGCATCTAGTGGCCTGGATGGACGGACTGGAGTGTACAAGAATTACCACCAATACGCAATGCCTTCAGCTTAAGAAAAGGAGGGTGAAATTGAAAAAATAATATGTGTTGTTGAAATAGAAAGTATCTAGTACAGGAGAAGCGCTACTGTTTATAATCTTTCGGTTTATCAGGGCAGGAGCTTTTGCACTTTTCTCTCTGTGTCAAAGCTTAGTAGTAGAAGTGTACAGTCTAGTATCTGAAACTGAATCTGTCTTTCTATTAATAATGCTTGTTTGTCGAGACGAAATTCGCATGATAATTGTGGTTTCCTCAAGTACAACTAGTGCATCTTCCTCTTCCACCACAAGTAGGTGCAAGAACTTCTGCCTCGTCTAAACAATGGATGATAGCATAAGAGAGAAGTTGTATGTGAAAAATGCTTGGAAGATGCAGGGAGCCGCATCGCGTGCGTTTCAGACTGCGGAGCAATTGAGTGCGGTCCTCTCCCACATTAAGGTGAGTACTCTACTCTAAGCAAGTGGTATTTGTAAAGATGTGACGAGTACATTAATAAAATCCTCATGATCTACGAGAATGTGACGAGTGAAGATGAACTATCGTGATCTACGAGATCATGCTCATCTTCATCGACATCATGTTCATGATTGCTTTCGCTTCGTCTTCTAGAAGTACCATGTTACTTTGCATTATTGTTCTTGTTGGTACTAGTTCTTGATGTTGTGATAGTTAGACGTGCTGGTCTGAAAATAGAATGTTGAACAAGCTCAACCCTGCTCACATTTATTTCAGACTTGGCTTTTGTTCTCTACTTCATGATCGTTCTTTGTCTTTCTGATTTCCCCTCATTTTTGCTCTTTCTCTTTCTGAAAAAGCATTCCTGGAGATCCTAAATCTTAGGCTCTAACCGCATTACGGGCCGCGATCTGATGAAGGAGTACGACCGTATTGCATGGGTCCACTCGAAATTATGGTCATCCAAAGCTTACTCGAAATGGTCGTGTGCACTATGCATCTACGCTTCCATGTAAAAACAACGAAAGTTGGATGCAAATACTGAAACCGCATCTTCTAACGAAACATCATGAGTGGTGGATTATTTTATTATCCAGCTTCATTACGCGGATGCTGTACTTCTCGGACTAGAATAATTGCCTCATATTAACATATACTATCTAGGCTACCGATTCTCTAACGAAACATCCTATTTCTACGAATGGGGGAGAACAAGAAAAAATTCTCTACGATGGGAAAGACCCACTCTTCCGGAAGTACGGCTATACTGAAGTTTAAGGCAACATGTTCATATAAGTACTTGACACATTTCGATTGTTTTGCTTTTCGCTTTCGCTCTATGCGTATATGTGTATAAGCTTTACTTCGGGCTCTTCAATAGAAGTATTTCTCATGTTTCCCTAGTTACCAGTACCACGTGCGCGTTATTATATTCTGCTACAAGTATGAAGATTAATTTGACGACGTTCAGCATGAGCGTGCTCATAATGATTAAGCCTTGTTAGTCCTCTACTAAGATCATGGTTAGCATGATGCTCTTCAACTTCACTAGATTTTTAAGCCTTATCAATCCTGTCCACACGCCACAACATGATTTTGATCCATTGACATTGAGAGGAGCTGCTCATGTTCTAAGAGGTGCTGAAAGATTTGATTCCGAAGTTCTTAAAGTCCGGGCCGGGGAAAGAGGTGATCTTGTTTCGCCCTTACTTTAAGGCCAGTCTTCTACCCTTTCGTTGTTGTATTAACCCACCGGCAGCAGTACGTAGTTACCTATACAGTGCTGAAGATAGCCTGCAGTACGTAGTTATACTCTGAGATCGTGGAGGACACCGTCGTGCCTCCCCCAAGGAACTGCAACGTTGACGTGGCTTCCATGATTTTATATATGTATCTTCACTCTACACTCATTCTACATCAAGGCTCCGCGAGGGAGGCTTGGCTGGATCATCGTGGCCTATAACAGGGCGCGGTCGCCTAGTCCTGGTGGAGCAGGGGCCTAGATACATCACAACCAACGTCCAACATACAGATACATTCATATTCATAAGGGGATTTGAGTGAAAGATGTATGAGATCGTGGGGGACACCGTCGTGCCTCCCACGATCTCATGCATGGAACAAGAAGTGCACTTGCACAAATCGTCCCGCTTGATCTTCGCCTCCACGAGGTAAAAATCCTTCACGATGGTTGTCTTACCCGTACCCGCTAAAACAGTTTAGTCCTGCTGGTCGTGTCTTTGTACAGTTTACTACAGTCTCCACATCAGTTGTAGTTGTACCTACATGCATGTTGACGACTTGAATGAGACGACTTGTTGCGCCATGATCCTATGCCTATGTGATGGTGATCCTCTAGCATCTGATCCTCTAGCATATTGATATTTTCGTATTGTTGTTCTGTCGTCCTCGATCCTCTATCTTTTTTTATTTCTATCCTGGTGTCCTGTAGTCCCAAGATGATCTTGTTTTATCCTATCCTGTCCTATCCCAACTACATCTACTTGCTTTATCTTCGTCCTATCCTCGTAGGCTAAGCGGCTAAACCCTAAACCCTTATAACAGGTCGTACTAGGTTGCTCCCTCCACCCAGTGGTGTATGCAAAGGTCGATATCTAAGACTTGTGCTGACGGTGCAAGAACTGCTGGCGATCCTTTGGTCAAGACCGGTCGTGGCCAATTTAAGGCTGCCCCTAAACATAATTCATCTATCTTCGGACGCATCTTGGCGGGTATACTTATACATAGATACCTCCCGAGTGGTATACTTATAAGTAGAAGATAACACTACTACTACTAGTACTAATACTTCTTGGAGCTGCTCTGCCTGTCTTATCAAGGAGAAAGAAGCATCCACTTCAGGATGCATCTTAAAATGAAGATAATCCATCTTCGGACGCTTCTTGATGTGAGACACGGTGTCTCATATAATCAAGGAAAATGAGAAAGAAGCACCAGCACAATGATGCACCTCTGTTGAAGAACAAGATGCATTTATAAATATGGGATCTCACTCTAACAGAAATGCGAGACCAAAAGAAACGCAGCTTAGATGTGAAGTGGCCAGCGAACAGGAGAGATTCCTCAGGTTGCTCAGTAACGCACTGAAAGTAAGCGCCGACGGAGATGGAATCATCATTATGTTGTGTATCTTGCCAACTAATCGAAAATAAAACTTAAAGTAGACAAAGAAATATGCGAGTAACGAACACAAATATGGCCGAGTGTCGGAGATTGTTATAATCTCTGCTACTCCGTTATATCAGTTCTTTAGTGAATACAACTTGATAAGCAGCTCTTGAGCAAACTCTTGCTAGGCAGTGCCTTATATATATGCATGCATATTTATTTATACACACACACCCGAAGTTCAAGTTGGTGCAACTTATGGCATTTTTACTCATGCCCATCACATCAGTAATCGTGGTTCTACTCGAACCCGATTCGCCCCACCCGGTGCGGCCTGGCCGCGGTGTGGTGGACCCTCAACCTTAGCCTTAACCCAATGCTCGCTAATGATTCGCCAGGCATGTCGGATCACACTAGTTGGAGTGAAGAGTCGCCGAAAGCAAGTATGGATAAGGTTTTTTTTCTCCCATCTTATTTAACAGATGACCATGGTCCTCGTCGAGGCTGATCGATGCCCCTTTTGGGTCCCTTGATGAAAGAACTGTATAAGTACTTAGTTTAGAAGTAGTTAAGGGGGGCCTCGAACTTGATGGTATGCATCTAGAGGGGAGAAAAAGCGCCATTCATAGCAAGCGCGAGCGGTACTATTGCGGGGGGAAGTTACAGTCAGTGGTCGTCAGCAGGAATGACAGTGTATGATGCCGCGCACCACTCATTGAGAACGAAGATATGGGAATGTCGTTCCATCTAAGAAAGAAAGGCCCAAAGAGGGGGAACGACATTCCCCTACGTATGGACATTCTCAATGAGTGGAAGCATTCAGAAGATAGGATTAGGACGCAGCGGATCGGAGGTTGATCTGGGATCTTCTGTCAATATTAAGGGGAAACTCATGAATGCATGAGCTGTGAATGAAATTGAGTATGAGTCGTGAGTGAAAGTGAATGAGTGAAACTAGTGGGGTGCGTGCTGGGTGCATTATTTAAGATAGAGATAGAGAAAGACGAAGATCATGGGCAGTAGGTAGCGAACGTCATGAGGCTGAATATAAAGAGCTGCCAGGCGGGTCTAGCAGAGGACTACCGACTGCTTGCGAAGTTGAGCACTAAGGTCGGTTCGGTCGGGGGGGGGGAGTGCCACATGTGCACGGGGGGGGGGCGTTTCAAAATGTAATGCGTGAGGGGACAGAGCGACGCCCTCGCTGAAGAAAATGGAAAGGGCACGCCGCAGGCAAACACCTGGCGAAGAAAATGCACAAGGATGGAGCACGTCGGTCCGCCTTGTTATTGTGTGGCGTGAGTTCAGTATGGCGCAGCGCACGCCATCGCCTTGGCTTTCGCTTTGCTTTTGGCTTTTGCCTTTGGCTTCCCCCCGCGGCCTTTTTTGCCTTTGCCTTTCCCTTCGCTTCTTCAGCACCTCCTTCGCGTGGTTCTCCGTTTGCAGTAAGAACAGCGCCAGGAGGAAGCTCTCCCTCTTGACCCGCGACACCAGCAGCAGCATCATTTGGGAAAGAGAGGCGGGCACTTCCCACGTACACCGCTGCAACAGCATGGAAGCCGGTCGTCGGCGCTGGTGCTGTGGTGGAAGCGGCGCGCCCCCCTCCTCTGCAAAGGGCCGGCATCCACAAAGCGGACACTGAACGGGCGCCCAATCAATAGCAGGCAGCACATTTTAGACGACAGGCACATAGTCCGCCCCATCGGTTGCCCATCTGTCAGACATGCGGCCGCAAGTGTTGCAAATACAAGCAGCACCGTCCAAACCGAACCAGCAGCCGGGCCCCAAGTCTCCACATGTGAGACACGCACGCAACCCAGGGCTTTGAAGATGCGCGACGAATCTTCTTCCTCTTGGTTGTTCTTGTTTACTGTGCAAGCAGATAGAGAGAGACGGGACAACTATGATAGAGCGCGGCCCCCTTGCAAGGTGGACCCGTGTGAACTCTGCTACGCTCTGCGTCTCTTGTCGATCATGATCCAAAGGCTGACAACTTCCACGGGAGAGCGGCACGCGGTGACGATCAAAAGGCGCGACACCCCGAACACCATCAAGCAAGGGGGGGCGCTGTCAGTGAGTATGAAGGAGCGCGCGCACTTTGCGGAGTTCCACGGTGAAGAGGTTGAAGAAAGGCGCGAACGTGTAAGGGGGTCGCAAGGGGGGGAGAAATCGGGAGGGGTGGCCTGCTTCATATGGGGGGGGGGCTGTAAGGGTGTCGCAAGGGTCTCAAAGGGTATCGCAAGGGGGGGCGTAGGGGTCATAAGGGTCGGCGTAACGGTTCAAAGGGGGGGCTCAAGGGGGGGGTAAGGGTATTATAACGGTAAGACCAACTTTTTTATTTATTAATATATATTAAGTAATTATAGGCAACTATGAGTGAATGTGCTATGAGTGAATGAATGAAATAGAAATCAAGTATATCAGGGAAATCCTAATAGGCTGCAAGCTGCCAAATAGATCCGAAAAATCTAGTACAACTGTATTGCATCATGATGGCGCGACTCGTCTTTCTAATGATAGCGGTGGCAGTATGAGAAGTCTTCGTGAAGACAATCGCCCGAGTTCGTTCGGGGAAGTGCGAAGGAGTAGTACTAACGAAACATCATCTTCTTCGTTTTTCGTCGAAGAAGAGTTTACACCTAAAGCTGATGATGTTAAGGTAAAGAGTTTGCAGCTAGTACAACTTGACGATGGATTACAGAGCACATGATCATAAAGTAAACGTCAAGCAAGAACTGGTTAGCTTTCCCGCTATTCTTAGGTCTATCCCTTCACGCAATGACGTGGTTAAGGCTACCCGGCGCAATCCATCTGCTCTAGGAAGTATTTACACTACATAGAAAATAATTATGTTAATCTTCTCGCCAAAGAACAAGGTGAAGAACGTCCTCCATACCTCCTTGGCGAATCATATATAGGATGAGTACTCAGTCACGGCGGAGTCGGGAGGAGATTCTTTCTTCTAATGGATATAATCGGAGGTCGATGTGCATCATACTATAACCTAGCCTAACCGTTGTAGGTAACCCCTAGCCTAACCGTTGTAGGCAATCTGCCGAAAATATAATATTGTGCTCACTCATCCCTGGACCGTCTCTACGCTCGGGGGGAGGCGCTCCCCTGAAAACATTGGAACATATAAATATAGATACAATTTGCTTCAAATGGGAGGTCGACGGCAGATTGCCTACAACGGTTAGGTTAGGTTCTGGATCGATTTCCTAACCGTTATAGGCAATCTGCCAGATAGATTACTGCTTGATGATCCTTGCAAGCTGTCATGGATAGGGTCTCCACTATTCTACAGGCAGCTCTAATGAAACTACGCACGGAGGAGCAGATACTAGTGCTGGAGGAGCAGATAGAGCCCCTGGGAGATCGAGAAGAGGTCTACATGCTTACTTTAGAGATGACACCGAAGTTCTTGTGCACGACGTAGATGACGCCGAATTTTCTAGGACTTCTAGAAGAAGATCAACAGCTTCCTCAACATTCTTAAGGCACCACGTCGGCCCTATTCTTGTTATCGAGGATAAGTAGGATTGTCATCCCTTTTATGATTTTGTTTTTGAACAAATATATACTTCTTATTCTATCAAAGAAGATGTAGCGGAAAGTTCTTGTGACTCAATTTGACATTCTCAACAAAGGCAAATAAGCTGAAAGAGTTTATTACTCCTTGTTTTACTGAGAATGTTTATCATGATCGGAATGAAGGATCAGGGAGTAGTCTAGAAGTCGTGTCCTCATCTTCCTCTAAAGTAAGCGGAGACTAGTCTTGGTCGGACTCGAAGGATGAGAACCTTCAAGACCGATCTTGACCGTCCCAAAGACCCTCCGGAACAAGGGGTACAACAAGGCGAACAACAATTTTTACAACAAGGCGAACAGCAATTAGCACATCATCAACAGCAAGGACAAGAAGAATACTTTCAAGGACAAGCACAATCTTAAGGCTACAGCTCCTACACGTGATAGATTAGCCATCACTCTGATTCCTGGGAGGTTCATCCAACGAACCTTGCTTGGGTCTACTTTTTCTCTCCGAAGAAGATTAAAAACAAGCTTGCATGGATCTGACAGGATGAAAAAGTGCACTCACAAGTACTTAACAAGTTTTTAGCTAGTACTTTTCCACTTCAATCCGATTCATCCTAGCCACTTGAATCTATCATGTCCACAGCCACAACGTGCTCAGGTACCTACACGGCCGCCTATCGTCCTAAGAAAGTAGTTTTCTGCGTACGAGTAAGAGCAACTATTCATGGGGATCTAAGTTATTTCCACTTTCAGTGGTGAAAATAACTACTCTAACGCTCTAACAACAAGCACCACAAGTACAGGAGGAGCAAAACTATTTAATGAATAACATTCCGGGGAGTGCGACTGCGTTAATCAAGGCTACTCGGCAGTTGCCAGAAGAATCGAAATTCGTGGTGCACTATTTATCCGTTCCCATTTTCTTAAGAACAAAGGTTCATTCTTAAGGGTCTTTGCTTTGGTCATGAACACTATCAGAACTTATCTCTACGGGCCCTGCGGAGGCAAGCTGATCGATTGACTGATTGGATGATCTTTAGTGGGCTAGGTCAGCGGGAGCACAGGCGTGCTTGCACAGTCCAGAGGTGGCCCTGGGTCTGTTTTAGTGCCTCCGTTGTCCAGCGCCGCCGCTCGTTAGGCGGCCGCATATTGACTGGTTGCGGGTTGCTCTTAGCAGCGCCATCTACTTCAGGGACAGCACACGGGTGCCATTTGTTTACTTTCGTTGAAACTTAATATTTATATTAGGAAAATACTTCTAGCCTGTGCCTTTTTTGTTTAAGTTTGTTGTACAACCTATATTGCCTAGCTACGTGGTGTACAAATTGAAAAAAGGAAGCCACAGCTTCAGCAAGTATTAAAAGGTAGTATGTAAATGTAATAAAGTTAAGTGTTTACAGACTGTTGAGGCCACATTAGAAAGTAGGCGTTTACAAACAAACAGACAAACTGTTGAGGCCGCCCGTGAAAGTGCTGTAAGTGCGCAGAAGGAGGTGACGCGTGTTCTAATTTTCTGTCCGTCAAGCGACACCCGTTTGGTTAAGGCCAGGAGTCTTCAGTCAATTATATCTGGGGATCTAGAGCAAATTTATTTCACTTTCAGTGGTGAAAATAGAAGGTAAGTCGCTGTGAGGTGAATGTAGTAAAAGGTATTTTTAAGTTGTCACTCAACCAGACCTAGTGATTGGTACGCATTGGTTAGCCTCAGCCTCTTACTTCAATCGATAATATTTCATTATCGTGTTTTTAGTGACTGGCTCGTCGTCCTGAGTGTGTCTTAATAAAGGAAGACTACAATTACTACACGATAGGAGCTCTAATTTGCGGGCAGTTAAGAAGTGCAGTGCCGCCACACTACAGAACCCAACTACAACTTTAAGGCTACATCTTCTGGAGCATTTTCAGCGTCATCCTTGGCCTCTTTTTGAAGCGGAATAACGGCTCGTCAGGTATGCTTTCAATCATCTTATTATTAGATATAGAATATGGGCACGACTTAGGTAAATACAGAACTTTCATCTTTAGGAGTATTAGTGTGCTATTGAATAAGTATAGCGGTTCTTGCTTTAACAACTGAGAAGAAGAGGAAAAGGAACATCTTCCGCGTTGTGGAAGAGGGCCGAAACGTGGATGGCAGCGAAGTATGTGCCCAAATTGCTGCGATCCGTGCCCTCTTTTAAGGGTAGGCGTTAGGCGTTGGTGTTACCGTTTGTTTTGACTCTCCCAAGGGGGAAGAGCTGCATAGCAAACGGGCCAACAAGCGAAGATACTTACACCAAAACCCGAGGACCTCTAACTTTTGTACCCGCCACAGGGGCGGCGACAGTGTTCGCACATTGATTTCCTGACGCAAGGACAAGCGTTCGATTCAATGGAGAAACTCAGTACAGAACTCTTTCCGCAAGCTATGGGAAACTACAGAAGTAGCTTCTTAGTCAGAATGCTAGATTTTCGTCTTCTTCTTCTTCTTGTCGACGCTAGTATGTTGCATATTTATAAGAACTCAACTCGTATTTCATAGACCCGAACATCAAGTGCTGGAAAAGAGGTTCCATCTACAAAATGGACCAAAGTTATCGGTTACTTATCTACTCGTCTTAGGCTAATCCCTTACTAGAAAACCAAATTTAAGTTAATGATAATCTTCTCTAGTACTGCTGGTGTACTTCTACGATGAGAGAGGTACGATCATACTCCGGTACGATACGATCAGTCAAGTACTCCTACTAATTACTAAAACTACAACTAGAACTAGTTGTCGCGGTGGACATCAACTTACTACTGACCACTTGGTTAGGTTGGATTATAATGCCACTTCTGTAGGTGGATTAATGTAGTGCCACTTATTGTTCTGCTCTAGGTGGATTTTAATATAATGGAACGTGATTGAATGTGAATCCCCATACTTGTGCTAGTAGAACAAGGGGCAGCGACAAGATTGAAAGATTCTTCAATATACTCCATTCATTGTTCCCTTTATTGTACATGCAGTAAGATCATGGAGTAGTACCTTGGAGCGCCTCTCAATTTACATTGCTTTAGGGACCTGCTCTCAATCTATTTACATTACTAGGGGCTAAGTAACTATGATGAAAATATGCGAGTAGCCAACTGAAACATCAGAGTCATTGCGTTGCTCTTGTTTGAGTATTTCGCATATTTTATGTAGCTGCTTGCATATTTCAGCTCATCTTTATCGAACAAGAACATTACTAGGCACTACTAGTTGTAGTTGTAGAAGAGTTAAGTAAGTCGCGCTCGCGCTAAGCAGGTGGGGTACGAGGTGGGACTGCGCAAGATTGCGAAGGGCGCAGAGAAGGAACTCCAAATGGATAATGATAATTATGAACAATTGAAAAATATAGAAAAAATATGAAGTCTCCTCGTCTCATATATGTATAAACAGCTACGTATTTTTTTTACAACAAGGAATTAAACGAAATTATTTACTGCAGCAGCCAGGCCATGGGGATGGGTGTAAGTGTAAGGATTGCTTGCTCTCTTTCGTGCCTGTCGTGCACACACGATGTTGAAGATACTCAACAATGAATATAAGTAGATATTCCCACCTCATAAGTCTTAGCTTAGTGCTGGTCCCTTCCATCAAAGTATCATCTTCTTTAAGGTGGAGGAGAAAGCTACAACAAGAAAACAAGGCGACCCACCAAAAATAGAAGATGAGTATCTTCTATTACTAGTAGTGAGATCACCATGAAGAAGATGAGCCTCCTCCTACTCCCCCTCCTCTAAGATGGGCATGTTACATTTCTGCCCCTTTCGATGTCTATTTCTGTCGGGAGCGGTGGCATCAGGAATGCTTACGGCTCTTGCTCCATGTATAATTATTCTTGACTACTGTCTGTTATATTTGATTACTCTAATCGGACGTCGCAGCTGCGGGGAGGTCGGTGCCCTGTCGAGGCGCCCTGATTGATTGACTGCTCGATACTAGTCTAGAGCGAGCGACGCGTAGCTCTACTCCCATAACCTGTAACCCTCGCGTCGACCTCATTACATGCCGCCCTCTCCCTGTAACTACATCTTCGATCTCATTGGGCTGCATACAACCTGTAAGCAAACTAGTACTGTAGTAGTTCTTCGCATGCTTCTCTTCTCCTTAGGTTTACAAACTTTAGAACACGCTACAAAAAAAGGAAGAAAAGGCCTAAAAGTCATCTTATACTTCGTATTTATTTATTATACAACTACGCTTAGGCTTACGTTATTTTTATACTTCGTATAGTAGAAGATATCACAGGCTAGCGCAGGGATGACGACATCCCTGCGCTGCTGTTGAGTTTATTAAGTCGCCTCGGGCTGTCTCGTGTAAGTATAAGGCCTAGACTTAGAAAGCAAGACCGCTGGGCTCTGATGTACTTACTGGCAAAGTGCATGACTTTAAGGAAAAAGGGGAAGAAGAGGGAGGAGGGAAATACTGCAGAGACAAGAAGGAATGCGCAATACTTACCCGCCAACGATTGGCAGCAAGAAGTGCGCTGCTTTGACGACAAGCGCCGCGCGTGAAAGTATCGCCAAGCAAAGGGCTGCGCGCGTCAGAGCAAGGAGCCTTCGCACGAATCAACTGAAAAGAACCCAGGCGACGCGACCTGACTGCACGCGACGCGCGTGAGAGATATGCGCCGCGTCTTCGGTCAGTCATACAGGAGCCACGCAATAGCCGAAGCCCCAGCAGTATGGTATACTGCTGAAAAAGTTGAAAACTGCTACTCAGCAGAAGAGAGGCCACTAAGTTCAGAACCCGACGGGTCTGGTGCTGCTGCAGACAGTTGCTGCGTGCGACATTTTTGAAGGAGATGCAAACTCTTGCGCGCAAGATAATTGATTCACACCAGATTGAGACAACGCACCCGCTCGAAAATGTTGACCAGTATACGCAAGAGGCCCAGACTAGCTCCTGCCACAGTGTTGCTTGTCCAATGCAGTGAAAACCTTGAAGAGCCTGCTGGCCGCAAGAATTGGAACTATCTTGGAGGCCGAGCGAATCAGAAAAACAAAAACAGCGACCGCCCCACGATCGGGAGAGAACTTGCTAAAACGCCTCACACAGAGGGAACACTTAAAGGGAAGGACTTGGCTAGCGAATTAACAGAGAGCAAACTTGTAGCACGTACGGACTACCTGGATTCGATAAGCCAGCACTTTGACGGGCTTGCGCCAAACGGGTTGAGATTATAGCGGGCTGCGCTGTTTCAGATATTGGCGAAACCGTCGCGGGGAAGCTTGTCCATGCTTCTCCGTCCACGATACAAAAACCGCGCAACGGGGTAGCCTGAAGGGGGGCCAAAGTGCTGCACTGCTGCAAGGCTTCTGCCTTCTACCGTAAAACAGGCGCAGCGCTTATCGCTTTGAGCTCGTGGCCGTGGCTTATTGAATCTCGCAGCGGCTAAAGCAGTAGCATAGTCCAAAGCGAGCGGCTTGGTTGGATGGTTCCGCTGGTTTTAGGATTGCTATCAGCGAAGCGAGTGCATAAGAAGCACGGCTTCGCTGGCTCGCGAGTTAGGAGTAGATCGATGCGGTGAGAATCTTATACGTTAACACTGACGAAGCAGCAAAAGTCTTGGCGCGTTGTGGTTGATCTTGATGGTAGCGCAGTAGTGCCCATTTTCCATAGTGTTCCTGTGCTTCATGCTCATGCGTGGACAGTGCTCGCGCCCGTGAAGATCGTCCCAGCCGCATTGCTGGGCTGGTGTTTTGTTTTCTTTGGTTTCCAATTCCAAAAAGAAACTTGCCGCACGTGTCTCCGTCGTCGTTCCCGTTCAGCTGGCGCCGGCGCATGTGCGACATCTTTTGCCCCGGAAGAAGCACGCTGATGGCATGACTTGCAGCAAAGACACGACAAGAAAGCAGAAGAAAACGCGGAACATTTGAACTCTGTGCATAGAGAGCAAAAGAGAGACCAGGCCTGACCTCGATGGCATAACAATGAAGCACGCAACTCTGACGCGTTTTGTGGCTTTGTTTTGCTTTTTTGTCCGGTTTCCCAAGCTCCTCCCATGTCGCGCGCAGTGCATCGGCTGAACTGTCGACACCGATGGCGTCGCTTGCAAAAAATGCAAGAGAACACGCGCGCAATGCTCGACGCGTTAGCCAGATGATGCAAATTCTGCGCGCTGATGTGAGACGGCTCCCCCTTTGATTGTGCGGCCTTATTTGGCGTCGTGTCATTTGGATGCTTCTGGCGTTTATTTTATGCGTATGGCAAGCTGCACGCGTATGGTATGCTGCGGGCTGGTTAAGCTGATAGCCCACCGGGGTGCCGTGGCTTTGTTGTGGCATTCGTGTTGATCTTGATCCCCAACCGTGTGCGAAGTTCGTCACAACTGTGGCGCCATGCATTCTGGGCCCGTCTGGGGGCTCTCCATGGCATGCAATTCGTAAAGAATGGCGCTGACTCGCAGTGATTTACTGGCGCTTTTTCTAACATATCACCCAGCGAGGTACTCGCTTACTGTTCCCGTACGTATTACCTGCCTGCTTTTTCTATATTGCTCGAAGGCCTCTACTTGGATGGATGGAAAATGAGAGCCATCGACCCGACTGCTGCGCTTTGATTCTCGAACTTGATCGCTTTGCTTTTATTTTACTGGCATGAGCGTGGTGCCTTGCGTTCTAAAGTCAGAAGCTGATGAGTGTGCGTCTATCGTTGGCCTTCGAAAGCGATGCGAGCCACAGCCACAGGCACAGTGGGGAAGTTATATAGCAAGCCACTCCGCTTCCATGGCCATCATTTTTTTGACAGCTTTCCCCGGTGTTTTGGCTGCCTTCTTCAGTACTTTGGCAGCCTTCGTCGCTGCTTTCAGTTGGTTTGTGTTTTTTTTCATTGGGTTGCGCACTTTCGCCATTTTCTTCGTAGAGGCAGGCTTTTCCCCAGCGTTTTGCTCGGTCGTGCTGGCGCTTTTCATCGTCGTGGTCGGTAGCCTCCGGCGATTCGCTGATAGCGAAGGCGGTTGGTTCTTGTTCTTTGCTTGAGTGCTTCTGCGTCGATGTTGGTATCGGAAGAAGAACCTGCCGGGAGTGGAAACGCGGCGGGGTATGAATGTGACGAATTCCCTTCAAGCTTTTCGGTTGCGTATGGGGTAGCTTCTCACGCAAAGAGTTCGACACTTACCAGCAGCAGCCGCTTGAGCTCGCTGGGAGCTCTGACGAAGAAGGCGCAGATGGGTCGGAAGTAGGCAAATCCGTGGGGTGCAGCGTAGGGGCTTGGGGTGGTTGGTACGCAGCAGCGTTAAGCCTTTCACTTTCATAAATCTCCAAAAAATCGCGGCGGAGCACGTCCGGCACAGTGAGCAAATCAGTATGGACTTGCGTTTTATTTTCGCCCATACTGCGCATGAGTTATTTCAGCGCAGAGGCATCGCCACCCTTGTGGATGGTGGCCGACGTCGCGCACTCCTTGGCGGGTGCTGCGGCTACCAACTGCGTCAGAAGGTCATAGACCTGAAAGAGGGAGAGCCTTAGAGGGCTGGGCCATGGAAGCTGGAAGCGTTTCGAGAGAGAAACACGACGCAGAGACGCAGAGCGTAGACGAAAACTAACGAAGGCGCTGACTACTTTAGTTCTTTGATAAGATAGCAGCGATTTTTTTTCTGTTTCCTATGAAAAAGAAGGCAGAACGCAACGCCGTAAGCAGGAGCATGCGCATGCTAGACCATCAGCAGAGTAAATTTCTTGCGTCACTCTACGCCTTAGATGTAACGCCTAAAAAAGCAGAACAGAGGCCAGCTGTAGACGAAGTGCTGACGGATCGAAAACAAAGGGAAAGTTAACAAAATGACGGTAATCAAATGCATCGACTCGCTTCCTCGTCTACGTTCTTTGTCTAGCTTCTTTGCCTCTCTCATCGTGTCAAGCATAAAAAAATCATCGTCGTGAGTCCAGTCCGTCACTCGTCCGACTTCATGCTCAAAAAAAAGCCAGACTCTCGGGCAAGGAGTGCAGAACTTCTCGAAACTCCCAATTCGATATAGCTTATACGAGATACTATTAAATAACAGCTCAAAACTACACGCCGTCTCTTCACGAAGGAGGTAAAAGTAGATGAATATCAATCATTAGTTGACGCTGAAGCATCAAAGAAAAAATGTGATTGAAGATGGTCAAGTGTTGGTAGTCCTTCTGGGGCTGCGCATATCCGCCGTTTGAGTATGCAGGTAAATAGACTGTGGATGGCGGACCAAGTCTTATCTTATCCTAATATCATTTCATCCACGTACTGGACGTGGGAGATAGGCTCTCTAAAGTCCCGACGGAAAACTGTTTGCGGCAGAAGCGATAGTTAAGGCTCATCATAGAAGAGGGTTCGGGTATCTTCAGATTCTTGCACACGCTACTGGCACATGGAGAACACTATTGGCACGTTGTAACGATTAACGGAATAATTAGAAGGCTAGTTTCGCTTTTTGTTTCGGATATTCTTAGGCTACTCCTTATCCCCAACACATTGCGGGCCTGAGTCTCCTTTGTTTGAGATTATAACACGATCGCAAAAGTACTATAATGTACAAGCTTCAACAAGAAATAGGAATCAGCTGTTTTTTATCCCTGTCGATCAATCATCTCAAGCAGCATCTAAGATAGATTACCTGGGCTCTGGTGTTGTGCAACACGAACACTCGTTCTCGAGGACGAAAAACCGACGAGGAAAAGCACAGGTATGGATGTTGTTTTTTGCATCTATCAGAGAGACCATCGAGAGAGACTGCTTCCCTAAATTTTCAAGCTCTACGAACGTTTGTAACGTCGATTGGGTACACTACTGCAACTGCTACAACTAGAACTAGCACTACTGAAGGGAAAATATGGGTAGCTGTTTATGGTCTCGCTAGATGAAAAAAACAACATTCATAAGAGGCGGAGAAGCCCGAAGCTCGGGTGATCCCAGAAACAGAGCTGAACAAATTACGCTTCGTAATCTTCTCACGCTGAATGCAGCCGCATTATTGTACTGTAGTACTAGCACTAGACACAACAGCAAAACAATTATAGCAGAGCGCGCTAGTACTATTTTACGCGGAATAAGATTATATAAGGTGAGGGATAGCGTATTTATCAAGGCGGGCCGCCGAAGCTGAGGCCACTTCTCTAGCAGCGCCAGGAAAAGAAAATAGAACGTCGGGCACCACGACTGAGTCTGAATCTGAAGCATACCACTAGACATAACATTGATCGGGCCATCCTGTAGGTTCGTCCGGTACCACGGCTCGGCCGCTGGAACGAGGGCCCTCAAAACCTATAAGTATTTGTGTGAATCAATAAGAACACAAATACTTACGATGAAAATAAAGAAAGTAAAGAAGAGCACAAGAAGAATTTTCACAAGGTTTTCCGTTTTTTCTAATGTCAGAAAGTCAATGCGCGCCACCCTGGCCACGCTCCTCACGTCGGTTCCCTCTCATTATTGGGGCTTTGGTCCGGCTTCTGGGTTCTGGGTCGGTTGAGTGATAGGGTGCCACAGTATTTCTTTTTATTATTTCTCCTCCCGTTCCCCTCCTCCTTGTGTCTTCGTTATGATTATTGCCAGAGCAGTTTATAGCACGCATGGCGCATGGCGTAGCATGGAGTGCATGGAGCGCAGACCTCCAAGGGACGCAAGAAGCGCCCCCTTTAGGTCCATGCAGCTCCATGCGGTCCATGCACTCCATGCCATGCGAGCTGGCAAACCTTACGAATTACCCTGTTACCCATTTCTCTCTGATTCTGATCTGTCCCCTCCCTCTCGCTCCTCCACTCTTTCTCTCTCACCTATCTATGTGTTCGCTTTGAATGATTATTTATGTTCGAGTGCAGGGTTAGCTCTTAGTCTTTGATTAGTCGCCGTCTAGTCCATTCGCATCTAATGTAAGTCGATGGGCTTGCAGCAGCAGGATTCAAAGCCGACTTTTCGACGCTGAAGTTAGGATCTATTCGTCGCTACTAAGAATGAGAACCTGAAACAAACGCTGAAACAAGTTGACCTATGATCTTCTACTTAAATGATTCATCAAGAGCATATGGATATGTTGATCCATCACCTTTGCCGCCGCGTCTTACGCCCCTCATGCAAGCACATTTCTAGGATCCTTGCAGAGGGGAAGGAAGGGAGATAGACTCAAATAATGAATGTAGATCATGTGCAATCTAGAATCATCGCCTTTCATTGGGGGGAAAGGAATAGATATAATCGATACGCAACAAGTTACAGCACTCACTTAGATCATAGGCACAGCAACCTTACAGCACTTTGCGGCAGCCTTACATTGATATGCAACTTACAGCACCTTACAGCCTTACACTGTATCCTTACATTCATTTGATATGCAGCCTTAGATTGATGCGCAGCCTTAGTGCATTGATATGCGACCTTACATTCATGGATATGCAACCCCATACAGCACTTAATGTGCAGCATGCAGCCGCTACTTCTAATATAATCCGATATATTGAATACGCCTCTTGGTAGAGCTTGGTCGGAGAAAGAGGAAGTCCCCGAAGATCCGTTTACGAAGTTGAAGAGGGACAAGCGCAACGGACTACCCTACGTTAGGAACAATATACATACACCTGCATAGAGTCCGATAATGCATATCCTCTCCGCCATACGCCCTGCCCTATTGGTCTGGACCTACGCAGACTCTTCGGCCGTCATGGGTTGATGCTGCGCCAGGCGTTTGCTCCTATTAAACTGACCCGACTGAGCGACCCCGACGATAGAGAGAAACGCGACGACAGGAGTAAAACGACGCCGCTCCAGGTTGTGAAAATCGTGCGTGGTTTTGCTTGTTTGGTGTGTTCATTCTTATTCTGAGAAGGGTCGCGTCGTAGATCGCGCGCGCGCCGATGTGTCGCTGGTTCTGCAGTCGGTTTTGAGCGCGGATCCCTTGCGAAGTGGTAGGCCCGAAGCCGTAAAAGATGCCGATGCGCACAGCGCCCGCGTATTGGCCTCCAACGCTGTACGGCGTTCGCGCCCCTCTCGGCTGCGCGCTTACTTTGGCGCTTGTTCGCTAGAGGTGGCAGGACTGACGACAGGCGCAGGCCGTGGCGTGGCTCGTTTCTTTTGGCTGGGCTTTTGTGTTGCGTCTGTCTTTGTGTGGGTCGGTGGTGTGTGGGGGGACTGGCTGCAGATGATGAGGCCAAGGCGCCCGTGGATATGTTCGATGGCGGTCTGTCGTTCGGTGTCTGTGTGTGTCTTTTGTCTCTTGTGTTCCGCGCCATCTCCTTGGGCTTGTTGGTTGTTTCGTGTGCTGGTTCGTTTGTCCTCAGCCTCTGTCCCCTGGTGTTGTGATTGGCTTCGCTCGTCCATTGCCCTGGGTGGATGTGTAGGGGCTTCGGCTAAAAACATTGACGAACCCCACCTCCCCCCGCTCTTTAGCGGCTTGAGGCAGTGTAAAAGCCAAATAGTTTTCCGCGTTTGTGCCTTGTTTCAGCTGTGTGCCTCCGCAGATCAGTGGGGCTTTTTTGTTCCGTGGTAGATACGCCCGCCAAGTACTTTTGGGGTGACCTTGCCCAGCGCTGATTGTGTTCTTGTGCAGTTTCCTTTGGGTTGCTCCCAGCGCTTCACCTTTCAGAGGCCGGCCGGCCAAACATTGACACGGATCGGCGTGCTGTCAACTGCAGAAGCCCCGGCACCCTCGCGCTCTGTTGTTAGCCGGCTCGGCTTCGCTCGGGTGTCGGTCTCTGTCTCGGTCTGTTTCTGTGATTTCGCTCGCTGCTCCGTTTGTTCCTCGAGTGTCTCTCTGTATTTCCACTGAGGAGAAAGGCCACGTGGCCGGTGGCCTTGTCTCCTCGTTCTTTATCGGTCGCGCCCCCTCGGTTTAGGTATAATTAAACGCTCTTCGGGAGCTGTGCTTTTCGTGTGCTCTTTAATTATCTTCGAACTATATTCAGCCCCCTTAATTTTCGCCGTAGCTTACTCGTGTTTATAACGCTTCAGAATATCTGTGCTTCACCAATTTACTCCTATCGATCCATCGTAGCGCTCTTGCGCCGGCCTATCGTTGTTCTGCATCTATCATCATCACCGTCATCACCATCTTTAAGTTTAATAATAATTGCACACAGCAACCAATCACGTGAGGAAGAATAGGAGCAATAATATTATCTGCTACTTCTTCTAGATGATGATGAAGCATCTACATCTTCTAACGGACTATGCTAAATTAAGAACAACGGAGCACGAGTGCCTCTACCTAATATCCATATCAAAGACAGCACGGGAGTACTTCTACTTCTTAATCTACATACATCTTAATTTACTTACATTATAAGAACAAGAAGACTTTGCTGCGCCTCTTCATTTAATGTATCAGAGTAGTTTATAGCACGCATGGAGTAGCATGGAGCGCAGTCCCATAAGGGACGCAAGGGCAAGAGGCGCCCCCTGTAGCTCCATGCAGCTCCATGCGGTCCATGCACTCCATGCCGTGCGACCTGTGGAGCCTTATATATATATAAATGATTCTGATATATGGAGCTGATAATAGAGTAGTTTATAGCACGCATGGTGCATGGAGTGCATGGAGTAGCATGGAGTGCATGGAGCGCAGAGCTTTAAGGGGCGCAAGAAGCTCCCCCTTTAGCTCCATGCTACTCCATGTGATCCATGCACTCCATGCCATGCGAGCTATGCAACTTTATAAATTGCTCTGCGATAAATCTTCACCCATTTCCCCCAAAACCAAGCCAATGCAACATCATTCGCATTTTGTATTTTGTCGGTACCGCTAGACCTAGAAGCATCTGCTTTATCTCTAAGTCAATAGAAGTTAACGTGCGCGACGTGATGCTTGTCTACGAGCGGACACTGGGTCAAAGCAAACAGACCGAGTCTCTGTTGGGCGGTCACTAGGAGGCGTTCTTGAGAGTCTGTCAAGTTGATTGCTAGTATGACTTATAGGTTAGTAACCTATGCGTAGTTGCAAGAAGGAGAACTATTTCAATATGATCCGGTGACGTCATGTAATCAGCGGACGTCGATAGTACTACAAGAGGCTTTTATTTTGAAGGGTATTCTATCGCTATCCATCTGAACTATGCTGAGAAGTGGAGTCTTCCTTGATTTTTTTAAAGGGGAAGCTAAGGGGTAAGTAGGGGAACCCACTCGGCTCGGGATGGTGAAGAACTACCTGGAATTATTAATCTGTGGATGATTGTGAGCCAATTCGTATCGTCCTGTATTGCTATCGTATCCTTGACTCGTTATCGTCTGGCAGCAAAGTAAATTCTTGTTGAAATATACGTGGGCATCTGTGGCGCCCGTATATGTATACACGCAGAGCGCTAGAAGCTAACGCGACGCTAGGAATGAACGCACAAGGCGGAGACCTTTGAAAGCGTTAAACAGGAGCAGGCCCCAGTGCAGAACGAAGAGGCTTCGCAGCTCATGCAACACAACCGAGAACGCCAAAAGCGAACGACTTTGCGCCGGGAACGTTACGCCCGAAGTGACTAGATGGACAAAGAACGGCGAAGCAAGAAGACTCAGCAAGTGGCCGATAGCGAAGTCGTTGCAAGTGCAGACCGGTGAACCGAACTACCCCGCGAACCGGTAGGCCCTCGATGGCGAGGGTATGCCGTTAGACAGCAAGCGTTTGAACGAACCAGACCAATTTCCAACAAGAGCAAACGGCAGACAGAGACGAAGCCGCGCGACCCTCTTGAGAGGCGCGAAGCAAGGGGGCGAGACGTTGCCAAATTTGACAGCGGAAGAGATGAACACGAAGGCGCAACGGCTCCGGCGGCTGCCCACCCCTGCGCCTGCGCATGGCGGGCCTCTGGGAGGTGAAGCAAGCGCTGCGGCCCCGAGTGGACTCAGCTACCGAAGGGAGAGGCGAGCGGCAGCAAATGACTGGGAGACAATCGAAGCGGGGTAGCCAAGATCCAGGCAGGCTTCTAGCGAACTCGGGGCGGCTAGGTGCTTGCGCTCACCTCGGTCGCAGAGAGTGCCCCGCCCCTCGGCGCAAACACATGAAAAGCCAACCAAGCTGGCAACAACTTGCGAAGGGTTGCGCACAGCTCTTCGATGGGTTTCCCAACAGCTCTTCGATGGGTTTCCCAATTCCTCGAGAATCTGAGCGGCGGGGCCGAGTCCATGGGGCTCATCGAACAACCCAAGCTGCGCAACCCCCAGACCGGCGACCCAAAGTCTAGCGAGGCACGCGACACAAAGGCCAGGCCCATAATACTTACTGAGCCGCGCCGCGGCTTGTCGTTTTGCCGCCTCTGACGCGCGACGCCAATTAATACAGCGTGCGGGAGAGGTGTGAACGCTGCACAGCGCTAGACGCTAAACCAACTAAGCGGGTTGGGTGCGGACCTTTTCTGATTTTCATTCTGACACTTTCCCCAGCTTCGCCCGAAAAAAACTGCCGGCAGAGCTGTAGACTAGGGCGGTATCTAGGCAAAGCCCCGCGGCGTAGGAGTAAACGCCTTGAACAGGCAAAGCCCCGCACGATTTTGACAATTTGGCGCGGCGTTTATTCTTGTCGCGGCGTTTCTCTCTACCTCTAGCGTCGCCGCCATTCTCTCCCGGTTCAGGAATAAACACCCACAAAAATAGCGCAGAAGAGTGCAGCGGGGGGCTTGTCTTTAAACTGTTCAGCCCTCAGGCTCTGCGTGTATTCTATTTATCGGCGTGATCGCTGTGCTATCATGGGCGGGCTTGCCCATCTCATCATCATCCAGGTGCTTTATATCCTATCATATCCTGACAAGTATCCATTTTCTTCTAACAGAGAAAATGTAAAATACTCTCTCTGAGGCAATAAACACATCATACTACTTGCACTTCTAAGAGATGGACAGCTGGAAAGCAATCAAAGCTGAGAGCAGAGAAATACTCAAGACGCCGTGCAATCTGGTGGCAGGTCAGGGCAAGCAGCTACGAGACCAAAAAATTACGCTGACACATACACGGGTGCTGCAGTGATTTGATTTTTAATAGAAACTCAAAGAAAAAATCTACTCTTGTAGTGGACGCCCGTCGGAGGGGTGGTTGTAAAATATAGAAGAGAGGACGAGGACTACAAAATATGCTGGGGTGTTTTTGTATTGTACTATCGCCATCTGATGATCTTGGAGGTGGTCATCTAAGTGATTCTAAGTAATTAAACTAGCATAGCCTCATCTTCTAATAAGAAAAAAAATACGAAGAAGGACGGGAAGCAGCAGAACCAGAAGCCGAAAAGAAAGGCGTCATGGGATGCTCCTGGTTCGTCTACTACTGGTTCACCCTCTATTATGGTCAGCATCTATCCATCTTGATGCTCTGCATCTTGGTGCCCTTTTTCCCTGGAAAGGCAACCCGTTCGCTTTTTTCCTCATATCATAGGCGTATCCCGACACGCAATGCATTCCCATGAAATACAAGGGACGAGGGGCCAAGGTGAGGGGGGCGAGATGAATAAGCGCGGCCGACTCTAATTCTAGCAGCCCAAAAACCTCTGGTTCCGCTGATGGTCATGGAAGCTCTGGCGTCAGTAAAGGAAGCGCTAGCGGACAAGATATGGGCACGCCCGTGAGTAGAAGTAGTTACAGTGCTGTACTCACACGATAGGACTTATCAAATTGATTTACTTTAATACGTTCCCCAGATGAAAATTTAAATTAGCTAGGAGAAGAACAAGATGAATTTTTTAGGGTTGATAGCTCATATACGATCATACAACTCGCCAGGGTCGGAGTCGGAAGAAAATGCTGAACACTAGCCTGGAGCGCCCGACAGCACCCCCTCGCACTAGGGTCCCCCCCTTCCGAAGTAACCCACGGAGCACCAGGCCCGCCTGGGATTCAGTTTCTTGGGTTTGATTTGCTCAAATCCAAAAATTTTCGATTTCTAAAAGTTTTCCTAAAATTTAACGCCTTGGGCTTGGATTTCTCAGGTCTAAAAGTTTATGACTTAGAAGGCTAAAGGTTTACGACTTTAGCAAACTCTTCCGAGCTTCAAGCTCTTGGGTTTGATTCGTGGGCTCAGCTTCTTGGGTTTGAATTCCTCAAATCCCAAAACTTTTGACTTTGGCAAGCTTTGCCGAGATTCAACTTCTTGGATTTGATTCGCAGGCCCATACTTTCAAGAGTTCGCGAGCCCGTAAGCTTGTAAGTTCGTATGTTCATAAGTGTCAGCCCAATCTCTTGGATTTGAATTCCTCAGGTGCCAAAGTTTTTCACTTTCATGAGCTCGGCTGAGCTTCAATCGCTTGGATTTGATTCGCAAGCCCATAAGTTCAGAAGTGCGCAAAGCCGTAAGCCCATAAGCGTGAGCCAAATTAATCTCTTGGGTTTGTTTGAATTCCTCAATCTCAAACCCCAAAACTTTTGACTTGGACAAGCTTTGCCGAGATTCAATGCCTTGGATTTGATTCGCGAGCCCGTGGCAAGTTTCTAAATTCAATCAGAAACTCAGAAGTTCGCAAATTCATGAATTACTTAAGAAACTCAAAAGCGCGGAAACTATTCAGAAACCCAGAAGCCCGCAAGTTCGTAAATTCGTAAGCCCATAAACTCGCAAACTCGTAAGCTCATGAACTCAAAAGCTCAAAGGTTCAGAAATTTGCAAGTTCATACGCTTATAAGTTTGCAAGTTCTTAAATTTGTAAGCCACTAAACTCATAAATTGGCAAAGAAACTCATAAGCTCATAAACTCGCGAGCTGGCTCATAAGCTCAGAAGTTCGCAAATTCATAAACGCATAAGCCTCTAAGCTCGTAAGGTAAGTTTCTAAGTTTTTGAGTTCGTGAGGCCATGGGGATGGGTTCAGGACTTCAAATATGAAAGAAAGAGGGAGGGTCTGGGGCTTGGGGTTTGGAAGTGGGGGAGTGAGAGTTTGGGGGGGTCGTTGTTGTTTTTTAGTTTAGCTCTTTAATATTACTACCTAGCAGAAGAGTGCTCGTAACCGGTGCAACAAGTGGAAAACTACAACTAGATCGGTCTTCTAGCTGTAATTTACTACTTAAATGCTTTGAGCCATACATAGTTTTGAAGGGTCATGCAGTCGTCTCCTTGTTACGGCATGAACGTAATTAATATACAACGTTTACATTATAGATAGTTAATTTAATTGCGGCAAGATTCCATCTTTTTTTATGGCTCTTCAATGGCCTCGAACGCTCACCCCCTCATACTAGGTGGGCTCACTCCTGTCCTGTCCTATGATCAACAACATTATGAGAAGCTCACTTTTTGTTTTTCTTGTGGTCTTCTCTCATAAAGGGTAGTCGTGCTGACGTGCGCCCTCGCGCTGGAAGTAGCAGCAGTGGCGATTCGAGCAAAGATGCTGCTGGTCTTACTATGGAAACTCAAAAAAGTCCTTTTCATTTTGATGATGTATACAAGTTTAGCTTCGATCAATCTAGAGTCTCAGCACTTTTTTGAGGATGTGGCTGGTTTTGGAACTGTTCTAGTAAATAATCCTCCTGCCGGTAGGCGCCACCTACTAGGACGAGATGTACTACTAGCAGTAGCAACTAGGAGCGTGCTTATAATTATTAGCACAGTTTATAGACGGTGGGAAGGTGGGCACGGTGGGCGACGCTGGACCGCTGGGCGGCCACGCTTGGCACGGTGAGCGGACCCCTGGCACGCATGGCCGGCACGCTGGGCGCGTATAGCGTTGCCCCGCTGCTTCCGCCAATGTACAGGGCTGCAGCCGAGGGCGGCGCCGCTCTACGCTCCTTTGCGGAGTGGCCACGTGCTCGCTGCTTGCGGTGCTTCGCTGCTGTATGCAGTGCCGCCTGGGTTTGTAGAGTGCGGCGCAGCGTTGCAGTGTGCCTCAGTGCTCTGCTGCAATGTGCGGCCAGCGCTGCTGAGGGATATGCCCAGGCGGGCCAGTAGGTGGGCGCCCCGATTCGTATGCAGCTTGCTGCGGGTCCACGGTGCATGCGCTTACTCTACCGGGAGGCTTCAGAAGTGGGCGCCTAAAGGGCGCCCCGATTTTTGACCCCAAGTCTCACGCTGGGCAAAATCTTTCGCAGAAGACCCACTTTTGGGCGACCCAGCGTGCCAAGCGTGCCCACCGATCCAATTCTGGAGAGGGAGCGGGCTTTCTCGTTACATGCGCCAGGGCTGGAGGCGAGGGGGGCCCCCCTGGCCATGTGGATGGAGCTGTGGCGGCGTCGGCGCGCCCTTTTTTCCGCGGTGGTGTTAGGATTTCCAGGGGCGAAGGCCTCACAAAGCGTGCGGAGCCGGGGGCCCGTTACTGCTCTCCGCGTGTGCCTCGCAGGCGTCCTGGCTCTTGGACCCTACCAGGACGGCCTCTGGGGGTAGAGGGCGGCCATGGTCGCGAGGCCTGGCCTCTTTTGCTGGGTTGCCCCCAAATTGGTGGCAGCATCAGCCGCCTGCAAACGCCCGGGGGGCTGAGGACCAAAGGATTGGAGGAGTGGGGGCAAAGCGTGTCCGCCTGGGTTCTGTCGGACACATACAGCACGGCGAAGGAGGTCAGGCTGCCCGCGGAGGCCCCCTACCCACCGGGAGGGTCCCCCGTGAGGAGCCCGCACACCTGGGGGAGGTCTGCCGTAAGAGTCAGCGAACGCCCCCCGCGGATCGTCACGCGTCACGCCTCTAGCGTGACGCATATGAATCCCGGGGGGATTGGGTGTTTTTTCGCCATGCGTGCTCTAGCGTGACGCATGGGAATCTCGTGGGGCCTGGGTGCTTTTTGACGATGTGCGCTCTAGCGTGACGCATGGGAATCTCATCGGGGTCGGGTGTCTTTTCCGCGTGCGCTCTCTAGTGAGTGTGACGCATGGGAATCCAATGCAGACGAGACCAGGCGCCCCTTTGCCAGTGTGTAAGCGTGAAAGGGTTCTCCCTTGAGGGCAGGGCCCTCATGATCGGAAAGACTTCAGCTGGGTGTCCTCTATTCGGATTGAGGGTCCTCCCTTGAAGGTCCTCATGATCGGAAGGCCTTCATCTGGGAGCCTTCTCAGAGTGAGGGTTCTCCCTTGGAGGTCCTCTCTCTCTCATGATCGGAAAAGCTTCATCTGAGGGCCCTCTCAGAGTGAGGGTTCTCCCTTGAGGGTCTTCATGATCGGAAAGACTTCAGCGGAGTGTCCTCCATTCAGATTGAGGGCTCTCCCTTGAAGGTCCTCATGATCGGAAGGACTTCATCTGGGAGCCCTCTCAGACTGAGGGTTCTCCCTTGAAGGTCCCCTCTCATGATCGGAAGAGCTTCATCTGGGGGCCCTCTCAGAGTGAGGGTTCTCCCTTGGGGGTCCTCATGATCGGAAAGACTTCAGCTGGGTGCCCTCTATTCAGATTGAGGGCCCTCCCTTGAGGGTCCTCATGATCGGAGGGGCTTCATCTGGGAGCCCTCTCAGAGTGAGGCTTCTCCTTTGAGGGTCCTCTCTCATGATCGGAAGAGCTTCATCTGAGGGCCCTTTCAGAGTGAGGCTTCTCCCTTGAGGGTCCACATGATCGGAAAGACTTCGGCTGAGTGTCCTCGATTCAGCTTGAGGGCTCTCCTTTGAAGGTCCTCACGATCGGAAGGGCTTCATCTGCGAGCCCTCTCAGGGTGAGGGTTCTCCCTTGCGGGTCCTCTCTCATGATCGGAAAGACTGCATCTGGGAGCCCTCTCAGAGTGAGGGTTCTCCCTTGAGGGTCCTCATGATTGATCGGAAAGACTTCAGCTGGGTGTCCTCTATTCAGATTGAGGGCCCTCCCTTGCGATCCTCATGATCGGAAGGACTTCACCTGGGAGCTCTCTCAGAGTGAGGGCTCTCCCTTGGAGGTCCTCTCGCATGATCGGAAGAGCTTCATCTGAGGGCCCTCACAGCGTGAGGGCTCTCCCTGGACGGAGGGTCCGCATGATCGGAAAGACTTCAGCTGGGTGTCCTCTATTCAGCTTGAGGGTTCTCCCTTGAAGGTTCTCATGATCGGAGGGACTTCATCTGGGAGCCCTCTCAGGGTGAGGGTTCTCCCTTGAAGGTCCTCGCCCATGATCGGAAGAGCTTCATCTGCGGGCCCTCTCAGAGTGAGGGTTCTCCCTTGAGGGTCCTCATGATCGGAAAGACTTCAGCTGAGGGCCCGAGGGTCCTCATGGTCTGAAGGTGGGGCCTTCATCTGCAGGCCCCTTCCTGAGCGTCACGCGAAAAGTGTGACGCCTTGTCTCTAGTAAGTCTGTAGGGTACATGCAACAAAAGCGTCACGCTTTTCGCGTGACGCGTCACGCTCTTCGCGTGACGCTCGAACCAAGATGGGGCAAGCTCTCAGTAGTACTATTCCGGGGGGGAAGGCGTGGCGTCTTATGTAGGACCGCGGGGGGCGTTCGCTGACCCTTACGGAGGTCTGCCGGGGACATGCAACACGGCAGGGGGGTCAAGCCTTGCCACCTTTGCGGCCTTCGGAGGCTTTCCACCACATGCCGCCGGTTTTTGAACAACGGCCTCACGGGCTTGGGCTCTGGGGGGTACATGTAAGAAGCCGCCAGGGCACGAAGGTGGGCGTTTGGAGGCCTTCCCGCCTGGCAGTCTCTCGGCAAAAAAGGCGCTAGGCTAGACGCCCCCCCGCCGCCTCCCTAGATCGGGGGCGCCTGCCTTCAGCCCTGAGCCTTGAGAAGTATATTCGTATTTATAAATATATAGTTATCATGGCTTTCCTTAAGAAGCAAAAACTTTCCTTGAGAAGCTTTCTTTTTCTTAGGGACAAGCGGCAATAGACTTAGGTTAATAACAAAGGCGCTCTAAAGCCCTTGCTAGTACTACGAGCGCAATGGTACCGCGGGCGTGGGCGTCTTGCATCATGTCCATGAAACAGCCAAGCCTATACATCTCCGCGCCTGAAGGCTGGGGCCCAGCTTCTGGCCCTGCGCATAGATATGGCCAAGCGTGGCCTTCTCATGGGCCTCATCCATGACGCTCGCCAGTGTCAGCTTTTTGCCATGGGTATGCTATGCCTTAGGATTCTCCTGGACATGATCACACTCAAAAGGGCCCAGCCTCTGTGCTTACATATGTCGAAGCGTGGCCTTCTCATGGACTTCATGACGCTCAGCGGGCCGGCCTTGCTTGGCGCCCATTGGCTTGCCCCTAGCAAGCAAGTGTGCCAAGGCAGTAGCCATAGCGGTGCCTCCTCACTAGCCTCGCCACAGTGGGAGCCAGCTTCCCAGCCTTGGCGAGCAGACTTGGCGACTTTTTTCGCCTGTCTTTCTGTCTCTGAGTAGTCAATCTGTCTAGTTGTTAACCTATGCCCAGCGCAGCGGGCCCTTGATGGGCCCGCTTTCTGGGCATGCATCCAAATACATTACACATTCTTACCAGCATCATCCTCGGAGCTGAAATCTCCAGAAAAAACTAACGTGGTGCAATGAAAGTATACTAGCAGCCGGCTAGTTTCCCTCGTCTTGTTACATTTAGTCTCCTAGGAATAGAGCGGTAAACGCATGCTCGTAATTTTTACCGGCTTATCAGGCTGCACCTTCCACTACATCATACGCTTACCAGCTCTGAGTCCCCATGCAAATGACCTCACGCTTACCGGGCTAGTACACATTATAATATATACCTCAAGACTAGGAAGGTACATCAATCAATTATTCCCGGCTTTTTTCTCACCCTTACCAGTTCCCAGAACCTATCCCTTACCAGTTCTTAGTCCCTATCCCTTACCAGTTCTTAGTTCCTATCCCCTACCATTTCTTAGTCCTTATCCCTTACCAGTTCTTTGTCCTTCATTTGTCCGATAGTCGGCACAGGAACAAACTCGCTTGGGGATGCGTTAGGAATTCGCACGATGGTTAAGGGTTCCCACATTGCATTCTCCAATATAGTATATGATGTGCGACTATGTGAGACTCGTGCCTGCTCCCCATGCCACGACTTGTTGCATCCTTGACTTGCGCAACCTTTGACTTTTTCAGTATCAACAAAGACAACAGGAGCACAGTGACAACACCAGTATCAAAGACAACTCGCGGGAGCAGGACGAGATGATGATAAAACTACTCTTACAGATCTGCTGGAGAGAAACTTCCCTATAATTAGACTACTAAAACAAGAACTAATATCAACAAGAAAGACCTCTAACACAGGAGGCCTGGACGGACTCTTAGAGCCGAATCCACGTGTCTTCACTAGCACGGACTTCGATTTCACCGACGTGATGAAAAAGTTTTCTTTAAGGCTATCGCTATTGCTATTCATCATTTTTTTGATCCACCAGTGTCTGTGTGCGTGGCAGTACCAGACCTTTGATGAAAAGTTGTAAAATGGCTCAGCTTGTTTCTTAGAAGATGCAAGGCTGTACCAACTACTACTACAACTACATACTAGGTGTAACTACTACTAGCTACAAAACCTAAAATGAATTGGCTAACTACTACTACTAGCACTAGCACTACTACCACTACTACCACTACAACCACTACTGCCACCACTAATGCCACTACTACCACTAATGCCACTACTACCACTACTGCGACTACTACTCCTACTGCTCCTACTACTCCTACTCCTAGCTACTCTTACTCGTAGCTGCTACTCCTACTCCTAGATACTCTTAGCTACTCCTACTCCTAGCTACTCGTAGCTACTCCTAGCTACGCCTCGCTACTCCTCGCTCCTCCTCGCTCCTCCTAGCTACTCCTAGCTACTCCTAGCTACTCCTCGCTACTCCTCGCTCCTCCTCGCTCCTCCTCGCTCCTCCTCGCTCCTCCTCGCTCCTCCTCGCTCCTCCTCGCTCCTCCTCGCTCCTCCTCGCTCCTCCTCGCTCCTCCTCGCTCCTCCTCGCTCCTCCTCGCTCCTCCTCGCTCCTCCTCGCTCCTCCTCGCTCCTCCTCGCTCCTCCTCGCTACTCCTAGCTACTCCTAGCTACTCCTAGCTACTCCTAGCTACTACTAGCTACTACTAGCTACTACTAGCTACTACTAGCTACTACTAGCTACTGTAGCTACTACTAGCGACTACTAGCTACTACTAGCGACTACTTCGCTGCTGGTCGACTACTTCGCTGCTGGTCGACTACTAGCTACTACTTCGCTGCTGGTCGGTGCATCTTGAAGATGAACGCCAGCGGGTCGCGATTACTAGTTAATTCCGGTCTTGTATTCCTTTATCACTATTTGCATTATCATCTTGTTATTAAACAGTAGATGACAGTAAAAGCAGTAGTGCACTTGTTAACCAGTAGTGCACTTGTTAACCAGTAGTGCACTTGTTAACCAGTAGTGCACTTGTTAACCAGTAGTGCACTTGTTAAGACAATGCTTCATACTCCACCTGCACCACCAGACTACCGAAGTATGATAGTCATGTGACTTCATTCATCAAAGAACTTTATCTCTATTATTACTACTTGCCAAAGATGAAAAAGATACGAAGGAGTTGAAAGACATCACCTTCATCACCTTCATCCCCTTACCCTTACGATTTGGCTGAACAGGGGAACTTGATCAAGCAGGTCTTCTAATTGCTTACGACCCCGATGTCGGGATAACACAAGAAGAAGTCGCACCTCGCACGGATGGTGAAACCATGTATGTTGTGGACTACTTCGTTCTCCTCCAGAGTTTTTCCTTTTAGTAGAAGAACTAGTACGTCGTCTTTGTTTTTACAACTTCTACTGCAGATCATTACTGCAAAGAATGTAGCGTTAATGCTTTGCAGTAACACAGAGTAATTAGACATTACTTTGTAAGTAACGCACAATGATGAAGTGCTGCATCAACTTGGGCCCTTGTCCTACCTTGTAGAACAGCAGTACGTGTTGAGACTGTTCATGTCTCATGATCATGATAGCGATAGCGATAACAATAATGACCCCGGCTGGCCATCGGGAGCTCCCGGCGAGCGAAACACCGCGCAAAGCGTCGAAAGATGACCAGCGCAACTCCCTCGCCGAGTGCGGAGGAGCAACGAGAAGGCAAAGCACAACGCGCATGCCCATAGAGAGACGGCCGGCGCAATTCCTCCGACGAAAGCGCGCGCCTGGCTCGCTGCGCAGGCTCTCCCGTGTGCCGTTCGTGTCTGGTGGGGTGTGTCTTTGCTTTTTCGTCTCCGCCTGCTCTGGTTGTGTGTGCGTAGGATAGTCCGCGCCCCTGCGGGGTGTCGAGCTGTGCCGCCGCCTTGGTTAAGCTAAATGAGCGCGCGTGGCTATCATCCGGCGAAGGTTTTCGGCGGTGCGTGGTTCTGGGCTTTCTGCTCGGCGTTGTTCCTGGTGCTTTCCCCCAGTGGCTGCAGAATGCGCGCAGGCATAGCACATGCAACCCATCAACGAGGAGAACCCGCACAGCCGAGGATAGGGCTCGCGGGTTCTCTCTCGGAGTTAATTCGTTAAAAGAAACAACGATGGCGCAGCTTCCGTCGCCTGTTCTTAGAGGTAGCCACCGCACTGCCTGACCCTCGCCCGCCTGATTTCTCCCCCGCGCACCGTGAGCGCAGGCGGCGCCCAGTTCCCCTCCCGTTGGGTCTTTTCGCGCTTGGTCGTGTGTGCTGGTCGGTGCTGGATTCACCACAGACACCAGCGAGGCCAGCTCTTTGGCTTGTTTACGCTACTCCGCGTGGGTGGGTGACTGAGCACATCTCTCTGCGCCACAGGCTTGGCGCGCGTATCCGCATGACGTGGCTTTTGGCTAGCTTCGTTCCCCAACGGGCTCGAGGTTGGGCGTATTTTCTTCGCCCGTTTCTGATTGTCGCGCGCAGTTGCGCCCACGGGTTGGGAGTCGCCGCGCCTGCGCTGCTGCTTTCTATTTTTATGTTTGAACCCCGTGCCAGAGCATTGAGTAAGGCCCCGCGGCAGGGACGGAGTTCGGACCACCACGCCGCAACCAATACCAACCCAGACTTGTATTCTTTGACTTCTGTGCACCAGGACAGTCACGACAGGGCGCGAGCGAGCTGCGGTTAGCGTGGCCGTGCTCTTTCCAAACTGCTGAGCTTTGGCTCCCGCGCGCCTTGGAGGCGCTTGAGGCCTTGAGGCAGTCTGTTAGGCTGGTCTCACCTTTCATGCGTTAGACTGCGCGCGGAGTACTGTAGTGCACAGCCCGCCCAACTCCGGGCCAACCTCGCCGCTGGATAACAATAATTATAGCGATGATGATAATGATGATCTTCTCTTATTGGCCGCAAAGGCAAAATGCTGGAACAGCAACAGCAACAGGAATACGGCAAAACAAGGATATGCTCGGGTCACCTAGCAAAACCGGGAAAACGCCGCGTGATCCTTAAGGGATGACGATGAGATCTCTGCATTAGTTGTTCTACATCTTATTTCAAATTCAATCTTTGAATACTTTTCCTACTATCCATCCTACTTTGATTTAATAGATGCAGCCGCCCAAAATAAAAGCTTAATCATAACGGGTAATCCATCTTATTGGAGTTGGACTCCTAGCTTGTTCTACTAACTGTTTGGTCGAAGCACGATTATATTGCCCTCTCTATGTCATCTATGTGAACATATAGAAGTAGCAGCCACGTCAGACTCAGAGCAACTTATCCTCTCCTATTGTATCTTTTTGGACCTGCTAGTTTGTTAACCCAGGCAGTTTATCGAAGAGCACAACTAGATCCTCTCGCTCACTCAAGCCTTTACTCCTCTTCTTCCAGGTTCAAGAACAGGGTTAATTAATAGTGTTGTCGTGCCAATCAATATTCTATCAATATTCTCGCTTGAATCTCTAATCAACGGACACGCCAGGAACAGGTGATACGTCATTTCTCCAAGATGAGCCACGTAATGCGTTTGCCTTTCTCGAAGAAGGTTGGATATCTTCTTCCTCGAATAGTACTAGCACGACAGGAGAAATTTCATCTATTTTTACGGCGTAGGAAGGTACAGGTAGCACCAGTACGAGTACTACGTTGTACTTAGAGCGAAGTAGGAACTGGTGAGTTTGAATGGTTCTGGTATTTGGTAACCTGAATTTGATCCTAAGGGTTCTTGTCGTCCCTAGTACTATGTACCAGGTGGTCTCGTACTAACAGGATAGATATTTTTGAGCTGGTCATCTACTTCTTGTTGGGATCGTTCTACCTGGGTCCATTGAGTAATCTAGTGAGAAGTTCTAAAAATTTAACACCAGCTACTTCAAGTTCAAAGGCGGGAGTAGAGCCCTTCCTCGCAGATGACGGGGATGAGCACGAAGATAGTCAAGCAGACCTCGACGAACTTGAAGAAAAACATGGTGAAGATGATGAAGAGGACGATGACGATCCAGATGTTGACGCGGATGATGTCGAAGTTCATAGTGACGAGGAAGAAGACGATGACGAAGAAGATGAAGAACATCAGTCAGATCACGAGGAGGACGACGTGGATGCGGTTTTTTTATCAGGGAAGACGACGGTCATCAACAAGAGCCTTCTTGAGGAGCACGAGGAAGCGTTGGACGATGGTGGTGGAAGTAGTTCCACCGCTTCGACAGGACGAAAGGAGGTGGACGAAACGTTGGCAGTAGATACTGCTAGTACTTCCACCGCTTCAACAGAAGGAGAGGACGGACTAAAGCAGGAGGGCATGCCGATACAAGGTCAAAGTACTTCTTCCAGTGCACTAGTCACTAACGGTAATGCGACCTTGGCAGAGGCAGAAGACGAATTGATGAGTAGAGATGCGAGTAGTAGTAGTACCACTCACACTACCACTAGTACCACTACTGCTTCTTCTTCAACAGAAGAATATGCTCGACCTCGAACATCAATACAGTCTTCACCATCACACGACAACGTGAACATGGATGCAGAACCTCCACAGCATCAGGATGTTCCTGCTCACGACAATGGACAGGGAGCTGTCACCTCAGAAGGTCATCAGCTCGTGGACAAAAGAGAAGATCATGAAGAAAATGTTGAAGGCGATGGAGCAAATACCATTAGCAGCACATCAACTTCTACTACAACTGCTGAGAAATCGGTACCGGAGCTTCGAGAAAAAGCACCTGAACAAGATGTACTAGGTGAATCTTCAATGTTGGAGCTACTTGGAGAGAAAGCGCGACCAGCTGAAGCTCGTGATGAATCAGAAGACTATAACTCAGGTGACCTAATGGAGAATGAGGAACAGGAGCCAGATTTTTACTATGGGATGGACTATGTTCTCGTATGAAGAGAAGATAGATTAGGAAGGAAATTGTATTAATTCATCAATGTAGAAGTTGTAGAGGATGTTGGTTTTCGCATGATGATGATTAGCAACGTCCTCTACTTCAGCATGAAAGGGACTATTTTTTCGCATGATGATGATTAGCAACGTCCTCTACTTCAGCATGAAAGGGACTATGTTTTCGCTGCATGATGATGATTAGCAACGTCCTCTACTCCTCGATTAGCACATCAAGTCTTTACAGTAACAGTATGTCATAGTTGTGCTCCTTGTAGTTCATCTGCTTCAGATTCCTCTGCTCTGTCTCGAAAACTACATTCGACGCACTTGTTTAATATGAGACGAGTGCCATTGACAGAAAGCTAACCTCAACCACGGCCTTGATCGAGATCGTGTTGTAGTTAGTAGTTGAAATTTTACGCAGATCATGATCTAGATGTTTGTTAGAAGTTCTTAGTATGGTGCTTCTTAGATTTAGACGTATCGAACTTGATGATGATCAACGAAGGGGGCCGCTCACAGTTGTTTTTGATTCAGTATGTATGAAATGGAAACACATGTTAGAGCATTTTTACTGAAGTTAAAGTACTAGTCGTTAGTAAATTATAATCAGATTCAGAAGTCAGCCCCAGTCTCCTTTATGAACAATGAAAATCAAAATTTCAATTGGAAATGAGTTGTAAGATGAGTAACAAGTAGAAGTTATCAGTATCTAGAACGTAGCTCGAGAATCAGCAACATCAAGCAACAAGAGGGTTAGTTGATGTAAAGAGAAATCTAGCCAGGCGAAGTGTACCCATCATCTTTCTGTTCTTCATCAATCGTGGTTCTATTAAGTAGTGGTAGTCTGTTACCACGTGGTTTTATAGGTTGTGCTAGCGGTAGTATGTCTTAATGCTTGCCGAACTTGAACATCAAGTTTTTGCCTGACTGTCCGTCTTAGGATACGAAGCCCTGTAACTCATCCACTATAATAAGTTCAAGTATAACAAGTAGGTATGATCATTATTTCTTTGTGTCTATTCTTCTTCTTGCTTCATGATCTTCGTCTCATGATGGCACTAAGCAGTATGTATTTTGTTGCTCTGGCGTTATCGTTAATATCTTGATAATTCTCAATAGTAATTTCTGTGGCTTAATTCTTCCTTCGTGTTTCCAAGTCCAAAAGGTTTTATGCAAAAACCGTCATCAATGATATCAAAGACAGTGTAATTTGTAAGGACAAGGACTTTCATTTTCGAGATGCGCAGGCAGAATGGTGTCTATTGCTCTACTTTTCCGTCGCCAGGCAGTGTAGGCTCCACGTCCTTTTGGAAAACCTGAGAAACAAGATGACGATCATAAAAAATCTTAGAAAGATTCCAAAAAAAAGCATATGAATTTTACAACGACGAGCGCTTGAGCGGCAAGATAGGTTGGACATTTTACCAGAGAAGAGAGTTCGTTCATCTGACTCTGCCTAGTAATATATTCAGTCTTCTCCTATTTCTTTAACATTTTGTCGTGGAAGATGATCACGATGATGATACGTGTGCTTTTCTTCCTCGGTATTTCTGTCTTAACACGACTAGTTGTTGCGAATGCGACTGGAGGTCGTGAGGAGCCTGCTGCATTATCGGCACAGCAAAACGCATTGCTCTGCGAGCTGCGGAATGCTTTAAGGGGAAACGAAGCTCGGGCAGTAGACGGGCCGCCATTCTTTTATACTTAAGATGAGGCAATGCTGCTAGTGGTGCTGGTAGCAGTGGGTAGTGCTACTTCTAGAAAAAATTCTAATTCTCATAGTGTTGATCAGAAATTATGGTCCCCGTCTTCCGTCTTACTAGAAGTAATGCTTAGTCTACGCCGATTCTATTAAAATTATACTTGTCGTGCTCGTGTTCTATGACCACAACACCAACTATGGGAGTACCACATTACAACATTACAACATCTAAAACCAGCAGTCCGCATTCGATGCTGTCCAGCAAGCGGACTTCGGACGCAGACCACCAGAGCTGTTCCGTCTTTTGCCTGTCGACGTTCCACCTGCTCTCCTTCCCGGACGTCATTCTTCATGCGCTGTTGTCGGGTCCTCCGGTATTTTGACTCCCTCATCTGCTGCAGATGAAGGCGGGTATTTTTATGGCTAGTTGTGCTGTGTAGTCGATAATTTGGTTGTAGCTGCGTAAAAGAAGCCACGTGTTATACTATCAGGAGTATGCCTGATGTCTATCTAGTTGTGCATGAAGATGTTGTTCGCCCTGCTAGTACGCTCTCTCGTTGAGATATTGAGAACAACCATCTCCCAATCTCATCTTTTTGTTTCTAATCCTTTGGCCGTGAAATCGACGGGCACGATGTGGTTTTCCGTCTCAATGGTGCGCCAGCTGGTAACAAGGGGGACGATAACGAACTACTAGCTCGTATAGCAGGTACACGGACTGATATTCGTGTAATGAACGGCTGGCATGTAAGCGAAAGTAAACCTTACGTCTACGGTGTTGATGCACGAGAAGATGAAGAGGAGATGAGACAAGTACAAACAAACAGTGAGTTAAGGCTTCCCCTAATTCATCCCTGTAAACATCCCTCAAACATATGCGTCCCAATACAAGGGAGATACTGACGCATATGCTTGAGGGATTTCCACAGGGATGAATACTACCTAGGGGAGAGCTCTAAGAGAGAGAGACGCATCGTCTTCAGACACAACTTCTAGTCCTCCTGTAGTAGACCAAAAGGCATCGCGCACTTCTAGTTCAGACGCTCCTCTTCCATTGGTTCAAAAAGCATCTCGGAAAGAAATCGTAGGTGAAGAGCTGCTGCACTGGCGTAGCCGTTATGCAGTTGGAGACCTACTGGTAGGCGCTTTGCCAATGAGGATCTATGCGGATAATGGATTCGACGGGTCCGCAGATCTCTGGAAATTCATCTATTGGCAAAAATACTTGGGCATTAGGGCAAAAGACATGCGAGACTATGAGTACAGCAGCATGCTCCGACACGTAAGGACCGACGCGAGAGGTGGTGTGGGAAATGCTGATCAAATTATATACGTCCAAGGTGAACAAGCAGAGGAACTACGCAGGAGAAGGAGACGGAGAAGAAGACAGCAGCAACGCCAGATGGAATCTTCTAGATCTTTTGCAAGAAGTGATACAAAAACAGCATCAGCGAAGACTCCACGATCATCAAGAACTACTGCTCAGCAAGATTTGGTAACTGCGAAAAAAATCTTGGATCGATGGGGGCCAGTTCATTTTCCACAAACTCGAGCTTATGCGAAGTTAGTTGGTGAAAAACACGCTGGAGGCAAACGCAAGGGCAATGTGAATGGAGTAGCACAGGAATCAGACTTAGAGAATATGAGGGTCACCGAGGCAGCAGCAAACTCGAAGGTCCCATGGAAGGTCCTCAATTCCGAAGCCATGGAGTATCTTGTGGACCATACTGCTGTTCGACCGAACTCCTTGCCGTATTACTTGTTGACTCCGACACTGCTAACCGGCCTACAGAAGTTTTTGAATGATTTCAAGGCGTCGGGCCCTAGTACTGGCTCTATCGGAATTGCATTAGCCCTACACCTGTGTGACAGCGTGACTCTGTATGGATTCGAGTCCGGAGATGTTGACCAGGAAAAAAGTACCGGAGATGTTGACCAGGTCGAACAAAGTATGCGTGTGGGAGCTATGAACAATATAAAAGCTCATTATTGGGACCGAGGGTTTGATTTGCAACGACGAACAGAAATGCACGCAGCTCACCCGATATCCAGCGAACAGAAACGGTGGAGTGAACTCAAATTCAAGTCCTCCAATTCCACTACGAGAACCAGAAGTACAAGAAAAATGACACTTCCAGGTATATCACGAGCAAAGAGTTGTCCACGATGAATGAGCTAGTGATGGTGATGGACTTCATATATTCATTGTGTGAAATTGTGCTTGCGAGTTGTTCAACTTCTTCATCTTGCACTTCAACAAAAACAAAGGTTTTGATCTTGATGAAGCTTCTTCCCTTCTCCTTGTTCGGAGGTACCTCTTCCCTGAATGGCCTCATACAGACTAGATGCGTAATGCTAGACAACAGGCGCCATGAGGACGTGACATGACTAAGCACTGACGAAGAATTCTACTTGATAGTCCGTTGAATATGTGAATGGTTCTGGTATTTTTGGTATAGCCTGAATTTGATCCTAAGGGAAAACAAGAATTGTGGAAGTTTAGCATAAACAACACAGGATGTCGTCGAAAAAGGTGAAGATAGGAATGCGGGGCGGGGCACAACTTTCTCTTTAAGCACAAACGATCAGGGACCTCGACGGACAACTTTTTAACTTCATATTCATATAATGAGATTCCAGAATGATGGGACGAGTTGTACTTAGGATTCTTGGGTTCAAGAATAATCAAGCTCGAGCCATAATTAGCAAACAACTTCTGAATAAATCCTAATCCAGTCCTAGACGGCTCAATATGGAGTTCTTGGCCTCGTAGTAGAGGTAATAAATTGAGTCCTAGACGGTCTGATAGCGTAAGGGTGAAAGAATATGGGAGTGGTGGACGAGCGGACTTGGAGAGATGTTGATGTTAGGGCGGTTCACATCAAACATGACCGCGGCGCGGCCGCCATCGGTCAGGAACATCGCAAACACCGCAAAAAGGCTAGAGTTTCTGCACTTAATAGGGACGAGAGGGACACACCAGGGCGATGGAGGCGGTGTCCTTGTTCAGTCGGTGCCAAAAAGGAAATTTAGTAGCTGGGAAGCAGTGGGTCTTAAAGATTCGACAAAAAAAGAACCAGAAAATGGCACAGGAAATAAAAAAGGAGTCAAAATAGAAGTTGTTGCACCCTCGAATGGGTGCAAAGTTGTTGTTGACCCAAAAACGAAAAGTGGTCCTCAAGAACATCAAGGGACTTCTTCATCTTCTCGCTTTCAACACCTATCATTCAACAACACTCCGAAGACCTTAACCTCATCGTACTCAAAACAGAGTCCTCAGAGTTCAGCATCTTCAGCCAGACCAGTTGTGCTAAAATTCAATGGCTTGCCGCATCCGACAGCATCGTGTGTGATGGGGAATCAATTTTTTCGCGCACTATCTGCGCCCTGTAGTGCCGTCTGTGGTGCTTCGGAGGCTCCCACAGTAGATGAAAACGCAGCTGCACTACAACAAGAAACAAGAGATGCTACAACAACTTCTGAGAGCACATCAATAAAGAAGCCTGCTCCAACTGCAATTTCATCTCATCTGAAGAACAGGAATTTTCTTCAACCTCAAAAGAGAACGTATGTATCACCGTTGAAGGAAGAAAAGCCGAAGAGTCCTGCTAAAAGTCCGAGGAATTCACCTGGTGGAAAAGCGAGCTCACCTGGAATTATGAAAACTACTTGCTCATGCTCGTTTGCTCCTACGTAGTTGCGATTCACTGGTATCTACTTGTGAGTATCTGCTCGGCTAATAAACTTCGAATCGTACTTATCGGATTCCCCCCGTGTCAATGTTTGTGTTGCTCTTGTTGATTTTAGACCTTCAGATTCAGTATCAGTGTCGAGTATGATCTGTTTCATCTTCTAACATCCACGTCACTCTCACTTCTCCACGGCCTGGAGGATCAGCGCAGAGGAGAATGTCTAGTGCGAAGAGGTCGAAGATCGACAACGATGCGGTGGTTGATGAGGAAACTCTGAGAGAGAATAGGAAAAAGTACCTTCTGACAGTAGACCAGGGCACCACATCATCGCGGTGTTTGCTCTTCGATTCGACGTTTAGACACGTGAAAACAAGTCAGGAAGAGTTCCCGCAATATTAAGGCTGTACCTAATACATCTTTGGACGTATCCTTGAAACGTAATATGGAGGAGTATCCTAAGGGAATGCTCCCCCATACTTATTTTCAAGGATGCACTTGAAAGATGAATTACGGACAGCTCTAACAATACTATCCGAAACCAGGATGGGTCGAACATGATCCGGAGGAGATAGTCCAGAGCGTCCAAAACTGCATGCAGAAGTTGGGAGTTGCGAAAGATCAGGTATACGGCTCTTCCAATCAAGAAGATCATGCGAATGAAAGGAGGACTTCTCTACTAGATTGTAACCTCGACTTGTTCCTGAAGATGAACATCTTTTCACAAAATTTGCCCACAGGTGAGCGCAATCGGTATTGCAAATCAGCGAGAGACGACTATCGCTTGGGATAGGGAAACGGGGAAACCGTTAGCGAAAGCTGTTGTCTGGATGGATACGAGAACGATAGACGTCGTGAAGGACTTAGTCAAACGAATGCGCAATGACAAAGATTTTTTTCTTATGTTTCATCGATTGTTTTGTTGAACAATTTTGTAAAGTGTCCGTAGGTACGGGTCCCGGGGCTACGAAGACCATTCTCGTTTAGGACTGTACCTTCCTACGAATCATGCGATTAGTACTTACTTACTTGTAATACATGTAGTCGCTATAGTCGATACTAACAAAGCACCACATCCTCGATTTACAGAAGAATCCACATCTTCCCCATTTTCATACTACGGCCAGTAACGGGCTTGCCAATTAGCACATACTTCTCTGGTTTGAAGATCAAGTGGCTACTTCAGAACGTCAAAGCGGTGAAGGAAGCGCATGATGCAGGCAAATGCTGCTTTGGTTAAGGCTATTCAATTTTTAGTGCAACTTACTAGTGCCTGCTCTCAATCTCAAAGATCCTCTCCTCCACCTCCATCCTTTTCTAATCTTGCACAGTGGATTCCTGGCTAGTATACAGGATGACAGGGGGCAAACAGCATGTGACGGATGTCTCCAACGCGTCGAGGTATATGCTCATGGATTTGCGGTCACGTCAATGGAGTGCAGACATTTTGCGGACATTGGGGATCAAGAAAGAGTCACTACCGAAGATCGTGTCGAATGTGGATATTATGAAGTAGACGGGTTGACTGTGAATTATACATACTTCTAACTTCTACTAGTTGTGGTCGCGCCTGGAGTTTACCGCAGTACCAAGTTGAGGAAAAAAAACCGCGCTAGTGCAATTGCGTAGTTACTTCCTCGTTGATTTCAATTTGATGATTATACTTAAATACAAAAAGAACTAGATCTTCATTAAAGATTCTCGTTCCTAGACCTCCTCGTCCACCTGTCACGCTTTTCCTTCATTCCCTACTTCGGCGTTGTCTCCGAGGACTTCTCGCGCGCTCTAGCTGGTGTGCCAATCTGTGGCATGCTGGGCGATCAGCATGCGGCACTAGTAGGACAGTGCTGCTTCGATGTCGGAGAAGCAAAAAATACCTACGGAACAGGGTGCTTTATGATCGCAAACACTGGTCCAAAAATCGTGCCGTCTACCAAGGGTTTGCTCACAACAATCGGATACCAGATGGGAAAAGGGGAGAAGACTGTGTACTTACTAGACTTACGTCTTTTTATCAGCATGATCTGGTGTGACCACTGTAACCACGAAATCAAAAAATGCATGCTAGACTGAACGGACTAGTGTTGCTCAACAAAATTCTATCACACCAAGAAAAAACACGCTTTTTTCATACTTGTAGTTGTCTTGTTGTCACTTCTACTATAGGTACGCTCTCGAAGGCTCTGTTGCCATCGCTGGGCGTTTGATCCAGTGGCTTCGGGATAATTTGAAGATCATCAGCGATGCTCCCCAAGTCGAAGGCGAGGCCAGAAAATGTACTTCGAGCGGTGGTGTGTCTGTTGTGCCTGCTTTTCAAGGCCTTTTTGCGCCTCATTGGCGTGATGATGCTAAAGCAGTGTTGTGCGGTATGACGTTGCAGACGGGAATATCCGAGATTTGTCGAGCAAGTTTGGAGGCAGTGGCATTGCAGGTCTGCGATATCCTGATCGCGATGGAGGGGGATGGTATGGTGACGTTTTCTTGGTTTTCAGTTTTTTTGCATGATCCATGTTCTTAGTGTCCTCTTCCTTGGAACAAGATGTTGAAGTTTTGTTCTTTCACGACGACTCCGGATTTTCGATTACACCATGCTCAAGGTCATCTTCTTTGTTCCACCAGCCCTACGAGAACTCCTCCAGCATCACCACCAACATCACCTCACAGGCATCCCAGTCAAACAGCTTCGCGTGGATGGTGGTATGACAGTGAATGAACTGCTGATGCAAGTTCAGGCGGATCTTTTGGGAGTATCCGTGCAGCGACCGACCATGGTCGAGACCACGGCACTTGGGGCGACGATGGCTGCGGCAATCGGGGTTGGGCTTTACAAAAGCACTTCGGAGATTCACGAGGTGGTGATGAGCATTATGGTTGACGAGTACTTAAATGTTTTGTTGCGTAGGTCTAGTATTAGTAGAAGTTGTTTTCAGTTTCACAAACACAATTGATGCACTCCTCAGTCTCTTCTAAACCAAGCGGACAGACCGAATACAAGACCTTTGAGCCCCAAATGGCATTTTCGGAGCGGAAGAAGATGAAGCTGCAATGGGCTAAAGCTGTCGCAAAAACGGTCAACGATCATTCAAACCTGTAGAGGAGATCATGTGGTAGAACATGAAGACGAACACGAAGAGATAGGTGCCTAGCTACAACAGCTAGGTCTTCTACTTCTATTTTATCAAGAGGTGTAGGATGAAGTTTTTTTTGAAAATTTTCATTGATTAGAAGTACTACATCAAGCGATTTTGGCTCCGCCAGATTCATCTCAGAACGTCGAAAGCTGAGGTCACCGTCACCACGATCCAGAAAAAAAATTTGGGTGCTGAGCCACATATCACAAAATGCTGCAACTACATTGCGAACAAAACCAAGTGATAGAATTGCGAAATTGATGACTAGACGATGACAAGTAGCATGACAATATACAAACATCAACGACGAGAACGATTGACATGATTCGAACTACAGAAAGCTGCTCAATCCTGAGTAGCGTATGCATGCCAAGACATTTAATTCATTTCGTTCATTTCGACACTGCACGATCGACTAGAGGACCTGATGTCATATCATGCACAAAATTGAAATTCACAGCAATGAGTTTATCATTCAAATTAAGAGTACGAACACTTCTGTTGACGTTATCAAAATTAGGACAAAACGCAAGAAACGGAAAGGCAAACCGACGCTCTTGATTTAACCATACATTAGGAAACATAGTTCAGCATGTAATGAGCAACACCGAGTAGTGTCATCTAGACTTGTCCTGTATACATCTTTACAGATGGCTGCAGACCCTGTACTATAAAAAAATGCTTGTACTACTGACTGAAGATCTTGGATTTTCCTGTACCATATGCCTATGCACCAATCAATTATAAACCAACAATAATGTTGTAGTTGTTCAGCCTGGTGCTGCAGTAGACAAGGTAATCAACATTCAAGACACGCTGAGTGATTTGTGGAGCGAAGATAAAGAGAGAAGAGATGTGAACTCGGTACCTCACTTCGTAAGTCATTCTCCAGTCTAGTTAAGTGCCAGGTCGTTGGCTTATCTAATCTACCTATCTTTGCGCCATTTTGTGTCTCTCGTTTGCCACTTATAATTGCTCTCTAAGGCATTGATAAAACTTCCAAAGAATTAGCCCACTCGTTGGAGCCGACGCATGTAGTCCTATGGTCTTCTTGCTCCCCCGGTATGTAAGTTTTGCAAATGGATTGTTTAAGTAGTTGAATGGGAGGCGGCATGTAGTCCTATGGAAAAAAAAAAAAAACGACTGAGACGGAAAAGATAACCCGAAAGGTTTCGAACATTAAAAAAATTCGGACCATCATTAGAGGGTCTTGCACGCTGCGGGCACTGTCTGGCATCTTAGGGAGAAAGACCTTGGCCGAAGCTGAAGCAGAAGGCGTGCTGGGCGAAGTTGTGCTGGGCGGCCGCCCAGGAATCGGGAGGCTGATTGCCTGGCTCTGTTGGGCTCGGGAGTTGCTCTCGCTGCGCGCTGGTGAATTCTGGCTCCACCTCGATACGGACCAAACCAACTACTTCAATAACATTCTGCTGAGCGATGTCCTGCAGCAGCTGGCTGCATGTCGCGCACATCCTACGACGTTGCTCTTTTTTCGACTCATCAACGCCAGGAAGAGTCTTTTCTTGCGGAACGGCAGGCACTACGTGAAGATCCACAACCATCCCGATGCGGTCCAAGGATCTGTCGAAGTCATGATCGCAGGCATGACTCTAATTACGAATTCGCTCCGTCGAGCTAAGCGGTTTCTTCGTGGATGTTACGATCCATCTTCCGGCCGGCTCTCCAAGAGCCATATACTGGAAGCCAGAAGCATTGCACTCCAGGAGATGGAGGCGAACAATACGGCCGATCCAGGTTCGTGGCCGCTCTATTCGGTCGAGAGCGGCAACGTCTCGAGTCGGCACGTCCGAGGCGCCGCGTATCACGATCACGGAAGACGGCTCATCGGTCCGCTGCCGGCTCGAAAAAATACTACTGCGCCGGCGGATGGTGGCGGGCCGTATTGCGTTAACGTCTCATCTTCTGTGGTAGCTTTCGTGGACGATCAAAGTATCACTCTCAAGCTCTTCTACGAGGACATCATAAACGGGAACTTAGCACTGGTGCTCGATGCCTTGAAGTTGCTTATTGTCTTCATGTATACGAGTGCCCGCCAATTCATTGCGGAGTCCAAGTTTGAAGGTTTGGTGAAACAAAACACCGGCTGCGGCGTCGTAGTAAATCCCGACCAGGTGCAGAAGGTATACGATACCATCCGAAACGCGTTAACGCCGTTTGGACTGCGTATCAAGTTGCGAGATACACTCTCCGTGTTAGGCTATCCGCTTTCTGCCACGTTATCCCTGGGTGACTCGTTGTGGAAACTAGCGCAGCAGCGCTTGTCTTTTGCTCAGGTAAAAGTCAACAGGGTGCTGGCCTCGACCGGATGGGAAATATCGGGAAAAGGCTTGCGGCTCTTACTGCTCTGGGCGTTCGTCACGCCCATTGTGGATCTGGTGTCTGCAGCCGTTGCGGTATGGGACGACGTGCGTTGGGCCAAGTTTAACTACGATTTCGCAACTGCGGCGGCGGAGGCTATAGGCCTGCGGCCTAATCAAATCGCGGCGCTCCGGAGGTTAAACGCGTTTCATAAGTCGCAACTACATCGCGTCGTCTGCTCTTCTAGCTTCTTAGCGATCGTGGAGCCGTATTTATTGGGGATAAAATGTGCTCGCACGGCAGCAACAAAGTTCATCGCTTCCACCGGGTGTGCAGAACTCCTAGACTATGCACTGATCCAGCCGAGACAAAGTCAGCGCATTCAAGGGGAAGAGGGCCGCTCCTTCTTTGAAGATATGGATCGCGCGGACTACACCTTGAGGCAGGCCATAGAAGACGCCAGAGCTGAACCCCTTCGGGATACGGAATTCGCTCACCCCCAGCCGTATTTGCGCAGCAGACCTTTCCATAGAGGAGATGTGCATAGATGCGGCTTAGCGGCAACAGGTGTCCCCTTTCCTAAAGTGCAGAACATTCCAGGTAGACACGTGGGAGCGTTTGGCTACTGGAAACCAAGCATTGCGGTCCTCGCGAATGAGTGCGGGGCGGTGGCCTACAGTGTTGCCGACGGGACACGCTGCGTCGTGACTGAGGTGGAGGATGCTCACGCCAGAGTCTCGACTTCCGACGAAAAAAACGACGAAGACAGGTCAGCTTACGCGGTGGCCGTCATTTTGCAGAAACTTGCACTGACTTCGCGGACATCTCCTAGAGAGGAGCAGGAGTGTGGGCGATAGCTTCGCCGCCCGGGGCGTCGTCGTCATAGTGTGCGGACTTCGGTTGCACCTAGTGAAAGAGCCTCCAGCTGGGACACAGTTGTGGACGGCTTTAGCTGATTTGCTACCGGGGCAAGTGCGTTTTCTCGGCGACCACGACTCCGCGCGGGTTGCCGATTTTTTCGAATGCAACGGAGAACCAAGATTGCCGGACGCTGTAAAACCGTCGAGGATCTGCATGAAGCCCGACACTTTCGATCTTGCCGGAAGAGAATCACAGTGCTATCCTGTGCGCGAGATCAAGTGCCCCATCAACTTGCAGGGAGACTTTCCGGACAGGATCAACTTTTCCCATCTTAGAAATAAAATCAACGCCGCAATTGATATCACTGGCATAAACATCCAAGGTTCATAGGAATAAAATGTTGCGTCGTTTATCTTTGGCGTGATTGGCAAATCGCGTCAATCACGCGCTTCATAGTCTTGCGCTGGTTGGGGATCAGCCTGTCTAACAGGATGAAGACACGATACTTACGAAGAAGATAAAACATTCTACAGAATTAAAACGAAGTCTGGCTATCTTGTCGTGATTGGCAATTTGCGTCAATCACTTTCTTATACTGGATCTTACGCTAGTGGGGTTCTACGACTTATTCGCAAAATAAAGTCGCGTCGGTATTTCAAGTGTGATTGGCAATTCGCGTCAATCACGCGCATCTTGGTTTCGCGTTGATCGAGTATTAGCCTGTCATGCAGGATGGAGACTTGATAACCTCAATGAAGCTTCAATATTATACAGAATCTTGACGAAAACAGGCTAAGCAAGCAACGCTATTAACTACTGTATTTATACTAAACCAAGCACGCTATCAACTTTACAACTAAGGCCGCCTGACAAGTTACACCTCACAGCGTAGGTAGTCCCTTCCTTCAACATTAGAATGTTGCAACTCAAAAGTAACAAGTTCTGCCTCGCGAAGGCGTGGCAAATACGTGAAAAGTACTTTCAACCTATCAGCGAGCACAAAGACGCTAAGAACAACGGTGCAAAAACTACAGCTAATCGAAATAAGAAAGAAAAAGTCGGACCATCTTAAGCAAAAATAAACACAAATGCGCCGTAACATCGCACATCTAAGAATAGAGCTCTCATCAATTTTGTAAGCAGACAGGGTGCGTTCAGAGCAGTCGAATCCCTATGAGGAAATTGTCGCGATCTCATCTCAGAAGACCAAGACGAGAAAGGCACGACACCAAAGAGGGCGAAAAAGAATGTTGCGATAAATAAGCGAACGCATGAAGTTGAAGAGGAAGATCATCCGGATGTTTATGAACGACCACTCAGAGGCTGGGTGGTGATAATATAAATAAGAGGATGAAAAAATAAAGATGGCGCCACGTCCACGTCTCCTTTTTGCAGACACGCGCGAGTGCTCTTAAGTATAGGCTGTCACTCATCCGGGGAGGAAAAGCCTTAGGAAAGGGAAACTGGAGACAAGGCCAGGAGGCGGCTACGTTGGAGACAAGTTCGGCGATTATAGGGAAACTCAACAGGAGGCGCAAGCTCAAATTAAGTTTAATCGAATACGGTTACAAAAAAGAGCTGTTTAGTATTAACTATTACAATGTACTTTCGCTTCCCACCCAGCTTCGTCTCCCCCGCGGATGATTTTTTCTCAGAGAATTTGTTTAGCGAAGCCCGCCTTTGCTCTTTTTAGGATACTTTCATTTTTGTATGATTTGTTGAGGTTAAATAAGACACTCTTGATGATCCCAGCAAAGTAACACAGCGAGAAGGAGGAGGAAGGTGAGGCGGACAAGGAAGAAGCAAGCAGATGCTAGAGTGAAAAGGAAATGGCGACTGCGTTTTGAGCTGAAGCACAAGAACAAGCAGAAAAATAGCTTTTTAAATTGTTAGGCCGGCACTTATTGCCAACAGCAAAACATTTATCAGGCCGATTCACTACACTGCTAAGTCCCACAAGATTTTGTAAATTGGTTGAATAGAATGCACCTTTTTAATTAACCTAATTAAGAAAACAAAATATCAAGCGGTCGCAGCAACTGCTTTAATTCAGTTTTTTACTGAAAGAAAAATTAGTCTTAGTGAGGCCTGCTCACATGATCTTCGCTGTTGATAGCCTTGTTAATTATTTAATCTCCTGGTTGTTTAGGCTCTTCTCCAGTAAGTCACTTTTCGATGGGCAGGCATGTCATACCCTTGCAGGTTGTAACACTTGCTTTCAGGGCCCTACACTGTTAGGTCGTGCCTTAGTTGTTCTACAGGGGCTATTGTAATATAGTTCCCTCCGATAGTCGTAGGTTTTGGCCGTTGTGATACGGTCTTCTTGCTCCCCCGGTATGTAAGTTTTGTAAATGGATTGTTTAAGTAGTTGAATGGGAGGTGGCATGTAGTCCTATGGAAAAAAAAAAACGACGCAGATCTTGTGCGAGTAATGAATGAATGAATGAATGCCAGACTGAGAGATGAAGTAGCACGAGGAGAGACATATTGAATCAAGTATCTCATGATGAGAGTGAGGCGAGCACGAGAGGGCAATATTCTTGAACAACACTAACATTTCTAAGTAAGTAACGTCTAAGACCATGTAACAAAGCAAAGATGAACAAACACATTCTGCCACGAACGGCAACGGTTTCCGCCTCTTGTCATGCTTGGTGTGCAGCTGGTGTACCTCGCCACATTGCATCGGGAGCCCTGTATCACACAGCAGGACGAAGCAGCAACTACATTGCTGGTCGACGAGCGATTATCCCAGTGATTTCAAATAGCTGCGCATTGACATCAAGAAATTTCTTCACCAAGCGCAGTTTTGCTACAGATGACGTTTGTTCAGCCTCATCGACGACGACGACGACGACCAGTAGTTTTGCTGTGCCAAAACAGGGTGACGCGGATCATGCGCAAGAAGATAAACGTGCAATTGTGCCTCAACTTGAGTCTGGTGCAATCATAGAAAAACAAAAACAAGATGAGAGCCCTACACAGGCAAAAACTGAAGTTCCAGTCGATGTGGTCCAAGAACAACGTACTGATGCCAATGAGCAGGACAGCTCAACACACTCACACCCAGGTGAAGACGAAGTACTCCATACTGGCAAGTGCTCACGCGTCTTTTATAAGGACGCTTATGGATTTCTTATCCCAAATGACGAGGAGTTGAAAAAGACAGTAGCCAGCAAAGATAACAACAAGGGAGAGCCCAAACTACGTTTTCAGCTTTACGAAATGGCTAAAGGTAGCAAGATCCCGCGCATTGGCGATGATTTGCAATTTAGAGTCGGTCCCGGTAAAAAAAACCCAAATTTTTTAGAAGCATTTGGCGTGAGCGGGGGCACTGGGGATCGAGAATGGATCACAAGAACAAGTAATACCGAAGAATATGGTGCTAAGCGCCAAGCAGCGCGGCAGCAAGCGGAAGCAGCATCGAGAAAACAATTTTTAAGGCCAGTAGGAGAGGCTGTTGTAGTAATTAATGTTGTTGTAATTAGCCTTCCTTGTTACTGTTAGACTGTAGATCTATCTACTAATATTGATTCGCGTTGAATATTAAGCCGAAGATGATGTTGAAAGTAAAATGGGCTTGCTGCTCATGATGAAAAGACGATCTTCATTCCATACACTAGATGATCTATATGAAGATGTCGGATCATCTCATCATGCCAGATTGGTCATCTTGCATCTTCTAAGCTACCATTGCTCCAGCTCTAATTCGAGAGTGGGGCGCAGCTAGCGTGACCTACAAGGGAGTTTGCAAAGCAATTTCCGTGCGCAAAAGCATCGGCTTCATTAGTCCCGACGACAAATCCTTGCACGAGTACTCGGAGTCACGCGATGGTGATCTAGTTTTTCCGTTATGTAAGGCAAAGGTTTTAGAACTGTCTATCACACTGGCATGTTCTTCCTCGGGGGCGACGACATGTTGTACACATAGCACCAGGGGCTGTAGATCGCCTACACTAATCATTTTTACCTACGTAAAAATACTAAAATTGAATGATCTCGGTGTCGGTCTGTGGAAGATTTCAATTAGGCTAACCCTCGAAGAAGATGCTGGAAATTCCCTTGGAAGATTATGGCGCGAATAGATATAGACAACGAGTCGTCCTCGTCGCTACTCTTACTCGTCTAAAATATGGAAAATCGCATCTGGCAGCAAAATTCCACTTGTAGGCGATGTGTTGGAATTCCGCATTCAGCCGGACCCTGTCAAGCCGCACTTGCTCGAAGCGTGCGATGTAACGGGTGGCACTGGCGACCGAGAGTGGATAAACAAGACGGTTCCAGCTATATACAAAGCATCTAGAGCAGCTCAGGAGAGGGACGCGCGTTTTTCTCAAAAGGCGATTACTCGTCGAAAGGAGCGCGCTGGAGAGAAAACGTACACTGGGGTGTGTAAATCAGTTTTCTTATGAAACGGGGTGTCGTAGAAGTAAAAATTTTTAGCCTGCTGGTGACGATTAGACGCTCGTTCTCTTAGTATGCTCCTCTTAATTTTCTTTGTTGAAGAACTACATCAACCAAGAAGATTCACAATAGTTGCTAGTACGAAGACGGAGAAGAACCGACGTCGACGTCGTCTTGTTACATATTTACTGCTCTTGCCATTGAAAGTAAAATAACATGCGTAAGTACTTTGAGACACACCTCGGCCTCGAGCCACTTCTTCTTCTTTCATACTCCCGAGATAACAAGTATGGATTCATCCAGCCGGACGATGCAGCTTTGAAAGAGCAACTGAAAGATGAGGAGGGGAAGGAACGAGATATCAGTTTCTCGTTATGGAGAGGCGGAGGGAAATGGCCGCGTCAAGGCGAGAAGGTAGAGTTTTGCGTTAAGCGGAATCCTAGACAGCCACAATTCTTAAACGCATATGAAGTGACAGTTGCTGAGAATGACGAGGGTGTGCACGACGAGGATAATTCGCCAGACACCGACGAGAACAGGGTCAGGCAGGGAACAACGTCTGGTCTACAGCAGCAACGATATGCCCAACAGGAAGGTGGATGATATTGATAACCAGGAAACTAGAATTTCTGAAATTGAACAAAAGTAAAAGACGTTGTAAGTATCTCGAAACTCTCTCTACGTACTAGCCCATGCCCACGTACTGGAGTAGCAGCAAAAAGAATATTTGGTTTAGGAGCAACGGACGTGGAGTACGAATATCTGAAGGAGATGGGTCGTTCCTTGTTTCGTGGGTAAAGATCCTTGCGAGTGCTATCAAGTCCATAGCAGAAAGTAGCTCATGCTTAGAGGTTATGGAGAAAAAACGATCGAAAAAATTGCTGGATTCTCCTCAATTGCTACTGCCTTCTCTAGAAGAAGGGAAGATAGACCAGGCAAGGAAGTGAATCTGAATCGCTTTTTACATCGTAGACGCCTCTACGACGAACTTCACATGACCCAAATTATAGATGAATTAAATTTGACAATCTACGAAGCCCTTATGGCAGTCTGCACTGAACTTTGTGCGACTGTGAGAATAATTGCATTGTATTGCATTGTATTGTAAGGAAAAGAAAAAGAAAAGCCAAGAACATGTCTATGTCTTCCACTGTCCCCGCTTCTCCCAATGCTCATCCTGGCTTTTTCCAGGCTGCTCATTGGATCTTGGGATCCATTTTTGCGGCCGTTGCTTGCGTCATGTGCAACAAGCGAATTCTGTCTTTATTCCCGACTCCATTCCTGTTAACTACGACGCATTTCCTGCTGACCAGTGTGGGACAGCTGGTGAGGACTTTGGTTTCGTCGTCATCGAGCAGGAAGGTGAAGGACGAAGAAGATGATGATGCAAAAGAACAAGGGTGGACATCTTCATTAGGCGAAAGGAACACAATGCCATGGTGGGAAGCCGCAAAAATCGGAACCCTAGGAAACTGCTCTATTGGCATCATGAACCTATCGCTAGGGCGAAATAGCGTGGCCTTTTACCAGTTGACGAAAGTCTCTCTAGTCCCTGGGATGGTGCTGTTCCATTTTCTCGTTTACGGCCGCAAGACGAAACTCGAAACGTGCTTTGTCCTTCTTGTCATAACTGTTGGACTTGTGCTAGCAACAGTGACGGATACAGATTTGGGGCTTAGTGGCTTGCTCATCGGCCTCGCTGGCGTGTTGGGGACAGTGTCCTTTCAGCTGTCAATGGAGACTGCACAAAGGAGATATAGCGTTTCAGGGCTCGACATGCAAATGGCAATAGCGCCTTGGCAATTGTTGTTATGTTGTTCAAACTCCTACTTCTAGTTCTACTTCTGAAAATGTGCTAATCACGACCTCCAGCATGTGCTACAAAGTTGTGTATACTTCTGCTCCATCTAATCTCCTGCGCCTTCGTCTTCTTCTTGTTTTCGACTGACGAAATAAGCCTGCTGCTAGCAATACTAGGAGGTCAAGACGAGAGGATACGAACGCTGAATACGACGGAACTAGCCTTCTGGTGGACTTGTTCGTGCACGGCGGCGCAATTGACTAATTACTACTGCTACAGTACAACTATCAGAGTTATATTTATACAGATTGCAAGTTCATCTTGTTCTTATCAATCTTGTTGTTGTTAAACTAGCCTCCACAAGCTTCGCCCAGCTTCAAGTTAGTTTAGCACTTTTCTGCGGCCTCCCACGGGCTACAGCCGCTAGAGTAGAGACAGCCCGCGGGTGAGCTGATGCACCTTACGAATTGACTACGACAAGAGCCGAGTGCCGGCGGTGGCCGACTCAGATGCGTCGACTCATGTGCAGGGCATTGCGCTGCCTTCGGTTTTTTTTTGAGATTGCCGGGCGGGTCATGCAAATTCTTAAGAATTTGCAAGACCCCCACGGCAGTCCAACAAAAAAACCAGAAGAGAGCCACCAGACACGCACAAGAATCCGCAAGCCCCAGCGCACGCAAGCGCCTCGCGGTGGCGCCAGGCAAGAACGAGGGGCGACGTTGATGGGCCAAACAAGACAAAGCAACGCAGGGCCGCGCTGCTTGGGTCTCTCTACGCGCTTACACCTGGCGGGGCTTCTTTGTTCCGTCAGATGTCTCTCGTCAGAAACAGACGGGCGCACTTCGCGGGGTCGTGCGGCGTCGCGCTTCGGGCTGTGGCTGAAGCCTCTCGGCTGGCTGACGTCTTTCACCAAGCTGGAGACTAAGGCCTCCATCAGGCTGATGCCGTTCGTCAGACCAACGCTCTGCGCCAGGCTGGCGGCGTTCGTCGGGCAGGCCGGCGCCCCTCGGCAGGCGTCTTGGGTCAGGCTGAGGCTTTTCGTCAGGGTCGGGCGACGTCTCTCGTCAAGCTGAAGCGCTTCGCCTGGCTGACATTCCTCGCCGGGCCGAGACTCACGCCTTTAGTCAGGTTGATGGCTTGCTTCAGCTCGGCGCCGTTCGTCAGGCTGATGCACTCGCCAGCCAGGTGAGGCCTCTCGCCAGACCGGCGCAATGCTTCGCCAGGCGTCTGCCTTGCGTCGGAACAGGCTGAGCGGGGCCTTTCTTCGGGCTGCGGATGTCTTTCCTTCGTAAGATTGATTCCGTTCTTTCGTCGGACTGACGTGCTTCGCCAGATTGACCGCGTTCGCCGGACTGACGTCCTTCGCGAAAAGTCTTCGCTATCTTCAAGGGCCTCGCGCCACAGGGAGGCCTCGCGTCAGTTTTTCTGGCGGAGGTCGTTCGTCAGATGTCTGCTGTCGCGGGTCTCACTCTTGTCTTGTCGGAGGTCTTGGGCCCAAAGGTCGTCTTTGGTCCACAGGTCGCCGGTGGTCCACAGGTCGCCTGTGGCCCAAAGGTCGCCTGCGGTCCAAAGGTCGGCTTTGGTCCAAAGGTCGCCTGTGGTCCAGGGGTCGTTTTTGGTCCAGCGGTCGTCTTTGGTCCAAAGGTCGCCCTACTTTGGTCCAAAGGTCGCCCTACTTTGGTCCAAAGGTCGCCCTACTTTGGTCCAGAGGTCGAAGGGTCGCCTTACTTTGGTCCAAAAGTCGTCCTACTTTGGGCCAGAGGTCGGCGCACTTTGGTCCGAAGGTCGGCTTACTTTGGTCCAAAGGTCGGCTTACTTTGGTCCAAAGGTCGCCTTACTTTGGTCCAAAGGTCGCCTTACTTTGGTCCAAAGGTCGCCTTACTTTGGTCCAAAGGTCACCTTACTTTGGTCCAAAGGTCGCCCTACTTTGGTCCAGAGGTCGTCGCACTTTGGTCCAGAGGTCGCCTGTGGTCCCGCGGTCGTCTTCGGTCCCAAGGTCGTCTTCGGTCCCAAGGTCGTCTTTGGTTTCAAGGTCGTCTTTGGNTTTTATGGCGGGGAGTTTTATGGCGGGGAGTTTTATGGCGGGGAGTTTTATGGCGGGGAGTTTTATGGCGGGGAGTTTTATGGCGGGGAGTTTTATGGCGGGGAGTTTTATGGCGGGGAGTTTTATGGCGGGGAGTTTTATGGCGGGGAGTTTTATGGCGGGGAGTTTTATGGCGGGGAGTTTTATGGCGGGGAGTTTTATGGCGGGGAGTTTTATGGCGGGGAGTTTTATGGCGGGGAGTTTTATGGCGGGGAGTTTTATGGCGGGGAGTTTTATGGCGGGGAGTTTTATGGCGGGGAGTTTTATGGCGGGGAGTTTTATGGCGGGGAGTTTTATGGCGGGGAGTTTTATGGCGGGGAGTTTTATGGCGGGGAGTTTTATGGCGGGGAGTTTTATGGCGGGGAGTTTTATGGCGGGGAGTTTTATGGCGGGGAGTTTTATGGCGGGGAGTTTTATGGCGGGGAGTTTTATGGCGGGGAGTTTTATGGCGGGGAGTTTTATGGCGGGGAGTTTTATGGCGGGGAGTTTTATGGCGGGGAGTTTTATGGCGGGGAGTTTTATGGCGGGGAGTTTTATGGCGGGGAGTTTTATGGCGGGGAGTTTTATGGCGGGGAGTTTTATGGCGGGGAGTTTTATGGCGGGGAGTTTTATGGCGGCGATCAATGGCGAATCTAGATTATTAATCTAGATTAATAATCTAGTTTTTTTTTTTGTTATGTTTTTTATCTATCAACTTATAATAATTATGATATTCATATTGCTGATGCTGGTGCTCCATTTTTGGCCCTCAACTCTATTCTCATCCTGTTGGTGATTTTTCGGTTGTGTTCCAAGAGATGTTGTCCAACTAAGTACTCCATCCTATTTCCTCCACAGCAATAATCGGTGTCTTCTCGGCTTTGACGTACCAAGTTTGCGCCCATGCGAAAACAATACTTGTCCTGAGTGGCGGACTCATATTCTTCGGTGGTCAGGCAACGTGGGACGCCACGCATCTCTCCGGTCTAGTTTTAACAGTAGTGGGAATAATCTGGTACTCCCAGATCAAACATGCTGAACAGAGCAGGAGCTCAACATCTGGTGATAAGGAGAAGAAAACATGATGAAAAAGCGAAGCACGGACGTCGACGGGCTTACCAAAATAATAATGTCCATATGTTGATAGCTGGACGTGAAGTATTGGTTGTTTTTCCTCGTTGGTACGTTGCAAGATGATCTTACATTTGATTATTTTGCTGTGATTGCGTTATTAGCTTGCCTTGTTGGCCAAGCTTCGTGATCGTGTTCGTCTCTTGAATAATGCATCACTGGTTGTCCTAGTCCCACCTTGCCCTTCCTCTTGGCTCTTTCTCCCTGTCGGGTCTTTCGGTATTCACACGCCGCTGGATCATGTAGTCGTGGATGCAGCTACTGAGCGAGATCGGATGATACTTACAGGAGTCTGCGGTATCTATCCATTTCTATCATCGTATCAGGAGAGTCTGAGAGATGAAAGCGATAAATAATACTGAGGGAGAAATATCAACAAGTAGATCTTCGCGACGTTCCCGCTCAATGGTGCTTGACGTTGCTACATGCTCGCATTGCGAGGCATCCGTATTGAGCGCACTGAATGGCGTTTAACACGACGAGCCGTAGCCACCAGGCACTATGATGACTCCGAACTTCTACTGAGTGTAAGCCGAGTACTACCGTAGATAGAGCAAACAGACGCTGTTGCAGAAGTTGCTGCTTCTTCCGGGTAAAAAACGAGAGTCAGATGCACCAGCAGGATGTCCAGCCCCAAGCGAAAGGATAGAAATAGGTCTCCTGCGACCTCAGGGGGTAAGCCAAGGAGAGGTTCGTCACGAAGTAGTAGTACTACTACAAATAAAGGAGGAGCCAACAAAAGAGTATCTACGGACTCAAATACAACAACTTCATCCCCAAGGAAAGAAAATAGCACTAAAGCAGGAGTAGAGCAGGTAGAAACAACACGCAGCAAGGTTGTCAAAGCCGGTAGTTCAGCAGTGTCTTCTTCTTCTAGCAGCAGCACTAACTACACTACCAAGCCCAAGGCGAGTTCATCCTCCAGTAAAAGCAACAAGATGTCAAGAAAAGCTGCGACTTATGCTTGCGTTTTTGCGTGGTTTACGCTCAATCTGGCACTAGGCCCTCTGATGAAGTGGAGTTACACAAATACACAGTTGTGTTTCGGATATTCGTGCACAACCTACAACTTTCCGATCTTCATAACCGCGGTGCACATGCTTTGCTGTTTCGTACTCACGGGGCCGATTGTTGTGCCGAAGATAATAGCAGGTCATGGGGCAAAAGGAACATCAAGCTCTACCAGTACTACAGCATCCGCTTCTATATTACCGTTGCAACGCCAGCTGCTCGAAGTGGCACCACTAGCGCTCATGTTTGCAGTTTCAGTCGGGATGGGCAATGTGGCGCTGGTTTATGTCTATCCATCGTTCTCGCAGATGATATCGACGACAACGCCTCTGATTACGATGGTTATGCACATGCTGTTTTCCAACGCAAGATACAACACGTGGGCGATGGTTTCGGTACTTTTTCTTCATGCGACATTGTTCAGCAGATTGTGACTGATCTAGCTACAACGTCTTCCTGCTGGTGAAATTAATAATAAATAGACAAATTTCAGATCATCACAAGTATGTAACGTACATAGCGCCGTTTAACAGCATGGACTGAAATCCGCCTTGTGAAGAAGAAACTTACAGTAAGTTTCTTCTTCATCAAGATCAACTCCGACGACCGCGACCCGCTTCATTTCTCTCTTTCCAAGGTCCCAATCCTCTCCGGTGGCTTTCTCCTCTGTTACCAGAATGAGGCAAATTACCACTACATCGGCGTTGTCTGCTCACTACTCGCAGCTGTCTTTCGAGCTGGAAAAAGCATCATTCAAGCGCAAGTCTTAGAGGATGGGCAGAAGACGAGAATAGACAGCCTAACGCTTCTGTTTTACATGGCGCCGTACATTATGAGATGAAGAACTACTTGATGTAGCACCAGCAAACAAACTTCTGTAAATTAATAGAGTAGTTGTCTTTCTCAAATCCTACAAGCACCACGTGAAATGCAAACAAAGAGCTCAAGACATGAAGAAATGAAGTAAAACAATGCATACAACAAGTTGTCTGCATTGTTTTACTTCATTTCTTCAAACATTTGGTAGCGGCCCTTTAAACATTCGGTAGCCCTTTTACCTCCTGAAAGAATAGGTACATCAATCAATCAATCAATCAATCAATCAATCAATCAATCAATCAATCAAGAGGGTGCTCTTGTCCAATGAACTCGACTACCACAATAACTAGATCTTACCCCATCTCTAATCCGAGCCTAGCTTTCCTTCTCGTGATTTCCGCAATGCTGGAGGGAGCTGGTCCATATACGAGCTGGTTTCAGAATGGCGAGGTAATGACGAAATTTTCCGAAATGCGATGAAGTAGTAGGAAGCAACTGTTTGATAAACTAAACTGTGCTATCGCAATTGTATTTGTGGTCCTTTGTCAGTCTTCACTCCTTCTCAAAGTTCATAGCACCTCAGGTAGCCACCGGCGCCGGTGTGGCTGCGTTTGCGGTAGGCAGTTCAGGCGTGATGGCTTGCGTTCTGAACATTTCGAATTTTCTGGTTACTTACTATACTGGTCCTGTTGTTTTGCAAATTCTGGGCAATGTCAAGACCGTCTTTGGGATCGCTGTTTCTATACTAGTCTTTGGGAATAAAGTAGCGCCAGAGCAATGGCTTGGAGCATGCATATGTGTTTTTGGCTGCATAATATTCCAGCAAAAGGGAGTCAGGACTGACAAGAGGGCGATTGCGTCATCACCTTCAACCGATAGTTCGGTAGAAACGGAACTAAACAAGCCACCTGGAGGGAAAGAGGATGGAACTACTAGAGAATACAAGAAAAAGAGATGACGGCCATAGTCCTTCAGGCTAAAAACATGATGACCACTCCTTTGTCACGTCCAACATACGACTAAGTACCTTGTTCATCCTCATCCCATTTTGGCGGTTTCCCCGGCCTCAATCCTCCTTCTCAATCCCTGTGCCCTCAAAAGATGACGATTACGCTAAATTGGAGTTCTTGTTTTTGCTCTATTGCGGACTTCAGTCTATGCTCGGGACAAGAAAGACCGCATCAGGCAATTCGTTGCGCCATCTCTTGATGCAGTCACTTCTATTGAGCAATGTATTGCACAGTTCTTTGTTTCTCCGTGGGTGTAGCACCTCGACTTGATGCCGATCATATGAGAAAACGATGGTCTCTTGCTCTTCGTGGTGCAAAATGCCTGCTACTGTGTGAACAAATTGAAATTGAATTTCGCCAAATCCAAAAGCTGAAAATAACTGAAAAGTGGGACTGATAGCGGATCCACAAAATCAGAAGAATGACTTCTACATCTAGCGACTCGCTTCTGCTCTCCGGTCTACCTGGTGTCTCTTGGTCGCAGACCTCGGACTCCGTCACCGTAGAATGTTGCCTCCAGCAACGACATCCTACGAATGTCGAGATCCGAGTGGACAGGATTCTTGTGGAGTTTCCTCCAAGTCCAATAGACAGAGATGGAGACACCCAGTCAAGAAATATGTCAATCGAACTATGGGGTACAGTAGATCCAAGGGAATCACTTTACACACTTCTTGGCGGCAGCGACCGCGCTGAATCTTCTGAACAAGAGGACAAACCCTGTTCCCTGACCTTCGAACTCACGAAACGAACCGCTGACCAGCATTGGAGGTATTTGACAAAAGATGAGAGTGGGGATCTTGCTAAAACAGAAATGGAAATACGGCAAGACGAGGCATCAAAAAGTATGGTTGCATCAGTAGCGAAAATTGGAGAACAAAAAGTTCCAGGTAGCAAAAATATGGGGAAAAGCGCTTTTGTGTGGTGATTTTTGGTGCTTGTCGACATCATACGATGCTCCTGAAGAAGGAGCAACGAAGATGCTCCTGCAGAAGGAGCAACTAATAGACTAAAAAACGCCATTTTTCCTCTGTTCGCACCAAACAGGAGTGTTGGAGCAGTCCATATGATGGAGTTCTTGTATCCGCGCTAGCACAGTTGTAGCGCCTGTTGTTAACTGCTACCATCATGATCGGTTCATCGGTTCGTATCTCAATCTTTCGACTCGACCAGCGGAGGAGGAGGAGGTACTATGTGATTGCCAGAATCGGTACGACAAGAATGACCAAAAACTTCTACATTCTACATATCAAGTAGTCGCTCACTTCGGTGTCAGGCAGACATATTGTGACTAGTATCGGTAAGCACGCAGTTGTATCGGTTCACAGATCTACTTCACCTCAACGTTCCTTACGACCGATTCTCTTACTTGTTCTCCCCATCGCGTGTCACTCTCCGTCTCCGTGACTTCTCTTTCGCATCGATCTCATGCTAATCTGATTCTCCACAAGAAGACTTTTTGAAATCGCAATTATCGTAGCTACAGACGCAAGCAGCTTGTGCCATTCTGATAGATATCGAAAAAGATATCTAATTCTGGAAAACAAGAGGTTCTAGCATACAGCAACAACAATATGCCGCCAAAAATGTCAAGCGCAGCCTTGAAAGCTGCTGGCCCATCATCCTCAGGGCTCGCAGCGTCGCTTGCTGCGATTGACAAACCTGGAAGTTCTGTCATCGCTTGGGAAAATGCACTGTCCCCACAATTACTGGCGCAAGCTTGCCAAGAAACTCCAAATAATCGAGAGGCACTTGAACATGTGGCGACCATAATACGCGCGTTCTGTTCCAGGAAGACAACTACATCAATCACGGCAAGCAGTACAAAAGGAGGTCTCGTTCCCGCAGTCTTCGTGATGCTCAGTTTCGATAAGCAATCTTCACGAAGTTCAAAAGGGTCGACTTCTTCAACTACAGCACCATCTTCATCTTCACAAGGAGCGCCGAAAAATAAAATCACATGTGGGCCTGTGGATGGTTCAGTTTTGGAATCGCGAAACTCCAACTTCGCATGCTTCTATGATCTACTTCCAGAGGTGACTGGGTCTTCTACGTCCTCTGGAGAGCAAGATCATTCCACTACATCATCAAAACTCGAACATGCATGCGAATATTTCGGTATCGATCTGACTGAACTGCGAGTAGCTTTGTGGGCTGTGTGGTTGATTTCTACTACTAGTACAACGAGGGCCGCGTCTACTTCACCAGGACGAGCTTCATCAGAAAGTGAAGACGATTTCCCACCATCCATACTAGAGGAGGCTGCTGAACTTTTAGAGGTGTCTGTGGAGTCCGCGAGGGATCTCCTTTCGTCCTCGTCTGCGCGTCGCGGCATTTTTGCGAGACTGTTTTACGAAGGGATAGTGAGGAGTGTCATCGAAAAAATGAATCAACACTTGTTCAAGAATGGAGAACAAGAAGACGGAAATAATCATGAAGACGACAACAGCGATGATGGAGATGAAGGTGGGGATAAAGTCCATTTGATTCAATTGGTACCACATCAGGCTTTGTCTTCAACGCGTCCCGGATCGTCACCATCAACTTCATCCTCTTCTCAAAGTACAACCTTAGACGTGGTCGGTTTTCAGAACATGTGGTTGCGTTCTGCAGTTTTACGAAATTCTGATAAGTTGGAGCTTGCTTGTGATGCGGCGGCAAATTTCTTCGCAGCACAAAGTCGACCCTTTCGACCGAGTGAAAGCTCCTTACAACCGATTCTACAGTCGCTGCAGGAGTTCAATCAACATTTTGAGCTTTTCGACTCTGATTCGGACGTAGTGATCTTGAGGCAGAAGGAACAGACATCAAGTAGTACTAGAGGAGCATCCAAATCCTCATCTTCAACAGCTACAGCTAGTCTCAATAACATCTACAGTAAGACAGCTTATCCTTATCGACCAATCATAGGCTTGAACAAAAATACTAGTGGTGCTACAGCATCTGCTACATCAACTTCACGTTCACCTACAGCTACAACAAGTGCTTCATCTCCATCATTGCTCGAGTTCACCATCAACGCTTCCTGGGTGGAGAGTTTTCATCCTGCGCGAAAAGAGATCGAAACGTTTACACAAGAAGTGACAAATGCAGCGACGTCTGTGTTGACTCTGGATGTCCTCTGCTCTCGTTTGAGTATCGAGCGGAATCCGTTTGCGGAATTATTGCAGTTGCGAACGGACATTGAGAGAGCCTTCACCTGCTCTGCGGGATCGACTAGTGGAAAGGGAGTGAACATAGTTTACCAAATGAGGCAGCCGATGGTGGTCTCTCGTCTCTCTTCATCTAAGACTCCTGCTGAATCTAGTACTAGGCCAAATGCAGATGCACAACTAGAGCAAGCATTGAAGGCAGTGGCAGCTAGAAAACAAATCATTCGAGGAGCAATGAAGACACGAGGAGTTGGAGGAGTTACAACCGGAGGTGGAAGCTCTTGTTCTAGCTCGTTCCTCTTTGCTCCTGAGAATAAAAAAGTAAAGACGAAGGCCAATCCTCAGTCAGGTGGAAGTCGTCCAGCGTCATCTGGTGCAGACACGGATGGTGCCCCCGCAAGTCGTGCGAAAGCTGCAAAATCAGGTGCCAAGTCGTCCCCTGGTACAACAAGAACGAAAGCGGGAACTACAACTAAAGCTGGCACTATGTCACCTAGTGCAAAGACTAAGAGCCCAGTGAGTTCTAAAACTGCTGGAGGAGGTCGTGAGGTTGGGGGGCACAAAGCAGCTAGTGGCGGAGGAAAGAAAGGAGGTAAAACACAACAGAGCGATACTGGTGACGATGGATTCAGTAGTACAGACGAGGAAGACGAGCATGACGATGAGGGTGGTGCACCAGCAGCCGATGGTGATGATGGAGATGGCGCTACTACTGCGCCTAATTTTAATTTTAAAGGTTTTGATGCACTTACTGCAGAAGGGCGTGAAGTTCTACACAAGCAGTTGGAACAGATTCTAGCACTGCCAACAACTGCGAGAACAGGAGGCGGTGGAGGCAATAAGAACACTACGAAAAAAGGAGGCGGTCCTCCGTCTATCGGTGTCTTCAATATGGATGCCAAAAAATCGCCACGCGGCGGATCTGGAGGCGATGTAAAACGTAGTCCTAGAGGAGGTGGTGCAAGCGTCAAACGTAGTCCTAGACATGGAGGCTCCGGAGGAGGTGGACAAAATCAAAATTCTCAACAAGAAGGTGGTGGTACTAGAGGAGGAAATCACCCTGGAGTAGCAAAAAGCACCTTCAACACAGCGACCAACAAACTACGTGGGCCCTCACCTTTTGTCAATGCGATCGGTAGTGCCATAGATTCTGCTGGCTTGATACCAAGCGCAGATCAGTCGAATGCGGCACTGGCGGCAGAGCTTGAGGCGTCCAAGAAAGCGGATATCTTCGACTACATTGCAGCAGGAAAGACTATGGCTGTGAAGCGGCATTTGGAACTGTTTCATCCCTTGTTCGATCCGCATTACATCGAGTTCGTGCAACATTGGCTCAAGGCGAAAGGTACTACCTGATTGAAGCATCCGATGTCAAAAGCAGAGTAAGTAGTTTTTTTAGTTGTTACTAATTATAGATGAAGTACTAGTTAGTTGTCAGCACTTTCTTATTATAAAAATAAATCGGTCTACTTCATCTTCATCAAGACTACAACTTCATAGCTACAAGACTTGTTTGATGACTTTTTGATGACACTTCTTTCATTCACGACCACCATCAGGTACCGACTACGCTGCAGACTTGGACTCTTCACCACTGAAGGAGTTGACGACTGTGTCAAAGGATGCGATGGAGAAGATCGTTGGGCGTGGGCTTCTTAGCGATCCACTAGGCGAGGTCCGAGACACGATTGATCAACTACGACAACAAGCAAATAATAGTCCTCAAGTAGGAGGCCGTGCAGGCGGAGCTTCACCGTCACCAAGAGGAAGAGGGACGACAAGTGCGATTATGAAGGGATAATCAGTTTTGGTGTTGACATAATATTTGATGAGGTTGCGGGGGATGTTGAACTTGAAGTTCATCTACTTACCATCTAATCCCCGCCCCAAGGGAACAACCGCTGCCAAGTCGGTTCTCGGGAACAAACTTACCGTCACTGGAACAGATGGAAAACGTGGAGATTCGCGTCCTATAGTGTATTTGCCAAGGGATTTTGACTTTCTCCCAATAGCAGAAAGACACGCTATCTTGGAAGAACAGGGAGCTTTGGACGAAGACGTCGCAAAAAATCCGAGATTGGATAAGTTGAAGTCCGGTATTATTTGTGTGCTGTTGACTTAGTAGAAATTCAAATTTTCAAACTGCTCGTCGGCTGGTCCTCTTCAATTGAAATCGAACTCAATGATCCTTTGATTCAAATCCATTACCACCACCACCACCATCCAGCCGACGTCCAATCTCGTTACAAATTTCGCACGGATGGGGAAGACGGTGAAGAGGACTTTCCTTGGAAGGAAGTTTATACGGCTAATATCAAAAGTGGAATTGAGCTCAGGACTACTGGTGGCGGCCCTCCGCCAAACGCTGCAAGAGCAGATAAAGGTGGTGGAAGCAGTAGCTCGACGATTATGAAGATTTCCTTGTTGTTAATGATCACTTCCTCGTCTGATAAATGCAAGATGAAGATCATTACCTTTACCATCATCTTCTCTCCTCCACCTGATCATTAGGAACAATATGAAAAACAGACCATCTCTTCTAACAAAAGAGGGTCAACATCTGCAGCAGCACCTGGACCCGCAGTGCCGCCTTTGAATGCTGTGTCTTTGCACCAAGCCCTGTCTGCCATGTCATTGGAGCTGCGGATTTGTCATTATGGCCGACCACGAATAAAGATTTTGAAGCAGAGGATTTCAATTCGAGTGAACACTACTAGAAGCTGCAACGAAGCAGGTCTCGTTTCTCTCAACATCCCAGCACCACATTTTTCAGAATTTTTATTTCTATATTACCCCGCGCGTGGTCTAATCCCCAGACGCCATCGCCGCAGCCAGAGGGGGTGAGGGTGGCGAATCCTCAGCGCCTTTAGACGCTGCAGAAGGCGAGAGACGACAAGTCTTGCAGGAGTTGCAGGATGAACGGAACTATTGGAAGCGGGAATGTATGGCATTGTGGGAACACGTCCGCAACCTCGAATTGGAGATGCGCGCATGGAAAGACCTGAAAAACGGAGGAAGCGCGCCGGGAGGGGCGAAGTACTTTTCGTCTCCTTTTTTCACATCAGAAGAAACTTCTTTTTTTTAGAAGTGCGATGTTGTCCTCTTGTTCCTTTGTTCTTCTTGTTCTTGTTCTTGATCGGCCTTAGTGCTGAGACTTGACTGCTTGTCGACGAATTCGAATTATGGCAGCTATTATAAAGGTTCCTCCCCTCTTGCTCTTCCTCCCTTGTTGTCCCCTCACACGAAAATCTCAGGTCTTCTTGATCGTTGTCTACTTTTTTGTCTCGCCTTATTTTTTGATGTTTTGATTCGATTACCTCTTGTTTAAATTATAATAATTTTATGGCTCCTCTCTGCACGCAGCAGCTCTGTGGATTAGTAGAGTCAGTAGTCTCTCTCAAACCATACACATTTCGGGCAAATGTTTACGGACAAACATTTTTCCACACCCACCCACAACTTCCAGGCCCGTTTTTGCACCTCGAGGCCGTGAATTGGATATGCGAGTCGGCACTGATGGTGCTACGAATTCGAAGTATCAAGTCGACTTACAGTTGGACCAATCAAAACGGTTGATGGACGAATTGAAAAAAAGCTTGAATAAGTACACGATGTAAGAAACAAGAGGAATGCGCTACTTCGTAAATGCAAAGAGAAACAACATGTTGTCTTGAAGATCTTCTGTATACTATAATACTAGTGAAAAAATGTCATGGTCGACATGATAGACCACGTAAAAAAGTATGATCCCCTTAGATAGAGCGAAAACGAAAAGTGCTAATGTTGTCATAATAATTCAAAACTTCTTCATCTACTTTCATTCTTCCTGAACACAAGCACAAGCACTGACGACATTCGCCATATCGACATTCTCAATCAGTGGCATCGTTCTTAACCCTGTTATCTCCATTTGTATAACTTCTTCAGAACAATCTGAAGCTAATACTAGGACAAGAGCTAATGTCAGAAAGCATAAGTAGCATTTTTATCAAGTAGAACGCATTGTTGTCAGGAGATCATCACGAAGACCTGTCGCATTTCCATTTTCAAAAAACTTAACGACGAGGGACAATATCTACTTTCATATTGATCACATTGAAGTTAAACAACAGTCCTCGAGTAGGAGTACGACATGCATGTACAGACTACGAGTAGAAGGTAGATGAAATGCAAATGGAAATGCATCCTCGTCCCACCAGATGAAGTCTAGCGTCTTCTAGTGGAATCGGTGGATAATATCATTATAACCATTGCTAGTTAGCTTGGCTCCACCCGTATTATAATCATTGCTCTAGTATGAAACGAAGAATCTGAGAGTCGTCTCACTCTCATGAAGAAAAACATTGAGAATGAGAAAAAAAGATGAGAGCAGGATGAATGGCTGTGGCACTGTTGCTTCTTGACGCATCATTCAAGAGTGTGTTTCTAGAAGGACGAGTGCATTGACTTAGACAGCATGAGTTTTACAGCTGTTCTAGTACTAGTTGCAGTTTGATGAAGTTTGAATATGATTGTTCCGCGATGACAGTCGTAAGGAGGCGAGAAAGTGTTCCTTTTTTGATGATGTTGAAGCTCTATTTTTTTGCATCTAAATGATATTCTAGGCATGTTGCACCTGGTGCTGAGTTGTTGATTATGCTCATTCTTGGTTCACGTCGTTCTTCTTGTTGCAACGAAGTCTGAAAATATGCTATAATGTTCCTGCGTCTTCTCAATGTGAAAACAGGTCCTGCTTGGACTCCATTTTCCCTATCTCAGTCTGTCTCAGATCATATTTTTGAACCCGTTCTTGTTGTTGTTGTTTATCTTTAAATGTTATAATTTATTACGTAGTACTTCGGGGGCGCATAATAAATTTTTGAGTCAGGTTACAATGTCGAATGTTCTTGATAACAAGTCCTAGTATTGACGTATGGCATAGCTACTAGACAGTAAAGGTTCCCATCTCGTCAAGCAAATTTACGCCCGCATATGGACTCTATGACAACATGAGGATTTGGTTTTGGGTTTCAGCTTGGCAGCAAACATACCGAATATGTTGAACAATGGGTGAGTGTGTTGTTCTTGGTGTACTTCTAGGTTCTGCTCGTCCTCGTGCCCTACAACTGGGTTCATCTTGTCAAGGACGCTTTTACGACTCCTGTTGTTCCTGACGCAAAACCTGGAGGACGAGCATTCAAGATGCAAAACCAAGCAGGACAAGAAAATAACAGTAGTTCTACTTCATCAGGTTTCCGTATGGGATGGCCCTCTATGGGCATGAATGTAGAGTTCAACACTTTATTCGGGAGTTCATCTTCATCCGGAGGTCCTGGAGGAGCAGCTTCGTCTAGTAGGATGAACGGAGGTGCAGGCGGAAGAATGGACGGGGGTCGTCCCGGTGTAGTTCCACCAGGAGGTGGAGGAGGACATGGTTTTCCATTCGTCCCGGGTGGTTTTGACATCTTTAACATCTTCGGGAGTAATAATAATCAGAATGTCAATAGTACCAATGCAGCGAGTGGACCGTCAGGGAGCATGCCGCCCGGAGGAGGAGTTCCTTCACCGCCGCCGAACAATGCTGACCATTTTCATCAGCATTTCCATGAGCATCAGCAGCAGATGGACAGTCAAATGGACAGTATCTTTGGGAATTCGTTCGGCCGATCAATCTTCAATAGTTCGATGATGAACCCCTTCGGTGGTATGCCTGGGATGCCTGGAATGCATCCACCTGGCACACATCCTGCAGCAACCAACAATCACAATACAAATAGAAATACTTCTAGAAGTACTAGTTCATCGGCTTCTGGTGGAGGAGGTTGGTCCAACAATGGTACAGCTGGTCATCAATCGAGTACGTCATGGTCATCTACTTCCTCAACAAATAACGGTGGAAACACGACAAACAACAACTACAATAGCAACTATACGGCATCTGGAGGACTGGGAGGACCAGGATCAGCAGCAGCTGCAGCTCAAGCGGCAAATGCAGCAAGTGCACATGCGAGAAGCCACGCTGCCCATCATAGCGATGCGCACCATGGTAGTACTTCCTTCTCTAGCAGAACAACAGGTGGAGGAAGGGCGAACAATCCCCCATCAAGTTCAAGTAGTCATAGCTCCACCAGTTCTACAACCACACGACAATCAACAAATCAGCAACCTTCTCCCCAAGCGCAACGCCAGTCACGAAATCAACCGCCCCCGCACAACCCACCCCAAGATCCCAGAGGAAGGGGAAATGGTACTATGCAAATTGTTTTCTGAAGATGATGTAGATAGTTCCTCCTGCTCCTCCTATAAATTTATCTAGTACTCTAGTTGTATGTGAATAGGTCTCCATGTAATTGTAAATTAGCCTAAAGTTCTTGAGATTATGATAATGCTCATTCTAAAAATATCACTCACAAAAAAATACAGTCGATTCGCGTTCGCCCACGCACGGAAGGAGTCGGGTCGAGAGAATGCCACCGCCGCAAATAATAGTATTAGCACAACTTTGTTTTGATGCATCAATACTAATATTCTTGTTGACAACCCACCCTTGCTAGCACAATGACGAATGTTGTGTATCTCATGTTGTAGGATTTTTATGAAGATGGTTTTTTTTTAGATGAAGAAGATCAAGATTGCCCCTGACATCATGATCACTTACTCTGAAACCCTCTCCTCGAACTCCCTTACTCAGTGTCCTCCCGCTCTCCGCGACGAGCAGTGTCCGATCTGTTTTTGCGATTTTCAAGACGAAAAAACAGCGATTCGCTTACCCTGTCTCCATCTCTTCCATGAGGATTGCGGAAGGGAATGGATCGAGGAGAACCTCAATTGTCCAGTGTGCAAGCTCGACCTTCATCCAACCCATCATCATCGCAGATTGCGATTGAGGGTCGAAGACGTCGAGAGCATGTCAGTCAAGGAGCTGAGGTATCTGTACGAGTACGTTGGGGTTCAGCCAGACGCGTCGTTGATCGAGAAGCCGGATATAGTGGCGCATATATTGCGGTCAGGGTACGTCACAGTCGTGTGTCCAAAGAAGATGGAGACGCTGTCGGTCAAAGAGTTGAAGAGCATGATGCGGTTGTTGGGCATAAACTCGGCGACCTGTATAGCGAAAGAGGATTTGGTGCAGGCTTTTCGGAAGCATCCAAGCGTTGTCACGGATGCTAACGATTAAGGGCATAGGCGAAGGCGATATACAACACTCTTACAGCGATTCAACTACATACTTCCTACTTCTTAATACCAGAACAAAAACCATTTCTTCATCGACCGACCAACATGATCATCAACATAGCCGACTTGGTTCTTTTCGTAATATTCTTCATTCTTTTCTTGGTCTAATCCAAAATCGTGACTTACATTAGAAACCGCCATATATGACTACAACATGCTAATGTTCTTGGATCATTCTTTTTTCCATCCCATTCCCATGGATTCCTCGGTAAGAACAAAAAGGGAGTGATTCCTCAGTAAGAACAAAAAGGGAGTGAAAATATCTTCTCCGATCGCATATTAATGTTTTCCCAGGCTTAGTCAGCAGGTTGACACAAGGCATGTGGGAAGTACTACATCTAAGGCTCAGCTTTCAATGGTATCATTTAGATTGGAGTCACTGAGATCGAAGAAGCGACCCCTTGAGAGAACAGGGGAAAAGGAAGGGAAAGGAGAGACCTTTGAAGGGGGTCCCTTCCGTTCAGAGTCATGATGACCATCGAAGGCTGAGCTTTAAATCGCATATTAATGTTTTCCCAGGCTTAGTCAGCAGGTTGACACAAGGCATGTGGGAAGTACTACATCTAAGGCTCAGCTTTCAATGGTATCATTTAGATTGGAGTCACTGAGATCGAAGAAGCGACCCCTTGAGAGAACAGGGGAAAAGGAAGGGAAAGGAGAGACCTTTGAAGGGGGTCCCTTCCGTTCAGAGTCATGATGACCATCGAAGGCTGAGCTTTAAATCGCATATTAATGTTTTCCCAGGCTTAGTCAGCAGGTTGACACAAGGCATGTGGGAAGTACTACATCTAAGGCTCAGCTTTCAATGGTATCATTTAGATTGGAGTCACTGAGATCGAAGAAGCGACCTTCCCTTGAGAGTAGAACAGCGGAAGTAAACGAAGGGAAAGGAGAGACCTTTGAAGGGGGTCCCTTCCGTTCAGAGTCATGATGACCATTGAAGGCTGAGCTTTAAATCGCATATTAATGTTTTCCCAGGCTTAGTCAGCAGGAGGTGACAAGCGTGTTCCCGCAGAAGAGCGCAGGACTAGAGAATCGGGAACTGAACAGAGAGAGGACTGATTCTATAAATTTGTAGTGGAATGAGAACTGTACAGCTGCACATTGAAAAGCAAAAGCCAGGTCCTCGCTAAACAAGAGACATATTTTTAGATGAAGTGGAGCGAGTTCAGTGGAGTCGGTGTGATCAAGAAACCAATATGGCAAATAATGAAAAGAGCAAGAGCACCAGCATCGCTAAAAATATAGAAGCGGGGGCTGACCACAGTAAATGAAGTTCATCCTTCCACCAAATGAATTTGTAACCGACTAAAATAGGTCTTCAAAATCAAAATGAAGAAAAACAAGTCGTCGCCTCCACGCGGTGGAGGCGGTTCGCCGCGCGGCTTGCCAGCTAAAGAAGGCACTTCTCCGCTTCGCAGTTTAGGGCTTACCGAACCTCATCAGATGGAGCATCGCCAAATGCTTATGGACATTCTAGGTGGAGACGGCAATACTGCTCCTGGAATTGACCCTTTCGTCGATGGAGCAGGGACTAGTAACTCCGGAGTTGTTCCATTTGAAGTCAATGCGTGGCATAGTAGTAGCAATGCTGCGTCTCCCATAGAAGTAGAACAGGACACCGCTACGAACTACCATTTTCCAAACCGTGGCGCTCCTAATAACAATACCTCTCCAACATCGGCAGGGGCGGTGGCAATAATTAGTCCTTCTGGACATCCGGATCCGACTTCTTCAGTGGCTTCAAACAAGGGAAAAATCGTTAGCAAACCAAATGCCGTCCACGATCTCTGGGCCCATCAGGGACAGTCGCCCAGAGGCGAGATGCCCACATTGCTAGCCAGTGCTGTAGCCTTGTCTCCGAGAGATAGACAAAACGATACTAATGCGAGTACTAGGAATCCGACAGGCGGTACCAGAAGGTACAGAACTAGATCAGAGAGACACGGAACACCACCCGATGCCACAAAAGACGTCGTAGATGTTGTTGCGAGTGGTAGACGACAAGGAGAAGATCACACCGGAAGCCACGAAGAAGAGGAAGCAGTGAGAGATGATGTGTTTCGGATTTTTCAGGGCGTTGGACAAGGGCAGGATAGTCATCTTTCTTCAAGTAGAGCCCCCCCGCTTCGTGACAACGAACTTCCGAGGCGAGAGAACTTGAACCTAGCAACAGATCCAGCAGCTAGAGCTGACGCAGGCAGTGCAGCAACAGCACAGGGACACCCCGCACAGGTCGCAAGCGGCTACAAACATTCAGCTGCCGGCCCTAATCATGGTAAGGCCCAGCCTACTCCGGATGTTGGAAGAGGCGGGCATCATCACCATAATAAAAATTATCTTCTATACGAATCTCCGCAGCACTCACCTCGGATTCCGCGCGGTGCTACGTCTAATGCGCCGAGAGGAGGGTGGCCCATGCAGAGTTCGCCTTCTCTAAAGGTCGCTGTTCCTGCACTCTTTTCGTTCGACTACGATCGAGCTGGGGCTTTGGATGACCAGTATCAACAACAACTACATGTTGCTGGTAGTGGTACAAGAGCAGTAGGTCAACAGCATTGTTCCAGTAGTACGTTAAAGGGTGTTCGTGTTGTGATCAAGAGCAAAGATCCTAGAAGAATTTTGTTTCCGCCAGGCTCTGGTACCAAAGCTCTGCGAATGAGGGAAGAGGACAGCACAGGAGGCAGTAAGAATGAAGAGGATCATGACCTTGTAGTTCCTGGAATGACTGATGCTGGTTTTGAGCAGTCGTCATCATCAAAGGACAAGGGGGAAGGACGAGGAGTGGCCTTGACTGTTGAGGGAACTCAAGATCAAGCTACACCTCTACCGGCGGGAGAACAGACCACGGGCGGGCTTGAACACGAGCAACATCACAAGAAAGAGTTGCATCTTTCAACCAACAGCAATAGTATGAGTAGTGATTTTTCAGCGAGAACACCGCGAGGCGGTCGAAGTGGACGTACCTGCTTTGTTCTTCCGATATTTTCACGCTTCACTTTTGCGACTAGCGGTCAAGTGAATCCACTGCTTGTCTCTCGCATTGTGGAAGCAGGAGGAGTTGTGTTTACATCCCCCCAAGAAGCAGAGGCAGAGGCACAATTAGGCGATGGAGCACCTACTTCCTCCTCTACAACCTCTGCAACTACTGGGAGAAAAAGTGAAACTTTCTTAACAACTCCACGGGGTATTAAGCAACGCGAATTTGCAGCACAAGGACAAGAACTTCATCTTACTTCAACGTCGAGTTGTCCTCGTAGTCCTTCGAGCAAGACTAAGACACATCATCATCTTCTTCTTCATCATCACAATGGCTTGACCTCTCCAATTGCGCGTCTCCCAGTTGGTATACCCGCATTACCAAATAAGACAACGACCGGAAGTGTTCTGAACTCTTCGTGCGATCTACACCATATGCACACAGGAGCTAGTGCATCTTCCGGCAGTATGAAGAGCACTCCTAGGGGTGCTACAACTAAGCATGCGTTCAGTGGAGCAGCGAGTGCGGCTAATTTCTCCACGCAAGCAGTCTCTTCAGGAGCTGCTTTGTACGCTGCACCTTCTCCACGTGGCCCTCAACCTCCTCTCGCGCCCACATTGAGCAAGCCAATGTCCCGTGTAGCAAGTGAACAAGAAGACTTCCATTGCGACCATGATACTTCTGAACGTCGGGTCACCCACGTGCTACTCGGTTATGACTGGTCAACAGAAGACGTGCGAGGTTATTTGAAGATTACTAGCAAGCGAGACAAACCACATCCGCAGATGGTAACTCCTGCTTTCGCAGAGATGTGCCTGCAACGCCGTGTTTTGGTGGATGAAGCGCCTTATCGAGTTTTGTCAGCGGCAGACTTGGAGCAACTAGTACTTGCGCAAGTAGATGGTGCCAATGAGGTTCTGCAGAAGGGTGCTGTCGTAGAGACTCCAAGAAAGAGTCCTGCTGCGACAGGACATCTCTCTGGAAAGGGCGTCAATCTTCGTAGCATACAACAGCCTCATGGACCTGGAGCGTCACAACTACATCGGAAAATTGATCAAGCACTATTACATGGATTAGTTTTCGGGTGTCTGGGATCGTGGACTGCAGATCATCCATTATTGCAAGACATTCGGTCCCATGGGGGACAGACGCGGCTCTTGGGCGGTGGTATTTGTGATTGAAGAACTGAGTAAACTGTCTTTTATTACTTAGCCCGTGCTAGTAAATTTTCGTTTTCCTGCTCATCATGATTCTACTTACTTTGTTGACACCGCATTCATCAATTTCAAACTATAATCGAGATCGACTATTCGAGGTTCCAACGGCGCTCCCGCAACGCCGCGAAAGTCGACATCCCACGGCGTTACGCATTTTTTGGTCGATAGCCATAAAGCAAAAAGCCAGACAAATGCGCATAGAGCGGGAAGTGAAGACGATTCCAGACAGATAGTCGATATCGCTTGGGTAGCCGCTTGTCTTCGTAACCACGTGTTGATGCCGATTTCTTCTGCGAGGAATAATGGGAATAAGAGTACTTCTCCTAGCAAGGTTGGACCAGGAGCAGTAGGAAAAAAGGTTCCACCCAGCACAGGTGCCTGTCGTGCGCTGCTACGCTCCAAACTCGTGCATTGAGAAAGCGAGCTTTCTAAGGAAGACATAGAGCTACGTTTTTGTCATGGTAGATGCAAGAACTCTGTCATTCTTCCTCATGGTCGTCATGAAGACCCCACCAATATCAACATGAACATGAGAAATGTACAATCACTTCTTGGCATGGAGCAGTCGCTCCTTCTAGATATCTCTGATGAAGTATTTCAAAGTACAGCATAATGATAAAGCCGATCAAATTATTGAGGACGGAAAAATGTATTGACGTTTTTGTGGCAGTATTAATTGCTGATGGGTCGTTGTATAGAACAGGAACAGGATGGATTTTACTTTGATTGCACAGTAACGGGTTGTATATTTGGTTTAGTACAGGTGTTTGCATCGGATGTGCATGTGGGTGTCAGTTTCATCAGAGTGAAGACTATAGAGCAGTCTACTCTATAACCGTGGCTATGCGTAAGCGTAAAGATATCCAGTAGGCCCTAGTAGTAGTAAACGAATCAATAGTATGGAGGTCATCTTCTTTTAGATTATCGATACCAGTATGATAAAATATATATTTATATTCAATAGCAAAAGCAAACAATCTTCTCCCGCAGGTGCAAGTATCATTTTCTTCTTCTACTCATGAAGACCGTCCGTCGGACATTCATACAACATGCCCATGACACGCATCCGCCTACTGCCAACCCGAGTCTTCATCATTGTACCGAGAGAAAGAGAGCGGATGAGTGGTCATTGTGCTTTTTGCCAGTCAATGTGTCTCTCCCCTGCGAGTCACTACTGCCAGCTGATGCCAAACCCAAAATGGAATTTTCAGCAATGACCTCAAAAAACATTGCTTATCCACCCCCACCCCTGCAAAGATAAAAGAAGCACAGCTTTTCGCCTTGCGAAAGTACATTAGAAAAAAACAAAACAAGAGCCTTCAAGTTTAAGATGAAGAAGAAATAGGAACCTAACTTTTAATGTTGTTCAAGAACAAAAAGAGCAAAGCAGAAGCATCACCATGCCCACCTCTATTGTGCCTCCAGAGGGAGAAGGGGCCTTTCAGATCCGACTGCAAGAGCATCTACAGAGGATACAAAACGAGATCCATGAAAGCAAACGAACACCATCGTCGTCATCTACTGGATTTTGCAGGCCGTTTGATTATGGAACAAGTGTGAAGTAGCATCCCAATCGCAATGCCCCACGAACGAGTACTGCTCTAATTAATCTTGTTGCTAATTGATTTCGATAATGAGCATCTTCTCTGCAACTTATTTCTTTTCTAATCTCAAAAACCTGAAGCCGCTGGAGACTGGGAGCCACCGGAGACGGTGTTTGGCGTGGACTTGGTGTATGAGGAAGACGCAATCGCGAAATTCTGGCAAACTTTGCGTCCCGTACTCAAGGCGCGGCCAGCAGAAGTACGGAGTTTTAATGTTTATGAGGGACAACTACAAAGCGGGTAGTCCTTCTAGTCGCTTGAAAGATCACTACATCGTTGAAGATGAGTATCGATAAGCATAAGCACGACTCTGCTCACTGCCCTTAAAAACGATTCCTTCAGCATCCCTCTAATCCCTTGACGACCTTCTTCCCGCAAAAGACCCTGTTCTTGAGGGTGAAGATGAGGCTGCTGCAGAGGAGCCTTCTCCTGGGGACCAGGATCCACCAGAAAGTGCCAAGTCTGGCGAGGATTTGCCGCGAAAGCATCCATTACAACGGTTTGTCGAAGCCTCCAAATTCTTCCAAACATCCTGCGATGACAAGCATCCTCCATGGGGACCGCTGCTGAGGCCGTTGAGTACAACGGTTTTTGCGCGATTCTATTTCTAATTCTACAACCTCGTCGTGTGTTCGTGTTCTTGAATCTGAGTCGTCCTGCTAATGTAGTACTGTACCTTCAAATGTTTGTTCTTTTTCTTGCAAGGTTAACATCAACATACCACGCACCAGACGACTGCGCGAAAGAAGCGATGGTGGATTTTCATGCCTCAAATTTGAATTTCTGTCTACGATCTGAGTTTTCACCAAAGAAGACCAACATTGTTTGCTCTCTTCTCGCCTTCCTTCTGAAACTTTCGGTGCGTGGCAGAACAAGGAATGGTATTAAGTTCATACTTAAATAATTCTCTTGATGAATCTTCGTTCAGTTGTGCGGCTTTGAAGTGGTGGTCCGTGGAGGTCGTGATGCTCTTAGAAAAGCTGAAATTATCATGAATAACTGCGACAAATTATACCTCCAAATAACAAAACAGAAAAAGCCCCCGCTGGCTGGCTTCCGGTACAGCAGGAAGTTTTTGTAGCGTTTCGGGATGCAATATTGCTGCTCTACAGGGAATCCGTGCTCACAGTAGGCGAGTCGCAGAAAGTGACGGACTACGCATCAAGGACCTTTTTTACGCATTACAGACTTTACCAATACGTCTGTGCGCATGCTGTGGATAGAGTGGTAATATAGTTTGCTTTCGTGTTTTTCAGCTTTCATTAAGATGAACAATAACGTGATTGTTTTTCTTTTTCTCTTCCAAACATATTTTTTCCTATTCGACTACGACTCTTCATCTTCTGCTCCACCACAACAACTAGGTTGTTCGCGATGAGGTAGCGTTAGAATTTTTCTCCGAAAGGCACTTTCATTCGACGTTGCAGGGATGGACGAGGCTAGGAGACGAAGAAAATGATGAAGACAAAGTGAATGCGAGTGAACAGGAGCAGGCGCCTGATGATTCGTCGGCACCACATCAAGAAGGATCAGGTGACCAGCACCAGACCCAGACACTAGAACAAGATGGCACCAGCAGTGCTCCTCCTGCTGCTTTGAAAGAGCCTGTAGATGTTCGAGAATTAGGCTTAGAGCCACTTCACAAAGACCCTCTTGCTGAACACGTGCTGCAAGCAGAGCTTGCTGAGATCCGAAGACGCTCAGACAAAATGCTTGGCTTTATCGAATCGCAGGCTCCGCCGTGATTTTCTTGATGAGTGAGACAGAAAAAGCTACCTTTCATTTGACGTCCTTTTATTGTGAAATTACTACCATGCTACTTTCTGATTCTAATCTAAATTAACAAATATTGTCCGTCACTGAATAGAAACAGGCGCTTGTTGAACAGATACACAACTTCTAACAAGAAGAAGTAGCTTAATAAATAGAGACCACGACAACTTTTACTTCATCTTTCTCCACGACGACCACCAGGACGAGGACATCTACGGAAGCACTTATGTGATTCTGTAAAGTTAATAGAACAAGCTCACATGTGGCAAGCAGAGCTGCTATCTTCAAGGCAGGATGGGAGATCACGTGTGACGATGACTCTCTACAACAAATGTGTCTCTTTTCCTGGTGTCCTCAACTCTTTGAGGAAAATTCAAACCGATATCCCTTCGATGCAGTTCTTGATAGATAAGTAATGAGAAAACGGAGCAGCTCCTTGCTAATTGACATACTGCTGGTTCTAATTCGTAGTCGTACAGAAGATATCAAGTCAGCGGTGTAGCATGTGTCCTGTCTGCTTTCGTACCCGTTCCGTCATTGCTCGTGCCCGTTTGACTTCGTAGTTCCTAATCTTGAGAGATGAATTGAATGAGAGATCAACTACAAGGAGCTTCATCTCATCGCGGATCAATACATGCTGAACTTATAGCAAATTGAAAGAAACACAGAGATATTATGATTATTAGAGCGAGGCATAAAGATAAAGAGCGAGAGCACACATGAGGAAGCAAGAGGGACTAGCGTGACTGTTGTGGCTGAATGAACTTGAACATTGAATGAAGACGAAGACAAGAAGACAAGCAAATCGGTGGAAGAATGTAAGTCGTAATATAGAAACTGCATCGACCACGACCACTTACAGAAAATAATATATTTTCTTGGCCGTGAGGATGAACATGATGTTGTTGATGATGATCATGATGAAGTGACACCTGAAATTGAAAATGAACCAACAGAAACAATAGCTTTTAGATTTACCCTTTTTGTACACACTACAATCAAAATCAATAACTTAAGTACTCTCAGTCGTTTTTGTTAGTACTACAACGCCTTGTACATCTTGCCGAACTTTATCTTTGGGTTTTTACAACGATCGATGAACTTGAACTTCCTCTAAATCACGGTGAAGGTGGACAATAAAATTATAATGGACGTCGATATCATGTATCTTCATGTCATCATCTGGTTTTATTGCACCTCGTAAGGAACCAGAGTTGATGTGCCAAAGAGTACTACAACTTCAACATGAGAAACAAGACCATTTTGATCTTCATGCGTCGTCGTAGAGGAGCACCAGTAGTTCTCATCTACTAGTACAGGAGAAGACAGAGTGGATGACCGCGGACGATCATCGCAGAGTTGTTACAATAGCATAACTTCTGCTTTAATATGCCTGTATATCCTCGCGGACTTCATCAACAAGGTCCTCCAGGACTTCTCTTTCGTGGTCTTGTCCTCTCGTACAAAATGGGATTTTTTAAATAGGAGGAACAACAATTAAGGCTCAGCTTTCAATGGTCATTGGTGTTGGTCACTGGCGACCCCTTGAGGAAAGATGGGGGGAAAACGAAGGGAAAGGGGAGAGCTTTGAAGGGGGTCCCTTCCGTTCAGAGTCAGTGACCATTGAAGGCTGAGCTTTAAAACAACGTCAACTCTCACACGACAAGCTGTGTGCTGTTTGCCGCTTGTCTTCTTCTTCAGGTTCATCGTCTCTAAGCAGGCCCTCAAGAGTATCAGGTCAGAAACCACTGCGGAGGAGCAGATCATCTCCAAAGTCCTATGTAAAACCGTATGGTTTTTTATCTCCGAAGTCTGTTGGAAGAAACTAGAACACCAACATCCAAGAACCACACTGCTTCCTTCTACAACATAGAAGTGCTACTTCCACGACTTGTCTGCAAAATTATATCTTCTTCAACTTCATGTACTTGTAAGTACATTATTTAGAAGATCATTCACTAGTAGGAAAATGAGAAAAATCGAAGAACAAGAAACTCAAACTATTTGCTTGTCAACATCTTCTGGTGCTGCACGCCTTCCAAAGTCATGGTCAATGTAGATAGATACGATCGAATATATATGTTGTTGCGGTTTCGACCTATTTCCCTTGGTTCTGGCCTCAAGGTTGATTTTGCAGGCCAAATCGGAGACAAATGACATGGCATGCATATACATTTAATATTATGAGTCAGTTTTTAACATGGTCAACGAACCTGTTGGATATGTTGTACGAGATGTCGTGCTCGTTCAAAGAACATGAGAGCAATCGCAAGAAATCATCCTTGTCTTCAACCAAAACCACCACCACCACAGGCAGTAGGAAAAGTATGTAAGAACGAAGTCTCTATCATTTTGCGTCCATAGAGATAGATATTATAAATGATCATGTAGGTACTAGATGTAGCAGATGATAGAGGGTGTGAAGGTTTCATTACGGCCTTTTTGGATATACTCAGAGGTTCAATCATCGTCACTGTCAGAACCGCTCCTTGGTTTTGTGTGTCGAGATTTCTTGGTATGAATTTTCTAGACTTATCAAATTGATAAATTTTTTAGCAAACTTCTCCATCTTCTTAAAGTTACATACTGCAGATGTTGGTGTTGTAGTACTCGTACTACCTCGTCCATACTAGTAGTAAGTTCCACTTACATCTTCCTGCAGATGTTGAAGACGTTGTAGTCCTCGCACTACCCGCCACCAAGTGCTGCAGTTGTTAGTTTTTAGACAAACAGAGGTTTTTAGATTTTTAGTCTTGTCCTCGATGATGTTGCATAGTTGAAAACACGTTGTGTAAGTGTAGTCTAGATCTATTATGCTTACATGATCCGGTGCTTTATGCGCAGGGCTGAGGCGGAAGCCACTCTAATCTAATCTAGGTACAAGTAGCAAGAAGAAGAACTGTCTAATTAATCCACGACAAGCACAACTCGGGCAGAAAATCAACCTTCCGCTTGCAGTTTCAGTAAAACGATCAGAAATTCACTGGGAACGGTGATGTTGAAGAAAAGTTCGTAGACGAAAATTTTGAAAAAAAGTAGACGAGGCTTCTTCTTCTACAAGATGTTATAGAACAAGAAATTATTAGTCAACAGATCTCTGGTCTATTCGCGCCTTCTACCACACGAGCAGCTGGTGCGCTGGTCCTTTCTTGGCGAAGGAAGACATTGCAACGTTTTTGAATTACTACTTCTTCTAGTTGTTGCAGCACTAGAAGTACTGCTTACTAGAAGTAGAAAGAAGTACCATTCCGATGCGTTGGCGCTCTGGGTGCAAGAATAAGGAGAAGGAGACCAGCATGTTGGAGGAAAATTAAGAGGTATCATCTCCCGCAATTGTGGCGTCTCCAGCAATTGTGACGTCTCCCGCAATTATGGTCTCCCCCGCTAAGATGGCGTCTTCCACCATTGTGGCGTCTCCCGCAATTGTGACGTCTCCCAAGATCGCGTCTCCCGCCAAGATGGCGTCTCCCACCCATGTGGCGCCTTCCAAGATGGCGTCTCCCACCATTGTGGCGTCGGCCAAGAGTTCGAGTCCCGGAAGCCAAAGCAACAACATGAAAATTACGGCTAACGACAACTTCTGAGTAAGTAGAAGTTTATTAAGTTTCTCTTCATCACCTGAGTGACTACATCTACAGGCTCCTTCTTGTGATTATACTTCTCTTTCATGATCTTCGATAGAAGATTATACTACTCCTGCTGAACAAAGCGAATGTCAATGTCTATAACTACTAACTCCTCTTGTTGTATAATTTTGGTTTTCTTCGTTCTCACCTACGAGCCTAACCTGAAGGATCGCTAGCCACTTAAGTCCCTGACCTCTCATACTGGATACTAGCTTGGAGCGTCCGATAACATCCCTCCCACTAGGATCCCCCTCCTCCCCAAAATAAGAAAATAAGCAAGGCAAAGATGTAAACGCTATGCGTTTTCAAATTTCGAAAATTTTCCACGTTTTGCCATCGTTTGAGAATTGGGCCTAGTCCGTTTGAAGTCAAGGGCTAAGGTCCCAAAACTTTTTGACTTTAAGCCCTACCGCTGACATTCGACTTCTTGGATTTGCATTCTTCAAATTTCGAAAATTCTCCGCGTTTTGCTGTCGTTTTGGGATTGAATTCTGTGCGTTTGAAGTGCTAAGACCCCAAAGTGTTTGATTTTAAGCCCTTTCGCTGAGATTCAACTTATTGGATTTACATTGATCAAATTTCGAAAATTCTCCACATTTTGTCGCCGTTTTCGGGTTGGCTTCTGTGCTTTTGGTTTTGAAGTGCTAAAGCCCCAAAATTTTTGATTTTAAGCCCTGTCCCTGAGATTCAATCCCTTGGCTTCACGTTTTTCAAATTTCGAAAATTTTCCACCTTTTTCGTCTTTTTGGGAGTGAATCCCGTGGGTTTGAAGTGCTAAGATCCCAAAATTTTTGATTTTAAGCCCTTTCTCCCGAAATTCAATCCCGTGGCTTCATGATTTCGCGGCTTCCTGGTTTCGTGGTTTCAAATTTCGAAAATTTCCAAAATTTTCCACATTTTGTTGGCGTTTTGGGATTGGATTTTGTGCGTTTGAAGCGCTAGAGTCCCAAAATTTTTGACTTTAAGACCTTTCGCACGAGATTCAATTTCTTGGATTTGAATTTTTCAAATTTCGAAAATTTTCCACATGTTGGCGCCGTTTTGGGATTGAGTTTTGTGCTTTTGAAGCGCTAAAGTCCCAAAATTTTTGATTTTAGGCCCTCTTCCTGGGATGCAATTTCTTGGATTTGCATTTTTCAAAATTCGAAAACTTTCCACATTTTGCCGCCGTTTTCGGGTTGAATTCCGTGCGTTTGAGGTGCTAAGATCCCAAAATTTTTGATTTTAAGCCCTTTCCCTCGAATTTAATTCGTTGGATTCGCGTTTTTCAAATTTCGAAAATTTTCAGCCTTTTTCTTCATTTTGAGAGTGAATCGCGTGAGTCTGAAGCGCTAAGATCCCAAAATTTTTGATTTTAAGCCTTTTCCCCCGAAATTCAATTCCATGGCTTCATGGTTTCGTGGTTTCGTGGTTTCATGGTTTCATGGTTTCATGGTTTCCTGGTTTCGTGGTTTCGTGGTTTCGTGGTTTCGTGGTTTCGTGGTTTCGTGGTTT